ATTCCCCTTTGCGTATGTTGCTGTCTGAATCAGCATTAAGTTTGTCGAAATGCAGTCCTGGCCTGGCTCTGGTCAGAATGGCGCAAATGACGGACATAATTCCTGGCCTTCCGGCTTCGCACAATTCACCGACCAAAACAATCAATTCGACCCCAGCCAGGGTTGGTCGCAGCCCGGCGCTGAGCAGCCCTTCTCCCACTTAGATCCGCAGGATCCCTCCACGTCCAGCTTCTTTGAGGCGCCTCACCAGGGAAATGCAAATGCCTATCTTGGCGGCGGCCTCCATGCCACTGCCTCCAGCCAGGCGCCGTTCCATGCTGGCCATGGCACGCTCTCGTTGAATCAGCAGTTCTCGCAGCCTGGCCAGGATGTGCTGGATCCTGCCTTCAGTAATATCCACCCTGAACTGTATGGACACCAGCCCAAAGTCAATCTGGGGGGAGATGGAATCGGCCAGATGGGACAGGTTCAGAGCCACCAACATGGCCATCCTCAGGGCTTCAACCAGCACGAGTTTCCATTTACTTCGCAAAACGACCAGCTATACGACGCTCCTGGTCCGTATAGCCAACCTCAACAGGTCTCCCAGCCATCGCGCCAGGGAAGCAACACTCCAGTCCAGCATTTCGACAATCTGCACGGAGGCTTCCCCCAGGGCGCTCGCTTTGGACAGTCGCCCCAGCCACCGCCAGTGCAGCATCAACAACAGCCTCCCTATCGCCAGGGACAGCCCTTTTCCGACCAGTATCAGCTCAATAACGGGCTCGGCTACCAGCCGCCAAACTCGTCCCAATATTCTACGCAACAGACATATGCACCATCGAAACCGAATACCTTTACTCCGCCTCAGCAGGGCACGCCTGTACAGCAGCAGCCGCTGGCACCGCAGCCTCGTCAACAGCAGCCTGGCATACAGTCTTCCACTCACCCGACGATGGGAGTCAGCCCCAATGCTCAGTATGGAGCAGCCCAGCAGCCCACCAATAGCAGTGCTGTTGCCACTTCCACTGTGCCACCAGCAATGCCTTCAGGTTTCTCTCAGCCGGTGGAAAGTGGCCCGAAGAAACGGAAGCGTGCCACCAAGAGCACTCCGGAGCCGGCAGTTCCAGAGCAACCGGCTTACCCCATAGACTTCCCGGTTGATATCCTCCCAAGAAGGAGCGAAGACCCCGAGATCCTATCTGTCCCATTGCCATCAGCAGAAGAGGCTCAGCTTATTGCCCAGTTCGCGAAGCGGAACAAGGCTGCCCAAAACAAGTATCCGTCTATCAAAGGACTTCCCTTTTTAGTATATGATGGCACGATCAAGCTTCCAGGTAAGTAGTTGTGCTGAGCTACGCTTTCTTTTTTGCCATTTGTTCACGATAATAACGAACTTTTGTCATTAGCGCCCAAGAGTTACGACAAGCTGTCTCCTTGCATTGCCTTGCCACCGCACAGTGATCGTTCCTTAGTACCAGAGCTAGGATATCTACCCTGTGAAATTCAAGGAAAGTTTAGTACACAGTATCGGCCATCTGCAGATAGGAGTGGCTTAGATGAGCGGCGGGAAGAGGCGAGGCAGCTTTTGGCCGAATATGATCGCTCCATGTATAGCCTTGGCAAACGCCGGCCAAAGTACACCGAGTATCCTCGTATGTTCAGAAGGCCCCTCTGGTGTAAATTTGATGACGTAGTGTTGCTAAATTGTCGCAGATGCATTCAAGGAACAGCTCAAGTCCGATGAAGCTTCGAAAAATAAGGCAGAGAAGCGAGCAAAAAAGGAACAGGAGGATGATCGAGCGAAGCCGGTATGTAATTATAACTTGCAAGATACAGTGGCTTATTTGTTGCTAACATTTGTCGAGATCCGACCTCTGGTTCGACCGGCTGACCCCACCGAAGCCGTGGCGTGGGATGTTGTTGGAATCGTCAACATTGAGCCTTCTGTGGCTCGCACATCGGCCCTTATTGCTGGAAGGGTTCAACAGGCTGGTGAATTCTTCATCAAGCTTCGTGGTGACATGAACAAGGCCAAGTTGGACGTGGATAACGCGACGAAGAACAAAGTCCCGGAACCTCAACTTGCGGAGCTGAAGAAGGTGGCTGAACAGAAGAAAGAGGCTCTTTATCGCGCTCTGGATGTCACCATCGAGCACGCCGATGATGGTGTTTTGGATAATCTCGGTGGTCACCAGAAGTTGGTCCTTAGCTTGGTAAACGCCATGATTTCGTCCATCAAAGCGGGTGATTTTTCGGGCAAGCTGCCCAAGGCGCTGCTGGAAATCTTTACCCACTTTCGCATGACTAAGAAGATCGCCGAGACTACAAACTTTGAAACGGTCCGAAAGCGGTTTGAAGACAAGGGCGATGATGAAGTCAAGGAAATGGCGCGCGAAATTGCTGCAAACATGAAAAAGGCTCTCAAATCGGCCGAGTCAGAAACGGCCACGGGCTATACTGGAACATCTGCAGCCAGTAGGGCGAAGGCAGGTATCAAAACGTCTGCAGATGCCTCTTCAGCCAAGAGGGCCAGAGATGATGACTCGGATTCTCGCACAGTGAAGAAGATTGCGGTGGAGCCTGGAAGTAGCTCTCTTAGCAAGAAGCTGGCACAGCCAAAGATCCAACAACCAGCGGTATCCAAGATCATTGCGCCCAAAGGCCTTTCTTCGATACTCCCGGGCAAAGCACGACCGATATCAAAGCCTGTTGTCAAGTCGGATGCAGATAGTCCATCGACGTCTAGCGATGATAAGATCAAGGCAGACGTCAAGAAGGTGGTGACAAAGGTTGAAGCAAGCAGATCGACGGTTCCTAAAGTGGAAGCAAAGCCCCCCGTAGCAAAGGCATCTTCCACCTCAAGCTCGAGCGCCTTGTCGGGAATCGCCTCTTTGCTTGATTCCATTAATGCACCAAAGCCGGTTGAGCCTCCCGTTCCAACGACCAAGGAGACAAGAGAGTCCGATACGCCAGAAGCACCGGAAGAAAAGGCCAAGAGGCTTCGAAAAGAGGCACGTCGGAAGCTTAGGGTCAGTTGGAAGCCGGAGACTGAGCTTGTGCAAGTCAGAATCTTTCATAAAGACGACGAAGAAGATGAAGGCAGGGGAAGCAACTTGACGCGAGATGCAGCCGACGATCGTTCCGAAGGTATGGTCTTGAAGCAGCGTGCAGATGTCGAGGATGATGACGACGACGACGATATTCCTTATCAGCCTTGGCTTGGGCCCATCGGGATAGACTTTTCAGCTCTGGCCGACGATGTACGAGCCAAGAATTACGTTACGCGTGGTGGCACTGTAGCCTTTACGACCGACGAGCAGCATCGAATTGCAGAGAGAGAGCAGAGAGAGTTGATGGCCATCTACACCGACATCGACGATATTCCCCCAACTCCAAAGTCCCCACTTCCAGAGGCGGCGACTGCTGTCAGTACCGAAGCTAAGACGGCCTATCTCCCTCGGGAGGATGCCAAGTTTGAAGAAATCCAGCTTAGGTGGCGAGACGAACAACAGTACGGGCTGGACGAGGCATTGCGCTCCGCCATGAAGCGGCTCGATGCCAGGCATAGCCCCTCTAGCAAGCTGGACTCCATTCTTGGCCGGCTTCAGGGAAGTACATCGACATCCGCGTCTTCCTCTCAGCCCATGGCCTCTCTGCACATACAGCACTCGCTTCCTCTTCTCTTGGGCGGCGCGGCGGAGAAGCAGCTGCTTGCGGTACTTGTGTCGGACAAGACTAAGGCTTGGCGTGATCCCAACCCCGTCCTCTACGGCGATTCAGTTCGTGCCTATAACTATACGGATCCTACGGTTCGACTCAATGGAAATGCTGTTGAAGAGGTCGTGAAAGGCTTGATTAGCAAAGCATATCCTCCAACATCTCCTCCCGACTGGCTTTTGTTTGATCAAGAAAGGGTCAGAGAGTGGTGGTTTGGATATAATAAGGAGGTTGCTGCTAGACAGAAGAAAGAGGACGAGGCAAAGGCCAAGGCTGAGGCTGAGGCAAACGCACTCAAGGTTGCTGCTGCCACGGCTGCTGCCGCCGCCGCCGCCGCTGCCAACCCGGCAAATACCCAATCTCAGGACTGGTCAGGGCAGTACGCGCAGCAACAGGGTTATGCCCCGTACATGGCACTGCTACAGCAGATGACTGGTGGACACCATCCACCAGCTGCGGCGCTGCCATCAGCCCAGCATCCTCAAATTCCCGACGGACAGCTGCAGTCGATTCTCGCCGCCATCAACCAGCCTCAGCAAGCAGCCCCAGCACAAGCTGCAAACATTGCTAGTTATCTGAACCCGAATGATCCATCATATCAGCAGCTAATGATGCTCACTCAGATGGCGCAAGGCCAACAGCCGCCTCCTCCGCCACCGCCTCCGCCATCGTCCTTTGATCACAGGCCTGAGCGAGACTGGGATCGGAACGATGGCCAAAGGGGAAGTGAGCCGCACGGAAAGGAGGGTAGGAAAAAGAAGGGCACGCTGCCGCCGCACAAACCGGCGAATAAAGCCCTTATTGGGACGAAGCCTTGTACCTTTTGGCAGCAAGGCAAGTGTGCCAGAGGTGATAAGTGCACCTTTAGGCACGGCTGAAGATGACTACAATTATACCTTTGTTGTCATTGCTGTTGCTCTTGTTGATATAAGTTTCTTAATTGCATTAATACAGATCAAAAGCAACCACGGTTCAAACATATTTACTAGTGGACGGGAATACCGGAAACATGGCAGGCGTTGGAAGATTTTAGAAATGACGGAGGGGAGTTGGACGAAGGGTTTCCAGTACACAGTTTATGGAGCACTTGAGTGCCTGTACAATAGATATCAATGCTTCAACTGGTCTTGGTGGGCAGTTGATGGCAGCAGCTACAATGAAGATGGGATTGACGCGGACGTACAAGAGAGGCGCCGGGGATATAAACAGACAAATTCTGTACTCTTATATACCACTTGAGACTTGAGGCACGAGATGGTCATCTTGGGCACTTTTGTTTTTAATCACCGTTTGCGTGCAAGCTTGTCAATGTGAATGTGAATTACTTTTCTCGTCATCTAGCCATTTTATAAAATAATAAAACTCAAGCAGACTCCATCTCGGTATCGCCAGCCGTAGGTCTCTGGATCAAGCCCCTGAGGCTCAAGTCGTAGACGACGTCCTCGACCCTCTTGACCTCGTACTTGACGCTGTCGGCGCGCTTGCGGATAATGTCGTTTTTGAGGTTGAGCAGCTGGAAGCCGGCAAAGAGGTCCTTGACGAAGGCGCTGATGGTGAGGGGCAGCTGGAAGTCGCCGAGGGTGACTGCGTTTGTGGCGAGGCGGGAGAGGTCCTGCGTGAGGTCGATGAGGGAGAGGAGGTATTCTTCAATGGTGAGGTGGAAGGCGTCGCGGTCTTTGAGGTTTGTTGGGACTGTCCCATTTAAATTAGCGGTTTTTTTTATTCTTGATGGAAGATGGAAGAGATGGAAAATTACCTGAGAAGATGGCGCCGACTTCTTCGAGGGTGAGGAGGCGGCCTATTTCGGGCGCTGGCTTGGAGGCTGATTCGGGTTCAGACGAAGATGAGGTGGAGGGGAAGCCGCCGAGCCAGGCGCAGTAGATTGTTGTGCCGATGGCGTGTTGGATGGAGCGGGACCATTTGTTGTTGTATCTTGAATGAAGTCGGTTAGAAATGAATGCTGTAGAGGGAGAGCGAGAGGGAGACAAACTTGTAGTAAGGGTGCTGAGAGGCGACTTTTTCGAGCTCGTTGATGATGACGGCTTCTTCCTTGACGGCGGCTTCGACTTGAGCTACGAGGGCGGGGTCTGGTTTTGAACAGAAAGAAAGGAAAAATTTTTAATTGTCTGCTTTACGTGATGTTTTTTTTTTACAGTAACATTGAAGTGCTGGATTGACTACGTACAGCGTGCGCGAGGCGTCGAGTGGACTCGTGAGAGCAGGCCTTGGGCTGTGGCGGCGGCGCGGTCGAGGCGCTGGACGATTTGGGAGAGGGTGTCGCGGACTTGGGTCTCTTGCTCGAGCTTGGCTTCGAGGGAGGAGAAGATGGAGGGGTCGAGGAGGGAGGGTGGAGGAGCGGACATGGTTGTGGTGGTGGTGGTGATGCTGGTGATGGTGGTGGGATGAGGTTGAGATGGATGAGGCTGAGAGAAGGAAGATGGATTTGATTGGAGAGATTTTTCACCAGTTAGTGGCTGAGAGTGCTGGACGTTTTAGCTGTTGGCATGCAGAAAGAGACTCGAGATGGCGTTGGGTGCTACAGCGTGACGAGGGCAGAGATTTTACGATTTGAATATGGCGAGGCTGCACTAGGAAAAATTATCTAGAATTTACGACGCGAGGCTACAAATGGGAATACCCGCTCAACTGGACTCGCGATACAGAACATCTACAGCATCATGAAGCTGATTTCTACTCTCTACGAAATATCGAGTCTCTTCTTCGCTGCCAGGGCAAGCCCCAGACAAAGCAATGAAAAGATAAAGTGTTCGCGTCGCCTGGAGGCAGTGTAATACCAGGGACACTGTGGGCGGAATCATGTGCAAGCACAGAGGAGACCGCCCTGAGGACAAAAATAAGAATAATCACGATTGGTCTCCTTAGAGACCTTTCAGAGATTAAACTGAAAAGAACAGATACTACACTTGATCTAAGCCAAAAGGCAAAGAGAGCTAAAGAAGAAAAGAAAAAGAAAAAAGCTTCGCTTTGTCGGGGGCGGGCGAGGAATATATAGGAGGGTGGGGGCGGTGAGGGAGCTGCAGCTGTGGTGGGGCGGCAGAATTTGTGGGAGGTGGTGATTGGATGGAGTGGGGCTGGTGCCTGGGCTGAGTGGATCACTTTCTGGTGCAGCTGCAGCTGCTGTTGCTGCTGTTGCTGCCTACCCTGCGGCTGGAAAAAATATTCAAAGGTGAGCGAGAGATGAGACTTTGGCTGGGAGGACAGATATCAAGAGTGCAGTCTTTGTTGATTTTATTTTTGGACGATTCATGTGACAAATGCAAAGAGCTCTCTCTATTCGGGTATCCTGATTACATGGACGTACTTGTCATGAGTGCTACTAGTAGTATCATGCCAATAATTTAGGTAGAATATCAGGTAAGAGATTGTTCGTCAGCTGCATGGTAAGCAAGCAAGAATCGCTATCGACCATACTAAGTGAAGCGCTGATGTGCTCCGATTCACCAACTGTGCCACCAGAGAGCTCTTCAAAGAGCGGTTTGCCCAGGTCCACGCCGTCCTTGGCTGAGTTGATTGCCCGAAAAAAGATACTCTTTCCGCCATATTGTAATTTATAGCAGTTGAAACAGGAGGCATTGTCGCCCTTTTTGATGAGGGCGTAGCCGCCAACGTAGGGCCAGGGATAGGAGTATTCGTGATAGAAGAAATTGCGTTTTGTATGCTGCCCGACGGGATTATGCTGGCAGATGGAGTCTTGTAGAGGCGAGTTGTGTCCAACCTTGTTGTCATACGTGGCATTGTAGTGGACTTGCACTGGATTGCATTCCATGTCAGCACGCACAGACTTGATGATGAAGTGAGGGGATGACGCATACTCTTCACTTGAAAATCAGTGGCTGCGGCGAGTGTAGCGGCGGCGAGGAGATTAAAGAGCTGCATGATGACGAGCTTGTTGTTACAAGATTGATGTGTGAAGCTAATGACTATGGAAAAAGAGCCGAAATTGATGAGGGTATTTACATGCTGTAATTGAAAGACGGCATATTGTTTTATATAAGCGTCTTGTTACGGCAGTGTCGTCTCTGCTTGACATGATGTGCCAGTCTGGAACAAAGATGCTAATACACCATCAGCTGGCCCTGTCTTTGTTCAAAAGACGATTATCTAATCTGATGCTGAAACAGATGCTATAATTGGTTTTTGTGTGCATATTACTGGGAATACAAACATTCCAGGGCAAGGGAGACGAGTGTATCAGCCGTCGCTGTCTGTGCGGATTTTCAGGTGCCTCGGACACGCCGTGCCTTGTGCAACCAATAATGGCTGGCAAACAAATTTTGTTCTGCAGGCCATCAAAGAATATATGCATGTTAGTAGTGGCAGCTGATTTGCAACAAAGGAGCCTTGGTATCAGCGTTATGCTGCAGATGTGACAACCTGAGACATGCATATGCAGTCGTGAGCTGTCTATGGATCAGTATGTACCCCGTCTTTCTCAAGAGCTGAGATGATGATCAAAGAACAGCTTCTAGCATGGTAGATTTTTGGTCTCTTTGTGAACTCGAGGAATGCGACAGTCCTGCTGATTAGTTACACGGACACTCGCATGCTTGGCGACGATTCATGCCTAGCTTTTTGGGGAATCCTTCAGGTAGGAGCTCTATACTTGGCCAGCGCCATATTTTATCCCAGTAATATTCATGTTCCTTAATCAACGGCCAGAATCGATACGGATGGCTGCATAATATTGTTTCTACTGCAGGGGCTGATCAGGGGATACAATATCGCGCCTTTGGTATTGTTCTTGCACGCGACAGCCCTGCCGCCTGGTGGATCGATATACGGCGAGGCTGAAAGAATGCCAAACGTGAGATGGGCCAATGTTATGTGCTCTAGTCTTTCTATGAGAGATTGCCCTTGGTGTGAAGAGAAGATATAAAGAAGATATGGCTCGTGCAGAAAGAAAGCATTCCAACGCATCAGTACCGCAGCATCCTTCTTTCATCAACACCATCTCCACCTCCAGTGGTCAAAATGAAAGCGTCACGTCTTCTCTTTTTCGGCGTCAATGCCACAGTCACCGCAAGTCCTATCCAGCAGCTGGGAGAGTCATCAAAGGCAGCACAAGTCGTGAAACTCTCCATCGCCCTGCAGCCGGAATCCCGCCAGCTCCTTGAGCAAACCATTTACAATCTTTCCAGTCCTTCTGGCTCACGTTATGGGCAGTATCTTGGCCGTGAAGAAGCCAAAGGCTTGCTTCGTCCTCGAAAATCTTCCACTGATGCCGTCAAGGGGTGGTTGTCTCAGGCTGGCATCCGCAGTGGCCATATCTTGAGCGATGGGCAGTTCATTCATGTTCAGACCGACGTCGGTAGTATCGAGGCTCTCTTTGAGGTCAACTATAATGCGACACTTGGCTCGCAGACAGTCTCTGTTTCTTCCTTGCCTCTGAGAATACAGGGCCATGTGATGACTGTCCAATATGCGCCTGTACGCCGGCGAGCAGCTTGTTCTGCGGCCAGGTCAAATACATCTTCCATAAATCTGGATGTAGAACAGGATCATTTTGGCCAGTATTTGACCAGAGTCCGCACCGATTGGGAGAGGTGCAAGACTGAAATCACGCCAGCCTGTTTGAAGAAACTGTACCATGTTGACAGCTATCAAGCAAAGGGCGAGGAACGAAATCTTGTCGGTGTAGCTGGCTTTGACGGTGTAAGTCTATATCCACTGCGGCTTTTGCTCCATCTTTCTACTGACACAGGTTTGGTATTTCAGCAAGCTATCCAATATCACGAATTAGGCGAGTTTCTACACGAGCTTGTGCCTCCTCCTGCCGCTTTCAACGTCTCCGTTGCGTTTGTCAATGGAGGAACCAATCCTCAGGGAACGAATTTCCCGTCGAGCGAGGCCAACCAGGATGTGCAGTATGCCGTTGGGATGGCACACAGCGTACCGGTGCGCTTTTATGCAACTGGTGGCGAGAACCACGACATCATCCCCGACTTGGAGTATGCTCTTCTTCCTTGATGAACCTCGAGATATGACGCTGATACAAATCACTCTTGATAGTTTAACTGATCCTACCAACGAATATCTCGAACCATACCTCGAATTCGCAAACCACCTCCTCAACCTCCCCGACGAGCAACTCCCCAGCGTAATCTCCATCTCATACGGCGCCAACGAGCAGCTCTTCCCCAAGCCCTACGCCCAGCAAGTCTGCGACATGTTTGGCCAGCTCGGCACCCGCGGCGTCTCCATCATCGTGTCTTCCGGCGATTTCGGCCCCGGAATGTCATGCCAGTCCAACGACGGCACGGAGACGACAAAGTATATTCCTTCCTTCCCGGCGACGTGTCCGTATGTGACGAGCGTGGGATCGACAGAGGGAATTGGGCCTGAAAGGGCGGCGAATTTCTCAGCGGGCGGGTTTTCTGATTACTTTGCGCGTCCGGAGTGGCAGGATGAGGCTGTGGGGGGGTATCTCGAGTTGTATGGGAATGAGTGGAAGGGGTATTATAATGCTGGCGGGAGGGGGTTTCCTGATGTGGCTGCGCAGGGGGTGAATTATCGGTTTTGGAATCATGGCAAGGAGGACTTGACGACGGGGACCAGGTATGTGCTGCAAGCTACGTGCGAACAGTTATTGGACTAACTGGCGATGATGCAGCGTTTCTACGCCGGTATTCGCTGCTCTCGTTGCATTGCTCAATGACCATCGAGCCGAAAGGGGACTGCCTCGCATGGGATTCTTGAATCCATGGATTTACAGCATTGGCAATGGAGCATTCACAGAGTAGGTCGAAACCACACATCTTCTTCCAATGTTTTTGGTATAACCACAAAGAATGCTAACCACAAAATAATGCCTGACAGCATCACCCAATCCAAATCAATCGGATGCCAAGGGCAATCCCTCTCCGGCCTTGCATCGCCCGTGATTCCCAACGCTGGCTGGAGCGCTGTCAAGGGATGGGATCCAGTGACGGGATGGGGAACGCCGCTGTTTGATAAGATGATGAGCTTGTCTGGTGGAGGTGTTGACGAGGAGAGTCATTGAATGAGAGATGGATGGTATATAAGAGATGATGGGAATGCATTAATGGAATTTGGCATAGCGAGCGGCCTTTGAAAAAGCGAGTTTACTCAAGGCTAGATATCAACATTTGATATGGAGTTGATATTCTCCGTTTAATAAAACAGTTAGAAATGATCTAATATGTTTGTAGTAGAACGAGTCTCAATGCGAGCAGAACGCTCGTCATTCCTGGTCACGTTGTCACATAATTCAATCTGAACATAATAGTTTTGCTGTCATGGCATCTATTTCAACCGCCTTCTAACAGAAAAAGAAAAAAAGTGACTCGCAGCTATGCATAGCTGCATTCTAAAAATACAACAAATGATCTAAGTCTTTCTAAAATAGAAAAAAAAAAAGACAAAAGAAACGGAGTATAACAAATGCAGAAGTTCTAATCATCGCCCGCACGCTGATCTCGCGAACAGAAAAAAAAAAAGAAGATGTGTATGCTGTGCGGACGTTTGCTCTGTCTTTCTTCGTATCTTCTGCTTGATGCTCTCAGAAAACAAAGAAAATAAGTGCAAGAACCTCATGACTTCGAGTCTCCGAATTTTTGGTCTAAAAGCAGAAATTGGTATCTCCCTCTCGAAATGCCCATTAATCCTGGCCACCGTTTTATGATTCTTTCGCCGTCATGGCCCTCTGGTTTCTTTCAATCATGTCTGTCCCATTTTTTGTGTATCCGTGACGCCGCGCCGTGAAAAGAAAAGCAATGAGAAAAAAAAAAAAGAAGAAGTGTGCCCCGCCATAGTCTCTTTCCCATACAAAGGAGAAGATGTAATAAAAACACAGGTCGTGATAGTGGAGAGTGGATTTAGTGGTTGTCCGGGGTATGGTGGACGGTGCTGTTTATGCTGCTGCAGAGTTGAGCTGGTTTGGCGTGAAACAGGGAGAGGAAATAGGGGGCAGCGGTAAGCAGCATTGACGATGACGTGGGATGCATGGATAATGCAGAATTACATCAGCGCCAGCTTCTGCTGCTGCAGCCTCTCCTTCTCCTCGGCAAAGACGATGCGGCTCATCTCCAGCACGCGCTCGAAGCCCTCGCGGCCCTTGACGGCGTTCTCCTTGAAGCGCGTGCACAGCGAGTCCTCGATGCCGTTCTTGATGCGCTGCCAGCCGCCGCACAGGGCCGTGATGCGCGCCGTCTGGGTGAACTGCGTCTGGTGCTCGCTGAGCGGGCGGTAGACGACCTCCTCCTGCACGCGCACCAGGTTGCTCCACGTCAGGTTCTGGCTGACCATTGTGACCGTCTGGCGCTGCGGGTCGACGTAGCTGGCCTCGTAGACGAAGCTCTCCTCCATGTTGCCGCCCAGCAGCGACTTGATCCAGTCGGGCGCGGCCTGCTTGCATGTGATGAGGCGTTCGGTGCGCAGGACGCCGGTGGCGGCATCGACCTGGCGCGAGAGCGTGTCGACGGCGATGACGTGCTCGGACTTGTTGTTCCACGGGCCGTACTTGCGCCAGTTGGCGGTTGAGACCTCGTCCCACGAGTACTCGTAGGTGACGGAGTTTGAGAAGACTTTCATGTTTGCGTTCGATGGCCGGTTCTCTCTGCAGGATGTAGGGAGAGGAGAGAGAAGGATGTTGCAGGTCGGGCGCTGATGGAGAGGAAAAAGAAGAGTCTTGTTGGTTGTTATCGAGACAAGCTCCGATTCGGGTGGCGGGTCGCAGATGGCAAAAAAACCCAATCAATTTCGTCAAAGTTATCTCGGCTAGGGCAGCGATCAACCCAGTCGCGTGCCTTGCTTGTGACTCTTTTTTTTTCCGCCGGTTCAGGCAATAGTACGGATAATGACGTGCGCACTGCGTTTCAAGCAATGAATGTCTTGGAATGGATTGAAACCAAAAGAAATCTTGCCGTCTATGCAAAGGAACAAATCTTTGGGAAAATGAAGATCAAAATAAAGATTGAAACGAAAAACCCGGGGGTGGGAATTTCTATATAGTATCTGCGGAGAGGAGGAAAGGTTAAAAAAAAAAATCTAGTAAGCCGTGAGGGTTTTTCTCGCTGTTAGGAGGCAGCTGGATGGATAGCCGCGCATGTGAACGGCGCTCGCTGGCAGAGAGGATACTCGGTATCGGAGCAAGCGACAGGGCCGGAAAAGTCTTCTTGCCTGGGCCGGGGCTCCTTTTGGCCCTTGGTAAGCTCGCTATCGCCGGGCTAAACCGCAGCAGGCATGGCGCCGTCCGCAAACGGCTAGGCGTGCCTCGATGGAGCGAGAAATCTTCGGAGCGGTGGAATCCGGAAGTGGATCTGATTGGCCTTCGGCGGTGCGGGAATCGGCAAGTACGAGAGGGGGAGGGCAGCAGACGCTCGGCTCCAGCGCCTTATTTCCAGCGGTCTACAGGGCCTACAGGGTCCTGCGATCGGCCCCAGACTTTTGGGTGGCCATGACGGCTGTTCCGTCCAAGGCAGTGGCAAAGCCGGGCTGTGGCTGGGAACTGCGATCGCCAGTCGTCACAGGCGCCTGTTGATTGGCGCTCGGCTGCGCAAATCCATGGAAATCCACGGAGATCATGGAACACTGGTTTTCGATCCTGGGGGGAGGGTTCGAGATCGATCTAGGGCTGCTGCCGGGCATTCGGGCGACGGGCTGGACCCCGCAGATAAGGCGGAAGATGCTATGACTACAGTAGCCGTGTAATTAATCACTGAGTGAAGATGCTATGACTATAGCATTGCCGTGTAATTGATTATTGAGTTGAAATGTATTTTGCTGTATATTTATTCTTACAGTCTCTTTGTCTTATAGAACTGGAGCCGTTTAGTCTTCAAGAGATATCCCTAGTTCCTTCAAAAGTCGCATCATTGTCCCGTCTCCAGCCCTAGCCCTTTCCTGAAACTCCGTCTTGTTCTGTTTGAACCACTCCTCATCTTGGCCGGGCTTGATGGTTTGACAACGTTAGCATCATTTCTTATACGACATACTTCAGGCTGGAACCTCTGCTGATATATAGAGGCGTGGTCCATAGGAAAACTAACCTCGGGTAGAACAAAGCCGTGCTCCCACATGGCGTTGATGCTCCTCAGTACAAATGCACCGGCTAATTTCCGTTGTACACTCCCAGTCGACGCATCCTTCTCGGACACAACCTCGCGCCAAGCCTGGGAGAGCTTGACGCAAAGCTCGTTGAAGTCTTGCGAGGTCCGAGATCCGCCTATTCGCACAATGGCAAATATACGATTGTAGCCCGGGGTCTGTATTGTCCATTAGAAGCAATGAGCTTGAGATTGACAATGTTCATCATACTTGTACACCGCCTTCATAAAAGTTCGTTTTGGAGATGTCTTCGAAAACTACGCTTATAAAAGGCGTAGGGGTGCCGTATGCAGTCTTGTGAATGTCTGTTATTTTTGCCGCCAGCTCGTCCATTTCTGCCCTCGTCAAGGGGTCAGAATGTTCAACCTGGTACAGTGGCATGACTGTGAACTAGAAACGTCTAGGAGTGAAGGAGAAGGAGAAGAAACTTGTACAAGTATTGCACATTACTGGCTTTTACATCAAGTATTGGGTATATAAGAGTTTGAGCACGTAGAGGAAACGAAGATAATATTGCTACCTCGGCTGCTTATGTCAAATTCGTAAGCAAACTTGAATGCTCACCACATCCTCAGATGTCACCAATGTAAACTTAAAAGAACAACGGTTTTTGAGTGCCCTGTTTCTGTGCCTCAGCAAGCTAAGCTATACGACTATACGGCACTTACATATTTGTACGGCGCTTATGCACTGTGTTACAAGTTTCAAGACTGAATTGATATGGCTTGTTACAGCTAAGAGAATCATGCTTTCTCCATTCTGTGTGCCCTGCCAAAGATGTTATTCATTTTGCTATGCTAGGTGGCCTGTTAGTCAAGACGACTCTGCCGCCCTGCATGACTGGTGTGTAATTGACTTGTCAAGGTCTCCTACGGCGATTTTACTACTCTCAAGCCTCGGAAAGTCGATATAAAGTAGTTTCCATTTCGGTTGGACTGAAGCCACTAGTAGATTCATAGATTCCTCTAATATTGAGATGAATGCCAATGCGTGGCAAGTTTTATTATATCAAGCTACTCTTTATTAAAAAGACTTTGTATTTAATTTGAGGGCAAACTGAAATTGGAAATCAAGGGTACAAGTAAATCTACCCCTCAACCGTCTGAATCCCTTCATTATCAACAGCAAGGTCAACATCTCCAAAATCATCATCCTGGGGCAACTGCAGATCAAAGCGATGAATCGTCGCCGCCCCAAGCGTCACCCGCTCCGTCGCCCGACAAGCCTGCAAATGGCCCCCAAACTTGCGATCCTCGGAAATCAGATGCATGTGGTCGCCGGCGACGCTGATGCCCTGGAAGTACGCCGGCGAGCGGAACCCTACGATGGACCCCCTTATCGACGAAAAGGTGTGTGTTGCCTGGCGTTTGCCGACGTCGACGAGTTTTTCGTGCGGTGAGAGCTGGCCGCCGACTGTGCGGACGCTGACTTGCGAGAATTCGCCGTCGATTCTGAATGCGAGGAAGTGGTTTTGCGTCTTGGGGAGCAGGGCTGATATCTTGTCTGCGAGGTCTTGCTTGCTGTCAAAGGTGATGGTCTCGGTGACGGAGGGCTGGAAGGAGGTGATCATGGCAAAAGGGATGATTTGATCGCCGTGGTCTCTTTCAAGGTTGGGGATGACGGATCCGTCTGATTTCATCTGGTACGCTGATCCGTCGAGGACAATCATCTCGCCTTGCAGGCTTTGAAAAGTGCCCAGGCCGTGGTTCCCGTGGCTCAGAATCTGCGACAAGGGGACGCCAGATTGTGCGGCGCCACTCATGAGCGCGGAGAGCACCGAGTACTGGTACAGCTCATTTGGTGCCATCTTCAAAGGCTGTGAATGTTAAAAAAAGTCAAGAAAGCGAGCAAAACTGTATCAATGGGCGATTGAGTAAAGGTTGAATGAGTTGTCATGTTGGCGACTGTACGCCCTTATAGCATGCCGATTGGTCTAGTTAAGCTGGGCAACTCGTACAATGACATCACGCAATTCCTTATAATGTGGATACGTAATTACATGTCCCTATTAATCCCGAGAGAGTGCGTCTATGTTCTCATATTGAGCCTCGGGCGTTATCTCCGAGTTGTGAATCTTGTTCCCTCGTGTAAGGGGTACTTGCTAGACTAACGGGCTATACATCTCTTATTAAAACAAACCTACTTTTAACCCTTCGTTACTGATCAAGAGACATCCGAGGTGACCAGATCCATCATCAGATTGTGGTTTTGACTGTAATCAATCTCTATATCAACAAGACAAACACCGTCATACGCCAATGCCTCCTTCATAACAGCCTCCAAGTCGCCCGCACTGCTCACACGCAGCCCCTTTGCGCCCATGGAGTCGGCAAGCTTGACGAAATCGACTCCCCCCAAATCGACGCCGGAGCTGCGGCCGTACTTGTTGACTTCCTGAAACTCAACCATGTTGTACTTGCCGTCGTTCCAGATAAAGTGCGTGATGTTGCAGCCCTGCTGCACGGCCGTGACCAGCTCCTGGCTGCTGAACATGAAGCCGCCGTCGCCGCTGATGCTGACGACCTTTTTGGAAGACGGCGGCGTCTGGCTGAGAGAGACGCCAATGGCCCACGGCATGGCCACGCCCAGTGTCTGCTGCACGTTGGACATGAGGAAAGTCCTGCGCGCGTACGAGTAAAAGTACCGACAGAGCCAGATGTAGACGCTGCCCACGTCGGATATCACCGTCGTGGACGGGTCGATGATGCTCTGGAAGAGGCGGATGAAGTGCAGCGGATGGACGGGGCCGGTGGATCGGCCTGATGCCTCGGGGCTGTTTTGCCATTCCCACATGTTTGTCCGGATGGCCTCCCCTGGCTTGGTGAGCTGGAGACGAGCCACTGTGTCTAGTCTGCTGGTGAGGTCTGTCATGTTGTCGGCCAGGGACCCGACGAGCTCAATCTTGGGCTTGTAGTGAGCTACAAAGTCGGCTGGCTGGATGTCCACATGCAGGATTGTAGTGCCGCGCGCGTTCCACATGTTTGCATCGTATTCTGCTTGATCCAACCCGATGGCGATGACCAGGTCTGCGTGCTGGAGCAGCTGATCGCCTGGCTGGTTGCTGAACAGGCCAATTCGGCCGTAAAAGAGGTGGACGAGCTCCTTGGAGATGGCCCCGGCAGCCTGAAACGTCTCGACAACCGGCACGGGGTGTTTTCTGAGAAAGCCGTGGACAGCACTGATGGTGTCGTCGGATTCAGAAACCCGCATGCCGAGAAACAGGACGGGGGCTTTGGCCGCAGAAATCAGATCCGCGGCTGCTTGGAGGGTCGTCTCTGGGGATTTGCCGTATTTTGGAGGAATGAAGCATTCTGCTGGAAACGCCGTGACGGTGGACGTGCTCTTTGCCGGAGTCATCAGGTCAATGGGCAGACTGACGGCCGTGGCGCCGGGGGGAGACGCCGCCGCGACTCGAAAGGCGTCCAGCATGATCTCGGCAACCTGATCCTCGACGACGGCCGAGACGACCTTTTTCGTGACGGGCGCGAGCAGATCTGCGCCGCGCAGGCTCTGGTGCGTCCTCTGCAGCGACTGAGACCGCTTGACGCTCCCTACAATGGCCACCACGGGGGCGCCCTCGTCCGTCGCCGTGACCAGGCCGGTGACGAGGTTGCTGGTGCCCGGGCCGGACGTGGCGATGCAGACGCCGGGCCGGCCCGTGACTTTGCCCATGGCGGCGGCGATGAAGGCGGCATTCTGCTCGTGCCGGCAGACGACGAGTTTGATGTCTGGATGGTCGATGAGGGCGTTGAAGACGGAGTCGATTTTGGCGCCGGGCACGCCAAAGACGTATTTGACGCCGGCGGCCTTGAGGGAGTCGATGAGGATGTCGACTGTGTCTTTGGTCATGGTTGGAGTTGAGCTTTGGAGTTTCTCAGATTGGTTTTGCAGGGTTTTACTTTGATGAGAGGATTGAAGTTATATAAACCTGAGCGACTACATGAATGACTGCATATGAATGACGACGTTTATATCCGTGTAAATGGATAGCTCTCGGGCGCTAAGAGTTAGCTTCCGCAGTGCCATGTTGTCATCATTTTGATAGGAAAGATACGGGCCGGAGATGCCTACCGGTGTCGGAACCTGCGGAATGTTGTTGTTGTTGTAAGTTTACTTGACGGGACTTGATTGCCATTTGAAGAACCGTGATGGCTGAGCTTTTTGTTGAGGGTTGAGATGTATTCCGCTACCGATCTCGCAGTCCTTACGGTGGTTATTAGTTGGTGCGCCATCTTGACTCACCACTGCTCGTTGAATAGAGTAGACAAGCCATGATGAGCTCGTTTTGTTTAGGGTCTTGTTCTCGCTCCATTGTCATAACCAATAATTTCATCAGTCCTCAGTCACTGAGCAACCGTAACTAGCGACTTGTAGCTGCAAAAAAAGTGAGTAGACCTCAGCTGTATCGCTTCCATCAACCTCTTTTACCGGAGACGCCCTCTCGAGAACATGGTGCAATCTGCACCAAGCCGAAAATGCCATCAATAGTACCTAGATTTTTCTACTGCAATTAAATATATGAGTAAAAAAAAAAAAAAAAGATAGCAAACCTTTTGCTGGCTTTTTCTCTTCATAACCCACTTGCCGCGGCTTGTCTAGAGCACGCCGCGGACCGTATCTTCGTATATGTGCCCGATCCGATGCGGCCCCACTCGCCCGGAACTTGGCCAACTACTCTTGAACGACAAGTAATTTCAAATAGCAAGTCACGATTTTTTTTTTAAACTGTTCCTTATTCTGTCTTATTAATTCTTTCATAAATCTTAATAATTCACTTGCCTCTCAGTGCTAGAGTAATCATCCGTGTATTGATGTGGTCATCTCCGGCATAAGCACAGAGTTTCTTTTGAATTCTACGTTGTGATACTCGGCTTTTTACTAGAATTGCTGGATAATGTAACTCTTCATGTATCAATTCATGTATAAAAGAGCAGTTGTGCTCGTTTCTGTTTCTTGGCCAAAAGACAACACTGTTTGTTTCTAACAAAGACATATACACACATCTACATATATATAAATACACCGGCTTTTACAGTTCACTTTCAACTTGTATAACAGCATTCATCTTCACATATCAATACAAACATAATCGATCATGCTCAACGGCTTCTCAGTCCCCCTCACCCCATCCGGAAAATCCTCCCTCGTCTCCCCTCCCCCCTGGCACTACTCCAGCGACTGCATGGCCATTGAATACTTCACCGACCCAGAAGCCATCGCCGCCCTGCTCCCTCCCGGCCTCACCATCGACTCCTCCTCCCCAGGCCGCGCCTTCTTATGGTTCCTCGACTGGCAATTCACCGGCTCCGACGAAGAGCTCACAGACCCGGCCCGCTACCAGTACCGCGAGGCCTTTATCCTCGTCGAAGCACTCTTTCAGGGCAAGCCCGTAAACTACTGCCCGTACATCTTCGTCGACAACGACGCCGCCATTGCGCGTGGCTGGGCTCAGGGCTTCCCCAAGAAACACGCCAGCGTCTTCCAAACGCGCAGTTTCGCGGCGCCCAGCCCTGCCGCAGCGCCGCTTGCGCCGGGGAGTCGTTTCGGCGCGAGTGTCTCTGCGCATGGAGAGCGAATCGCCACGGCCCGCATCCAGCTCGAGGAGAGAATCGCCGATCCGACAACCGTGTTTAACAGGCCTACTGTGATGCGGCGCTACTTTCCGCAGCTGGTGGCTGCGAGGCAGGACAGGCCGGCGGTGGACGAGCTGACTATGAGCCTGACGGATAATCTGAACATTGTGCATGTTTGGGCGGGAGCGGCTGAGGTGAAAATGCCAGAGGTGTTTGGTGAGGAGGTGCATCTGATTGCGCCGCTGCGGGTTGGACGCGGGTATCGCTTTGGCATGTCGTATTCGGTGACGGATTTGAAGGTTTTGAAGGACTATGCTGCGGAGCGAGAGCCTGTTGTATCAGCTGCTTTGCTGGAGGAGATGGATAGTTGATTACTACAATATAAGAGAGATGGATGTATCTAAGTTGAGCCGGATAAAGGTTCAACATATTGTGCAAACAACTGTACTAAATGTTGTAATCTCTTATATATTTTATTCTTTTACTTTATTCATCTTTCTCCCCACTATTGCTATAGATAATACAACTAGTTATAATAGCATGCTACATCGCTGCTATTGATACAATCCACCTTTTCTTATTCAATTACCTTTGGGGCACAAACCATCTACGAGCTTTCAAGAACGCCGTATTCCAGATTCCATCTTGAACGCTCATCAATAGTCGTCTCCGCGGCTGATGACCTCCTTCACGGTGGGTCGAATAAGGATAGTCTATGCAAGAAATTAGTCATTACGCCGTGTTTGCGAGTAGAGAATTGCAACTTACGTGCTCATACTGAGCAGTGTACGAGCCCTTTTTGTCAACCAAGGGCGGGTACGCCTCGACAATGTCGTTTTGCACCAGGCTGTTGAGCTGTTTTCATGACAATGTCAGCGCCATATTTTTTTTTTTCAGCAGAAAAGAGATTATGAATTGTAGACTTACGCCAAGCAAATACTTCTCCTGGCCAAGGCGGTCGAGGTATCGTCTGCAAAACGGCAGCGTGCCAAAGTTCTTGTTAATCACATTGAGCAGCGACTTGGCCGAGCTCAACCGCAGATCAACGTGCGACACGTCTCCAACCTTTGCATAGTGCGAAACTTCTCCGTCGTCGCGCACATAGCCGTTGCCCGTGCTGCCGAATGTCTCAATGGCAAACACGTCGCCCTCCTCCATCTTGGTCTGGTCGTTGCTCTTGACAATGGGCACCGCCTTGGTGCCGTGGATGCTGTACGGCAGGATGGTGTGGCCCGTCAGGTTGCGGATGCTCTTAACCGGGTAGGTGGTGCCGTCAATCTCGACCTCGTAGCTCTCCATGACCTCCTGGATGACGCCGCCAATCTCGCCGACGCGGGCGTCGATGCCGGCCTCGCGGATGCCGGCGTTGGTGGCTGCTCGCACGGCCGCCAGCAGAGGGTCATACTTGGGCTCAAAGGCCATGGTAAAGGCCGAGTCGACAATCTTGCCGTTGACGTGGACGCCAAAGTCCACCTTCATGACGTCGTTTTGCTGCAGCACCATCTTGTTGCCCGCGTTGGGGGTGTAGTGCGCCGCGCAGTGGTTCAGCGACAGGCCGCAGGGGAAGCCCATGCCGGCCTTGAGCGCATCGCCCTCGTCCAGGCCCGCGTGGCCCGTCAGCGCGCGCACGCTGTCCTCGATGGTCTCGGCGATCTCCGTCAGGCTCTGGCCCGGCTTGATGACCTTTTGCGCATACTGGCGCACCTGGCGGTGGATCTCGGCCGCCTCGCGGTAGTCAGCCAGGAACTCGCTGTTGAGGTTGTCCAGGTGGCGCTTCTCCTCGTTGGTGGTCCGGTAGTTGTTGTCGTCCTTGTACTCGACCTCCTCGCCCTTGGGGAAGTTCTTGTTGGGGAACAGCTGGCTGACCATGACGCGAGGCGGCTCGGACTGGCTGGTGGGATTCTTCTTCTTCTTCTTGGGCTTTCTCTTCTTCTTCTTCTTGGCGGCGCCGGCGGCCGGAGTGGCATCCTCGGCGTCGTCCTCGGAGTCTTCGTCATGCGCATCTTCGGCTTGGCCGTTGGCCGCGTTGCCAGCCTCGCCAGCGGGCTGGGCACCGTCGGCCACTGCAATTGCGCACCGAGTCAGCATATATCGCACTTGAACATTACTGTTTCCAGCAGTGATGCTCACCTTTCAGCTCCTTGAGAGCTTCAGTGGGAATTTGGGCTGCCATCTTGGCTGACTTGTACGATGTTGAATGTGCAGGTCTAAAATTTTGGCACAACGGCTTTGCAGCGGCTAACCCCGCCATAGGCGCTGACAAAATCAGGCATAGCGGTAAAGGGTCAAACGTGCAGCTAATCAGTATGGAGAGTCGACTAGCTGTTTTTGTCACTATTCCAAAAGGGCGTATGACATCAATCCTTGGTTTTGAGGTACATGTCTCCCACCACCATGGTAGCATTAATCCACCAGCGAGCTTGTACTTTGGATAATTGGCTAAATAGCCGTATTCCTAGTATAACATACAATACTACCCATCCACATTGTGCATCGTGGCAGCAATACTTTTGGCACCTGCAGCCATGACAGGCCTGAATGACTTCCCAGTGGAGAGACGTGGGGTTGCCCTGATAAAACGGCGGGGCTCTTGATCTCCTACGTCTCAAGCAAGCCAGACTCCCAGGCAGAAGCCTTCAAACATCAATCAAAAGACAAAAGTTCACAAGAGGGCCTCTCCATATTGTTTAGCTTGCAGTCACATCAAGTCTACAGGCCAACATGGAGCCTCAGGTACAGAAACTGGTGGACAAGGTGTGGAAGAGCTACTTGAATACGCCTCAGGACCAGCGCCTGTGTAAGTCAATCAGATATATATACCTACCTTTTGCTTCTCACAGCCTCAGTCCAGACGTCTATTACACCACATCTTACATGTCATGATTAATTTCTGCTAACAAACTTTATTCAACCAGTAATCGGAATCGGCGGCATCCCAGGCTCAGGCACGTCCACCCAAATAAACCCTCACTCATCCATCTCATCACCACTAACAAACCATCAGGCAAAACAACACTCGCCCAAACCATCACCTCCAAACTCAACGCCCTCGCCGCCGCAGCCTCCCCAAATGCCCCTCCTCCCGCAATCTTCCTCCCCATGGACGGCTTTCACCTCACCCGTGCCGAGCTCTCCGCCATGCCAGATCCGGTAACCGCTCACGCTCGCCGCGGCGCCCCCTACACATTTGACGCGCACAAATTTCACGCTCTGGTACAATCGCTAAGAAGGCCCATTTCGTCTGGAGAAACGATTTACGCGCCCTCTTTTGATCACGCTGTGAAGGACCCCAAGGAGAATGACATTGCCGTGCTGTCGACGCATCGGGTTGTCGTTATTGAGGGCAACTATGTGGCGCTGAATAAGGAGGTATGGCGCGATGCTGCGCTGTTGTTTGATGAGCTGTGGTTTGTCGAGGTTGATTTTGAGGTGGCGAGGAAGAGGCTGAGGGAGAGGCATGTTCGGGCAGGCATTGTTCAGACGATAGAAGAGGGGGATGCGAGAGCTACGGAGAATGACTTGGTAAATGGTAAGGAGATTGTGGACTGCAGCTTGCAAGTACACGAGCTGATACAGAGTAGAGAAGACGGCACTTGGGTTCATGAATAGACAGTCTTTGAATATATACATGGATGAGAACAGGATCCTTTTTGCCCTTGGAAGAGCCTGTAATCAATCAAGATATAGTGACATGAAAGTCAAATAAACGCTGACATGGCTTTGCCATGAGAAAAGCTTTCAAAGTAGAAAGAAGATGATACATTAGCGATGTGTAAGAATCCAACAAGTTGCAATCCAAAGCAAACCCCCAAACACCCATTGGCACAAACAGCCAATAGCTTTTCCAAATCAAACCAAACTGCTTTTCAGCTGTTCTCTGGCACCACCGGCTCATGGGGCGCCTGCTCATGAGCCTGCTCAACACTTGCACGGGCAGCCAGGCTCAGCCTCTTCATCTCAGGGGCCATTGTCACCCCCGTGCCCTTTCTGCTCCGCGTCGCCTCCTCCCACCTCTTCTCGTCCTTTTCGTGCTTAACCACAGGCTTGTGGGCTGTGTCGTCCAGGCCCAGCACCTCCATCAGCTCAGGCAGCTCTACGTGATCTCTCGTGTTCTTCATCCTGTGGCACCACGTAATCCTCTTATCCTCGGCCCGCTCGTCCTCGATTTTGTCCTTGTTGGTTGCCGGCTCAGCAAGCGATCCAAACTTGGGCGGCTGCTCTTGCGTCGGTGTTGAAATCGGCGTCGCGACCTGGAATGGCTCGTAGAGAAACTCGCCACCCACCTGGCGGTGATCGCCAGACTTGAGAGCCAGGCCCTTGGGTACGTGCTTTAGGCCCTGCACAATGCTGTCAAAGATTCCTCTTGACGTGCTCTTCTTTGCGTATGCGGGCTTGGTGCCCATCTGAAGCGTCTTGACCATGCCTAGAGCGTCGAACAGTGACCGGGTCGGGTCGGTATATATGGGAAACTGGCAGCCCGTCTCTTTGGCATACATGTCGATTAGGCCGGGGTCACCGCACCCCACAACGGTGATGAAGGTGCTGATGGGTAGTCGGAGGAGAGAATCAGGGGTGATGGCTTCGGAGAGAGTGCGGAGGTATTCTTGGCAGTTCTAAATGCAAAGAAAATGTTAGCTATCAGGCAAACTAGGATGAAGGATATTGTCAGGAGTAAGGTAACATACGCCACAGAAGAAATGCCGAATAAAGATGACGAGCACCCGTCTAGCCTTGTTCTCGCCCATGTACAGGCTCTTAAACGTCTTCGACTTGCCATGGCGATCCAGCACAATGTAGTTCTCAATCATCTTCTGCACCTCGGCCGAGGGCAGCTCGTTGTTCGTCGCCAGCTCGCCATCGAAATCCTGTGGCTGTGACTTGTCGATTTCGAGCGACGAGGGCTTGGACCATCTATGCGATGAGGCCCGGTCTGAGTGCCTGTCGTGGGCGTCCGCCTCGTCATGGCTATGGGCAGCGCTGTCGTTGTGATGTTGTGGCGCTTGCTGATCGATGTCGCTGAGGATGCCCGTAAAGGTGTGCTGCGGGGGGTGGGCCGGGCCAGCACCGTCGATCTGCACGTCTGTCATTTGGAGAAGGATTTGATGCTGATGGTCGTAGTAAAAGTGCAGTGTATAGCAGTGTAGCAGTAGCAATGCAATAGAATAACAACACGCTGCTCTATCGCATACAGAGGAAAGGAGAAATATATAGGTACGTAGTCGTGTATCATGTCATGGCCTGCTGCAGCCGGATTTCAAGTTTCCAGGGGCCTTGGAGCTCCAGCTGGCGCTAACTGCCAACTCCATGCCGTAGTCCGCCGCGGGCCCTGGAGCCAGAGTTACTCCGTCAGCTCAGCGGCCATCGATCGCTGCTCTTCACTGCGCCACGGACTGGCCAATGCCACGACATTGCAGGGAACCCGCTGGAGCAGTGGCAGTGACGGCGACAGTGACAGTGACAGCGGCATCTCGTTTTGCTGGCATGACATTTGGTGAGCTGCTGACCTGAGCTCTGGTTTGATTGGACGTGGCGTAGTAGCTGGGTTGGAAGCTGTGCGAATCAAGGGCTATGTGAAAGAACAGCGAGTGCCCGACGGTGGCCAATCATGTTGCGCCGCTCGGTCCGCTTAACCGATGACTAAGCAATGCGAGAAGGTCCCTGTAATGCCCGTAAGTGTTGCTGGACTCTTCAGTGATCATGTCGGCAGAGATTCCCAAAGCAGAACCCCAAACGTGCGGACCGGCTTATTCAACCTTCTAAGCCACCCGCGTGGCTCAGCGGCTGTGTTTCGTTTCATCAAAATCAAATCTTTGCTTGGCATGTACTATTAGTCAATCCCGATTCTTATAGAAAATAGACCTGAAAGGGAAGAGAAAAAAGCTAATATAGCCCACTAGCGACATGACAGTGTCTCCACCGATCCGATCAATCAGCCGTAGCCAGATTCTGTCACCCAAACTCACTTCGCTTCGCCACCGTCCAAATCCAACCTTCCTGTTCCAACCATGTCCGACGCAGATGAAAACGATCTCTTCAACATCCAGGTCTCGGACTCCGAGGACGACAAGGTTGAGAAAAAGTCCCGGCGCACCGGCCAAACTGAAGATGAGTTTCAGGCCGTGAAAAACACTTACCGCGCCAAGGTGGAGAATGGCAATGTAAGTCTTCTTCTCAAGATGTCGACTTGAATCTCCATCTTAACCAATTGTTTCTCATCTAGATTCAGCAAACCATCACCCTTCCATTAGAACCTGGCGCCAACAAACAGCATGTCCAAGAAGTTCTTCATGCCGCAGAGGAGCTCTACTTCTTTCGCCGCTATCAAGAGGTCGTTGACCTTGTATCACGCGTCTTGACCCCGGAAGGCGACAAGGGGGGCCTGGATGAGGAGACAAGACAGATTCTTTCCATGTATCAGTCAAGATGTAGACAAAAAATGAAACAAAATGATTGAAACGCCCGCCATCTCAGCACGGCCACGATCAACGACTGGGATCACTCACCCAAGTTTGCGCTGCGCCTGCAAGCAACATCACCTCGTTTTACACAGCCCATTTCTCGAGTTCCTTGTTACATTCAACTATTATACTTGTACACTCAACGGGCCTTCCTCAATCACCTCACAACACGGTACGCAGCCTAAGCCTCATCTCAACCTAGATACGCCCATCCCCTTTTGTCCCTTCAGTATTCCATTCAGATACAAAGCCGCAATTATTATCCACCAATTAACAATCCCAATTATACCCACCACTATCTTTCCCTACCCACACTGTCCTCAAATACCGCTGTTATTAGAAACCAGCAAACTTGCCTTCGTTCTCAACAGGCTTGTCCGCCCACCGAGAGGAGCTGAGGCCTTTGGGGTTTGGCTTCTGGCCCTCAATGGGAGCCGGGCTCTTGGGGACAACCGTCATCGTTGCAGCTTTCGGAGGGATATCGATCCATTTCTTGGCAGTCTCTAGCTTTGGATTCATGGTCGACAACCCTGTAGACGCGGAATCAGTGCATGCGACCACTTATATTTGTGTCTGGTGAAACATACCGCTTGGAGTGATTGTACCACTTGGAGTGATCGTACCGCTTGGAGTGGCCGTACCGCTTGGGGTGGCCGTGCCGCTTGGGGTGGCTGTAACGCTCGAGCTGGCCCATCGGGATGCCGCAAGTCCTCCAGGTGCTTTCGGACGAGAACTAGAGGGTACCTGATCTTTTGGTTTGGCTATGCTTAAACCTGTTTTCTTTTTGGGAAGCGAACCTTTTTGGATCTCCTGCAAGCCCGAAGCATTGATCTTATCTTTGCGCGACACGGCCTGTGCTTCTAGCTCCTTGATATCGGTGGGAGTGTACTTGATCTTCTTGCTCGGCTTTTCCATAATCTCTTGGAGGTCTTGCAGCGTTTCGCTCGAGATGGTCACGGAATTCATGTGATTGCTTCCATGCCTGAACTGTACCTTTCTTTTGATTCGAACCAAGAGTCGGAGAAGTTCGGCAAGTTCTTCTTTCAGCTCATCAGACTGTGTCTCTGTCGCCATGAAGCCTTGCGACATCCAGTTGGAGATTGCCGTTGATTCGATTTCTTCAACACCCTTTTCGGGAACTTGAATACCGGCCGCGGTGATTTCAGATAGTATTTGCTGAACTAAACCTTGCATATGATCTGCAGCGGCCTCAATGGTGAGTGCTGGATTGGAAGGGAAATAATCCTCGGTGTCCACCAAGTTCTCTCCGACCACGCTTTCTCGAGTGTCTCGCTGTAAGGATGTCTCGGTGGAAGCTGGTGTTTGCAAGGAAGCCTTGTCATCGCCATGATCTGTCGTCGGAGCTGTTTTAGTGACTTGAGATGCTGTTTTTGATGGAGTATTCAGAGTGTTAGCCTCGGTCTCTTTGCTAGTGGTGAGCGTCTTGTTAGCGTCAGACGTCTTGCTAGCAGTGGGAGTATTGTCAACGGTTGACGTGTCGTTAGTTGTAGGCGTCTTGCTAGCTGTCGGTGTCTTGTTGACAATAGGCGTCTTGCCACTAGCAGGCCCCTTGTTAGCAGTTGGGGTTGGGGTTTCCTTTGGAGAAACAAGACCATCTCCTCTGAAGCGAAGCGCGGATTCCTGCAAGCTTTTTAGCAAATATTGAAAACCTTCTGCAGCAACAGAAGTCCGAAACTTCAACTTGTAGAGACGCTCTCCCTGAGCATTGGATATTAGGCAGAATGGGCCTTGTATCACCGGAGTGTTGAGAGTTAGGACATCATGAACCGATATACCCTTGTCTGGCAACTGCATCGCCAGCAAACCTTTGTTCTTTTGAAGCTGCACTTTCAACACGAATTTGATCTTGGATGAAGAATTGTCCGACTCATTGACAGTCTCGCAGTCGCCTATAGACAATACGTGTTCTTGGGCTTGTAACGGAGTAGAAGGACTTGTTTTTGATTCCGTTTTGTTTGGGAGTGTATTGGAGGGTCCTTTGGTGCTGGGTGCTACCGGTACCTTGGAGCCGTTTGCCAACGCCGCATCTCGACTGGCTTGTGCGTTCTGATGAGAGGGCGCCTTTCTGTTTGAAGCAGGAGGCAGAGTTGATGCAGGAGCCTTGCTAATGCTCCCCGTAGACCTGATAGAAGAAGGTGGTTTGGGAATCGCAAAAGGTCTGAATGGCTTTGTCTCTGGTTGATACCGAGGCGGTGCTCTAGATTAAGAATGAGGGATTAGGACAATTGCATCGTACATCATTTGGAAGGGGCGTCTTGACTTACGACTCAGCTGCATAGCGTGCCATGAAATTGTTCGTCAACCTAGCCCAAGGTCGAGCATTGCCAAGCTCGAGGCCTTCCATCTGCTCGCTCTCCTCGTCCACGATTTTGACTGTACATGATCAGACAGAGCAAGGCTTTGACACCGATATTTCATTGGCTTACCTCCCCACTTGCTCCCCAGCTTTTCTTTGCGAGCCTGAGGGATGTGGCTTGTTCCGGATCGACCAGGAAGATACGTTGGCCGCTTTGCGCGGTCGCTGAGTGGAAGCTCATCCTGCCTACTTCTGCCGAGATCGGCCTAGAGTTGAGGAATGTCAGTACAGCCTCCTGTATAACTTTTTGCATCAGGCTGCCTTTCCTCTACATGGCGGGAATAGGCACCTAATAAAGGAAGGCAGAGCGAAATCAGAGAGAGTTGATCTTACCATCAGAGCCTCTTTGACAACCTCAAGGTTTGGGGCTGTCATTGTGATGGTTCGAAATCACGACTCTTGACGAATGGCGATGATTAAAAGAATGTTTCCTCAAAGACCTATGGTGTTGAGGAGGAATGCCTCTTTGGCGCAATGACCTAGTGTTGAGAGGAAGTGGAAGAAGAGAGGGAAGTCTGAGGAAGATGGCAGAAAAGGGAAACAAGAATCGAAAGTCGGGGGCGAAAGAGTGACTGGACTGCTCGATGATATACAGCGGTTGCAAGCGGTCTGCCTGGTTCGATAGAGGGATGAGGAGAAGTAGAGTGATGTGCAGGGCGAAGCTGTGCCAACATTGGATGGAGATGATGCACATCAGATGCAGGAATTTGGAATTTCTAGGTCTCCGAGAATCTAGAAGGGGGGATTAAATAGCGGGCATACCTCAGGCACCTAGAAACATCCATAGTAACCGACTTCTGTATTTCGGGTGCAGGCAGGTGCCAGGCTCTCTAGGTGCGGATATCTGTGCTGGCCTGGCAGATGGCCATTGCCTTGCCAACTGAAAGGTGTTTACTTTTTGCGCCTTGTTGCATGCGAGAATAGGTATTTACTTAGTAGGCATAGTGGCATTATCTGTGTTCAACATGTATTGCTGCAGGAGTGGTCCTGATATACTAAGGATAGAGTTGGTAACTTTCAGCTACTTGCAACTCCTAAAGTTATTACAAATCTGGCTATATGTCTACGATAGAGCAAGTAAGTAGACTCCAAGAGACTTGTCAAAGTGAAATCCATTCCTCTCACTGTGGTACTACCTATGAACGCGATTTGATGCACTGACCTTCTCATTCCGACCGCTGTATAATATGATGCTAAGCTCTATTATTGATCTAAATATAAAGGGGAGTTGTTTTGCTGTGTTACAAAATACAGCTGCTGTGTACATGTACCCACGAACTCCATCCAATTACGGCTTGTTACGTCTGATATTCTTTGTCATTCACTAAGGTTGTGTCACCAACCAAATTATCCCAGGCAGGCACAAGTTAGCATAGGATTGTCTTATTAGCACAAATCAAGCCATGCTAGTATACTAACCTTCTTGTCAAATGCACACTGTACTTATAAGGTTTTGTGCTGCTTTGGCATTTCATAGCTGCGACATCAGACATGCCCAAATGCTTTGTCTAGCCGCTGTATCTTGGAACCAGGAGATAAACAGACAATAATTAGGCAGCAATATATTCAGTTCCAATACAATTACCGAGATAATTCTTATTTATTGGCTCAGGTCTGGTATCGGTTTTGATCATATGTTGGTTGTGGGAAAGCATAGTACGATTTCCATCAAATGCTACGACCGTCCTCCAGCACTAGAGATTCTAAAATACTACGTACCCTTTCAAATTAAGAACTTTAATCTTCTAAATACAGACAGCACAAATTAAAGCGCCCAGGATAACGTCAGTATTTATTCGATATTTAATTACATTATAAAACGGCATGTTTTGTTCCGTTGCTAATCACCGTTTACCTTGCGTTGACGTCGGCCATCTGCCTGGACTCCGACAATTTGTCCGTAACGACAAATAAGCGCTTACACGTACTACCTGCCCAAATGCTATTACTCAAGTACCTTTAGAAAGGTTCACCTTCGGTTCTTGGAAATTAAACAAATCCCATATGAGAAATGAAAGTTTGCAGCCTAGTATGCGACGAATAGAAAGCACTTGATTGACGCCTATGTGCAAAACACTACATTCGGCGTGTGTTAGCCCGGTGAACCTTGTCCAGCGCACATGCAACCAACGTTTGGCTGTATTTGTTTTGTCTTGACGGCTATTGGCTTGTAAATTGCCAATGTCCGCGCTATATCCGCGGGAAATGGCCATTAATTGAGATCAAACAATGTCCGCATCTTGATCTCGGCTTAGCGATCAGCGAGATCAAGCTGCGAGTCCCGCTAATCCCTGGCTGTGGCGCTTCCTCAGCGATGTCGGCAGATGGATACATGTTGTATTACCTACTTGGAAATCAGCAGATTTTGTGTGCAGAGATGGCAATATTCCACCCCGCGTTTACACTTCGACTGGGTACCGTGGAAGGCGTAAATAATGCGGGGGAGTGAGACAGCCAAGATCTGCGTTTGTACACCGGCTTGGCTTGTTCTATAAAACACCAGCCCTCTGGATTTGTTCTCGCCAGAAAACCGCCAACGTTGTAATTGTCGGCCGTGCAGAAGAAGACATCATGGCGAGAAAGGTGGCCGCATCGGAGATTCTCCAGCACAACAAGAGGGGCGATGTATGGATTGTTGTTGATGGACAAGTCTACAACATGACTGAATTCGCACCAGAGCACCCCGGCGGGCAAGAGAGTACGTTTAATCGTCAAAAACACTCGGAATGGCTTCAATACTCGAGATACGCACTGCTCACGCGCCCTTAGTTATATATAAATTCGCCGGAAAAGATGCCACTGAAGAGTACAGTCGGGTACACTCGCCTTCATTGATCCGAGAGACTGTGGGAGACAAAGGCCATATCGGGTCCCTCGATGAATCCACCATAACAGAAGACTGGAAAGCTGCCAATCAGCCCGTAACCCAAACCGCGTTGGTGAAATCAGGCGAGAAGCCGGCACTCAATGACATTTTTAACATGGACGACTTTGAAAAGGCGGCGCATATTGCATTATCCGACAAGTCTTGGGCATACATCAGAGGAGGATCGAATGACAACATCACACGAGACGCCAACAGTTCCATGCTTCGCCAGATCTGGCTGCGCCCGAGGGTACTGCGCAACGTTGGTACTGTGACGACAAGCACGAAGCTATTCGGATGTGAGCTTGACATACCCGTCTTCATCTCACCTACGGGCGCTGCACGAGCTGGCGGTGCCGAGGGCGAGTTGACGCTGGCTCGAGGGGCGAATGCGGCGCGAATCGTGCATTGTTTCGCGACTCCCTCATCATATACGCATACCGAGGTTTTAAACGAGACCAAGCGACAGGTCTTCTTCCAGCTATACGTTGACAAGAACCGTGCCAAATCTGAAGCTACCATCCGGACGATGGAGGCGAGCGGTAAAGTAAAGGCCATTCTGCTGACGGTTGACGTCCCTGTAATACCCAAACGAGAAGACGACGAGCGCGTAAAGTCAACAGAGCAGCTGGCAGTATCGGGAGTTGGGAAGAGTTTTGAAACCAAGACGAGCGACAAAAAGGGCGCCGGTTTTGCGCGCCAAGCAGCGTCGTTTATCGATCCGACAACTAGCTGGGACGATCTCAAGTGGCTACGGAGCATCACGCAGCTACCCATTGTTGTCAAAGGCGTACAGACGGCAGCAGATGCCATGATGGCTGCGAAAATGGGAGTTCAAGGCATCGTCATCAGTAACCACGGCGGTCGCGCAGCTGATACTGCGCCGCCTTCTATTCTTGTCCTACTAGAGCTGCAGAAGCAGTGTCCCGAGGTATTCGCCCAGCTTGAAGTGCTCATTGACGGCGGTTTTCGACGAGGATCAGACATTGTCAAAGCTATTTGCTTGGGCGCATCTGCGGTGGGGATGGGTAGGCCGTTTCTCTACTCCCTGAGCTACGGCCAAGAAGGTGTAGAGCATGCAGCATGGAGTAAGTTTTTTGCGTTTTACTCTCTAATCGCTTCAAGTTTTACTTGTGATGACTGATAATCTTTGCAGTCATTAAAGAAGAGATTGAGACGGCTATGCGTCTGTGTGGCATGACGGATTTGATGAGGGACGCGCATCCGGATCTTGTAAACACGAGCAGCCTTGACTTTATGGTGCCTGGACTTGGACATCCATACGCGCGCAAAGTCGACAAATCAGCTGGGTGGCTTAGTTTGCTACGATCAAAGCTGTAGATGACGGAATAGGAAGTCGATCTGAGACATGGTATATAAGAGAAAGGTAGCTCGGCTACCTGCTACGATTCGAGATATATTGGAGCCGTCGACCAGAGCTATCCCAATGGTTATACCAGGTGCTATTACTATGTGGAATCGGCGTTGCGGAAGGTGCTTCGATAAACATATGTAAGATTGTCTTCATGATTCTGCTTGTGAAGACCAGTCACTCTGAGAATCAGCGACACCACGCACTGAGTATACATACAAGATTAGAGGATGTAACATTTCTAAAAGATGTTTAGAATTTGGCCTTTATGAAATGAGGAATTATTCTCCTTTTATGCTCAATAGCAGTGCATCTGAAGTGCTTCGCATGCATCTTGCGCCGTTATGTGAATCCATCGCTAAACATGCTTTGAACCATGTACACGGGACATTACATATTGGCGCAGCGAATTCGTCATCCCCCGTTCAATAACTCACGAACAACAGCTACTGACATTGTTACCCGCCGTCACACCATTTTGAGCGTCGCCCTGGTTGACCGTCCGGCAGAAACAGGAAGACTCAACCGTAATATCAGCCAAACACGTCGCCAACTTCAGTGGCAGCTCAAGCATCTTGGCCTCAGCAGTTCGTCCCAGCAACGTCAGACACTCATGGTAGCCATGCAGCGCCCAGATGTTATTCGGATGCTGGTGGCCACGCGGCAGAGACTCATCAAAACCAAGGTCCTCTGCGTATGCCTTGGCGGCTTCTTCGATGCGGCCCTGTTCCAGTAGCAGCGCCGCGTAGGCGTGTCGAGATGGCTGCATCCAGGCCCATGGCTCGCTGTAGTTGAGATGGTCGTCTAGGTCGATGGAGCGACGCAAATGCTCAAATGCCAGCTCAAAGTTACCGCGGCGGTATTCAATCTCGCCGGCTAGCATTGCTTCGCCGACTGCGAGGATGTCGATGCATGTGTTTGGGAAATCCATTCGTGAGGGGGGCACGCGGCTTACAGCTTGTTTGAATAGTCTTTGTTGTATCAACGCCTCGTCTACGTTCCCTGTAGCGGCGAAGGCGACACCTTTGGCATAATAGATTGTGGCGGTTGTGACGCAATAGAGAGATTGATCTGCCGGAAGCTCGAGATTGATGATGTCGTCCCAGCGGCCGAACCTGATCAAGACGTGAGGTCGGACTGCAATGAAAGCTTCCATCCAGTCTGCCATGGGCGGCGATTTGATGGAGAGCAGCTCTGCGGGGAGTGCATCCTCCATGTGTTTGCAGTTCTCAATGGCGATTTTCGACTGTCCGGATAACATGGCGGCGTAGATGAGAGAGTGATAGTTGTGGCCTCGGTAGAGAGAATACATGCTCATGCCACCGACCCTCTCTACAAATTCCCGATCAGCTTTGACAGCGACGGTATTAGCGGTAATTGAAGCCTGATAGTCTCCGATGAGAATGTCGAGATGTGAGGGCATATGATTCAGATGGGCGCAGTCGGGTACAAGACCCCTGAGAAGATTGCCCGAAGGGACGGCAGCTTCAGGTGTGCGCGACATCTCCATGAGATGGATATGCAGATGAAGCAGTCCCGGGTGCTCGCTGGCGCCTGTCTGCTTCAAAGCTCTCGAAATAGCTACTTCGGCCTCCAAAGCACGAGAGTTGGGTCCTGGCTTGCCGCTGTATGGATCCCACATGGCCCACGGAGTGAGATTCATGAGGGCGTCGATATAGAAGGCAGCGACATCCAAGTCGTCGCCGAATTGTTCGTAGGCAACTCCCATGGCATCGGCATACGCGCGATTCCATCCTGAGTAGTCATCTGTGGGAGTGCGTTGTGGGAACCGTGCAACGAGTCCACGGATGAGAGCCTCTTCGACTGGACTGGATTTTCCCACGAGTTCCAACGCCTTTCGCGATGCGGTATAAGTGGCATCAAGGGAAGTCTTGAGATCCTCTGGATCAAACAAACGCCACGCTTTGTTGTAGTAAGGGCCGCGGGTATATGCTAACCCCCAATATCCCATGGCACAGCTGGGATCTGCCAGGGTAACCTTCTCAAAGCAGCTTGACGCCTCCTGCGTGTTGAAGCCGTAGGCCCAAATGAGACCTCGGTTGAACCATCGCTGGGCGTCAGGACTATCTGTTGTAATGGGGCGATGATAGGTCCCGAGATCAAAATAGCCATCATCTTCTAGAGCCGCTAGTTTAGCTTCCATTGTCGAATATTTGCTTACTCTGCGCCTTCAATATGAGTTGTTTATGTACATGTGTCAAGTGAAGCCTTACCTTTCAACTGACGACATGTCTTAGTAACAAGGCGGGGTCAAACATGAGTGTAGCTGTGCCCCATTCAATTTCGTATATACAACACACATTTGACGCAAAGGGTAATTATATGTTACTACTTTGAGAAAATGCTCAATCTATGCATGCATATGCTTGGCAGTAGTGTATACAGTAGTACTAGAACTTTGTCCTAGTTCGAACTGCGTTCTATGTACATGCATCCACTGGGCTCGGCTGATCCTTGTAAGTACCTAAATCTAGATGAGGCGAGTGTATAGTAGTTGTGTCTGAGTTTAACACAGCTGTTTAACATTTGTATTTGCACAACCTATATGACAAAAGGGCAGTTGTATGTCATTGCATCAATTAAATGCCCCAATTCTTCATACATTTAGCTTACATGTAAACTGCTGTACTGCGCCGTTCCCTTGCGTTCTATACATCTGCTAAACTCCGTCGGCCCTTGTTATCAGCTCTCCGCGGAGCTATTAGTAATTTCTGTGGTATCTTGGTGGCTACACCATACATGCAACACTACAAAAGAACCGAGTATAATAAACCAAGGCACTGATAATATCATTTCTATTTCTGTATGAGACGATTTTAAGATGGTTCATCTTATGTCACACATCTCTGATTTACGTACACTCATTGAAACCATAAGCAGTGTGTCCATAGACTATCAAACAGATTATACAGCTTGCTAGCAATCAAGGATAGGATTCAGATTAAGGACTTTTGATATTTTGTAATCATAACGCTAGTGCTTATTCCCATTTTAGTTTGCAATCTTAATGACAACCTTTCCATAGTGCTTCTGGTCCCACTGGTACTGATATGCCGTCTTGATATCCTCGAATGAGAAGATGTTGGAGTCAACAACGGGCTTAATCTTGTTGGAGTCAATCGCCCGGTTCATCTCCACAAACTGCTGCTTAGAACCGACAAAAATGCCGCGGACAATGCAAACGTGGTTAAGAGCGTCCATCAGGGGGGGCTGCTTGTCAGATGGTGCGAGGAATCCGATGATGGTGATGACACCCTCCAACTTGATGGCCTTGAGCGACTGCTCGAGGCTTCCGGGGCCGCCGATCTCGAGAATGTGGTCGAATCCAGTGCCCTCGGGCGTCAGTGATCGGGCAACCTCGCCCCAGTTGGGAGTCTCTCTGTAGTTGATAACGTGTGTGGCTCCTAGCTTCTTCAACTCCTCGGCCTTTTCCTTTGAAGACGTGGTGGCGACGACAGTCGCGCCAGCAGCTGCGGCGAACTGGATGCCTGAAAGACTGACACCGCCGGTGCCCTGAGTCAAGACCCACTCACCTGCCTTGATGGCCTTTGACTGCAGTCCGTAGAGGGCGTTCCATGCGGTCAGGGGGGCGCAGGTAAGTGTGCTGGCCTCGATGGCGTTCAAAGTAGACGGGGCCTTGACAAGGGCGTGGTCTCCAAAAACGGCGTACTCGCGCAGGGTGCCGTCAATGGCACCGCCAAAGCCACTTGTAACGGCTTCAGGAGTAATTGGGTTAGTCTGGTGGTGCTCGTTGAACAGCGTGCAAACTCGGTCCCCCTTGGCAAATTTTGTGACCTTGGAACCGGTTGCAAGAATGATGCCGGCGCTGTCAGATCCTGGAACGACGGGAAGATTCAAGGTAAAGGGGTAGAAACCCTATCAGTCACGTTAGCTTTCAGAAACTGAGCTTGCATTGTTGCCGAGTTCACGTACCTTTGGGATGGCCAGGTCTCTGTAGTTGAGAGACACGGCTTCGATTTGAACCAAGACATCGCGCTCGCCGAGCTTTGGAAGAGGAACGTTGTCCTTTAGAACAAGGCTATCGAAGCTGTCTTTGTTGATCTCGGCGATGGACCATGCTCGGGTAGTAGTTGGGAGAGCCATTGTGATAAGAGTGTAAGGGTATAAAGTTATTGAGGGTGAATTTTTGGTGTTGTAGTAACTTGTGAGTGCTTTGAGTTGTTTGATGGATAGTGAGAAGTCGTCAACTGGCGTCCATCGACGGATATATATATCGTGATGTAGAAAGCGGGTTCGTTGTGGACTCGCCCCAGTTATTAGGTAACAATAGTCCAAGGAACTTACCGCTCTGCCTTTTCCTCAAAGCATTCAATGTCAAGCATCACTCTGGCACTGAATTACATTATGCATTATTAATGATAGATCAATGATGTGGTAATCCCCCCATACGTCCAGAGTGAAGTCATCGAATTGTAAGTTGTGATGGCTTACACATCTAGCGTTGCATGGTGGCTTGGAGAGACCGTATTCCATTAGTTCGACAAGCAAGATATAGTTTTGTTTCCCCTTTTGCCACATCTGCAAAATCAGCTTCGGGCAGATGAGACACATGGCGAGCTCGACTAATTGCCCGATCCCTTGAGCTTGATTTCAAATGAGGATCCTGCAACAAAATCATGCCAAACAGAGCTCCACGGCATTGAATCATTCGAGCGCCACTTTAGGAAGTGTCAGAGACTCGACCTCATTGGCCCAACTAATTTGCAAGCGTCGGCCGACCCCTGTCGATATAACGGAGATGCTATTCTTGAGCGGCAGCTAGAGAGCGTCGGCCGACCCCTGCTAGCACCTCGTACACCGTCTGCCTTGAAAATTCGCTCACACTGTCAATGCGGTGGAGGTGAGTGATACGCCAGGACGCCTACATGTCATTCGCGGCGAATTGAGAATGTTTCAGGAGGCTATTGCCGCACAATGCATCAAGCTCAAGAGGTTGAAATGCCTCTCGCCTCGATTTCTTCCCTCATATGTGTAGAGTACTCCTCAGGTAACGCAGATATGGATGTTATCTAGCAGTGGCGTTTGGTGGCTTTGTTTAATAGTTCTCTGAGGATGCTAAATATGCTAAAATATGAAAGCGTTAGTAGTAGATGAATAGTCTTTGAATAAAACAGACTTTTCACATTGGTTCAAGTTTTGGAGTTTTTTAAGCGCATGTCCTTACGTCTTAGCCGTCTCCATCTTCACGCAGCGCGAACAATGATGTCTGTAGCAAATTGTGATTCACCCTATGAGAATAACAATAACAGGCTAAATAGACTCGTAGTAAATCAATTCATAATGTGAAGCCAGCTGTGCGTTATGACGACCCAATAAATCGAGGCAATTGCTTAGCTTCCTCCTGTTGAGCGACAAATCCTACCCTGTCCTTACAGTAGAACTCAACGTCAACGTTGTTGTTCAGGTTTGTAGCTCCGTTATCCAATGAACCTGCCTTGATGACGATGTCGCCAGGCATGATATCGAGCTTTCCGTACAGGCTAGAACCGCAGTTGGAGCAAAAAAAGTGTCTATTCTTGCCCCCAGACTCTCCAATGGTGTCGTACCACTTGGGCTCACCTAGATTCGACTAGGCCTTAGTGGAAGACTTCAAGACTAATGGGGGAAAAGAGTTTACCTTTCTTGACTTGAAAGCTATCTTCGGGAACCACAGCGTTTGAGGTGTATGCCGAGCCGGTCCACTGTCTGGTATTAGTGGTGTAACCTCATTGGCTTTCTCTCGTGGCTCATACCTTTTGACAATCCACGCAGTGGCAAAGAGCCGTCACCTTGGGTTCGCCTATGTGATGATTTATATTAGGAGACAGTTGGGCAAAGTTGGAGTCACGGAAAACATCAAACTCACTGCTGCTGGAGTATGCGATCTCTCCGCACATGCAACTTCCAGAAAGAGTCATTTTGAGCAAAAGTTGCAGATAAAAAGTTGATAAATGTGTGTCCAAAGGAAAAGCTCTATAGTACGTCCCTTTATTCAAAGTGCGCGGACATTCTACCCTCTTAAATAGTTACCTGTATTGACAGCCGATAATCGCAGCCGATATTCACAGCCGATTCGGAGACACCATGAACGCTCGTCTTGCGATAGTCCGCATTAGGTCGCGACGATCCGATGAAGAGCCCCAACCTTTAGCACAAAAACAATGGATTCAACATCAACTTCATCTATTTTTGAGTGGTTACAATACTTTTATTCCGCTCCTAGCCGGATATCTCTGCCGATTCAAGCCCGAATTTTGGGCTTCTTCGATGGCAAAATGGTGATGGGGCACAACAAAAGCATGCATACTGTGTGGATCGCTGGCGGAGCTGTGTAAGTTGATTTCCGCTCTTCAGCTGTGTTTACATACATTTCGGCAAAGGTAGAGCTTTCCGCGGTAATATGATTATTAAATACCAAGTAGTTGTAGGCGGGTTATAGGCGCTGGACTATACGTGTATCCAGCTCGGCAAGTATACATATGCGACAGGGTATCTCACCTAAAATTTGGACAACAAATATGCATGTATACTGAATACGGATTCTGTGCCTTGTCAAATCTCTAACAATCTTTTATTACTTGACTTCTCCCTCTCCTTACGTCAAGACTTACATGTATTCAGAGTCCAGCACCATGTCTTATATCAGCAGAATGAAGCGCGATCTTCCCTGGATCCAGCTTCCATTCATTGCAAATGCGCCCATGAGTGGCGTTGCTACCAGTAAGCTCGCAGTGGCCGTGACCTTGAGCGGAGGTCTAGGACAAATTGGATTCACAGGCAGTCCGCTTAGACTGGAAGCCGAGCTGGAGAATGCTCAGGTCCAGCTGAAAGACTTTATAGCGACGAACCAGGGTTTGGATGTCCTTCCAGTGGGAGTTGGTATCATCGTTATTGGCAGCACGCCCCAACGCTGGCTACCCATCTTTGCAAAGTTCAAGCCTGCAGTAGTTTGGCTGTCATTTGGAAATACGCAGCAAATGAAAGCCTGGACGGAAGGCATACGAGAAACAACTTCATTCTCCAAGGTTTGGATACAGGTTGGAAGCGTCAGCGCCGCTTTGAAAGCAGCTCAAAGCTGCCAGCCAGATGCTTTAGTAATGCAAGGAAGTGATGCAGGAGGCCACGGCCATGCAAAAGGAGCGAGCGTGGTGGCCCTGGTTCCGGAAGTGGCAGACGCTCTCAAAGATCATGGGCTCTCTCACATCCCAATTCTTGCAGCTGGTGGCATCATGGATGGAAGAGGAGTGGCAGCAGCTATAACTCTTGGAGCTGAGGGCGCGGTCCTGGGCACTCGATTCATCGGAGCAGAGGAAGCGGATATGGATTCAGATGTTCGCGATGAAGTTTTCGCGGCCTCAGATGGAGCAGAGTCTACTGTGAGGTCTCGGGTATTTGACGACATTTGGGGCGCAAACCCATGGCCGCAATTATACGACGGCAGATGCTTGAGAGGCGCATTTTACGACAGCCAAGAGAAGGGAATGGATATGGACTCGATACGAACACAGTTCTACCACGATAGTAGGCGATCCCAGACAGAGGAAGTTAGCATGAGAGACATTGCTTGTATCTGGGCAGGGGCAGGAGTGGGATTAGTCAGGAAACTGGAACCGGCCGCTGATATTGTAAAAAAGGTGCAAGAGGATGCGAGAACGAGGTTACATGATGCAAAGTCCTTGGTGTAGCAGTATGCAGTGGCTGTAATAGAATTACAAAGCACCACGATCAAGTTCCTTGACCAGTTTGTGAATGATTAGAAATATAGAGCGACGGCTTAACTGGGTTTCACGGCGCTGCAGTACATATCCCCAGGGACATGATTCATTCCAGATCCAGCATCCCAGTAAGCGTCTTCGCAATCTCGATCCTCCCGACCTGACATGGCATATCATGGAGTAGCCGTCGGTTAGCGGTGCATTCCCGGGATTCGTCTTACATGCTGCCCAATCGGCATTCCGGATCCACCGACAGGGATCGTCCGACGCATGCTGGGCTTGAACTCAGTTTGGAGCGCACTGTAGAGCTAGACAACTCTTGAGCAATGCTCGCTCGGCGCCACCATGTGCAGACATTTGCGTCTCTGTATCGATACTTGAAAGCTACTTCAGCAATACAGAGCTTACCTTGAGTCTCTTTACTAATTCGTGTACCGGTACCGGTACCGTATTCAAGTAAGTCAAGCACTAAGTTGTGTACTAATTATGTTTAGCTTCCGGAGGAGGCGGATTAGACTTGACAAGGGTCGGCCGATGGCATATTAACCTGCGTCTGCTGGTCTTTTCCAATACACAAACCTACGACATACATACTCGCCAGCGATTGCCCGATTCATCCTGTCTAGTATCGCATCTTCGCCTTGCCCTCCCAAGTCACGTATCCATTGAGCATCCACCTCCTCTCAGAATGGCCGACCTAGCAGTCCTGGCGTCAAGCGGCAACGAAGTCAAAGTTGCCGCTGCTCGGTCCGGTTACGTCCCCGGAACCTGCTTAAACTGCCGGCGTCAAAAGCAGCGTTGCGACAGGGTTCTTCCTCAATGCTCTCGTTGTTCTATGTGAGCCTCTTGTGCCGTTAATTCGTGTCTGCTGACCACAAGCACGCACATCACTAACGTCATGGCTGTTAGGAAAGCAGTTCGATGTGTCTATCCAACAAGGAACGATGCGCCAGCCCGCGGGCTCGCACCGATATTTAACAGCACGGCTGACATGCTGCTACCGTGCTCCAGTCCTTGTCGGTTCCATCTATCTCCTCTTGGCGAGCGCAATCTGCTCTGGGCAGCTTGCTCAAGTTCCAGCTGTTATGCCGAAGGAGACTCCTCCCAAGCATCGCTATCTTTTCTCGTCAGAGACATGTTTGGCCATGCCTCCATTGACTTGACAGATATTGTGGCCAAGTATTTCAGTCTTGCCTATCACTGGTTTCCCTTCTTGGACAAGGAGAATGTCTACAGCCAAGCAGCGCAATTCATCTCGGGCGGTTTTATCTCGGGCGCGGCTAATCGCGACAACTTTGCTCTATTGCTGCTTTCCATGCACATATTCTCGGAAAGCCCTTGCCAGTATTCGCCTCATCCGGCACAGAGCGCTTTATACCGCACAGCGCGGCAGCTCTTTGCCGTTCTTCAGTCGTCTCCGGATATTCAGCTGCTGCAATGCGGCATTATCTTAACGATGTACGCGTGTGGCCATGGTTTGGGCAGAGAAGCGTATGAAACCTTGACATTATGCATTGGTCTCATTCGGCGACTCGGCTTCAGCGAATATTTTGCGGCAGATTCAAAGGATAGTGCTGTCAAAGATTATCGCAGCCAACACGAGCTAGATCTCCATTGGAGCGCAATTATCTTACTGGATCGGTAAGCTACAAGCACGGCTATTCTTTTAACAGCATAAAACCATTCTAACCTAAACACACAGCACTATTGCTCTGTCTACCATCGATCACTGTCTGCCATATCTAGTAGAGGAGGCTCACCTCCCCCCCAACTCTGCCATCTTAAGAGTAACACAAGCCGATCTCTACTCACAAGATCCTATCCGGAACTTCTTGGCTCGAGCCGAGCATTCTATTCGCATGGGGGATATGCTGAGGGCGATAAGAAGTTATGATTTCACCAAATATGAAGCGGTGGAAAGAGTAATGTGCAATGAAATTGGTGATTACATTCGTATGTCTGAAGGAAGCAAGTTTCCTATTTGCGAAACTATTGCCATGACTCTCAGGTGAGCGATGCATAATCCCTTTCTCATTCTTCTAGAATATTGGGCTTAACTATGGTTGCAAGTGCCTTAATTATGCTATATCGCACGAATGACTACTACAAGGTAGCAAGGCACAATCCGAAGAGCATATTAACATTCACCTGCGCACGCAATATGATTATTGAAACATGCCGCGCCGAATCCGAATGGCTGGAGAAACACGGCTGGTTTAACAGCACCAGACCGTGCTTCATAGGATTATGTTGCTTATATGGCGCCGCTGCTCACCTGGACGGGCTTTGTGTGGATGGATTACCGGCAGAAGATAGGAGTACTCTCAGAAATGCTGTATCGGACTTTGCAAGGCGCTGGAAAATTTCAGGTATGACGCTGTTTTTTTTTCCACACTGAAGGCAACGGTGGCATTGCGAAAGACTTGTTTTTCTAATTGACCGAGTAGACAATTTCTTGCGCCATCTTGATTTAGCCAAGAGAGTAAGTGGCAGCTAAAGACGGCTGAATCGTCCCGAAACTTGCCAATCCTGTATTTTCCCAGTTTTGATTCATATATCTCGTCTATATTTACATCCATCCTTTCGGCAATGCTCAGCCAATATACCTTCCGTATTTTGTCAAGACCTCATCCACCCTTAAGCGATCAATATCCTCCTCTCTTAAGCATACAGCCACATCAATATCTCCAGCGTCCGTCCTAGGCATAAAGTATATAAGACCTTCCATGGGCTTGAACCTGTGTCTTTTCGCTATTAGCGGGTTCCCCAGCTTTCCAAAGGATTGCTGGTATAGCCCCTGTCCAGCCCAGCTTGAAAACATGACATCGTACTTGGAAGCATCCAGCGTCGCTCCGTACACCAGGGAACCTTTGTCTTCAGTCTCTGATAATGCTGTCACAAAGCTGTGGATTGCAACGGGCTGCAGATTTTTAAGATCATCACGGAACTTTCCAGCGAGGACTGAGAGATCCATGGCGCCCGCAGCATCATCCAGTGGTAATTTTCGGTCGATGCAGTACACCATATGGCCCATGTACTCTGGAGGGACTCGCGTCTCTACGTAGCGCCGCGAATTAATGGCGCGGCAGAAAGTCGCAGTTGCTCCAGGCTGACCAGATCCAAGACGCTGAATTCGCGCAGCCGTGATCCTTTGACACACCAGCGCAGACAGAGCATCGTCAGTCGAGACCCAGGAGCCTGGCATGGAAGCAACACTCTTGAGTTCTGCTAGACTCGAACCAGGGAAGTGAAAGTACACCCACTTCGAAGGCACATCTGGCTCCGGATGGTCACCCTGAACGCGAAAGGGAGCAATGTCGGTTTTTGGCTCATCTGGGGCCAAAAGTCGAATGACGTTCCTACGATCCCGATTTCCCTGCTCGAGTTCAAGCTGCGTAAATGACTCGCCCCGGCAGGCCTTTGCGAACAGCCGAATCAGCTGAGCTAGACCGTTCATGTCGACAATATTGTGCTGGCCGGCGAATGTGACGAGTACACCACCTTCAATGAAGTTGGCCTGGATGAGCAGCACCGGAGCCGGCTCGATTGATTCATCGTACCCGACGGGAATTCCCTCTCGCGAAGACAAGATTTCGCCATCAAGCATCGACATTGGCGCACCTGCGTCCACGATTGTCTGAAGCGACGGACAAAGCTTGCGACAGTCCTTGGCCACCACAGGAGTGAGGCGAGTCCCTGGAGCATATGGAACGATTTTTGCGAGGCCGGTTTTGCCTGGAGCGGCTCCTTCGCGGATAACGTGCCCCGAGAGCCAAGGGAATGCATCTGTGAGCGTCTTTGCCGCTGCTTCAAGGTCTGCTGTAATGGCTTCGTCGGATACCGGCTCTGGCGTGGGAAAGCCGAAGACGATTTGGGTGTAAGTTTTGAGAAACATGAGTTGCCCAAAGACATCCTGGTATTTGGAAAAGTCCTCCATTATGTGTATCTGTGTAAGTCGAGTTTGTCTGCGATCGCGACGACTGATGAAAGCGAGATGTGCTATGCCAATGCGGCGACCTTGATAGAGCTTCGGCTGGCAGATGGAGGAATTGCTAGCTATCCCCCTCTTTTAACTAACGCGTTAAATTTATTTACGCAATGTAAATGATTCCAAAGTTATAGGCGTATTGCGATAAGCGATGGATGCACTATAAGTATTAGTGGCGTGCTTACACGTATGTCTGATCCTCTGAGTAGGAAACGTGGCACAAATGGTGAGGTGACGTGAGGACATGTACAGTATAAGTTTTAGAGCTGCAGTGCGGATTTGGGAAATTATTAGTTTATATTTGCCGGATCACGTCTGATATATTCGTGTTCCTTTAACCCTCATTGTACAGCCCTACCGCTCTAAAGGACTTGGCTCTTCTAATAATGTTCCATTACTTACATGCTATCTCTGCTCTTTGTTTCATTAAGGCGACATCGAGGATCGGCTGCGCCCGCAGGACCCCGCTCTCGCCCTATCGTTTTCCAGCAACAATTACCTAGACTAGATGCTCGACATTTGGCGCCTTTGAACTGCTGTCTGTTGAGACAAGAAGTCATGCAAAGGGGAGTTTTTAAGAAGAATGCATATGATTGTGCTACTGCGGCTTTATTCTTGTTGGTGATGTAACACTGTCTCAAAAATGGAATGTTTTTACTGCCTTGTGCACACAATAGCGGCTCCCCGCATTCATCAACGTACTATGAACCCCGCCTCTTCTAAGCAGAGTGTGCACTTATGAGACAGCAGGTTGGAATTGAGACATGGCTTTTTTACGTGATGGAGCTAAGACATTTAAAGTCCTTCTGTGAGGAATATTGACCTGGCTGAGATTTGGTGAAATAAAATCCACGCCTTCTCATATATAGAAAGTATATAGGGTATTTATTATGTGACTTGGAATTTCTGAGCTGAATACACAGCCCTTCTGCTAGGTATACTATCGCGCCTTCATCGGCGCAAAGATATCTTGCTATACTACCCAATAGTGATAAAATTATCCGCGGTATGTTAATAAGCGATGGCTAGCAGGCTATCCCTAAAGTTGTGAGACATGGTAGCCAAGTTATGTCACATCAGGCATCATACGCTTTGATGGCTTGAAATCCAACAGCACCCTGTAGCTTGCTTATGTCTATGTTGGGTATTCGTACCTGCAAACGCATCTGACTTGGCCCAAAGCTTCGGCAGCCTCTTCCGGACTCTAGCTTACACGTAGATACTTTAGATGGTAGGCCGTGTCTTATGTCAGAAGAAGAGACGATGCGTATAAAACGCATTTAGTGACATGGACTAAGCTATTGTTAGTCAAGCGCGTGCACCTTTGTTACTTGGATAGTTTTATTCAATGTGCCTCGCCTTTTATAGGTATGCTTTGTAAAACTAATTCATCCTACTGACAGATGGAAGGAGAAAATTCAAGAGGTACTCGGCGTAGTATCTACCCTTGGAAGAGAAAGCTGCCGACAACACGGAGAAAACGATTATTAATTAAGCTTATTTACTCCGTATTATGATATTAAAGTGCAGATTTGGAACGACAGCTAAATATATCTACCTTGCGCAGTTGGTGGCGCAATCGATGTTGCAGACGGGTTTGGTACCCATCTCAAGTTAACAAATGCTCACGATTCTAGCTTAACTTGTAGCGAGTTTAATAATCTACTCGCAGTCAACTGCTGTTAGTAGACTCGTATATCTCGTAGACAGAAGTCTTGTGCTTGTAGCTGTAGATACCCATGTCATGGCAGTGGGAAGAGTTCTGAAGCAATTCGACACGTCAGCTAAACCCTAGCGTTAAGTTCAAGATGCCCCGCGAGGCAGTTTGAAAGCCCCGCATTTGTTTGGTCAAAGGAAAAAATGCCAACACTCTAAATCTGAGGCTGAAGGGAAGACCTAGAGACTAGTAAAGTAGCCTGGCTGCTGAAATGGTGCAATATTTTTGCTCATGCACTGTTTTGCAGTCAGCTTTGCTATTGAGACATCTGCTGCATTGGGAGGAAACAATATGTTTAGTAGATATGGGAACCCAGGACAGGTTTCCATCTTGCCATCCTCTATCGGCCATTTGCCTACAAACAATGAGGCCCATTGTAAAATCTGGAGCATTTCAACGACACCATGCTGATCTTCATTAGGAGAAGGAATTTTCCAAAAAAGAGCGATCCCTAGACTGGTCATGGTCGAGCGATTGACTTTACTAGACGCATCAGCCGTGACGACAAAGGCAACGCGTGGACAGGAGGCTTGGAGGCCCTTAACCCGTTATGCGACGCCACTAGAGACTATGATTGGATGGTATTCGCGAGGCTGAGTTCTGATGGGGGTTTTGCTTCTACAGCTGACGGCGGGAGGCTTTCTTCCAGATCCGTGGCAAATGTTTATTTTTAGCTCTTTCTCGTAATGGAGATTCTCTGTGGAAATCGGGGATGCTATGCTCGCAGCATGAATGTCGACGGGATGGAGGCGCTGACGAATTAATTCACTAAGATGTGTCCGTCATATACCGTCATGTGAGAGACGTGTAGCTGGCTCGTACCTTCTTTATAGGTAGTATTGACATGTAGGATGTGATATCGCGCATGATGATCATTGCAGCATGGAGGAGTCGTGCCGCCATCTAGCCGCCCTTTCTTAATTGCAGTAGCGCCTCTCTGCGCCCCTCCCCGGTAGGCATGTTTGATGAAGCGGATACATGGTGAGAGACTCTCACTCTTTACACACAGAACAAATACAACATGTGCAATAACAGTTGAGGGTGCGTGTGGTAGGACAGCGCACAAGGCACTCAGCGCGCCCCTGAGTTTGTGCTACACAACACGCAGCATTGCTTTGATCCGTTCGATGTGGTATCTTATCGACGTCACTGTTTGCGCTCCCCCGTCGCCAAGGCAATTGGTGGGGTGCTGCGCGCCGTGGACCAGTAAAAGCCCGCCAGTCTGCCTTCCGCCAGGACCACCCCAAGCCCCGACGAGACGCTACAGGCCACTAAACCCCCACTAGCACCTCTGAAACCGACAGCTGGGCCAAGGGGGTCATCTGAAGGGGTCTCTGGGGCTTCGGCTCCAGCTTCATTGAAACTCAGCAGCTGTGAAACCGCCGTTTGGACTTTTCGCATCCTCATCATTTTCTCTTCTTTCTTATGCGCCTCTGCGCTCTGATTTGCGACAGACACGCCGAGAGATTGATTACCGCAATTACGATTACGATTTAGCGTCCAGCGACAAGATCCCCCGTTGTACCTGCGGTAGTAGCGGCGTTTTCCCAATTTCCCACCGACCTACGTGCTGTATCTGCTTCGTACCCTTTGCCAGCAACCCTAGCTTTTCGCGCGACACAGGTGATCTGCGAAAGTCGACAGAAACACGGCCCCGACGTACCTTGCATATTACCCCAAAGCCGCTCATTGGAGCTTCGTCGACAAGGCCCTGAACCATCCCAGGGTGCGCGCACAGGCCCTTGCTTCCTCCAAACCATCAGACGACGACGACGCAGAGTTGCTGCTGCGCCGCCTTCTTGGGCTCGACTCCATTCCACGCGCCACCAGAAGCAACGTGGAAGGGAGAGAAGGACAAGAACCTGCGCTCCATCATCGTCATCTACATCGCTCGCCACATCACCTCTACCTCTGCCTTTCTCTACGAGTAGTACCTAGTACCGTCCATCACTAGCACGGCCAATTGATTCGCGCCAACCATGTCGTATAATCGCCTAGGTATGTATGCTTGCAATCTTCCAATTGCCCCTTCTGACGACTCTTGGCCCTCGACCCCCTGCCCGCTTAATCTCGAACACCCACTTTTGCCCACTTCGTCCCTACGACTCCCTGTTGCGACATCTTCACCCTCTTCCCATTGCGATGCTCGACGCTCTTGGTTAGCTTCTCCCCAAGATCCCTGGGGTTGCGGCAGGCTACGTGCTACGTGCTACGTGATATATACTGCTAGCTGCCGTACAGTTGGCCCTGGGGCGCGCATCGTTGCGTTGTTTCCACCTCTCTCTTCTTCTCTCATACCACACTCACTTCTTATTCCGTGTTTGGCCTTTTCTTTGCACTCGACGACTGGCTCGCCCTCCTTTGGCCTTTCACCGCATCTAACGAATTATACCCGCAGACCACAACTACGAGGACGACCAGCATCACCAGATGGATCCTCGGGGTAACCCATATAGGACTCCGTCGCCTGGAAACCCGCTTCAGCAGGGATACCAGATGGACGAGAATCCCTATGGCCAGCATCATCCTCAGAATGCCCAGATGCCTCCTCATATTGGCCGGCTGGCATCCCCAAGCGATCAGCTACACATCAACCCCGCTGTGAGTGCTCAGCATGATGCTATTCGTAAACCGTCCAAGAGTTGCGGCGACTGACTGAGTCTTCATTAGGCCTCGGTTGATGCTTTATCCTACAACCACAGCCAGAACCCGTCCGACTACTCATTAAACCCAGAGGCCCATCACGATGCTTACTACAACGCTCCTTATGAACCGCAGCACGGCGGCCAAGGCTACGACCTGCACCAGGGTTACGATCAGCCCGGTTACGACCAACAAGGCTACGACCAGCAGGGCTACGACTATGACGACCAACGACCGATGCTCTCACATAATAACTCCGACCACCCTCTCACCCAGCAGGAAGAGACCCGGCCTGTTACACCACAGGGTGGCATCAAAAGATGGAAGACGGTGAAGCAGGTGCTTCTATACCGTGGCAATCTGGTGCTTGATTGCCCGGTGCCGCCTGTAATGTTGCGCGAAAACCCTCACGGCGAGCGTGATGAGTTTACCCACATGCGATACTCGGCTGCGACCTGCGATCCCAAAGACTTCTATGATGAGAATTTTACGCTGCGTCAGAGACTCTTCAGCAAGCCTCGTCACACTGAACTGTTCATCGTTGTTACCATGTACAATGAAGACGATGTCCTGTTTGCACGAACCATGGTTGGTGTTTTCAAGAACATTGAATACATGTGCAACCGCCCAAACAGCAAGACCTGGGGTAAGGATGCCTGGAAGAAGATTGTAGTTTGCATCGTCAGCGACGGCCGTTCCAAGATCAATCCCCGAACAAGGGCAGTGCTGGCTGGTCTTGGAGTTTACCAAGAGGGTATCGCCAAGCAGCAGGTGAATAACAAGGATGTGACGGCGCATATCTACGAATACACCACCCAGACGCACTTGCAGTTGACCAAGGACGTCGTCTCGCTCGTTCATCGCCGAACACCTGTCCAGCTGCTCTTCTGTCTCAAAGAGAAGAATGCGAAGAAGATCAACTCCCACAGATGGTTTTTCCAGGCATTTGGCCGCGTTCTGGACCCCAACATTTGCGTCCTCATTGATGCCGGTACAAGACCGGGTGGTAGTTCCATCTACCATCTGTGGAAAGCGTTCGATCTGGAACCCATGTGCGGAGGCGCCTGTGGTGAGATCAAGGCCATGTTGGGTACTGGTGGCAAAAACTTGATCAACCCTCTGGTCGCAACGCAAAACTTTGAATACAAGATGAGCAACATTCTGGATAAGCCCTTGGAGTCGGCCTTTGGCTTCATCTCCGTCTTGCCCGGTGCCTTTTCAGCTTATCGGTATGTCGCCTTGCAGAACGATAAGAACGGCCAAGGCCCTCTCGAAAAGTACTTTTTGGGTGAAACGCTGCATGGTGGCCACAAAGCAGGTCTCTTCGAGTCCAACATGTACCTGGCCGAAGATCGTATTCTCTGCTTCGAGCTGGTCACTAAGCGAAACTGCCACTGGATCCTGCAGTACGTCAAGTCTGCCACCGGCGAGACTGATGTGCCCGACACAGTCACGGAATTGGTCCTCCAGCGACGTCGTTGGCTCAACGGTTCTTTCTTCGCCGCCATCTATGCCATTGCTCATTTCCACGACTTCTTCCGCTCCGACCATTCATTCTTCCGGAAAATTGCCTTCTTCATCGAATTTGTTTTCAACACCATCAACATGATCTTTGCTTGGTTCGCAATTGGTAACTTCTTCTTGGTCTTCAAAATCCTGATTACAAGTCTGGGCTCGGAGGATCTCCTGGGCAACGTTGGCAATATCCTGGGCGTTGTATTTGAGTGGTTGTATGGCGTTTGCCTGATTACTTGTTTCGTCTTGTCTTTGGGTAATCGGCCCGCTGGTTCTGGCAAGCTTTACACTGCCATGGTCTGGTTCTGGGCTGGTATCATGATGTACGTTTTTCCTTCCTTCTTTCCCCTTAACTAAGCGCTCGCTAACCCGAATTGACTAGATACTTGATGTTTGCTGCCATTTTCATCGCCGTCAAAGCCATTATCGCAGATATTCACAGCGGAGGTGGCTTCAGCATTAGCGAAATTTTTAAGAATCAGGTTTTCTACACGCTCATCGTTTCCGTCATGTCGACCTACGGCATCTGGCTTATTGCATCTATCCTCATGTTCGATCCATGGCACATGATTACCTCGTTCCTTCAGTACATGCTCCTGACGCCAACCTTTACCAACATTCTCAACGTCTACGCCTTCTGCAACACCCACGATGTCTCCTGGGGTACCAAGGGCGACGACAAAGTGGAAAAGCTGCCGTCCGTCAACACCAAAGACGGCCAGGGCAAAACAGATCTTCCCGATGAGGGTGATTTGAATGCCCAGTATCAGCGAGAAGTCTCCGTCTTCAGCGTCAAATTCAAGGAAGTCAAGTCAGAGCCCACAGAAGCTCAGCTGCAAGAGAAGCAGATGGACTACTACAGAGGTGTACGAACTGGTGTCGTGCTGATCTGGATGATTTCCAACTTTGCTCTTGCAGCCGTGGTTTTGAGCTCTGCTGGCCTGGAGAGGATCACGCCTGGTAACGAGCAGGATATTGAGAACCAGCAAACAGAGCGATCCAACATTTACATGGCTGTCGTCCTCTGGAGTGTGGCAGCCCTGAGCAGCTTCAAATTCTTGGGAGCCATGTGGTTCCTCATCGTCCGTCTATTCAGAGGTGTCTAAAAAAGGCATTGTCTAAGACCCATCGAAGGTTGAACGAATTTGACAAACGTAGTTGGAAAAAAAAGATCGAAAGAAAAAAAATTATACAAAGCTCTCAGCGGGCTACGATAAAACATGGTGCTATTATCATTTCTTCTTGAATTATACCCCCTTTTATATATATTCTATGACAGGAAGGGAAAGCACACACACATCCCGACGAAATGTTGGAATTTTTGCGGTAGAAGGGAAGCAGAAGGGAGGAGGCTTGGTTTGTGTAGCCATCTGTCTTCCTGCATGCATATGTTTTTACGGCCTGTGTGGAATTTCTTTCCCTTTCTTTATGTAACACACGACGGGGCGTTCTTTTGAACGAATGTGTGTGAGTTGGTGGCGTTTCTCTTTTTGTCTTGTTTTTATTCTTCTCATTTTGCAGAAACGCATTTGCATAGCAGATATTTTAGAATACGCTAGATGATGATGAAACATTTGTGATTCTGAATATGTCGCTTCCGATTTGTCTACCATGGAGAAGCTGTGCCTCGCAAGTCTCTTAAAGAGCCACTAGGGTATTCAATGTGAATCTATACGCATCTAATCATAATATTGACAATATTTCGTAGCATAAGGTATACCATATCATATGCCTTGTATTCATAATTGTAAAAACGGAGAACCAGCCCAGTCTATCACAGTCCCAAACTCGCCCATCTCTCAAAGCAACAGGACCATTCATAACTCCAGTACGGCTTTTAGAAAAGCCACGCAACATAACGGTTGTAAAACTTACGCGCGCCCTGGCTGTCTGCGTTTTTAATCTGTTCTTGCTCCAGGTAGTCCGCCTCCTGTGAATCGATGATGTCTTTTCCGGTGTAAAAGTCGGCCTCGTGAGGCTTAACGCCTCGACTGCCGGTGAGGAGCATGTGCCCGAAGAGCATGGTAATGTAGAGAGGAATTCCAAGGTATCCTGTAATGAAGTTCTTATAATCAAAATCGGAGTCCTTAGTGCGGATGAAGACGTTGAAGTTCTTTGTCAAGCTGATAAGAATGACAAAGGCCAGGCAGACGACGGTACCCCAAAATCCTTGAGGGGCGACATAAGGCATGGCACTATCGGGGATGTTCTGGGCGCGGCGAGCGCGCAGGAAGAAGAGGTAGGTGACAAGGATGGAAATCCAAGTCAAAATACCAAAGATGGTAACAAGGTTAACGAAGTAGCCAAAGACCTGATAATCGTGTTAAAATAGACCCATTATTTATCACGAGGGATAATAAAAGAAACGTACCACCGTGCTGTTGGTAGAAGCGTTCATGAATGCAAGACACGAAATCGTTGCAGAGAGGGCAAGCGCCGGGTAGGGCACGCCGCGCTTATTCGTCTTCTTGAAAATAGCTGGGGCTGCATTATCTGACGCAAGGCCGTAGAGGGTTCGGCTCGCAATGTACAGATCAGAGTTGGAGGCGGAAAAGACAAAGACCAGGATGCAAGCATTGATGATGTGAGGCAGGATCTTGACACCGGCGACAGTGGCCGCGACAACGAAAGGCGAGGCGTTGGCACTTGTAGACTGCTTGTTGGCGAAGGCGAGATCCGGGCTGTTATAGGGAACGATCATGCCGATGAGGAAGATGCTGAGGCAGTAGAAGAAGAGGATACGGAAGAAAGTAAGCTTGATGGCTGCGGGAATTCGTTAGTGCCTGCAATGCAGAAGTGCAACCGGTAGGAAGAAAAGAAAAGAAAAACATACCCTTAGGAATGCTTCGTCGAGGGTTCTGGGCTTCACCAGCAGTAACACCAACCAGCTCGGTTCCAAGGTAAGCAAAAGTTGCGTTGACCATGACAGACCAGAAGCCGAGGAATTTGCCCAAAGGACCCTCGGCATACAATTCAGCAAATGCGCCGGGATTGTGCCAGTATCGGAAGCCAGGAGCATCGCCACCGGGGCCGCCTCCGCAAGCAATGACGAGAGCGAAGATGATGATGCCGACGATGATAATGACCTTGAAAGATGACAGCCAAAATTCCAGCTCGCCAAAGAGTTCAATTCCTAGGTAATTCTGAGAAATTGTTAGGATAGAGTAGGAAACTAAAAAGAAAAGGCGGAAAAAGAAATACACATACGACAACGATGATAATGACTAAGAAGATGGCAATCCAGACGCCTGGATTGACCTTGTCTCGAGGTAACCAGAACTGAATGACCAATGCGGCAGCTGTCAACTGATTCGGAGTAGTGATGATGTACTTGAACCAGTATCTTGAGTTTCCGTTAGCGATTTCACTCTCCAAATCTGTAAATTGCAGTAGAATCACAACTCACGTCCAGCCAAGAGCAAATCCCAAAGATGGATGGCAGTATCGCGTCGCGTAGCCCGTAAATCCAGCACTCATGGGTAGCCAAGCCGCCATTTCTCCCAGAGATGCCATAACACCGAAGACGAGAAGTCCGACGAAACAGTACGAAATGAGCAATGAACCAGGTCCAGCTTGAGCGAGAGCCTTGCCGGTACCAATGATGAGACCTGTACCGAGCGCGCCACCGATAGCAATCATAGAAATGTGACGGGCCTTGAGACCGCGGTGCAGAGACGTCTCAGCTGAGGTCTCCAAGCCCCGGATGTGAACATTTTCGAAGTTGCCCTCGCCGTTGCTGAATTTTTCGGCATCGTGGCCATACCCAGTATTGTTGGGAGAATGGGCGTAGAGCCCGTCGTCTTGAGAGCTCATGGCGGGGAGATTCTTGACAACTGATCGGGGTTCGGTCGCGAGAGGAGGAGAAAGCTGAAAGTCAGAAGAGTAGCCTATAATCACCTGGCGGCGGCTCCTCGCACAATACAGATACTCTTGGCCACCAGAGTCGTCGACAGCAGATGAGAAGCGACAGACAAGAGAAAAGACCGCGATGGATAGAAGGAAAGGCCTTCGCACGGAAGAGGCAGCCCCCGGAAGGTTATAAACGATACGGCTTGGTGCTAGGGCCGTCGGCATCCATCAGAGATGCATGTACCTATGGAGAATTACGGAGTATGCCTTTGCACCTACCACGGCCTATTAAGCGTTGGGTTTAGGTTTACCCAGTCAGCCAGGCTCGTTCCATGTTCTGTTCCAGCCTCCATGTATACGCACTTGCAGCATGTACAAGTACACAAGGAAGCCCCGAGGCTACCCCATACCAAGCCATGGGGACGTGCCCAAATCTCGACCTTGCTATCATCAGGCTAGGCCTATCGCTGGACTAGCCGCAAGCAGAAACGAGCAAAAAGTCCGAAGTTGGGTCATCGGCGGTGGAGAAGGAAGCTGAGAGAGGCAAAGAGCACGGCCTTGTGGGCTGCATTGACCGGGGGCGAGGCCTTTGAGGCTTGGTCGATTGAGACTGGAAGACCGCTCTTTTCCGCGATTGTGTAGTACTTGTATGTACTACTTGAGCGTCCGCCAAGGGAGCTAACTCTTATTTTTAGCTTGATGGAGTCCCACTCAGCACATCAAATGCTGTAGATTGGCAAGATGTTGACGCTCTGGCCAAAGCCCGGCGGTCTTGGCTGGGGAAAGTTGGGGGATGATGGCGCTTTGGCGGCGTAGAGTTTGCGTCCCCTCTATCTGTCTGTCTTTTTTTTTTTTTCCACATTTGTATCCATCACAGCTTTTCTTTGGCCGGCATGTAGATACGTATGTGTAAGTAGCATCTTGTACCTGAAGTCGTGGTTTGGAGCGATCGCTGCAAGGCTGCCGCATCATCGCTTGGTTCCTTTTTCTTCTCCAGCCACCCGAGCAGGTGGAGGAACGGCTGGTTTGTCTCAAGTTAGTGTTGATGTCCTGATTGCGTGCAGCAGCGGATCATGTCGCCTGACTCGGGCCCGGTGGCAGTGGCACCAATCTTGTTTGTGCCATGCGAGGGGATTGGGGCTGATCTCTACGCGAGTCGTCGCCTAGCAATGAGCGACCACAGACGTGAGCCGATGGTAGCATCCTGGAGAGGCCCTGGCAGTTTGCCACGAGTCGGGTCATTGCGTTCCTTGCCATCCATCGCCATGTTATCTCGCCCCGCCGACGGTCCAAGTCCCTTATCTGCTCGCTTGATGCTGTTAGTAAGTCATCAATATGAACAACGGCATTCATCGTATCTATAAGTTGAAGCAATGACCCAAAGCCATTGTCTCAGCTTACCGAAGCCCTTGTTGGACTCCAGTCTCGCAGAAAGCATCAGCCGAGGGGCCAATTCTGGTTACGTACCGAGAAAACTTGGGGCGAATTGGGGAATTGGAGAACCCTGGGAGACACAGCGTCGAATCAATAACGTGCGGGCTCCGTGAATACACAGCCCAAGCCATTCATCAGACGTGCCAAGGCCTTTGCGAGCCATGCTGGTGCCTGGTCCGGTGATTGATTGGATTGTGGTTGGTTGGCTGAATAGTGAGAGAAGAGCTGCTAGAAAGCGCCACGCTTTCATGGCGCGGAGGAAGGGTTCTAGAAGTGCGAGCTAGCAGGATAAGCACTTCGCTTAGCGCTGTTAGGGACTGTTTAGGCCGCTGGCTACCGTTAGCAGCAACCTACAGCGAGCTTCCGGCGCCAGGCTTGTGCCTGTTTTAGGCGCCGAGATGCGCAAATTTGCTCCCTAGCATTGGGCGCACTGATGATGTCTTATCAGGGCCGATTCTTATCTCTTCGAACCCTTGTTAGCGACTGATTACATGTAGACATGATGTCGTAATTGCAGTTCACCTCGTCTCTTAAGCTTCTCTTCATTCACCCGTTTGCGTCTCGCAGCCAGCAACAACGAGTCTTGATCTCATTCAACTCTACAAGCCTCCAGTGCGTGCAAAGCGACGGATTATTTCTCTCGCCAATGCCCGCACTAAGCAAGCCTCGTCCGCTTTTGTGGACTCGCCAGTTCTAGGTTATCTTAAGGTTGTTAGACCCGCCACGCCACTCGCCTTTCGATTATTCTATTTGTCGGCATCAAGGATAAGCATTTTGACCTGCCTAATTGGGCACTTGACGTGATTTACCCCGGTCCTGAGGTCAAGGACCGCTGGGTGGCACGTTCTTGTCGGACGCAAAGCGACGGGATTCATCATGTGCGGCTGAGCACTGAACAGGAACAGAGCTGAGCAGAGCTGGCAGCTGTGCAAGAGAAGCGATGGACTGCGCTATGGTCTTATTCTGAACTGACGGGTATACAGCCTTGAGAGAATTGGTTTCCCATGCTTCAGTTATCGATTTTCAAATCGTCAGCTGTTTGGACGGCATGTTGCTCCCGTAGCAGCTGACGTCTTTCCATCTACAAATCTCGCCATCTGCTAGTCATTGCAAAGCGCCTTCTTCCGTGCCGGTATCCGTGAAAGAAAGCTCAAATTCACCTCATCGATGTGAAGTACAAGAATCATCATCAAATTTTGCGCGGTAATATGAGTACCCAAGAAAATTTAATCCTCCTCGCTGTGTAGGTTCCTACGTAGCATATTCCCTGCTCAATATTTCGCCTTTTTGGGATGCGTAATTGCTCCGTGCGGTACTCTTCAACAGCCACTCCACATATAACAAAGTCTTGAGCTGTTTTGTTTGCTCATATGAGACGGGAATATTGATTCTCTTCTTGCCTCTCTCCACACCGTCTTTTAGGAGCATTCATTGTCTTCCAAGTGGAGGTTTCGCCAAGACTCTTATCAATTCTCCAATACGGAGAACTAGCTCTGGAAGCAAAGATCAACTTGCGTCCTTTTCTCTTGGCTCTTGGCATAAGCGTCTATGACTTAATCGATGTACATGTACTTTACCCCATACTCAGGAATCATTTGGGGAAAACGGAGTCGTAGGCACTACTCAGATCAGGGTTATTCAAGCGAGGCGTATGCCCCCATGGCTCCAACGCGGGGAGCGGTGCATCTCGGATGCTGTACAAAATCACCAGACACCGCCTAGCATTAGCATGCCAACTACATGTACCTAGTAGGCAGTGTTACTCCCGTTTAAAGTGTTTTGCATTGACAACTAGCCCGCTCCTACGCTGATCTCTTGTGCCTGCAGGAATTAGAGCTGAGTTACTTCCCCGGATCCCCAGCCTTGAGATGCAAATGCGACGCTATGAATGCTACTAAACGATACAACAGTATCGTATCGGAGCGTACTTTGTTTCACATGTTTAGACGGGGGTCTCGGCCAACGACCGGAACATCGCTCCACAGATAGGAAGCGTCCCAAAGCATGCCTTGCCACTCGTCACGAGCTCTTTCGGAAGTCGGGCCTGGATTCACGGCGCAGTTCACGGACCACGCGAGCACTGCCATCTTGTCTGCAGCGTTAGATCAGACCACCTCCTCCAGCTATTACATCCTGAGCTAACTTTGCCAAAGGATCACGAGACATGTCTCAAGGTGGAGGTGCCATTTAATTGCGCAACTTCTCCAGCGCCTGAGACAGCTTTGGTACGTCTATTGTAGCGTTGCAGCGATAGGCAGACACGGCTTTTAGTTTCCATTGTATAGGCACGTCCATAAGTAAGCTTAACTCAACTTTATTGCGACTACGTATATGTATAATAATCTACATGTTCGTCGACATGTCTTACACCTAGTCTCGTGGGATCTAATTATAGCATCCAAGCTGCAGACGTACTTAGACCTGAAATTTGTCAGGCCAGAGCGCAGTGTGGAGAGAAGATGTTTCCATCAAAATAGAAGAGAGATACACGTATATTGTTGTTCTTGAACTGGCAATATCCCATTACTACTACGTGGTATATGTGTGATTTCGAGCTTATGATGCGAGGGCGCCTAAGGTATCTGTGTGGGTACCTATGCTGTCGTAACTTGCTCTTTCAGGCTTTGCTACATAGGCCTCCACTTCCCGACTTATTGAGGCTGTTTCACTTTCCATAATGGGCTGCTGTGAAGGATATCTTCAGTCTCTTGCCCATGCCAAACTGCTTCTAAAAGCTTACTTAAAATCGTATACGCCAAAAGCCTGGAATGTTTCCCGTGAACGAATGAGTACCTGCAAAAGGGAAGAAAATACATGACCAACTAGAGGATACGTGGCCCTTTGTTTGTGCTACGGCGTGCAGCAGTCAGGATGGCTAAGTGGAATTATTCGCTTTCGCCGAATACTAAGCCCCAGAGTTACCTGCTGAGTAGGCAATTTTCAGTGCAGCTACATGTAGACAGCATACATGTATTATGCGTAACGCTGCGAGAACCCGACCACGGAGGAATCAGAAAGGCAACACACGGCCTCAGACGGCTACCTTTAGCCAATGAGCACTCCCCATAAGTAATCTGAGCACTCTATATTGGTAATCTAAGTCTGCAAATGCCTTTGCGATTCCAAATTTTTATCGAGCCTCACCGGGCTTCACATTGGAGCTAATACACTACTATGTCCTAATTTGTGACTTAATTGTAGATGCGGCAGCTGTTTCAGAAAGATGTTCCTGTTTTTCCTTACATGCGAATACGGGACAAGCCACTTCACTAACCTGCACTGTGGACTGCCTTGCCGCGTTTCTTTTTCCAATTACGTTAATAGATGATGGGTACTCCAATTAATGAAACCTATAGGTCTCGCGCTGATATGAAGAGGCACTAAGTTTTCTCCAGGAATTTAAGAAACGCGCCGATGATGCCCTCTGTGCAGTGGACCTAGTAGGGATTTTCGAGAGTTAATGATAATACACCCAAGGCACGCTGAAGACAGTCCGCTAATATATGACCACCATTGAACTGTCGATGGTAAATACCCTGCATTCTTGGACAGGTCATACTGCGAGCATAGCTAAAGCTATTCAAGCCCAGAGAGCTGACCGGTTTCGAGTAGTGATTTAAATACCTTTGACCATTGATTTTGCTGTTTCGCTGAGTTTAACTTCCACTTGACGTTGAGATTGCTATTCACGATTATACTAACAACCTCTACGCCTATTCAAGGTTCATGAAGTATTGCTTGGCCATAGACTACGCTTCTGGGCAGAAGGAAATTGTCAAGATCACCTTGTCTTCTGTATCAGTTTGGGAAGAGCAAATGTTCAAGACGCCATAGATTGCCTTGCAACTGATTCGCAAAAACTACCAAAACGGCTATGGATGGAGTACAGTCTAGCTAGCTTTATTGACTTTTCTTACAATTGAAGTAACATTTCTCTTGCGTGGAACTGGTTTTAGGAAGTCAACACTCTATTGGACGCAACAGCACGCATTGTATCTTGGCTTATCAAACCCTGACTTCCTATTACATTAGGTGTCGCCATCCCGGTTTGGCGATTTAGAGTATGCAAAGGTCCCGTCCCAATGTATGAGTAAATAAAAGTGCCCATTGTAAAATAAAAAAATCTGGCTAATTATTCAAGATATTGCTACTTATACATACACCTAGGTAGCTGTCCAAATTTGCCATCTGGGTTAAGCAATTACCGCTGAGACATATATATGTGCTTAATCTATCGAGGCCCGTACACAAATGTAGGTAAACACATGTAGGTACCTAGGTAAGCCTTGTGCTATGCCTGATGGATACCGAAATCGCTCAATCTCATCTGCCTATCGGCAGTCACCAATAGCGAACACCCTTGGGCATCTGACCCCCAATATGAGACCCACTCTATCCGACATTTGGTAATTCATAGATGCCTAAGTTCCCTTTACATCTCGAATGAGACTTTGACGCTTTATGTTATTCACGCCGTGGAAATCATCATGTCCTTTGGCTTCGGAATAGGCGATTTGATTGCGGTGGGAGAGCTTTGTTGGAAACTTTATTCGCAAGTCTACAAGGTTTCGCGAGATGCGCCCGAAGAGCTCCGCGGACTTAATCAAGAGCTGGGAAACTTTCACAACACCATCCAGCTACTGCTGGAAGAGCTCAAGGACAACGATTTGCTTTTGTTCAATTCTGGGGATGTTCGGATAGACACTGTTCATCGAGTCGTGTCGCACTCAGAAGAAACCCTCAAAAAGATGCAGCAACTATCTGAGCGTTATGCAGAGCTCCAAACCTCATCTACTGCGCAAGAAAAGCGACGCATGCTGCGAATTTATTGGGATCGACTGAAGTATACACGGGAGCTCCATAACATTAATGACTTGCGGTCCAAAGTAAGAGACCATCTTGTCAACTTCGACTGGGCGCCGCGCACTAAACAATTGACAGATAATGCTTCATAATTCTCAGCTAACTCTCATCCTGCAAGGTGCTCAAAAGTAAGTCATTACTGGCAATATAATGAAGTAAACTAATTGTTGGAAGTTCATCTTTGGAGCGTATAGAGAAACAAAATGCGCAAACCGACAAAAAGTTGGACGAGCTGCGACAACTAATCGTGTCCAATCCCGCCCAGCGAGATATGCCGATGCTTACAGCACCATTACATCCAGATATATTGATGGAGCTAACAGATGTATTTTTACAAAAGGCAGAGTCTGACAATCGACCCTGGGCCTCAATTGGCATTGATAGCTGGCTTCAAGCAGGGCAATGGTGGCTTATGAAGGTGCTGTATTGAAATATGCTGCCTAATGCAACCGTTGCTGATTAAAGAGAGCAGGCGCAATCACAATTAGCGACCGCTCCTCAAGTTGATGAAGAGAAGGCTATATACAACCAAGGATACGCGAATATTCTAAAAGCATGCTGGATATTGACTGATGTTATCGCCATTCACCCTCAACGAAGTCACATGGGCGCATCAAATGATCGCCGAGCGCATCATATCCAGCGCCTAACCCAAGCAAGTGAATTGAAAGGATGAGGTTTATCTTTGGTTACTAACAATAATGCCGCCAAAATAGGGTGCTATATATAAACTAAAAACTCTTTCAACCGTTACGCCTCGGTTGGAAGATCTTTTGACATACAGTTTGGATATTTGGAATTTGCCTATATCTACAGCTCTCACTCCAAGTCGTCAATACACAGGCGATCAGCCAGAACTGAGATGGCAAACGCAAGATGGACAAATAGTATTTCAAGGGTAAGAGTATCGAAAGGAGTCCACGATTAATGCTAAAATGTTTCACAGATTTGCCGAGTACCAAGACGACAAGCTGAAGCTACCAATCGAATGCATAGTGATCCTCGAGATGCCAAACGAGCAATCTACAACTAGATTTCTAAATTTGATCGCACAAAGCTCTATTGGCCAAGACGTCTTCAAACTTCAATGTAAGCATAAAATTTCCATGTACACCTAAGAAGCTGCTGATGTTTGTGTCCCTGATCTAGTACAGGAACTTAGATACCGCATACCTAGCATGCATATTCCAATAAAACTTTCCACGATAAAGGGTTAGTTCATTCATTCACTTTACAATTGAGGAGATACTCATGCGCTAGAAATAGACGAGCGGCTCTTGGGTTGCATTTTTGAATCTCTATCTGTTATGCGACGGTCTCTTATACTACGCCCCATGGACGCGTCCATGATATATTCAGTTGCGATTTTACTTACCTGTATCGGTGCTAAAGATGCTCTTTTTGACCATACAGCCAACTTTGATACAGCATACGAGGACATCAATGCCTTAATTCGATCTAAACAACAACTTCAAATCACATCAGTGACGCATATATCTTCGTCTTTCCAGTTAACGGCTAGTCGCACTGTTGGACACCTTAAACAATGCGCTGATTGCTTTCCAAGCAAGTCTGATCGAGTATTTTGGAAGCTAAAACATCATTGTATTTGGATGTTGATCTACTGGTTCTCCGATACATCTGAAGCTTTCTTAAAGCTTTTTAAAGCTGTTGGATTTCACTCTCCAGGCTTTCACCCAATATCTCAGGGCTGCTTAATACTATCTTCATTATTGAAAAAGGATACAGAATTACCTCAAAAGTTCCTTTCACTTATGGGTCTTGAGTTGGGTTGGGCGCCCGACAACTTGGACAGCTTGATAGTTGCCATAGATGAAGATGATGTTGTCTTGTTACAAACGGCGATAGAGAATATCGAAAAGAAAGTACTCATACAAGGATGGAAAATACTATGGGCACACGCACAATCTTACGCCAAATTCTATGCCATGGACATCTTATTATCAGCACCTGGAGTGAGCTTAAATTTCCTCTTCCGGTCAGTTTTGAAGCTGGTTTCTTGCCATGAATGGCGAGAACTACAGATACTATGGAAATTTTTACGACCACGTATTGAACGCCTCAGCAATATAAACGATCCTCTGCCAGATCCCGGAGAAATCAATGCATTGATTCTTCAAAACTGCGGTGAAGCCATATATAAAGGGAGCTTACCGGACCTGGAAATTTTTCTTGACATTATTGAACGATTTCGAGTTTCTTTCGACTTTGTTAAATGGACATTGGAGACTCAGTTAGCCATATTACCAGCCTTGGCCTCTCAGAAGCTTTCTATTTTGAAACTTCTTTTTGGGGCAGGCGCTGTCTCATTTTCCGAGGCCATCTTCACCAGAAAACTACATTTCAGATTTCCTACATACGGTGCATCCTTTCTCAACACCAGTTCTACATTTAAATGGCCATTGAACCTAGCGATTCGTCTTGTTTTAGATCTGGACGTTATTGAATACATTTGCCAGAATGAAGCCTGCTTGCAGAACAGCTGGGAAGTTTCTTTGGGTGAACCAGACATCTTACCAAAACTTCGTCAAATCACCACTGTTTCAGAGGCTCGAAAGCAAAGTTGTTTTGTGAAAGGGGATTGTTACAGATTGTTTCTTACAATCAGCCGTCATAGCAGCATTCAATCCGAGAATGAGGGCACGAGTAGTCAGAGATTGCCTGGATCGTTGCTCACAATCTGGAAGACAATGTGCCGTATAATATTCGAGAACGACTGCCGGGATCTCTATGACATTAACAGCGTTTATTCCGAATTAACGTGGCTAGGAATCCAAAAACAGCTCTACCCCGACGACCTTGAGGATATTTCCATTAAAAAGGCGGTATCATGGCCTGCGCCCCTTTTGACACAGGAGAGCTGGGATGATTGGAGGTTGCATGTGATTGATATTCTTGAAAAGTCACACCAGGATTCTCTCAGGACGTCAACACATGGCTTCTAGGATATGGCTTTTCCATTCGCCTTTAAATGCAATGCCATTGAATAGAGTCTGATCATATCATCATGATTTTTCCAATGTGACTTCAAACTTTAAAACATAGCTAAATCTACTTAAATATAGAGACTAAGCTAAGTTATAATGACGTTTCCATGGATAAAGAATTTGCTTTTATTTTACTGCTTGGCTGGCGTCTCGCCTTCAGCGCCAGCGGGAACATAAAAGAGGTTTTGAAGCTGCTCACGCTTGGCTGGAGTCTCGCCTTCGGCACCGGCAGGTACATAGAAGAGATTCTGCAGCTGCTCACGCTTTACACGCTTTGCACGCTTTGCTGGAGTCTCGCCTTCAGCGCCGGCAGGGACGTAAAAGAGGTTTTGAAGCTGTTCACGCTTGGCCGGAGTTTCGCCCTCAGCACCAGCAGGCACATAGAAGAGATTTTGCAGCTGCTCACGCTTTGCTGGCGCCTCACCCTCAGCCCCGGCAGGGACGTAGAAGAGGTTCTGGAGCTGTTCACGCTTGGCTACAGCATTGATGTTAGTACGTATACACATATTTATGACACATATGAGCTACTATGGAAGATAGAATGGTTTCATACCGTCTTGTGCAACTGGTGCCGCAAGAGCCACTGAGGAAAGCGTAAATAGGACGAGCGTGGCCTTCATCTTGAAATGATGTAAAAAGTAAGTTATTGGGATGTTGACTGATAGGTAGTCGTGGAATAATAGTATTGAGTCAACTGAAATGTCAAAAATAATACAATGTGACCCTGAAATATTTAACGGGGGCAGCTTTTAACATTGATGGACTGCTGCCCAGATCCACATACCTCCTCCTCAGAACACTATAAAAGCAATAATCACTAGATACAGTCCCCGCTCCCTTCGTCTATCGTATATCCAATTAATCAAAAGACGCAGTATCCACAAAATAGCTTTATAAGAAAGGTTTCGAAACATTAACCGTTAATTGCAAGCGTAGCTATGTTAATCAGCGTATTAGAGTGCACCTCAGAGCAAACATCTCCAAAACTGGCAGGTATGTAAGGTGATGGAGTCCGGTATGAGGTATATCATAACGATTTTAGCATATCATATCATAATTGCGTTTGTTTGTTAACTGTATGTGGACGTTGGGCCGAAACTTGATGCCCGCTACCATTGATGACCGGCCGGTATTCAATTGTGTGGTGTCCTACCCCGGCTACTACTCCAATACGAGTTTGTTTCCACGTTTACATTGATCATATCGACGGAAAAGAATTTCCCGACGCGTGTTTGATGCAAGCGTTACTCCCATATTGGTTGTAAGAATAATGAACCGCGGTTATTTGTCTCCCAAAATGTCACTCGCCAAAGACTTCCAACCGTACAAGGAGGCATGTCGAGCTTACACGTAGGTTAGTATTGATGAACTTACGTCAAGATGCATAATATATCAGTAATATAAAGCTAAAAAGAAACCCCCCACCGCTAAATAACGAGATCCATGGCGATACTACTTGAGTTGAGTATACACCAAGTATGCTTGTGGTTTAAACCTGGCCTGCAGTCAATGGTGGTCTGTTCTTGACTTAATCCAGCAGGTGTATAATGCTTAAGTGACAACGCAGAACTATCTTATGCGGAGTCTTCGAATCCAATAGTATTGATCTTCTAGCGATCCCTGCTACTCTGATATCATTGAGTGCCCACCCCTCTTTCTACAATTGCACCCCACACGGAGTGGGATACGCCCGTTGTACTAGGATTGGATTTGGATCTGTTATCGTTGTTACATTGCCTAACGTAACCTAATTACCCGAAATTCCTACTGTATCCTTCCATTGCACTCTATTTGCACACCTTTGCCATTGTCATTGATGTTTTGTTGAACTTCAATGTCTATTGTTTCTTCTTCTTGGCTATTCTGACAATCATTCATATCCAAAATGGAGAGCAAAGACGAAACTCGGGACTACATCGACTATGAAGAAGTGGGAGCTCCGTCGAATGTACGGCGCGCAAAACGGCCGAGCAAACTCACCCTCTCAGTGTCGATTCTATTTGCTTTGGCCGCTGTTGCCAATCTGAGCGTCTGGATTTGGGTCACACGCGGTCCTCGAAATGCTCTGGATGAAGAATGGAATCACTGCGGACGTTCAAGCGTAGAAGCTGTGAGACGCGGATGTGTCATGGAGCCTTTATTCTACGGCTGGATGCCCAAGCAGTGCGTATACCAGAAGCTTAGCGATCGCTATCCCGTGTTTGAGGATAGAAAATGGTTCCTTGAACAAGATATGGTTGTATGTAATGCATTGTCTCCTTTGCTTTGACATTGAGAACATTCTTGGGCACATTTCTGACCTGTTGACCAGAATGAGGTTGACGCGGAAGCACTCTGGCGTGGCGACAATATCAAAGTCTACACGCATCTTTACCACTCAGAACACTGTTTGTTCCAGTGGCGAAAGATCATGTTTGCCATGGAGAATCAGGAGCGCTACATCGACAACAAAACAATCAGCATTCATCACTCCAAGCACTGCGCAGACCAGATTGTGGAGGGACACATTGAAGGAGATGATGCAATCAACGAAGTGGAGCTTGGCTTCTATCGATGTAGAAATACTCTTTGGGCGAGCTAATTGGCCAATGCTGTAGAACTGATATCACTAACACTGCCATGGTGTAAATATGCATGTAGATGCTAGATAGATACATGCAGGCTATTCTCTCAACTATCCACCTTTGCTTACTGGTACGTACAAGTAAATATTGGATAGCGGGACCGACGGGTGAAACACAACTTACCCCGCCTCAACATGATCAGTTTTTCAAGGATACAATGGAGGGGTTGTTTTATTTTCTATGTTCATCGAAAGGCAAGCTCTGATAGCGTCAAGAAGCCCGTTCTAAGCGATCACGCGATTTGTTGCCAATGATGACGAAGCGGACAAATAGATTCCCTAAGACGCCTTTTTGTTGCATAATAACTCACTCCGCCCTCATTGAACAAGGATGTTGTCCTGGTGAAGGTTATCGATTCCAAACAAGTTGTTTTATTCTAGGCCTATTTTGTAGGTTGATTCGGACATCATTACACAATACAATACTGGACTACTTAGTAGGTGAGGAGAAGCTCCAATTTGCTTGGCAAGATTCTGCAGGTCAGAGTAAGCTAGTGATACTAGCACTGCAAGCTACTGCAGTGATCACACCCATGTGGTTGTTTGGGTAACAAGTGCCTATCGTATCTGAATCCATACCGGCAGATCAATGGTGTTTTTACTCAAACCCACGGTAACAGGCTGCTAGCTCATCAGTTGCTTACCACTTTCAACCGTAGGACGGCTCGCTTCAAGTACTACAATAAGCACACTATCTTTGACCCCTCGTCTAATGCACTGAGGGTGCTAATCTACAGGCTTCTAGTGACATGCAGTTGCCTATCAAAAGTAGATATCAAGTAATAGGCTATCAATTGACTTTTGAACCTTTGTCTAGTGCACTGCAAGCTCCAGTCCGGAAGCCGGCCAGTTGCCTAATCGGGATTAAATTACCAGTTGATCCATCGATCTTTGCCCAACGTATTGATGCCAGCGCTAGTTTGAAGACCACCACGCCTGCAGGCTCACAGATAGGAAGTTTAGCTTCATGGGACGGCTCGTATCGAATTAGGCAAACGGCCTCTAAACCCACCTTTGTCTACTGCTTATGTGCTGCAGGTGCAAGTCCGCAGACCTCTCTGCAAAGGTACCCTCCCCGTCCTCTATTCCACTCACATATGCCATACACTCGGCACCAGTCTGGATACCCAGCCAGAGATAGCCGAGGAGTGAGAGGCAAAGAGAAAAAAAAACATGAACAAGTTCAAAAAACAAGAGCGTGATGGCAAGGCATTTGCAGACATTGATGATGCAGAGTTAGGGAAAGCTCTTTTAGAGAGCAGTACGGATACAGATACAGACACAGACACAAGCAGCTCAACCACTTCGACGAACTCACGTAATTGGTGGTATAGATGGTACAAGGCTATCATCGGATTCTCAGCACTACTATGCGCGACCAACCTCCTTACGTTTTGGATCACAGCATCGGCAAGACCACAATGCCAAACTACAGAGTCAGTGGCAGAGCCTCCAAGCTTGACGCCAATGCTTCGAGACTTGAATCTCAAGACAATACATGTCAAGTTTGATTCAACATTCTATAGCCAGGGGAGCCGCTATCGTAAGCCCCCATCGCCAGAGACCGATGCTGCGTGGAACTATGCAGGCGCCAACTGTATGTATCAAACGGCCTTTACCATCTCTTCGGTATATCATCACTGGACTGACCTCCAAGTAGTTGGGTACATCCTCGTCCCTGAGGAACAAGCAAGCGAATCAGATTTGACAACAAATAACATTCATTTTGCCGGTGGCGCTGATCAAGCCTATATGAAAGGCTATCCTGCCAATGTTGAAGTATTTCATCAGATACACTGCTTGGTATAGCTCTCTTTCTTTTATCTTTCTCATGAGTATTGGCTAATTGATCAATCGCAGAATCTCATTCGCAAGGCGACGTGGTATAATCATGACTACTATCGAAAGCTCGGAGCGGACGAGTTTCGGCACCCAGACAAAACCCTGTCTGTCCATGTTGGTATGTAGAAACGTCTGATGAAACACGCATCATCAAGTCTTGACATGCTAATTATGTGACTTCTTTTCTAGACCACTGCATAGATAGTCTACGCCAGCGACTCATGTGCACCGCCGACGTTGGGCTGGTCCCCTTCTTCTGGGTTGGCGATGACGGCGGAACAGATCCTGAATTCAGTCGGACGCACACCTGCCGCGATTTCGAGACCCTACATGGTTGGATGAGGGAGCACATGGTTACTCCGGACTCTAATCGCACTCTACTTCCCAGGCCGGGAGATTACAGAGTGGATAGTTGGCACTGATTGGCCTTAACAATGTGAGGCGCAAGCCAAAAGACGAGAAGAAACTATCAGTATGAGGTTGCTTGGAGTGAAATAAAGATTAGATACGCTGTTATTGTATATATTTGTGAATATTGATGCCTACAGCTTGCATCTGTAGAGAATTTATTGTACACGTTTCTAAAATGCCAGTATTGTTAAGAGCGCCTCTTTACTGTTACCTCGTAAGCGATTCATTCGTCTATCTTCTCCCGAATACACTCCGAATTGTAGCTCCCGGAGACCAGTCGAAGGATTCGACAGGATTCTCCTCCGCCGCAAGCACAGTCTTCCAAGCCAGCGTCGAGTCACGACAAGAATGCTGGTGTCCCTGCCCATTAACACCACTTAGGAGTATGTTGCCCGCAGCATCATATTTTGTAAATGGTGGCTCCAAGGTGTCGTCGCCATTGCATAGCAGGGCCTATATATTAATTTCTTAGCAGATGTTCATTACTCAAAAACTGAAATCGTGGAATAGAGAAAAAGAAAGGCAACGCACTCGACCGATATATCCCAAGCAGTGCTCGACATGCTTTCTCTCATCTACGTGCAAAAGTGCACTATCTCGCTGGCCATGCGCATGCGCTGCATGGCCACCATTCTCCGGGGCAAGGCCAAAGTAGTTTTGCATTGTAGAACGCAGTATTCCCAAGCAATGGATGCTGTGGAACATGCTCACGCCCCAACCTTGGCTATACGTCTCGTTGTGTCGAACCAGGAGGAAGCCACCAAGAGGAGTGTTCATCGCCTGGCTCCATGCTCCGTCAACGGCGCTGTCAAGCGACTCGATATCAGGACGTTCGAGAAACTCAAAGAGGAAATTTGAGTTTCCTCTAGAAGCGCTGGAACCACGTAAAGCATCATCACTTGGGCTGTAAATGGTGCGCTGTGCGTCTTGGTGCCCGCCCCCGCCGAGAGGTTTCGCCAAGTTGGTGGGCAAGCCCGTCAACAGAGACTGCAGTACAGGCAATGTTATGATCAAGAGGGCCAGGACTGCCACAGAGCTTAGGGTCCATATCCAGAACTGATTCATCTGTGGCTTCGGCATCTTGTGCTGTGTCGTTGCAATGGCGAAGCGATGTGTACTGGTATTGGGTAATTCCAAGCTGAGAAAGCTTCTCAAATCAAGGCACACTGATCTTTTGGATGAGGAGAGTACATGTAATTGACCTCACGGGCACTCAACGGGCGCTGGGGTATTATATGCACGCTACCAAGACAGGGATACCACCCGTATGGAGTACTAGGTAGACTGGGTCTTGCATGAATGCAACATTCATTTGTCTATTGGATGATGAAACTAGAGTACTGTATATATATATATATATACTACACAGATATAATATAATGGGTTTATGATTCCAAAATATAAGATGTGCTTATATATAAGCTTCCTTTTTTCGATGGAATACTTTTCGACCAAAAACAAAGGTAATATTGATATTATAATACTTGCATTATACTTGGCTAGACTAGTGGCGGGAAATACCATCTGCTCCTAGGCCACCCGCAAGCCCCAGTGGCTATGTGTGTGATTACATGCAGTCTTTTACACCAACATGAAGCTGTAACCATCATATCGACGTTCTAGCAGCCTTCTGATAACAACCACGCCGAGACATATTGCCCGCAGACCTTCAAAAACTTGCATCTCAAGCCAATCTCAAATGACCCTGTCCCTATATCTACTGTCTGTAGCAACGTTATAATGGCCCTCGAACCCACTACGCCCCTCACCCCGCGTCAATCCAAAGTCGTCGGCGCCCTGCTCGGCCTCCACGCCGGCGACTCCCTTGGCGCCACTTTCGAGTTCAAATGCCACACTCAGATACGCACCGCATATCCCAACGGCCTCCGTGACATCGTAGGCGGCGGGCTCCTCTCCTGGCCCGCTGGCCGTGCCACCGACGATACGGACATGACACGCGCCGTGCTCCTCGCTTACCGTCAGCTCCATGACAAATCACAGCAAGATGTCGCCGTCCTCGCGGGGGAGCTTTTCCTGAGCTGGTTCAGGGGTGATTGGCCTGGGAGGAAACTCGGCTCGCGGCCTAGAGATGTGGGATTGGCCACAAGAGTAGGGCTGCAGAAGTTCTCAAAGACGCGTGATCCTGAAAAGGCCGGTGCAGGGGAGGGAAAGGCAGGCAACGGTAGTTTGATGCGATGTCTGGCAACGGGGCTGTTCCAGAGTGATCCAGACAGGCTGGTGGAGGAAAGCATGCGAATAAGCATGATTACGCACAACGACGAGCGGTGTACGATTGCGTGTGCAGTATACAACCACATCGTTGCGGCTTTGATACGAGACACAAGTCCAGAAAGTGCAGTTGACGCCGGGGAACTGTTGGCGGAGAGGCTGGAGAAGAGGAAAGATGGGCCTGTGCTGAAGGCTGTGAGACTTGGAAGGACGGTATCTATCGCGCGGATGGCGAGGTATGGTCCCGACTTGAGCGAAATGAAGGGTGCGTGTAGCGGCTTTGTGCTGGAGACGTTGGCATTGGCGATAGCGGCGGTGTTGGATAAGAGGCCCTTGGAAGATGTGTTGGTCGACGTGGTAAGAGTAGGCAACGATACGGATACAAATGGTGCCGTGGCGGGAGGGTTATTGGGCGCAAGGGATGGTGTTGGCGGTGTGCCCGAGAGGTGGAGGGCGAAGTTGCAGTTTGGGGAGGAGTTTATGAGGATTGGAGTTGAATTGACGCCGGAGTAAGGGCTTCTGAATGACTTGGAAACTCATCAAGATTTGACATGCATCTAGTGTGATTTTCAATCAGATACAGTGCTGTAGACGTGACAATCTGAACATTGCTTCCTCCCTCAATGGACTCTGCCTCATCGGACATCAAGGACATGTGCGTGCGTACTTGTATGTGTTGATGGGATCAAGCCTCCATTGTTGCTCAGTGAACTCAGCATCACAATAAGGCCAGTCACAATAGCGATTGGAGACATGTATAGGTGGCTTCTTGTTTGCATTTTAACAACCAATCTGCATTGATATGATCCTCAAACGATCAATATCAACGTCGATCTTGTACCCGGCCGTTGAAAGAAATGTGTTTTACAAAATCTTCTCAATATTGCCTCTAAAAGAAATAGTTTTGGGTTTAAATCTAGTGATCTAATGACACATCATATTCTATTGACTCAATGTTGTAAATCACTGACTATGTCAATTAATTAGCAAATCATCCGTCTCTCTTCAGAGGCAAGCTCAATTTCAGAGGCACTCACAGCTCATTCAACAATGAAAAGAATCAGGCGCTAATAAAGTCTCTCAGGCTTTTGATTCCCGCAGTAGGGGAGAATATACCAATTCTTTTTTTATATAAAACCAGAGCGCCGAAGTATAAAGTAGATCAACCTCATATATCGATCATGTCGTGGGAATATACGCTTCAATATTCGTGACATGCAGCCCGATAATGGAGTAAGGATTTATAACCCTTTAATTTGTATATCACGTTAGATAGTAAATCATTCATCCTTGTAACTACTCCCAAAACGTCTAGCTGTAAACTATTAAAGCCATGGAACTCTCAGCAAGATGGGGTAGTATAGCAAAGGTTGATGTTTTACAGTGACTTATAACTCTCAATACATGTATGGAGAATATACTTTGTCTATTAGTCTTGTCTTCGTATATACTGTATATAATCAACGAGTTGTTTGCAAGTATTCTTCAATTTTTTTTTCCCAACTAATACATCCTGGAAGCGCTTTACAATTGAAACCCTTTTTTTCCTGTCTCTTGGAAGTAAAAAGAAAGATGGTTCGGTAAAGATAGTATATCAGTATTTTGATGAACTTGAATGCAGGAGTGTTCCTAGTTCATCTCCAATATTCTACATCAGCCTGCTTAACCAAGCCAAGTCGATTCAATACGAGACATCAAATCATACCGTCGGAAGCAAGTACTATACCTAAGCTGACATAAGTTGACCAGGGGTGCTATCGGAGAAAAAAGACATGGAAGATATTTTCCATAGATTATGCATAAGGCTCCTCCCTAATATTGTATCATAATCCTTCGTATCCTCTTCACCGCATCACTGCCGTATTTTAATATCTCAAAGCCTCGAGCCCCTCACATTAATGCGTAGACCCTGCCTGGTTGTTCCACAAAAAAGGACAAAAAGGGTGTCCATACTCCCGAAGGGTGTTAATACTCCCCGCTTTCGTCTACCAATATTCTGCGGTCACATACTAAACATCATTTCTTGCCCCATTTACAGCGTGTAGCCTTATCATTTGGTTGCTACATAGCTATCGCAAAATCCTGGAATTATCAATATCACGCACCCAAATCCTGGGCCTTGGCAAACGCTAAGCTTTCCCAAAGAGACGTTGCGTCCAGGTGATTAACTACTCTTGACCACTCACGATGTCGCAACCCATGTTGGCATCATATTTGTTGGGCGTTCTCGAATGGTCTGGGAAGCTCAGAGCTTTTGCAGCTGCCGGAATCGTCCATGCATCTGCAGGTGTGCGCTTAGAACGGCAATGGATGGGTCACGAACTCATTTAAGATACAGACAATGAGAAAGTAGACTTATACATATTATATCTATATGAGTGAAAAAAAAAGAAGAAGATTAATAGCACGACAAGTATATATAAAATGACATCCAGAGCACGCAAGGCTGATCTTTTTCTCGCAAGCTACAGTTTCTAAGATAGGCTGCTATGCTTGTCCCCTAATGCGACTTCAACCATGATTCTCTTGCGTTCACTGTTCCTTCCGCTAGTAGCCGTCCTTGTGGTAGGCTCCTCTGATAAAGCTGGCGGAGCTTTGATCATTGAACTGGATGAGAAATCAACCACTCTGGATGCTTTTACACAGAGCGCCAGCGCCATCAACTATACTGTTAGGCGTACGTTTCATACTCCCGGGATATTCACAGGCATCGCCATCGATATACCTAGCGGCAGTGACTTGGATGAAGCAAAATCACGCCTTGACGCAATACCTGGCGTCGTCGGCGTGGCCGATATTATTCAATATGAGATCCCTCGGATAAAAAGCAGATCTGTATCTCCTCCAAGCGCTGGCTCGTCGCTTACACGCCGTGAAGATGTCTCTGGAGATTTGGGATTCACTCTACAAATGGGTGGTGTTGACAAAGCTCACGCGCTAGGTATAAAGGGTCAGGGAATAAGTATCGGCTTCATTGATACTGGAGTTTATTACAATCACCCTGCTCTTGGCGGAGGCTTTGGAAGTGGGAAAAAAATTGCCGGCGGATACTCTTTTATTACGGATGAAGGGGCTTTGGTCGACAGCGCCGATCCATATTCTGATTGCCCTCAGTCAGACCATGCGACACACGTGGCAGGTTAGTAAAGGAAATTCCAAAGCTACCTATAATAAATAAGCAGTAGCTAAGAAAATACCATCTAGGCATCATTGGGATGGACCCGTTACAGGCCCCCGATGGCTTCCCTATATCTGGCGTTGCCCCTGAGGCATCTCTATATGCTTATCGCATCTTCGGCTGCGGTTTAGGCGGGGGTGCTAGAGAAGGGGGCACTACCGATCTAGTCTTACAGGCAATGCTCAAAGCTTTTGAAGATGGGGTCGACATTATTAGTATGTCCCTGTCAATCAATGGGGGAATGACTGGAGAGTTGCCATCGTATGACCCTGTGACAGCGACGGCGCAACAGATTAAGAATGCTGGCGTCGCTATTATTGTTGCCATGGGAAATGACGCATCAGGTTCATTATACGCAAACAACCTCTACATCGAAACCTTCCCTGGCGAGCTATCAAGTGTTGTTGCAGTTGCTTCGATTGCCAACTCGAACTACCCCCTGGTCTATACGGCAACGGATGAGTACGGCGCAGAATTCCACTATTCAAATTCTCATCCTATTTCAGCAACCGAAGGCCTCGATGTTTATTTGCTTCCGGGTGATGCGTGTGATACGTTTGACTGGAACGAGATTGTCGATGACATTCAGACATCGGGTAACCTAAGCACCACCGTCATCGCTCTGAGTGTCAGCGCGTCTTGTACGTTGTCAGGCATGTCGTGCTGCGGAAACACCGTCCCGCCTTACTTGCTTGGCTTTTACGGTAATGATACGAATCCATATGATCTGGACTATGAAAGTATCTTGCCGTACCGGTTTAATAACGGGTCAACCCAAGCATACACCGTGCTAGAGCCCGATTCGGATACTTTCTTCAGCAACTACAATGCTTCCGGTGGGTATGGGAAGTATAAGCTATTCTTTGGCAACTCAACATACATCAACCCTAAACAGGGTTTGGGTGGCATCGTCGACTCATACAGTGATTGGGGCCCCATCAGGCTAACATATGAGCTCAAACCACAAATTGCGGCTCCAGGTGGCCATATTCTGTCCACGTTCCCAGAAAGTATTGGTAGCTATGGCGTCATCTCTGGAACGTCAATGGCAACGCCTTACATCGCTGGCTGCTTTGCACTCGTCAAGTCCCAGTTCCCTGACTGGTCAGTCGATGAAATCTTGGTTGCACTGCAGACTACGGCGCAGCCAACTGTTTGGGCATATAATCAGAGCATGTTGGCAGCCACTGCTCAACAGGGGGCCGGCTTAGTCAACGTATACGAGGCCATCACAACAGCCACCCGCGTTTCTCCAGGGCAGCTAGCTGCAACAGATAACAATAGCACTACTTTCGGCTTGGTCAACATCACTGTTGAAAACAAAGGAGATTCTACTCAGACATACACGCTTGGTCATCGCGGAGCAGGTTATACGTTTGAGAACGTCGGTTACGGCGAAAGGGACCAGATGGCCAATTTTGGATCCGCAGAGTTTGCAACTCCGACTTTCGAGCTCGAGCCCGGTGAGGCCACGGAGATCCCTATACGGCTGTCTTATCCACCTCTTGGTATCGATGTGAGCCGGCTTCCCCTCTTTTCGGGTTATATCGATGTAGTTCCCGAGACAGGGGTTAATCTCAGCATCCCATATATTGGTCCTGGCTTTTCGCCCTACAACATGGATTACATCACGTATCTAAATGCTACTCCGACATACCCAGGTCTTCCATGGCTCTCATTTCCAAATGACAGTGGGACCAACTACAACGATGGATTTTCTTCCGTGGACTCATCCAGGCAATATTCGTTCAGCATACATGTCCAGCAATTCACGAACCTATCGAGGGTGGATATTGTCCCAGCAAACACTACGTTGAAGGCTCACTTCAATGCTGCCAATTTTACCTTCCCGTCAAACTATACATATGTCCCTTCTACTACCCAGCCCAGTTCGACACTCTTTGGAGAGCCAAGCTATGGCAATCTTTGGATCGCGCAAGGACTGACGCAACCCGAGAGTATTTCTCTTCAAGGTAAAGGTTTAAAAGTCAAAGATGATAGCGGTGCAAGTATCACACTAGGGTCTGGTGATTACAGATGGTTTTTTAGCATCTTGAGGTTGGGCGGTGATGCTACGCTGCTCGAAGATTATGATACTTGGCTGGGCCCCATTGTTCGGTTGCTGGATTGATGATCTTTTGCTTTTCACCCCTTCTGAGAGTTTCTCAATTGGCTTATTTAATAAATGACGGCGTAGAAGCTTGATATTGTGTATATGAGCGCATGATAATGCATAGCTTAGCATAGAGTTGTCGTTTCTCTACTCGCTCGTTTGCCTTGAGTGACATCGTGGCACTTCTAACTAACGTACTCAAATGGCCATCCCATCATCCCAATGTTAAACTTTGTTCCCTCCTCAATTTCCTTGGCTTGGGCCTTGAGTTCTTCCACGTCCCAATTGCACCACACAAACTTGCCCCTCAGAAATCGAGCTTCGGGACTTGCAAGCCAAAGGTTGAAGCCGGCCGGAAGAGACACTAAACACGTCTAGATTAGTTTTTGATTCACATTCTCTTCATTACTATTATTTCGCTTACCATCGTCAGTCTGAATGCCCTCAAAGCTCGCGGCGCCTCCCGCGCGCAGGTTCATCTCAGTAAGTACCACGCCCGGCTGCGTATGAAAGATGCTCAAATTTGGGTTGTTAATGGTGATGGTATCCCAGAGCCGATAAACAGCCAACTTTGCGACACAGTACGAAGAGAATACATCGTTGACACTCCAATGCGCGGCCCACGAGTTGATGATGATGGCGACTGCATCCGGAGTCGCGTGTCGGAGGAATGCCTGCGCAACCCAGAGCGCACCGGCAATATTGTCTTGAATTGCCTCGAGGTAAGTGTCACCGTCTGCTTCTGCAACGCCCTCTTTGGGTCCAATTACAGCTGCACCATGGACAAGGACGTCGATCTTCCCGCTGCCGGCGAACTGGGAGAATGCCGCATCCACGTCGCTCTTTTTGGTGATGTCTGTGGATACCGTAATGACTTCGACATTGGAAAAGTTCTTCTCGATGAACGCTTTGTTGTCGAGGAGTGGTTGCTCCCGGCGGCCAAGCAGAGCGATTTTCGAGGCACCCGCTTCAGCAAAGTAGCGAGCTGTCTCTCCACCAATGCCAGTGCCTCCTCCTGTGACTAGCACAGATTTGCCTTTGGCAGATAGCTCGGGACGACTAGGGAGTGTAGACGGTTGCGCTTTGTGGTGAAAAGCTTTAGTTGGGGACGGAAAAGAGAGACCTTGAGCCATGATGATTGTAAGAAGTGCGTGTGTGGTGTATGATGATGGTTGAGAAAGGTGGTGAATGATGAATAGAGTTTGTTCGAGAGTAATACCTGCTTTTATATATGAGAATTTTATTATTATAGTGGCTACGAATTGAAGATTACAAGCTACAATTTGTCAGAGCAAACGTGGTTGAAGCAAGACTGGAGTAGTTTTACAACATTCTCCGTTACAATTTGTTCCGCCCGGCGGCTTGCTCTAAATTAGAATGGAGCAGACGATGGGATTTATAAGCGCTGCACATTCATTTAATTCGTAACAAAGCTGTTGCATCTACTATCGTCATACGTAAATTATCTACATCGATCGAGATGTACTCGGTAGTCACGTATTTTGGACATTATGAGATGCAAACAGCATCTCTCTGCAAGGTATCCCATTTCCTAAATAGGTAACTACCAGATATGGAGGATGAGCCCCTATTCCTCGGGTAAGTATGGAGCACTACGTCAACTGAAGCACAAGTGCTCATAGTGTCGCGTGCCTATCAGGGGCACTAAGATTCCTCCCAAGGCATATATTAGTAATGCTGAACGGCGGCCACGTTATTATTCAGCGCGGACATTTCACAACGACAAAACGACAACATCCCGCTCAACAACTGTCCAAGATATACAAGCTCTGGGTTAAAGTAATTGGACGATATGGAGTTCATTCTGCGGTGCGAGCAATGCAATAAGCCCTTTAATAAAAGTGAGCGGCCATTTGTACCGAGCTTTGTTGCGCATACTGACGCTCAGGGATATAGAGTCGACATTCAAGCGACATGGGTATTATTGCCGTTCTCAAAGAGGTGACAATGCCTCTCGGCGTCGATCATGTCTTTCCTGCGCGAAGAGTAAGGCAGGCTGCGATGCCAAGCAGCCTGAGTGCTCAAGGTGCATAGCCAAAGGTCTTGAGTGCCAATATCCAGCAAAGACATCCAGAGCTTCGGTGTTAAAGGCTCCGCGTAGTGATGCCGCCTCTACTGAGCGGCAAAAAGCGACGGATTCATTGGTGGTGGATTCCGTTAATCTCAATGGTGATGATATCATTCTTGACGATGCTTTGTTCATGCCGCAACTGGGCTTCGCAGACCTGGAAGGAAACTATCTTCATTTGGATGACATTGGCACCGGCCCTAACGAAGACCTTTTGAATCCTCAAGTAAATATCAACAATTCACACTTTTCGACGGCGCAGCCATCTCCAGTTCATCGCTCGTCACCCCAAACAGATACCGGCGTCCAAATAGATCAGAACTTGTCATCACCAAAGTTTTCTATACCAACAGCGCCAGGCGCTGCCCGATCAATGATCCGCCGACAAAGAACGCAGACTGCAGCCCAAAGGGTTTCCAATCTTATTTCTCACACGCTTCAATCCTATCCCTTGATGCTGCTGCGCTCAAGTACTCTTCCGCCTTTTATCCACCCTAGCATGATCACTTCTAATGATGAGAATCTCCATCTGGAGTCCCTTACCAACTGCCTCAGTCTGGTTCAAATGATCAGCACTGGGATCCAGACAAGTCGAAAGTTGTTCTGGAAAAACGTACGGATGGAATGTGAACGCCTGTCCGAAGAGGTATACATTGGATATCCTGGCTGTTAAAGCAAGGTGTATACGAGGCTAATGAATGAATGCGCTTTTAGTACATAAAATTGAACAAATATGAACTGCTCACTGCCATGCAAGCACTTCTCATCTATGTACTCATACGACTGGATGAAGGAGCAACAGATTATAATAATTTTGACACTTTGCTGCTGAAAGCTGTGACCGTAAGTCGGACCCTCGCTTCTTCCATTTGCCTTGACTCTAAGAATGGAACATAGGTGACGGCTCAACGATTCAACGGCTTTGATGATGCAACCTTTCATACAGAGTGTGCACATTGCAACAATGGACTGGAAATTAGTTGGAAAGAGTGGGTTTTTAGAGAATCAAGACGAAGGTTGGACCTTGTCCCTCGTTGCAAACTTCCTATGCTAATATGCTAACTGAACAAAGACTAGGAATCGTCTACCGAGTCGTGAATATGCTCGTTTATTTTGAGCCAATGGCCATGTGCGATCTGCCCTCTGACCTCATTCTAGCGCCATTACCGGCCAAAAAGCAGCTATGGGAAGCAGGCGATGAGTTTGTGTGGAAGGCCGCGGGGCAGAGAGGGATGGGAGACAAAGGAGCCTTTGGATTGGCAACGCACGGTGGCCTTGTCAAGCTAGACGATCGTGAGCTGTCTTGCAGTGATGCTTGGTTGCCGTACAAGTGCTTGGAGACTAGGGGCCAGTCGAGAAGCACTGCTAGCTGGGAGGAGTGGTGCTCGGGGATAGATGGGTTTGGAGGACTTGTCATGCTTGCTGCATCCTTAATAGCGTAGTGTATATATCGGAAAGACTCCAAGATCCGCGTATCTAACTCTCAGTCGATGTATTCGTAGCACTTATAGGCGATGGCGAGACTAAAGAAAACATTCGTGTTATATTTCCATCGCTTGCTGAAGGACATTCTCAAGAAGTAAATGCATACCCTCCCAATTTAGCATACATGAATCTGAAATCGAGCATTGGATTCTCTTCCAACATGTTTGCTGTTACCGAAGCGGCGCGTAGATGGCCAGATGCAGCTATGAACTTCATCGTGTGAATCACCCAAAGGCGCAACTTGGGGTTCGTTGTTGCACTGCCGGCTATAAACATGGCCGGGAGGAGAATGCCGCATTTTAGAGCCTGGACAGGAGTGAAAGGGATGCAGTTGTTTGGATGGACATTGGGGAGAAGGAACTGAGGTGCTGAGGCACAAACTTGCTCCGCATAGCGCTCCGTAAGGGCGGATGATTCTGAGCGAATGCGAATAGCTTCGTCGGACTCGTCGCCTTTCAAGGCCCTTGTGATGTAGAAATGAAGCTGGAGGTGCATTATCCGAACTGTGTTTCGTACTTGCGTTGTAAAATGATCTCTGTAAACATCATAGTGATCGCCAAAGATGAAGGATCGGTCGGGGTCTTCCTCCGATACCATGACATGCCTAGGCTGCCATCTTTGCGATGATGTCTCTTCAATTTCGCAATAAGCATCCTCAAGCTGCCTAGCCTGAGCGACAATTTCGCTCTTGGACAACTTTCCCTCAGCGACATCTATTCGGAAATTGATCATTTTACAATTCATATTGGAAAGCCGCCACTTGGCATCATCCTTGTCGTGGAACATGTCAAGTCTCCGCCCCAGTTCAGCAACGCCTTCTGGTATCCGCTGAGTCGCAACGTAGCAGCTGATGAGAAGTGTCGTGAAAAGTTTGTTGGCCAGCTTTCTACTGACTTCGCTTCGTGTCATGTCATTGTAGCCACGAGCCTTGATCAATGCCAGAGCTCCGTTGAGGTGGGCCAGCCAAGATTTCTCCGACATAAGGTCGCGGCCCATAATCTTTTCATAAAGATCGAGAAGTAGCACTGACTGCAGGGTGGAGTCGGCACTCGCAAGCTCACGGCTGGATAGAGCCTTGTTAATCTGCCGCAGGGCAAGCATATAATTTTCGGCAGCCAGCCGCAGAAGTTCCGTTGATGATGTCGCGTGATTATTCGCGAAGAAAGCAAGGCTGGCCGCATCTACACTAGCAGATAAGTGGTCTCCCGGCTTTGCTTTCTCATACAACGAAGGCAGGATATCGTAAGTACTAGATAGGCCGTATACATAGTGCGCAAAGAAGTCATGACGAGCACGAAGGTGCCAAGCCGGCTGGGGCTGCGATGAGAGACGGTAGCTATTAGGCAGTATCACATGGTTTAGAGCTCCGAGCTGTAAAGATACTGTCGTTGCTTTGGAAGCCAACATCTTGCGCTGGACGCTGCTTGTCTGGTCGCGGAAGATGAGATCATTGGTATCCCGGTAGCCAAAGCATGCGATACTGGCCCGCAGACATTGGCCACAGCCATCCTTGCGCAGGTCGCACTAACGAGGCCCCCATGTGTATGTTAGCCGCAGAGATCTGGAAAGGCTGTACGGATATGCCCATCTATAACCACATGTAGTATAAAAATTGGGGATTGTATTGTACCTTGAGCTTGCGTTTCCTGCATGGCAAGCAGTCTTTGGAGGGTCCTCGATAAACCATGAGGGGATAGCGAACCGATCGCCCTTTCCAACGGATGACTAATGGCGTAACAATCAAGAGATCAGGGCGCTAATCAGCGATTGCAGACGCTCCATGCGGTCGTTCTTGTCAAGAGAAGATGCTTCATTATTGCGGTTTTCCCAGCTTGCGGCGCCTATAGAGTTCCTCGCTCTCGGAGCTAAAGTCCGCGTCGGAGATGGGCCAGATGTTAACAGCGGGCGCTAGGCTTGCAAGGGCTAGCGTTCCGGAGTGTTAGATCTGTCTCCACAAAGAATACAGGCACAGTGATTCGATGTTTGGTGTAGATTCATGTGACGCAGATTCTAGACGGAGAGAGGCTCAAATCATCAGATCAAGGGGCTATTTCTATACTGACGTGACGTATACTAACCCATCATACAGGCGGATTCAAGTCCGCGGACAGACTAGTGCAATCTCCATTAATACTCCTGTATTGGACCTTATACAGCTAGCGTTCCGGTACACAGGCCATGTGTGCGGCGAAAGAGGAGACTGAGGATGGCTTCGTCAAGCAACAGAGCATAACAACATGCAGCATGGGTCACAGAAGTCCGGTATTCGCGACTTTGCATGTTTAATCCCGAGAACTTCCATAATGTATAAAAAGGGCACTTTTCCACGGCTTGAAGGAGGAACTACAACTCAATCTCATCTCAGCCAACCTACAAACAGACTCGCAACCAAAGCTCAACGACTCAGCCAAAATGGTATTCCAGTATAAGCGCGTTCTCCTCGTCGGTGCCACCGCTGGCATTGGCGCGGCCATGGCAGACAAGCTTGTTGAAGAAGGCGCCAAAGTCATTGCCGTCGGTCGCCGTCAAGAACGTCTCGACGCTTTCGTTGCCAAGCACGGCCCGGAGCGTGCCAGCGCTATTAAATACGATGTTACTGACCGAGCTGGCCTCGATGCTTTCGTCAACAAGTAAGAAAAGGCTTCTTACAGTTAGTTTCTGCGAACAAATGCTAAAATAATGGTAAATTGCCGCAGGGTTGTCGAAACATATCCCGACTTGGACTGCGTCTTCCTCAACTCAGGAACCCAGACTCAAGCCAAGCTGACTCGGCCAGCCGAGATTGATCTCGATGCTTTCCACCACGAATTTGAAGTCAACTACATTTCTGTCGTGAACCTCACAATCAAGTTTCTGCCGCACCTTGAGAAGAAAGACTATCCCACCAGCGTGATTGTTACGGGATCGCTTCTGTCACTGGTCCCCGCATTTTTGATGCCGGCATACAGCGCATCCAAGGCCGCTCTCCGAGCCTTCTTTGACTCTCTCCGGAGACAGCATCAAGGCTTCTCAAAGATCAAATTCATCGAACTTTTGCCTCCTGCCGTTCAAAGTAAGCGCTTCACTTTTTTTTTACAGACATCTCCCTTTCTGTCCTCCTTTATCGCCATGATGCAATCCAGGCTAACGAATTCTTCTCTACTTTACTCTCATTAGCTGAACTCCACGATTACATGGGCGTTGAGCGCGGCCGGGCCGTGGGCATGCCGCTCGCTGAGTTTACTGAACAAGCATACGCCGCGCTTGCCTCGGGCAAAGAGGAAATCATTATCGGTAACCTCCACGGCGCTGCCGCAGAAGACGTTCAAATATTCTTGGAGAAGAGAAAATTGATGTTTGACAACTTGTCCAATGCAATGGCTCTGCACTTCCAACCATAAGCATGATCGAAGCTGGAGCCGGGTTTATAGGGACGCATAACGGAGAAGTGTTATTAGATGGCTCTCTATATCTGTATAGCATGTACACTCAACACTGGTAGATGTCACATATGTATGTTATCCATGTTTTGGCCAATAGAATTATTCGAATAGATTGCCTCTACTTTTTCTCGCTCGTCATCTGATATTATCACAAGCGAAAGTCACAGCCCTTCTAAGATACAAGGCACCCTCCGGGAACTGTGGGGCCTCGGCGAAAGTGGAGTTCCGGCGGCCAACATCTCGGTCCCGGAGCTCGTCATCAAACTGCCATCTAGCTCGACCACACATTGTCAAATCCTTCATACTATATATAGACCTGTCAAAGACCAAAACGGCCATATGGTTCGATCATACGATTATCTGCATTCTCAGCGCTATTCAATAGCGGGGGTAATAGTGCAAACCTTAAATGAGTCTCATCGAAAGCGGAAATCTATTCGAATCCTCCGAGAAAGTTTGCGCGTCCCGCACAAACACCGCCGACGTCACATAAACGTAGCAAGACCGGAATAGTGGTAAAAAGATTTAAACGTTTCGAATGCCAAGACAATATTGATATTCTAGAAACTGGATGATCTGTCAAAAGAATTTCAAAGTGCTTACTTTCATCGACCATCATAGCAGATCCTCATTCACAGAACAGTCAAGAGAATGCTGTCGTTTATAGAGACCGAGACCCCTCCTACAAAGGTCTTCTTTCCCGCATTTCAGCTGCAGATATGCGGCGAGCTCTTTGCCCCAGAGTCTGGGTCACCGAATCGCATGGGAGCAGCCGTCGTCATCAGCCATCCAATGACGGGCGTTAAAGAGCAGACATCAACCACTTATGCCAAACTTCTCTCCACGGCCGGCTTCTACGCCCTCGTCTTTGACGCCGGATATCAGGGAGAAAGTAGTGGTGAGCCTCGGGGTCTGGAAGACCCCCACCAGCGAGTGGAGGATATCAAAGCGGCGGTCAGCTACTTGACAACTCTCAGTGGCCGAGTGGACGCTCAAAGGATCGGCCTCCTGGGTATTTGCGCCTCTGGAGGATATGCTTCCTACGCTACGCAGTCCGACAGTCGCATCAAATGCCTTGCGACCGTGAGTGCAGCCTGCGTGGGCCGCATGACACGCAACGGCAGCGTTCATCCATATGTCAAGGAGAATCCTCAGGCCATTGCCACAGCTCTGGAGGCCGCCGGCCAATGGCGCACCAACGCAGCCAAGAACCCAACATCAAAACCTGATGCTCCTGTCATGTTTGAGACAGACCCCTCCAAAGTCCACGAGGAATCGGACTCCTTCTTCAGGGATGCAGCAGCCTACTACGGCACCAAACGCGGCAAACACGAACGAAGTACCCACAAAGTTCCTCCACAGAGCTACGACCTGATGATCGGCTACGACTCATTCAACTTTCAACATTTGATAGCGCCGAGGCCGTTGTTGATGATTGCGGGATCAGCGGCGCAAACGCTGCACTACAGCAAGACAGCCATCGACGGAGCGAGGCAGCCCAAAGAACTCTTTGTGATATCAGGGAAGAACCACTTTGATCTATACGACGACCTGCGAGAGTCCGGACCAAAGGTGGTGGATTTTTTCGCCAGTGGGCTCGACTGAAGAGTGATATAGATGAAGAGGGGGAGGGGCACCGAGATAACAGAGGTAAATGGCGTTACAATGCCGTATTTGTTTGAGATTTGATGTGAATAGTAATCAGACTTTATTGCTTTGGGCTGGACTGGGCGCGGATGCAGTCACGGACAGTGACAAGTGTTGAGTAATCGAGATGGATCCGTGTCCATTTAGCATCTTTTCCGCCCATACAAACTCAATAAAGAACAGCCATTGTTCGGATTTGTCACTGTGTCCGATAATTCACGAGTATGAGGTTCGGGGAGCTGAGTACACGGCGGAGGAATTACATGCTCGTGCGCGGCAATATTTCCGATGATTGCTGACGGCGGTTATCACAAACGAAAAGAGGTCTTTGATGTCACTTTGGAGCAGATAATTCAATAATTTTCCCACCAAACAGACGTATGACTCGTCGTTGGCAAAAGAAGAAATACCATCGCATATCGCATACGGCAGCGGAGAAGATGGCCGGCATCAATGCATGCAAGGTCTAGTGCTTGTAATCATTTACATACATGCACATTCCACATTTACATTTACACACAGCCAAGAACGCCTCCATCCAATGCCCGACGACCGAACCTTTCAGATCTGCAGCCATCCATAGCCCCAGACAGCCATGCAAAGAGGCCAAATGTGGAATAAAATGTTTTGTCAAAGTGACAGCCTTTTTTTCGTCCATCGTTTTCAGCTCCTCCACTAACATCCAGAAAGGGGGAGGTCCACAAGCCTAACTCAGCATGCTGGCCCAGTAAAAAAAGAGTAGTTACTCGTAGGTACATGTAGTATTAATGAACAGCTCTCGTTGTGGAATTTAGCTTGTGCTTTTCCTTCTCCTCTCTTTTCGTTGCTCCTTTCTTGCAAAATATACTGCCATACGACTTCTTCTCTTCAACTTTCTCTTCTCACGTGTCGCAGGATTCATCGGCCGCTTGTCACTCCGGAGTACCGTTGCCTTAGTCAGCGCTGCCATACTGCGGTTCCGATTCCGACGCCAATCACGACCAAAACTCCAGAAATCAATCGCTTCATTCAGATCTAAATCAGTTGTAGAATCTGACTCAGCAGAAACTCAAAGGTCTTTGGTGGCGCACACTTGGATCTTGCCTCGTGCCTGAGGGCTGCTTTTCGGTTTGGCGGACAGAAGTCCCCTCTCCGGAGAACCTCAAAGGCGCTTGATCACCTCAGCGATCACCTCAGCTGGATCGAATCAGCCTCGTTTTAGTCACTCCGTGTTATTGGTACTTGTTAGCCCGGGACTTTACAGGCTTCTATTTGGCAGTTTGCTCGTTCCCTGCTTTCTTTCACCCTCTTACCGATCCAGCATCTCCGCCTCATCTAGTCATATCTCTCATTGCTGGCACCCCTGGAAGGTCGAATAATGGACGTGGACGACCCGTCGTCTGAAGCATCAAGTCCATCCCCGTCGACAGACCAAGGCCATGGTTTTGATGCCTTGATGCAGGCTCGTCAAGTCGAATCCATCGCCTATCATGCTTTGATCAACGAAGGAGGTCGCCCGTCACATCCGCTGAGCCACTTGCGGACCATTGTTGCTTCACCTGGCCAGTATCGCGACATTTTGGCATTCTGGCAAGACCAGTCAGACGAGTGGCAGGTTTTTGGCAAGCAACTATCAAGATGGCAGATGTTTCGAGCCCACCAGAGAGCATCTAGAGAGCCGGAACGATTTCCCAGTTACGTCGAAGAGCTCAATGAACGGCTTGAGCGCCACAACTTTGAGCTTCCTCACTCATTTAAAAAGTCTGAATCCGGATTCAGCAGGCAGCTAGATAGACAAGACAAGCTAGCAACATGGATTGAATACTTGAATTACGAATTTACGAGGCATGACGAATATGACAAATGGCTGGAGACTTGCCAGCCGGGCTATGATGCAGCACTAGCCCAGCTGCTGGAAGCACACGTTTTGAGACCATTTGAGAAGATACGGACACCAACAACCGATATTTGCCGCCCAACTAGCATCGAGATCACGAGGAGGAGAGAAGAGCGTCGCAAGGCAGAAGAGGAATGTGAGAATGCAAAGAAGCAGATCCAGTGGAGAAATGCTCTCGGCAATCCCCAATCGGAAGAGGAGGATCGTCAGCTGGTGGAAGCTAGGGAACGACTGAGGTCTATTCATAAACGGACCTATGTCATTGCTGATTTTGCTCGCAAGACACACGCCTATCGTTTCGCTTTGGATAGGTCGGAGCGTCACGAGCTGCTTCTTCGCTGGGCCTTGGACCAGATTCCCATGATTGAGGAAGAGATCAAGCAGTCAAACACATTAAACAGAGTGCAAGTCGCTTCTCAAGAACAAAGCCGGCCGACAAAACCAGCGTTTCATCGATTCAAGCAGCTCCCACCAGAAATCCGGCATCGAATATGGGCTGAGCTGCTTCCCAAAAAGCCAAGTGTGCACTTTTTCGACGTCTTGAATCACCAGCGGAAGCGCCATCTAGCTACCTCCTGGTCGAGCGAAGAATTCCGCGTGCGGGCCACCACGGCTCGCGACTCTGGCTATCGACCGGTATACACTCTCTTATCAACCTGTCGAGAATCACGACGCGTTGCCCAGACGTACTACACGCGCCAATGGCAAGGCCTGACGTGCGCTGTGACAGGTTCAAGGGTTAAAGACTGCACTCACGCACCCGATTTTCGCACCTTTGACTGGATCCCTCCCGAAGACTTGATTGTCTTGTGCTTCCCCCCAATTCAAGTTGCCAAGCTTCCTCCTGGGAATGCATTTACCCTTTCGCCTGGGGTATCACAGCCGGCAAGACGAATTGGTGTATGTGTACCAACGGAGATTATGAGCATGCATAGCCTCCATCCTGACGAGGGCGAAGGCGAAGACGACGCTGCGCAATTGTCCCTGATACCAGAGTTCATTGATAAGCTTCACAGGCCGATTCACCCTGACCATAAGTGGGACGCTAGATATAGGGGAATTTGGAAGCTATATCTCATTGTTGAGGGATGGTCTCCGAATCATTTGAGTATGCAGGTGACAGCCGGCATTGACACGAACAGGCCAATACACAAGTGGTCCGATAAACAAATCAGCTGGCACTCCCAAGCAGCAAAGAAAGACGAGCGTAAAACACAATGGAAGAATATACTCGGATCCATAGATGATGGATCAGCTTCCGAAGGGAAGAACAACTACTGCAGTGGCGATACTAACAACAGCCGCGATAAGCGTCGGCTATGGTGGCTTGGCTCAAAACGCCCGGCCCTGGGATCCCTAGACCCCGAAGATCTGGTTCAAAAGCCCCAAGCAAAGAGGCTATGTGAATTCATGGACACCCTAGCAGCAGAATGCGATTTACAGCCGTGGAATAAGGGCTTCGAAGGCGTCGAGGCTTTGGGCTGGCTCCAGCCAGCAGAAATGGACGTCCTTGAATGCCACCCGTGGGATTTAGTGGAAGTCATGAAGAAACAGAACGAGCGAGGCCATGTTATCAGGGGTGCTGGAAGCGCGGCTTCAAGCTGATATGGAAGAAGATGTCAATTTCTTCTTTTTTGAAGAGGCAGATTTATCAGTAATAGGCGCCCCTGATTTACGAGCTGGAAGTAGGTATTGAGATTTAGATAGACTGTTCTCGCCCAAGCTGAAGTAGAGATACCCCATTTATTATTACACACTGCGTTTGTCATTTTTATACAAACCATCTTACTTTCACGAATCGCCTGCTTCGAATGAGGGACGGATTATTGGAGAAAAAGCTTTACACCCACTTAAAACAGAAGCTTATGCCCCCTTTTCGCATGCTTCCAATTAGACCTAATGTCTACTCATCTGAAACAATCTCATGAAATGACTAATTTATTGGACAAACTGCAGCTACCGAGCTGCCATAAAGTTATCAGTCGAGCTAAGTGCAATCTCAAATGTCATCAGTAATAACCAGGCCAACCTAAAGGCATAGTAATATACGGAGTCTCTAGTTTGTAGGATCCCAAGAAGACGGCAATTGGCCATCTCCTCGCCGATGATACCGAGGAAAATTTATCCCTGCTTACAACGTACGGTGCCTAGCACACTTTAGGAATCGGGTGATGGATTGTATTGAGTCTGGAATTGCGTCTTCGCTTCAACTTTCAGTAATCTTTTATGACGGCGATAGTGCCGAGGTTCCTCGATTTGTGCCGAAGCGCGAGATACCGCATGATTTGTCTCTTGGGAAAGAGTGAAGTGCACGAAGAGGCTAAAATCTGGCGGCTCAGTAAACACAGGAGGTCGAAAAGGCCGACGGGATGTCTATCTGTCCATGTCGACTTACATAGGGGCACAATGTAGAGAGATAAGCTACCAACCTATTATTATAGCTTCATACGGATCTCTTTTAATATTATTTTTCTTCTTTTGTGCATGTCTTTACTTTTTGTCTCCATTAGCTACGCGGAATAACTATGTGCAGTTTTACAGCTGGTTTTAAAGTCTTTTTTTACAAACTTGTTTACAGCACCCAGTAACCATAAAATATTCTTATCAAACAAGGGACTCTATTACTGCTCCTGTTCCCCTTTTGTCTTTTACACATATTTTGAACTTTGTTTGCCTTTGGATACGCAGAGACTTTATCTCAAGCTTCATAATTACCTAGGTATTTAGAGATCTAGGCGATAGCATTGGTTTACTTTGCTTTGGCCAATCTAGCTGAGCTTTATTTCAAAGTCCAATCAACTCCGTCAGTAACGCTATTCTGTTCTTCAGAGCTATCTCTCTTACGTCGCCTCTTGGCTCTTCGCGACAGCAATTGCCATGTAGGCTTTGCGCCCTTTGTAAGTAGTTGAAGGAAGTCCACTTCCTTAAAGTAGACCATACCGACAACACCAAGATTAATACCGCCGACATCCTGCGTAAATGAAAGATGTTAAAGTCTCCCTCCCATTCTTTCCTCTATCTTCCTCTATTTCCCCTCAACCACGATCACTTCTCAAACCTAACTGGGATACTCTCAAGCTACCAAAGGAGAACGATGGGCCCAGGCCATTGAGGAGGCGGATCAACGCCCGTCCAGCTATCAGCGTCGCTCCCAAGGGCAGCCACAGTATTCCTATCGTCCAGCTCAGGGGCGCTGTCAGTCTCAGTACTGCGCCACGACGGATGGCGACTTGATCCCCTAAGAGGTTATAGTAGTGGTCGGTATCCAGAGTCGAAGTCGATGAAACAAACGAGAAAAGCTTGACCTTGTTACAGAGCTTCATTTCATCAATAGTAGAGGGCACGTTACTGCGTAAAATCTGCTCACATCGGGCATTCCAGTGGACATAAGCACCATTGTGGACTATAACATCCGCTGTCTCAGCAACGTGCTCCCAGCTAGCATCATCGAGGCCAAGACGAGGCTTAGACAGGTCGCCAAGAACACGTTATATTCAATATTGCCCTAGCTACCTATACATTCCAATCAATCTGGCGTAATTGCGGCTACCCAAGTCTATATTAGGAAGTAGTAGATCTTTGCTTTGTATATCCAAGCAAAACTCCAGCCAATTATTCATTCAACTAAAATTCACACCAAGACTACTCTTGGAAGTTGATTTGCTATCCTTGATCCTTCTTCAAAGCGATGTTGGTCCTCACAAGTTATTAGAAGGCCACAACGGTCAAATTGAGCCACAATTGGATATATCTGCTCCCAGCTCATATCAATGGTAAAGTGAATTGGTTAGAATACCGACCATGTATCGGTCAATTTACTTTACGTTGTGAAACGTCGTGGAGGGAAGAAGGGCAGGTTCAGAAGGCGATGGGGCCGTGTATATCATGTATGCAAATCTAGTATAGGCCTCTTATGCCATCATAGTTCGGCCCTGATGAAGCATGTGGCATAGAGCTGTGCTTAATTGAAGTACATCCAGGGCGGAAATTATAACTCCTATCCTTAACCCCCTTCTCCTAGAGACGGAAAATTCTCGATAAGCGTCACATTCCGTATAACTGGAGGTATTTATTCAATGGTTGCCATGAGACCTAAAACTCAATGCCACACTTGCATTAGCTGGGGCACTCAATCTCTAACTTGGTATATTCTTGCTCAGAAATTGCCGCGGACGAACATCTCTGGAACATTGTCTCTAATGACAAATGCGCGAAAAATGAACTAATGGGACTTTACAACTAACAGACAGACTTGATTTCTTCTCTGGGGTGCTTCACATTTAATAATCGGAAATTATTCTTGCATGAGCAGTAGAGGCCCCCGTTACTCATCTTGCCACTGCTACTCTTCCCGACAGCAAGGGAGATGTAGATGTGAGATTTAATATTAGTCGTATTTCCGTGCGGGTGGTGCTGTGTTCCGAGGTGCCCTGCTTCTTTTCCGTAAGTTCTACTTTGACTTCGGATATGCGTCGGGTCGGTTCTCGGGCGTTATTGTGGCTGTCAGGATGCTATCCGGTTAGTCGAGCCGATGTCTATTGTTTGGAATAGTAATCCAACCGCCATACAGGAAGACGTGTCGCTCAGAGCTGACAGGCCCGAGGTGTCGGCGAAGGCGCCAAGCAGAGTATCGTGCTCTACTCCAAGTAACTCGAAATCCATTCGCATATCCGTTGCCCGTGTGGACTATCTCGGCCATAATCTCTTTCAATGGATAATCTCTTGATATCCAACAAGATGTTCCATGAATGGAATCGATGCTCCATCATTGTGCGATGAAATGCCGTACATAGGACCCTTCAAGCGGCCGCGGGTTGTGGGTTATTACCGACAGTTTTGTACAGGTCTCTCAGCTCGAATTCTTCATGCGCACCATCAGGTAATTCTCCCACAACACGCCCTGGCTGACCAGCGACGATGGAGAAGCTCGGAATGACCATGTTGGCGGGAACAATCGTCCCGTCCAAGACCTTGACGTAGTCCTTGATAATGGCAAACTCGTTGACCACGCAGCCTTTTCCAATGTACACATGGTTGCCTATACTCGCAGCCTGCACCACTGTTCCCTGTCCGATAAAGACATGATCACCAATCCTCAACGGCATATATGTAAAGACGCCCTTGTAGATCCGGCCGGGCGGCCGAAGCAGCACAGAACGGGCCAAGAAGCAATATCGACCGATGGCAACGGCGGTGGTATTTGGTGGAGCGGCGCTTCCGCCAGATGGCGGCTGGGCTTGTGCCGTTCGGACGAGATCGCCTCGGATCATGACTTCGGGCTGGATGACGGTCTTGCCGCCCAGCATGATGTTCTGTGTGCCGACGAGGACGGCCTTGCGAGAGACCTTGTTACCGGTGTCCTAGGAAACAGAAGGAATTCGACGTTAGCAGATGTCGCGTCTAGCATGTAAGGATTCCGGCCAGAGGAGCTATATTTGCTGTCTTACGGTTTCTATGTAATCTCCTTTTGCTGGACGGCGCGACATTTTGACCTGTGAAGATGTATGCAGATTGGCGGAGGCTCAAGGTCGATGGAGACGTAGATGGAGCTCGGCTTTGGAGGATGAAGATTTGGTGGGGGCGGCTGGAGCTTGAGCTATGGCCACCTAAAACACCACTTCTCTTATATCGGCAGATCGCGAGGCTTGGCATCTCTTTACATTCACAATTCGCAGATACGTGTCGATTCGATTTCCGCCATAATCTTCAGCTGCCCAGCTATCGCTTTACTGTTATTCGGCTATTTCAAGCCGTTAGCCGCATGGTTAACGCACACAGAATTGATCAGGTGCAGCGCTGCATCATATCAGCTTGTGAATCTTTCCGATTTTGGGCGCGAGGACTCTCGGCCAAAACCCCAATACAGTATGGCTTATTCTATACCAACCAACTTCCTTCCTCATTGTGCTGTTCTATACAGCTGCAATCTATTTAGTCCCAACACTCGAATCCTTTTCTTCTCCTGCCTAGTCCTTTTCGGTTCGAAGCGTGGGGCATCTGCTACCTCGTTTGCGGGCAGAGGAGGCTAACGATGCTGTGATTTGATGGTTGCGCCTTGATTGATGAAGCATGTGAGTCAGGCTGCCGCGGGAAATGTCTCGTACCAGTTTAACCGCGAGGCTGTTTGAAAGAGTTTTGCGACCTATACGCATTTAAATCAAGAGTTGCTGCTTCTTCATTATTGTAGATGTCAAAGAAAATCTGCCTATTTAAATTCCAGTGCAATCTACGACAAAACTTGAGGAACATCACACCCATGCGATTTCAATCAACACTCATGACAGTCTCGCTAAAGCCTCGAGCTACTCCGGCCAGCGAGTCTACTCAGCTTCCACCGCCAGCAGAGTCCACAACCCAAACAGCGACAGCTCCAGTCTTCACATATGTAACCCCTCCAGCAACATCAAGCCAGTCCCTCAACTCAATAGGCACAGGCAACTCCAATTCGGGATTCACACCACCGATTCAAGGGGGCGTAAGTCTTGGCGTATGTGTCGTTCTTCTGGCTGCCGGGCTTCTCGCACATCGCTACAATAAGCGGAGGTTGAATAAACGCTCCGAAGCCAATCAAGATTCTACATCAACACCAGAGGACCCGAATCCTTCAATGTCAGAATCGCCTGCGCAGCACATGTCAAGCCGACAGCGAGAAAAGATGCCAGCAAGTAATAATACATTTCAGACGATTGTGGATGATGACGAGATACGCCCAGTGACTCCTCAGAGGGCATTTTTTGCACCGAAAAGGGGAGGGCGGGCGGATGATGACTCGTCTTCGTTGATGATTTCGCCGTGTTGAAATACAGGATTTTTCAGAGCGATATTTTATTTCGACGTCGGGTTCGGCACTTAAACACCGATGATATCCCAGGGAAGGAAATCTCGATATAAGCCTGAGAAAGCTTCTATAGAGTTATTATCAACATGGTAGCAAACGCAGCTTCATGTACAGAGTTGGGGAATTAATTATAAACTGGGCTGAGTTGAAGCAGGCCGAGTATTGCCATAGAAAACGAAAATACGGTGTAATAATCTTTTTTAGGCAAATGTATATACTTCCTTAAGCTACAACCAATTTTGGATGTTTGTCAATAAAATCTGCAATGTTGAATGCGCACAGATTATGAGTGTACTTCCAGAACACCCCAATAGTACAGTAATCACTAATACAACCAAGGCTTTCTTCTTCGTGATTGAGCATGCATGTTTTCAATACATGAATGCTTTTTCGCACAAAGGGCGGCTAAAAGTCGCCTGGCAGAGCCACACCGGCCATGTGGCCGCCTGTACACGTAGTTTCATATTCGCGGCGCTTGTTCAAGGCGGACTTGCGGTGTTTCGTTACAACGTGTTGGCCATGTGCGACCCTTTTCGAAAGCCAGCAAAAAGTCGCTTCCTAAAGCTATAGTGTAGCCATTTGAGCAAAGTAAAAGGCGTGTGTTACGTCGTAACTGGATCATGGGTCATTGTCGCAAGGCCATTGTCTTTCGATTGTGTCCTTGTAAGCCAAAACAAAATCACGGTACGGTGATACAGGGCATGTTAATTAACCCAAGTTACAAAATCAAGGCTAGCATTATAGGATTCAGTTGTCGCGATGAAGAAAAGGGGATTGCATATAGACTAAATCGTTTAGTTGAAGGATGAGGTGGATGAGAACCCTGTACGCTAATAAGTTGAGTACAGTAGCTTTGACTGGCGTTTGTGTAAGGATTGAGGACTAGATCCATTAAACACAATGCTTCATTTAAAAGTAATGTTAGAGCTGCAGGAAAATGTAGGCTTCTAGGATCAACTCTAGCGATAGATCCTCCGCATAGGAAAATCTTCGTCAGACTTTTACTCCGGCCCGCTTTCGGTTTTCGTTATTCTCGTCTATCTCGCCGGCTCAAGACACCGTCCGCTGACAGGTGGAGACTGAAGACACTGAATGGATGGGGGGTTCGCGCCAAAGAGGTCCCATACTTTTTGGTGCGTCTAAAAATAGCGAGCGTGGTGGGCACCAAGATCGCCAAACGGTCTGTTTGGGGGGCTCCGCGATCTATTCTATTCACAGTGGCAGCAGAACGCTGGGCAATACCACATGCTAATGCTGCGAGTAAAGGTAGCGTAGCATTTGATCGGGTAGGCTTTGATCCGAATGGATTTGCAATGGGCGAGAAGCATCGAAGCCTCGCGCGGTGGTGGCCCGCAGCTTAAGCTGGCGTGGAGCTGAGCAGACGCAGGCAAGATTACATGTAAAGAGACCTTGTCGGCAGCTCGATGCTACCGTAACAAGCAGTAAGCAGAACATCACATGCCTATACAGGCTGAAAAGATAGAATCCCCGAATCTAGATTGCCTTGACTCTCTTTTCATAATCGCATCAGTGTACTATCGCCGTGTAGAAGACCAAGAGTCATCAGTCAAGCTAGCAATCATTTCCAAAAACAGGAGCTCTGTTTAGACTCCCCAAAGCTTCCCATGCCATGTGGCTGAGCCGCGGGTATCAAACTTTCCGTCCTCGACATCAAAATCTCACGCAGACGCCAAGACCCTTTTTGGAATCAAGCCGTCCTTGTGGAATATTTCCAGCCTTGCGTCTTTCCAGCCTAGACACTCCAGCCACGGTCAAAGCAGAAGAAGCCCAGGTCGCTAAGCGGCCAATGGCCTTGCTAAGCCCTGCACCCCTCCCACCCAAGCGCGACCTAACAGGGATATTTTGTATTTGCTAGGGGTCGGGTGTTTATTCTAGCTCTTACTGGCAGCGAAATGCGATGGCTGCAGTTTGTAGGATTCGACCCGGATGCATGTATGTACGATATACGCGGGATGGGGAAAACAAGATGGAGAAACTGCGTCTCAGATTCTCATATACATGAAGAATGTTCAGGAAGGAAAAAGGAAGCGATTGAAAAACTCTCGCCCCTTTTTCTCTGACCACAACGGCAGCTGGCACGATTTCCCCCCAACGCTAAATTCCAACCTTCACCTCGGTCAGCATTCTATTTTCAACGCTCCCAGAACCCTCGGACCCGACGGCGCCAACTATGACCTCAATCCCATGACAATAGCTGTGATTCCCAGAATGCTAAATATACTGCAGCGATCACCAGTGGGTGGTGACGAAAGCCGGAGACGTGTATTACCGGGTGGCTTATTTCCTGCAAAGTCATAACAATGGACAGACAAGGAGAATTTGCGTAGTAGAGATTATAGGCAGTGAGTGGTAGGCACTCTATTTGCCGCCGCCAAGCCATGCCGTCTCACCCAAATCGAGTGCTACAGAAAACAACAAGCGACGCTCAGTTCAATACGGCGATACCGATCGTACAGCCACCAATAATAAAATACAAGCAGAAGAGAGACAAAGGGAAGCCAATGTGTTTTGTTTGGCTACTGCAGATTCCCGCAACCTGGTGCTGTCGCACAAAATCTGCAATGGCTGAGACAGGCTGAGAGTGGGATCGCAACTGGGGCCCTCTGTTGATCCGGATGCAGCCAGCCGAGACCGAGAGACACAAAGACGCCCCCAAGGCAAAGAGAGAAGAAAGGGGGTGTCTCTGTAATACAATCTCGCCGTGAACTGTCCATTCACACACCATTTTGTTTTCTGCCTCTTGCTACCCAAATGCAGGCCCTTGCATGCAGCGAAGAAAGCCCAGCTCTTCTTATTGTTGTGATTGAGAGACGCAGGATCTACTCCAGCCGCTCCAGACTTGTCAACTCTTAAAGTTGATCTCTGCTCTTAATACAAGTACAGTACTACACTTGTTAAAATAAGTACCGTTTAAAATAGATGCTCGTACGAATTCAAGTCCTCGCACAACTTATTACACAGACGGCACTACTGCATCTCGCCGCTCTAAGCGCCCAAGCGGAGACTGACCATTGCGCTGGCCGTGGCTGCTCAACCACACCCTTCATGGGAGGGGCGTGAGAAAGTGGTTCCTCTGCTTACAGTAGTCCCGATTTCTATTTCTATTTTCTGCTCTGGCCTATTCTAGCTCATCGTCTGCATGGCATGGCCTTGTCCAGGGTCCTCTTGAGCCCATCTCGCCCTGCGTATAACTATCCTGAGCTTTCCCGGCTTCTCGGGTCGATAGCTCTCTAGTTCAATCCAGCTTCTTCTTCTCAAGGCTTGTTTGTATACATACAGCTCGACTACCTACACTTCCAACTATACCACCACCACTCATCTATCCTCCTACCAACAAGATGCTCGGCCAATCTCTATTTGTCCTCGCCTCTGCGGCTCTGGCTCTCGGCTCTCCCGTAGAAAAGAGAGACGTGACTTGCCGTTCTCCCATACCCGACCCTCCTCTGCCCATCACCGGCGGCGGTAAGTTTCACACTCTCCTCACTTATAAGATTTGACATCTTATACATCTACAACACATCAAAATGCTAATTGCGAAACTCCACAGCCACTGAACTCCCTCCCGTGCCCGACAACCTCGAGCTCAAGGTCATCGCCCTCGGCCTCGGCATCCAAAACTACACCTGCGCCTCCGTCGGCGCCTCCCCCGTCTCGACCGGCGCCCTCGCCATGTTCTACGACATCAGCCTGCTCTACCCCGAATCCGGCCCCAACGCGCTCACCATTGAGAAATTCAACCAGCTGCCCGCCTTTGCCCTCAACCACCACGAGATCCCGCTGCACTTCAACGACTCCACCGTCGGCCGAGTCAGCATCGAGGGCCCCGGCGCCTCTCTCAAGCGGCCCTTTACCCGCGCCACTCCCCTCGACCTGGGCGAGTACGGCAGCCTCCCCTTCCTGGGCCGCCACTTCTTCAACTCAGACGGCGCCCCTACCTTTGTCCTGCAGCGCGGAAGCATCAACGTCGTCGCCGCCAAGAAGGCCTCCGTCCCGGCTCCCGGCAGCGCTGATCCCGGCCCAGCTGGCACCGGCGCCGTGGCCTGGCTGGCTCTCGACGCAAACGCAAACTCTCGCGGTGCTTCTCTCGTCTACCGCGTTGAGACTGCTGGCGGAAACTCTCACGGCTGCGCTCAGGCTGCTGGCCAGGATAGCACCAGCTACTCTGCTCAGTACTGGTTCTACGGCCCCAAATAAGACGCTCTTTTCTTTCGTTCCATATTTCTTTTTTCTTTTCTTAATTTCTAATTCTCATTATTTTTATACCTTTCTGATTCAACAAAAAGGACATTAGACAAGGGGGCTTGGAATTGGATACACTGGTTTTTGTTTCGGCGATTTATCATTATACTTTGGGAGGGAGTTCTTATTGGCAGAAACAGGACGTCTTTTGGGCACCAATAAGAAAGTTTTAGGCAAGCAAATGTATACATGAGTTTGTTTCTTGGGAAGAGGTTCCTACCTCACATGCATAGTTCCGGTCGATTTAGGAGTTATTTTACGCATAGATTTCAATGATAGGAGAGAATATACTTACAAGGTTATCCTTACAATCTATTATTCTACAGTTTTCAAAAAAAAAAAAAAAAAAATATTACACAAGTCCAAAAATATGTGCCATTGGTAATTGGTGATTAAGACTGTCCAAAATCCACCACTTACCAGCTGATTCGCTCATTCGTAACCTGGCTTGGTTCAGCCCCCCAGTTCGCTTTAAAATCTCACGAGAACCTGGGTAGCATTGGCAGTTTCATATCGTACGCCACAAGACTTGAGGCTAGATTATTAAATTCTCACCCATTGTGTTCTGTAATGTTCTCTAGATTCTGTCTTTCTTTACACTACAGAGGCTATACAGCCTGGTTCTGAAGCTTAGTTGCGACAACTGCCGTGGAAGTCAGCCTCGCCTCCTCTATTATCAGCACTAGGACAGAAAGAAGAATTAGTTGCAACAAGGAGCAGACCATGGGTACAGAGGCTGTATTAATCATTCAGAAAATTATGCTCGGATGGGCTATGGAGAGTGTATTGTAGATATCCAGTTTTCGTCCCAAGTTTCGCTCCATTTCAACACACACATTTTGGCCGTTTCCAACGTCGGCAAACTGGCTTCCCAATAAATCAACTCCCCTCTCTTGTATTTTCGCTCTTCTGTCCCGCTGTAAATCCATGGGTGATGGATGGAGCCTCTTGACATAGACTTCTTTATAACTCTTGTTTCAAACACCAATAGACATGCATGCTAAACTGTAACTTGATTGCTTTCAACGCATTTATCTCCGAATGTCCATGCCTGCTGCAAGATCCTGCTCAAGCCCATTGGCGTGGCCCATGTATTCCTGCGGTCGCGGGTCTTCTGCCGTCCATTGGCCGCCAGCTTGGGGCATTGGGACTTGTATCTGCTGAGCGGCGGCTTGGTTGCCAGAAGCAGGGGCTGTTCGCACAAGTTGTCGGAAACGCAAAACTTCGTCCAGAATCATCTTTCGCATTTCACCAACATCCTCAACCACCTCAAAGTCGAAGTTGAACGTCGTGGGGCAGTCGGGCTCATCAGACGCATCGTGCCATATGTGAAGGTACGGGTGCTCGAGGGCCTGTTCGACGCTGATACGCTGCGAAGGATCAAAGGCAAGCATTTTGTCGAGAAGATCGAGGGCGTCGGGGTTAGCATCGGGGAACAGAGCTGGGAAGGGCTTCTTTGGCATGAATGGTAGGTTGCGGACGTATTCTTGGGCTCGAGGCGATCCGATGCGACGGAGGGTTTCCTCGTTTGGTGTTCCGAGAATGTGCAGAATCTGATTCAGCTGGTCGACATAGTCCCGACCCTTGAAGAATGGTCTGCCTCCCAGGAGCTCAGCAAGAATGCAGCCCACAGACCATACATCAACTGCAAATTTGATTAGAACTTGTACATCACAAGGAATAAGTCCTGAAATATGAACCCAGAATCCACGTACTAGCTTTTGTGTAGCTCTGGAAGCTCAACATAATCTCTGGCGCACGGTACCATCTCGTGGCAACATACTCAGTCATATACCCGGCATTCTCCTCGGGATCGACAGAGAAGCCACGAGCAAGGCCGAAATCGCAGATTTTCAACTCGCAATCGGCATTCACAAGCAGATTGCCCGGCTTCAAGTCTCGGTGGAGAACGTTGGCGGAGTGGATGTACTTGAGGCCGCAGAGGATCTGGTAAATAAAGGATTGGAAGTGGGCATCTGTAAGTGGCTGGCCGGAACGAATAATAGCCGCCAGGTCGCACTCCATCAGTTCTGTATGGAACGGTTAGCCATGCGGCCATGTATTGCATCGACATGTCCAGCCTCTGTAGGAGACTGTCCTGGTACTGACCCTCGTAGAGGTATGTCTCGTTGAAGTTGTCTGGTCGCGGTATATCCATATCATAGAGACATGTGATCTATCAGGTTCCGTAGGCGTCAGCTTTCGTGTAGAATATTCAATCGCAATCGTCGTATAATGCTCGACAGGCCGGGCTGTCACTCACGTTGCGATGGCCGCGGAAGTGCTGCAGCAGCTTGATCTCGCGCAGGGCGCGCTTGGCGAGGATCTTCTTGCTGAAGACATTGGTGACCTTTTTGATGGCGACGCCCTCGTTGGTCTGTCCGTTGACCGCGGCGCTGTTATCGAGTTCATATCGTTAGCAAAAAAAAAAAAAAAAAAAAAAATTGGTCTCGATGATGGCGGTGGGGAGGCTCCAAGCCAGCATCAATAGCAGGAGACATGCATCGTCAAGGGTATGCGGGGTGTAAGCGCTGGCAACTCACCAAACAATTCCATACGCTCCCTGGCCAAGCTCCTTGGTGACGGTGTAGCGCTCGTCAACTACAAAGTCCTGGTTGAAGACCTTGAATACTTTGCGTCCTTGGAGATCCGCCATGGCTGCGCTTGTGGGAGTTGTTGCGTGAAGTGGCCTTGGATTTCTCGAGGCGTGTGGGGGAGAAGAGGGGTTTATGTCTGCGCTGAGCCGCTGTGGGCTGGAGCTTTCAGGGGGGCTGTACAGTGCTGTCGGGAGCTTGTTCTGGCGCCAAAGCCGGGATCGACTGAAAGGCAGGACTTTGAATCGCGGGGCCGAAACTCGTGTCAATATGTGGACAAGTGATGGTGGTGGCAGCAACTCGACGTAGGTAGAGAGAGAGAAGAGAGAGAGAAGAGAGAAGGAAGAGAGAAGGAAGAGATTGCGAGAGCAGGTTTCAAACAGGACAAGAATGAGACGTTCGAGTACGCGGCCAGGCTGTGAAGAAAATTACTGTAAAACTACACGCATGCACATACATACTCCATTGGGCATCCGGGCTGGCAGCGCGAGCCGTGGTTGGCTGCGCCGTAATACGAAGCTCAGCAGAGCCTATGGCAACGTCCGACAAACATCAGCTCGGCGGCACTAGCGAGCGCTGTGCTCTGGGTGGATAAACGACTGATGGATACGACGGCAGGAAACCAGCAATCACGTCGAGGCCAGCGCGGCAGCCAATCGCAGCGGGCATCCGAGATGTGATGGCATCACTAGCCGCGCGCAATCAGGCCTGGCATATGAAGTACCCTCTTCCTCCTCTTGGCGCGTTTGGCACGACAAGAGGCTGGAACTGAGGCGTTTCCACGGGTTGGCGAGTTGGCGAGTTGGGTCCACGTCAAGCAAGTTTCAAGCTCTTCACATTGTCAGATCGTGGAGAGTCGTCACATGCCTCATGACATTTGTGTAGGTAATCCTGGCTATAGATAGCGCCACCATGGCACTGCTACATTGCATCTACGCAACCATGAGGCTAGAGCCTGATGTAACCCAATACGGCGGGGTCTTGAAGAGTTTTGACATGGAATTCACCAAATCTGAACCAAAAGACCTCGGCGTGGGGATCTTGGTGGACAGTTGTTAAAGAGTTGTTGATTGTGCCTCCATGTACCAACAGCCAGCGGAGTGGGCCGAAACGAGCGGCAGCGGCGGCCAGCGTGAAGAAAAGGAAAACAACTGTCTTGGCAAGTTCTTGATATATACAACGTGCATGTACTACTCAGCGATCAGGGCTCGTTGAACCAAGACGGCAGATGTGATATTCGGCCTCCAGACTCAGACAGCCATGTTATGCATATCCAAAACTACATCTGACCTTGCGCATCTCCTCTGCATTGCCCTTGTCCTTGTCAGCTCCCAAGGCTGGCCTATTCGCTCGACCGCAGCCACTCCCGAGACCCGCATGCCAGACCGGCACATCAACACTATCGCATCGCCCTGTCCAAGGCTGTCTTAGACAAGACAAGGGCTAGTGACAGGAGACCAATCGCCGCTATAAATACACCTGTGCCAGTTCCTTCATGGAGCATTCCCGGTGTCCGTGCATGTTCCCATACATCAGCTCGTCATACATCATCTCTCCTGGATCCAAACAGAGCCAATGAGATTGCCCATCGGTAGAAAGGGGAGAATGGCAGCATCTTCAGGCGCAGGGTAATGCTCGGTAATTTAAGCCGCCGCTCACCAGCGCCTTTCCAGCACAACTCCGTATGTGGGGTGCAGGTCCTATTCCATGTAAGGATAGACGGTTTACATGGCTCTGTTATTACCAATTGACGTGCCGACCTCGACTTGCTTCTTACATCTGCGCCGTCTTTGACCAAACGCTCTCCTTTCTTTCCTTTTACCTTTGAATTTCATTCGTGTGTGCTATTTCCAGCGTCAACAACATGTTTCCCGTGCGACCCAACCGAACGGCGTCCTTGACCGCAGCGCAACAACAAGCAGTGGTGCAGAGACAGGCCTATTTGCCCGGCCAACCCGTGTCGGTCCTATTCGTATGTTTGGGCAACATCTGCCGGTCGACGATGGCAGAGGGAATCTTCAGACACATGGCGGCACAGCCGCAGTACAAGGAGAAGATTGGAGACGTTGATTCCTGCGGAACAGGTTCGTAACGGCCGACAAAAAGCGGTTCGAGGTGTTGGACGAGATGCTGACCATGTCCCTGCAGCTGCGTATCATGCGGGCGAACCACCAGATGATCGGACTCTGGAGACTCTAGAGAAACACGACATCTTCGACTACGATCACGATGCGCGCCGCGTAAGTTGGCCTTGACTCCCACCATACACTTCTTTGATATCGGGATTATGCGACGGAATAGCTGACTGATCTCTGTGTCTAGATTACGCGAAGCGACTTTGACAGATTCGACTACATCTTCGCCATGGACCTCTCCAACCTCTCAGACCTCGAACGCCTCAAGCGCGAAAACAAAGACTCCAAGGCCAAGGTGATGCTCTACGGCGATTACAGCGGCACCAAGAAGCCAGAAGTCGTCAGCGACCCCTATTACGGTGGCCAGGATGGCTTTGACAAGGCTTTTGAGCAGTGTTCTCGCTTTGCCAAGAACTTTCTACAAGATGTGGTGGGCGATTCAACGGAAAAAGAAAAAGAATAAAATTACAGAACAAGATGGAGAGATCAAAGAAAGGGGGGTGGGAGGGAAGTGTACGTGCGCACGCATGCATGCATGGGTAGATTTACCCCTGGTTTTGTTTTTATTTCCTTTGTGAAATGACAATTGGAGTAGATGGGAAACGGCGGGATTTGATACCCAACACTTTGTTACCTGGGATACGCGGATTATACTACACAAGTTATTAATATGCCTAGATACACACAAAGCATTTTGGGGGATACATGGTTTTGTAGATGATACAACAAGACACTGATTTTTAATTTAGAGCTTTACATTCAACATAACGAGAAGGAGGGTCGTTGATAATATGAGTGCTGCGGTTTGATAGAGTTAATGAAAGAGCCTGTGTTAATAGCTCATTTACCTGTGAGGCAATGCTCAACCCATGAACGGATCAGATGTGGGTAACTCGCGAGAATAGCCAGCGAGGCTTTATACGGAAGTGATATCATCTGATCCTCAGAACTATCAGATCTGCATGTAATAGGAGTTGACGAAATATGACTTCCTACTCGGTGATTAAGGTAGAAGCAGTAAAAGCACTACATAGGACGGACGCCATGGCTAAGATTTTTACTGGGCAATTTAAATATTCCTCTTCAAAGGTATAAACATCTTTTCACAGACTGCCATGACAGTTTGATCATCACATCTTCAAATACTTTTTAGCAACTTCTCATCAGATCCCTCAGATATCAACAAAGGGGATCTTATCAACTTTTAGGTCGTAGGCCGACTACACGCTGGGGTATCTTCTCAATCTATCTGTTCACTGGTATGTCCTGGGGAAAGCCGGGCAAACATTAAGAAGCAGTAGCAGGGAGCGAATGGAGCATAAAACAGCCTCGCCGACTCTTGTACAAACTTGGGCATCTCCTGCAATATTCCATCCATAGACTAGGAGACTCTCTCAGCCCGGTTCGCCATGTAACACCACTTGGGTCGCTCTGTCATTAAGAGCAATAACTGCAGAAATAGAGAGGTTTCAAATTAGCCATGCAAACCATCTTCATAGTATAGGTCCAGCCTCGGGGGATAACCAATATGCTTTATAAACTAGCCATAGCTAAATTATCCAGCCCCCAGAGACTTCATATCCGATTTCTGTTCTTTATCAACTACCATGGCCCTTCGGTCTCCTCGTCGTAGCCATGTAGTCAGGACCCTGGATCACTACGCTGCCAACGTTGCTGGGGATGATCTTATCAATCTCTTTTACCGAGACTTTGAAGTTATAGCTAACAGTATTTTCTCTACAATCATCGGACCTAAAAGTGTTATGCAACCGTCAGCCAGGAAGAAAACTGTATACTATTTCAAGGATCGTCTTACTTGTAGAAGTGGCATGTTAAATCCGGAGGTACGTCAGGGTCTACTTTTCTGAGTGAATGTATGTGATTTGCTCCTCTCAATCCATCAGTTCCCCGTTCCAGTATGGAAAAATAAAATAACATAGCAAGTCTATGTACAGAGAGAGGGAAAGAAACATACATATCCGTACTGATCTTCGTGCAATGATGAGGATTGCCAGTCCACGTCCATTGATGGTCATGGAACAACGGAGCAGAATAGAGTATCGTCTACAACGCTTCATTCGAAATGGCAATATCCAGAGAAATGGAACGAATAGAGGTGAATTCTACAAATTCTTTTATTATCGGCACCAATTGCAGTTGATGCCATGGCAACAATGCACGAGATTAATATATACAACTACACTGTGACTTTTACAAGATACATGTATATTTAAACAGACAGAGATACTATTATGATACTGTTAGGTACTTTCTTTTTTCTTCTTCTTGTGCGGCCCTCGTTCATCCTGTTATGCTTTTTTGAAACAAATTTTTACATCATGGCGAGTAATATTAACAGACTGGCGTTCTACTAGTGACTTGCTGGCACGCATTCCATGGGAAATAGTGAGCTACCAGGCAGCTCAATGGTTTAGCTTTTGTGGCTGTTTCAAGGCAAGTTTGACAGCTGGGGATAGATTTTGGGAGTTGGCGGGACAGATTGAGGAAATACCACAGCTCGACTGCCTGATCCAAGATTTGGCCCGGAGAGGCTTTGTTTAAGGACGTTACAAATTACACCGCCTAGGTAGGCCTGCATACTTTCCCTTGTGGGAGACTAGAAACCTGCTTGTGAGACGTCAAGCTAGAAGATCGTCCGTCCGCTTCCATCCGGTCTGATCAGCCCGGATCGACAGTTTGGCTCAAGCCGGCCTACGGTGCTTGTCCCAAAATGCTCGATGCTATCCGTCATCTATGCACTTCTATACATAGATGAAGAGTTTATATCAACTTCCTACATGGACATGCAAATCTCAAAGAGCACAGTCCTATTTAAGGCAGACGTCACATTATCAAGCATCAAAGAGATTATCGTTTTGAATAATTTTATTCCTTTTTTCATAAAGAATATCTTGGCCCAATGCAAGAGAGGGGATGTCACACTTTTCTTCCACATGCGTGACTTGGTACAGCAAAGGAAATTGTTCTTGTTCCTCAGCAAGCCAGCACTTCGACTCCACCGCGGCCATTTTTTGCGGTCCTAATAACGCCAATATAATATCAAATAAAGAACCATGCAGCGCCTTGCTAAGGTTAGAAAGGGGAAAACAAGAGTGGTAGTATACAATGTAGGGGTACAGAGATCCGTTATCATGAAAGTTTGATGTGCGTTGCGGGCGATATCCAGCCTGTTCCGACGGTTTCATCCAGCCCGGCACACGGCTCCTTTTTGGTTCGTGTCGTTTTTTTTTTTTTCCTTTTTTCCTTTTTTGTTATAGTTGTGATGTTGTTACATGGTCATGGTTTGTCTCTGGCGCTCTTGGCGGAGCTTCTCCATGACTCCAATGACACCTCCATTGCGGAGGCGCTCGAGGACAAGCCGCATGCCGTCGCGGCTCTTGCTGAGCTGGTCAATGGTCTTGGTGGAGGCAAGGCTCTCAATGCTTCGTTGAATGCCCTTTGCGCCAAGTCCACCAAGTAGCCCAGGTAGCCAGCCGGTGCCGCTACTCTCCTGGGCTTGGCCAAGCTTGCCTCTGATTTTCTCTCCGAGCCGTGACTTGAACGAGACGCTGGAATTGACATCCGTCTCGTTCCGCGCAATCGCTTCGGGTGTGCTCGGCACCTTGAAGTGTTGCTTCTCAACCACCGACAGCACACCGGTGAAATTGAGGTTGCGGCTCTCCGTCTTCATCCATCCTTGCTTGATATCCACAACGCTGGTCTCGAGAATGTACGAGGCCTTTTCACCAGAGCCGCCACCTGAGACGCTGGCGGGCAGCAGTTTATATACTGCGCTGGGCATGCGGCTCTTCTTCAGGTGAATGCGGGTGGTGTAGAGACGCTGCGTTTCCGGGTCGACATGGCTGGAGATGGTGTCGGTGCTCAGGACGTGAGCGGCGAATGGGTTGAGCTGAGGAGACGAGTATCGCAGGAAGTAGGCGAGGGTGACGGTCGGGAAAGGATGAGAGTAGGTGTGGTTGGTGGAGTGCGTGAGAACCATTGTGAATGTTGTTAGAGTCGTAATTGAGGTGAATTGTCCTGATATGCTGCTGCTATCCGTGGAGACTCAGTTCGAAGACGTCAAAGGCGCAAACGCTCTCTTGTCAGAAGCCTCAATCACTCGACGTCAATTTCGCTAAGCCGGCATCCGCGCATTCCAAGCAGCGTTCGTGAACCAGACAATCGTGACAACAAGGAGACAAAGAGAAGCAGCACGAGATACAGCGCAGAAGAAAAGGGGAGCAGGCGCTTCCAAAGCCTCTGGTCGAGGAAATGAAATCGACTGACGGCAGAGGTCAGTGGCACGAGCATCAACTTTTCTGCCGGCTATAAGCACGCGGTCGGCGGGGCTGTGATTGGCCACCGGTGAGGGGAAAAGGCTTCGCGCGAGCCCAATCCGGGGTGGCAGCTTCACGTGACCGGCCTTTTGCCCACGCAGCGCAGCTGGCTAAGCTCCGGGCTGGCGACCCCCACCATAGCTCTGCTGGATTACAGCGCCATTTGTTCACTGTTTGTTCACTGAGCCGTCACATCGTCGCAGCATGCGGTGGCAAACTCCAGCATATTCGAGATCCAGCCGCACCCCGGGCCATGCAGCCATCGGACTGTTGAGCTGCTAAGCATTACTAAACTAATCAAATGTTCCATTAACTGGCATCCATGCTATATGCCGTCCCTCTACTATGCGAACTACTAGCAGTACCTATGCAGGTCTATGTGCTACCTCGTACACGCAAGTAGTATAATCCCGTATTACCTATATGTGTATGATAAATGACCAGAACAAAGAGGGGAAATCCCCCCAGAAGATATCGTGTACATCGGCGAATTTATCGCCGTTATAGCCGCTGTTCCGCAACCCCGCTCAGCAATGCTACCATCCTTCGTCTTCTCTACAGTAAAAAGCAAGGCTATAGCAGAAACTCCTCGCCCGCATAGTGCCGCAGAATCACCCAACCCTCGTTAAACGTCTTCTTCTCAAAACGCACAATGACGGCAGCATGCGTGTGTCGATCCTTCTGGATCCAAACAGGGTATTTCCGCCATTTGAGTGAGTTTAGTGATCGAATCATCTCGAACTGGCAAGGTGCCAAGGCCAGCGTTGGCTGCGTAGGGATGGACATTCTTCTCTCTCGGGCCATTGTGCTTCTGTCCTCTGCGTTCATGCCCGTCTCTTCGTCTTCGTCTTCGTCTGCCAGATATTCTTGGTGCTGCGAGTTGTTCAAGGCCTCGTAGACGTGTTCGACCTCTTCACGAAACTCCTTGATCAGTATTGGGACCCGGTATTCCCTTATGTCGATGCCCGCCAGGCCGCCTTCGTGTAGCTTGATGCGCTTTGTGCTTCGTATGGTTTGAAAAACTGAATTGATAAGATATGCCACCACGCCAATGGGCACCAGAACACCCACTGTGACCATGAATGGAATTCCTCTCAGCCATCGCACGCCCGTTTCGGTCAACGATGAAATGGTGATTGGCGCGGGAACCTTGGGTCGCGGAGAGAAGGGATGCGCAGCATCTAGTAGCACACCCTCACCATCTTTGAGAAAGTTGACTTTGACCCGGTCTATATCCTTGTATGGATCCGTCTTTTCTATACAGGTCGTATAGTAAACCGCACTTCGATCATTAACAATGTTGCTGTACAACGTGTGTCTTCTAAACTTTTGCAGCCCCAGCATAAAAATAGACTGCGGGTCGGCCATGACAGAGAGTAGGGGGCGTCCAGTGTCTCGAAACTTGTCAATGGTGAATAGTTGGCTCCCCGACATTGACAATGTTCTCGCGCCCAGCACATTCCATATGTGATTGTGCCATCCCTTAAGAGGAGTTCGTACGCCCAGATGTGGCGAAGCAAACGTCGTAAAGTTCTGTCCTTGATTGTCAATATCCAGCCTCTCTCTCTTACAAACTAGAGGGTTGAAAGGTGCCCACCATGCACTCAACTGAGTCCAGAATGCCCTTTGCATACAGCAGGCCAACTGCGTATCGCGACACGAGCCCGCCGAGAGAGTATCCTACAACACTCAGCTTCCTTATCTTGCCGCCATTGCTCTCAATAGTCTTGAGCTCTTCTATAATCTCGGCGCAGACTCGCTCGCCACCAAGCTCGATGCCGTCGTACGTGAAACTGCCGCTGTTCCGCTTGGCCAGCAGAAGATAGAGGTCGTCAGGGGAATGTTGGGCTCGCAGTGTCTTGGCAATGTTGTTCATGTGGTTCGGATTCCCCCATAGCTTTTCGAGACCCAAGTTAGCCCAGACAGATGCATCTCAGAGGCTGTTCCAAAAACTCACTCCATGAACCAGGACGCAGAGGTGGTCCGCCTTGTTGCTTCCGCCGGCGAAATCCATGGTGAGCGCTGCACCTAGAAGTCTTGAGCCGGCCAGGCGAGCAGACATTTGCTGCAGAAGAGGCTGTAACGGCGAAAGGGGTGGAAATAGGCGTTTACACGCATTACGTAGGGCATGTCCGAGGCACGTTGAAAGAGGATGCGTAATCGCTCGCGGGCCGTATTTACCGGAGCTAGGAGGTGGGCTGATATCCACAGGCACCCATAGCCTTGTAGGTGCTGTTTACAAGCTGTAGTGAAACTTGGCAGCGGAAAGATCACAGCCATGTTTTCCAGTAAATCAAAAGATTCCATGGATTTGAAATAATAAACAGTGTCTGTTACCAACATGAATATATATTAAAAATCGTGCTAATACAACAAGTCGAGCTTGGATTTTTCAGGGTCCTTACCCGGGAAAGTGAGGTAATACCTACCTACTTTTGCCTAGAGAACTTAAGTGCACGACTGAAACAGTTGGAAAGGTAAATCTTTTCTGTTTTGCTATTATGGTTGAATCCATATCTCTTCATGACCTCTGGACGTATGAATAGGACCAGTTATTGGATGCTTCTAAATAGTAGTAAAAGTGTTCACATTTGAGCAAATTGATGCACGCTGTCACACGCAATACACAGTCTGGCAGTTCTTGTAGCCAAACAAAGTATAGAGACAAAACATGGGAATAAAACAAAATCAAAGCTTTCAACTTAGTTTACAAAAACTAGACTGCATATTCCATCTACCATCTGGTTCAGCTACTTCTCTGTCAAGTGGCATCAACAGCAGTATCACTGAATCACTGCACAAGCACACAATTTAAAGACATTAGCACCCCCGTCATTGTTACTTAGCGGCCCTTTAGTGTCCCCAGCGCTTCTGCTCGGCAGCCTCGCGCCTAAATGTCGGCGCTTCCGCCCCTGGCTCGCCCCCCTGCAGTTCTAGAGGCTCAGATGCAGCGTACCGTGTATCTTTAATTGTTTCCAATCATCAACCAAACAATCATCTGTGGCTTGACAAACATTTGAGCAAATTGTTCAGTCGTTTGCTTTGACGGAACATACAAACGCCTCATTACACACTTCTGCTCACATGATGCCGCGCAAATGAACCTTTTGCCTGTCCAAATCTAGATCACGCGTCACTTGTTCCTCACTTTCAGTGCTGCAAGGCCATCATGAGCCTCTCACTCAAGCACATTCCCTGCCCAGCAGGCAATAAATGCACAGCCTTTCAGTGTATATTCGGACATGAAAAGGACAACAGCAAGGCCGATGGAGACAGTGTTAGCGAGCCGGCAAAGAGTGATATATTATCACCTCCAGATCAGGATCGCCCGAACAAACGCTTAAAGGTCGACGACGCTTCCCTCAAAACACAAACGGGTGTAGCCGCCAATGGTCAGACCAAGCAAACGAAAGAGGAACATAAAAAGCCAGTTCTGCCCCAAAGCGCCACGCGTTCCATCTCTCCTCCTCCACTCAAAAGAAAGGCTGCACCCTCAACAACCCAGACTGCAGAGAATCCTGCCCCTTCTTCCTCAACTACAAAGAACCAAACAAGTGCTTTATCCGGATCCAAGACTACGGCTATGCCAAAATCAAAGAAAGCTGAGACTCTCAATCCTCGACTACTCAAAAGTTCCCCAGCTAGCCATGAGATCCGGCTCAAACTCCTCAGACTTGTGCACCAGGAATTCAAACGCCTAAATGAGGAACTGAAGAAGAGTGTCACAAACCAAGAGAAGAATCTACTATTGTCTGACCAAGACCTCATCATCAGAGCTCTTGACGAAGAGCAAGCCTGCGCTATAGAAAAGCCAGCCGTCTACTCAAACGTCATGAAGAACAAGGTCATGCAATATAAGCGCATGACTGCGGCTCAGTGGAAAGAGACTCGGGCCAAAGAAAAGCAAGATGCCCAGAAAAAGCTCAAGAAAGACGACATGGTTGACGGAGAGCCTAAAAAGATCGAGACTGGCCTTACAAACGCACAAGAAGTCCAACTATTGAAACGCATCGTCACGCCAATCGACAACATGGGACACCATGGATACGTCCCCACCGTTCCAACAGAGGAGCAAATCAAATCGGCCTTGGATGGTATGGAAGCGGGAAAGGGATGGGAGAAATGCGATCGTTGCCAGCAGAGATTCCAGGTCTTCCCTGGACGGAGAGAGGAGGATGGCGCCTTGACAACTGGAGGAGCCTGCAAGTTCCACTGGGGCAAGACCTATATCCCAGAGAAGCAGCCCGGTGACAAGACAAGGGTGCCCAAACGATACCACTGCTGTGGCGAAGAAGTTGGCGATTCGGCCGGATGCTTCACTCACGAGCACCACGTCTTCAAAGCAAGCGACCCCAAACGGCTGGCTGCTGTTCTCAACTTTGCAGAGACACCGGAGAATGCTATCGCTCCCACGGATAGAGCAGTCTGCTTTGACTGCGAAATGTGCTACACGGTCCACGGCCTTGAGTTGGTGCGTCTGACAGCTACATCATGGCCTGCCGGAGAAGACTTGCTCGACGTCCTGGTCCAACCCATAGGAGAAATCTTGGATCTCAATTCTCGATTTTCAGGCGTCTGGCCCGAAGATCTCGCTGGAGCTGAATCCTGGTCCGTCAACGACGATCTCAAGCCAGCTAAGGGAGGCGAAGAGACGGGAAGCGAAGACGGCGAGGTGAAATCTAAGAAGAGAAAGCTCAAAATCGTTTCTTCCCCCGAAGTTGCGCGAGACCTTCTCTTCTCGCTTATATCCCCGTCAACGCCCCTCATGGGCCACGGTCTAGAAAACGACCTCAACGCCGTCCGCGTCGTGCACCCGACCATCATCGACACCGTCTTGCTCTACCCCCACAGAATGGGTCTGCCATATCGCTTTGGCCTCAAGACCTTGATGAGCGTTCACCTGAATGTCAAGATCCAGCAGGAGACGGGACCGAAGATGCTTGGTCACGACTCTGGAGAGGATGCCAGGGCGGCTGGAGATTTGGTTCGACTACGGGTCATGGATGTGTGGAATGACTTGAAGAGAAAAGGCTGGCGGGTTGTTGATGGCGAGATTACGCCCCCCGAAGGTGGAGGCGTCCTTACAGAGGCATTTATCGAGAACCGGTTCCGGCTTGCTTGAAGCTGAGGATATTCTGTTGCTCGGAGAGTTATAGGGGAGTGTCTAGGCTGAATACCTCTAGGCTGAAAACCCATTGGAGCGTCCAGGTTGAATACCCATCCACACGTTTGCGTTGGTTGCTTTGAATTTGATCATCTTGCTCATAGGATACGGAGACTTTACTTAGCCTAGCTCAAGCATGCATTGCATTTAGGAGCTTTACAATAATTTGGGCGCCAAGAATAGAGCATGGGTTTCTTTTTTTTTTTTTATTCTTCAAGGACAGGCCTCTCCGGGCCTGCTATAGCTAAAAGTACAAGATTGTCGTGATTTGATCCCCCCTGCCAATACCCTAACCCAGCAGTGAGCGGGTGTGCTCTCCATACGTGCCTTACCTTTCCATTATTCCTACAAATCCGCCTCACGCCCTGCCTACAGACAGCAGATACTGGCTTCCGCTGCCACCCTTTCCTCCCGAAGGCAGATACGCCACGTTGGGGTTCGACGACAGCGCCTGCGCAATCTCTCTGCTCGCCTCAATCTTTCGAATCTGCACCAGTCCATCACCAGCCTTGGCAATAGCCTTGCTAATCGTCTCCGCACTCTCGGCCTCGCCCTCTGCGCGGATAACGTTGGCCTGGCGCTCCTGCTCGGCCTTTTCGACAATGAAGCGCGCACGCTCGGCGTCCTGCTGGGCAATCTGCTTCTGCTCGACGGCCTTTGTGAACTCGCGGCCAAAGGTCATGTGGGTGATGGAGACGTCCTCGAGGGCAATGTTGAACTCGGCGGCGCGGCGGGTGAGGTCGCTGCGGATGCGCTGTGAGACGGCCTCGCGCTGGGTGATGAGCTCGGCGGCGTCGAACTGGGCGACGATGGCCTTGAGGACTTCGTTTCCGATGGAGGGGAGGACTCTCTCATCGTAGTCTGCGCCGAGGTTCTACATTTTCGAGTCGTATTAGCTAACAGTCCAAAGTGTAGTTGATTGATAGGAGTAGAAACATATTTACCTGGTAAATCTTTGGCAGGGCCTTGACGTCTGGCCGGTGCAAAACTCGCAGCGTCAAGCTGACCATCTGGAGATCCTTGCTGCCAGTGGTTGTGGCAATGTTCCTGGGCTTCGTCCGCACGTCAAAGATGATGCTCCTCTGCACCCAAGGAATCAAAAGGTGCGTTCCCTCGTTGATGACATCCTCCTTGACACCGGACAATCTGTCGAAAATAACTGCTCTTGTGCCACCGCGAACATCGTAAATGGACTGTGAGAGGAGGAATGCGCCGGCAGAGGCCGGGATGGCCATGCGGTACATGAGGTTGAGAGTCCGCGCAAAGGCCGCCATCTTGGGATCGTAGCGTTATCAACACTGAAAAAGCGTCTCGAGGGGGCTGGTTGAATCCCAGATGATCACGAAAGAGCTGCGTGAAACTGGCTCTTCTGCGGTTTACGAAGCTCTAAGCTCTGCCTATGAGGTTTCGACTCGATCGATTGTCCCGCAGTTGGTGGTGCTTGATTTGATTTTCCGCCCGAGCAGGCGCGCCATGCCTATTCGGGCAAGCTCGGCTAGACTCGCGAGGATGCTCTGCGTTTTCACCAATTCCGAACCCGAACTCATTCCACGCTCTGCTCTTCTCTCGAAAACAGGAATCGCAACACCGAACTTTTCTTTGCTTAATCCGCGACGATGAGACCTACTCAGATCCTCCGCAGCGGCGCCCCTGCACCCAAGCAAAACCAGTATGTGCAGCCTCTCCTCCGGCAGATGCGGCCAATCGTACCACCGACTTGCGGCTTTTCTACGAGATGCGAGAGTCGACGATGCGACGCCTACCTATACCCGAATGTTTTTGGCCAATTGATGGTGATGCTGACTTTTTTTCTCTACTAGCTGGCTCGGCGACTGGGGTTCCTTTGGTAAGTGAACTTTGCCTGTCAAATCGTTACAATGGATGGACCGCGAAAGAGGATGCACGATGTGGGTGGTGGGGGAGTGAAAGAGGAATGGATGTCCATTGGCACATTGAAAGAGATGGGATGAGCTGGGGAAAAAGAAAGGAAAGAGCATATTGGGCTGCTTGAGGGACAAGGATTGCGACAGACACCCGAGCCTGGATCGAACTGCGAATATCGAAAGAGTCACTCGAATGCTAACACACGATGAAAATAGGTGGTGCCAAGCAGAAGGGCATCATCGACTTCGGTATCTCCGCCAACCGTCAAAACCCCTTTGCCGGCGCTGCCCACGATGCCATCTTCAACACCTTCCGCCGCACCAAGGGCCAGATCTTCTACTGGCTGCCTCCCATGCTGGCCGGCTACTATCTGATGAACTGGGCCACCGAGAGGTACGACTGTCGAATTGCAACGGAATACTAGTGGATAGTACATCTGAATGTCAAAATGCTAACCCCTGCATAGAAACCACTACCTCAACTCCAAGGCTGGCCGTGCTGAGTTTGGCGACGAGGAGGAGTAAAATGGTGCATAGCTCGTGTTGTTGGATTATGGGCGTCCAGGAGACCCAGTGTATATCAGCGTCTAGATCAGGTGAAAAAGAATAGAAACGGTTGGCTCTACGAGTTATTTTAATTAATAAACGAGCTGAAAGAACGCTCGTCTTTAAATATCTGCATGACTTGGCGATGTATGGAAACAAAAAGCCGGAAGATGGCAATCACTTTTCATGTCTCTCTCTTGTCTCAACATTAACCATGAGCTTTAGCAGCTTAAATCATTCATATATCGTATGGATTGGCAATTAAAGAGGTGCATCTTCTCATAAAGATGACTCCTGATTCAAAAATCCACGGCTCGATTAAGTCATCTGAATCTTGCTCAACGTGATAGGCTCGCAATCCCATCACGTGATGCGTTCTTCACCTTGTTCGGCGTCGGCCCTACAAAACGCCGAGAAATTTGAGAGGGTCCCCTCACCGAGAAAAAAAGTTTGGCTTGAGTAGGAAATTTTTGAAGAGCGATCGTGCGAGGACGACAAGACATTGACAAAAACGCGACCAAGTTGCGCAAGACTCTCAATTGGTGTAAAAGACGCTAATTGGATCAAGTCTGGTCGATTGAGCCTTTGTATAAACTTCAGGCACTCAATTGTCCTGTTCATCCTTCATTTTTCCATCATTTCCCTCGTGCTTTCGCATCACACACATAGCAGCCATGGCCTCTGAACGACCCGACAAGAAGGAGAAGAAGGAGAAGAAGGAGAAGCGCACCGAAGAGTCCGGCGTGAAGAAGGAGAAGAAGGAAAAGAAGGACAAGAAGGACAAGAAGGAGAAGCTCGCCGCTGCTCTGGACGAGAAGCTGCAGCAGGATGTCGCTGGCCAGATCTCGCCTGTGAAGGGCTCTGAGGACTCGGACATGGACGAGGACAAGGCACCCGAGGTTGCTCTTGAGAGAAAGGTTGTGCTTTTTGCCGTCCCTCTGGCTGATGAGAAGGGCCAGAAGAAGATCTACAAGACGATCCGAAAGGGTAAGACTTTGAGCCCACGAACGCACACCCTTTTGGTGTTTTCTGCTTGGCCACTTGAGCCTACATTTACTAACTATATATTGTCAAATAGCCGCCAAGAATGGTACCCTCAAGCGTGGTGTCAAGGAAGTCGTCAAGACCCTGCGAAAGTCCGCCCCCAGCGCCCCCGGCTACACCTCCTTCCCCGGCGTCGTCGTCATCGCCGGCGACATTTCCCCCATGGACGTCATCTCACACCTGCCCGTGCTCTGCGAGGACCACAACGTGCCCTTCATCTTCGTCACATCGCGCGCTGAGCTCGGTGCCGCGGCCAAGACCAAGCGACCTACCAGTGTGGTCATGATCATGGAGAAGGCCGAGGGCAAGAAGAAGGCTTCCAAGGAGGCTGACAAGGACGAGGATGATGACAAGGAGTCGTACAGCGAGACTTATGCTTCTCTGGTTAAGCTGGTGCAGAAGGAGGGCAGCAAGCAGTCTTTCTGGACAAAGGGAGAATCCAAGGCGTAAAGAAGAACAAAATGAAAGAGAGGGTGAGGAGATAAGGAAAGTGTTTGGATGATGTGTCTGGGAGTGGGATGTTGTTGATGCGAAGCGCTTAATCTGGGTGTACATTAACAATACCAGAGGGGGAATGTCTTGCAGCAGCAAGAACTTTGTTGGGGCAAACGGCGGCGTTCAGGTATATAAAGTACTTTCTTGATCAATGGAAAATCTTTTGCGTTTTTACTACAGCTCTAGCCAGGGATTTTGTTTATTGTGGTAACAGTGACTATTAAGTGTTACTACAATTCGATGGTGAAATAATGTTCCCAAGGTGTGTTTCAATAGAAACAAAGCTCTCAAATTTAGACTAATAAAAGTTGTTGTTACAGTAAACCATCAGACGTGATGGGCCTTTTTACTACATGATATTCGGTGATTCCCATCCCAACTCCCGAAAAGTACATCAGGGGAAAGACTATGAAAAGAGTTTGTCTGCTTTACTCAAAGGGGTTGGTCCTGGTTCCCCACCAGTTGAGAACCAGAGCCAGGCCGACAGTCTCGAGTATTTTGGCAGCGACATTGACGCCGACGGTGTCAAGAGGCCTCTTTTCACTGAAGACCTGAGTGATGAACTGCAAGGAATGAGGCATTAGCTTGAGCGACAAGACAAGTGGCACTATCCAATAGAAACTTACGCTGGGAGCTGAAGTCGCGGCAAAGATGAGAGCGCCCAGATACGCCGCGCCCTTGTGGCTCAGCGTGCCCGTGGCATTGAGCAGCGCACCCACGCCGTAGCTCTGCAGGGCCGAGCCCACAAAGGACGTGCCCCAGGCGAGAGCGGCGCCGCCGGCCTCGCGCGAGCGGATAAACTCCTCCTTGGTGTTGGAGGCCTTTGCGCGGTGGTAGGTCTGGCCGAAGATGGGCGCGAGGACGACGAGGTCGACGCCGTGGTTGAAGAAGGTGCCGAGGGCGATGGCCGAGGGCTTGACGGCAGGGAAGTCTGGGAGGGGATATTGATGAGTTTCTGATATGTTTCCAAAGGATTGATTTTCATGATTTGAATAGAGTTGAGGGGGGGTTGTTGGAGAGTGGCGAGATGAGAGGGGGGAAGCTCTGGTGAGATTTGGTGAGCTTTTGGTGAGCTTTTCGACTTACATTGAAGAGACATTTTTGAAATGGTTCGATTACTGTGATGAATTCGAGAAGATGAGGCGATGAAGAGGCCAAAGAAGATTTATTGTATCGTCGTCTTAGGAGGTTTCGTTTTATTTCAGATCTCAGATCTTACAAGAAAAAAGAAAAAGGAGGCAAACCCAGCAGGTATTTGTATTCCGCCCAACTTCATCGGCAAGGCAGGAGCTAAAGGCCAGTGAACTAACCTACCTAGCAAAAAAAAACAATCAATTACGTCTTTAATTTTCCCCTCTTAGCATCTCGATTTCGCCCAAAGTATATTCTCTATACTAAGAATGCCCTTGGCTTGCAAAACGATTTCGTCATGACGATGATGTCACGACTACGCCTTTTGACGGTTTTGGGAGGCGTTTTTTTTTTTTTGCGGCTGCCGGATGGAGGAAATTCCTTTTTTCCATGGTGAGACAAATTGTCTTAGGTAACGACTTAACGTCAGTCTCTACGCCCTGGTTCACAAAAAGCCTCCGTTAACCGGTAAGTTGTTTGGTGTTGCTTGCGTGCTGTTCAGCTTGCAACATTGGTGCTGCTCCAGGTTGGATTAGGTAAGGTAATGATGCAAACTACTCACTGCCCCTGTTCCTTGAACGCTGGATGTGCCCTACTGTATGTACCTATGTAAGAGATACATGCGTCTACATGAACAGGTCTGCAGGGCCGATCTTGCTTTAATCCAGGCTGTGCCTCGGCATTCTATAACAGTTCAAGGCCCATTATAAGACAATCAAACCCGATGAGACAATCTGACGAATTTCAACCTTCCCCTACTTAACCAAGCACACGACTTGAACGGACCGCTCTCCTCCTCCAAAGCAAATCATGGCAGCATACACACCAAAAGAATAATGACCAAACGGCTGCTTCTTAATCCATGACACACAACGACCCATCAGATTCTGCCCCAACGTATTTTCCAAGTAAGAAGCGAATCCCGGCTTCCATTTTTTTCTCGCTCAAGAGATCCACTGCGGGGATTGTCAACTTCAGCTGGGGCGTGGCGTGGGGCACGTTTTCACTGTAATCCAACCTCGGTCACCAGAAAAACACAATCGTCATCGGGACAGCATCTCAATCCACAAGGGCAAGTAAGAAATCTCTCAAATATTCGGGATAGGCGAATACAACGTGTTATACAAGTAGTTCCAACATCAACTTGAAAAGAAAAAGAGCATCATACAAAGTACACAGATCACAGATAAGCAAGAAAGGCACGCAGTAAAAGAAAACTCGCAAAAAAAAAAAAAAAACCTGGTAGTCCCTGTATTGGCTCGAAGCACAAGCTTCCCATAAAATCATGCCTCTTCTTCCCATCGTAATGCCTAACTAACCCCCCATCGCCTGAACAAAACCAAATGCCATGTTTGAAAAAAAAAAAAAAAGAGGCCCTTTCCCGCTTGGTTGCAAAGAACATGTTACTCATGCCGGCCAGATGAATTCCGAATGTGTGATGAAAACTCCCATGACGTCTTTTCTTCGTATACTATCCATACAATCAGGTCGCTTTTGTTTTCCCAAGAGAGAAAACTGAAAAATAGAAGGAAAAGGATCTAAACTGGCATCAGCTAGATTCCCTCTCCTCGCTAAGCTCCCTTTCCGCGTTTCATTCGCTTCGTCGCTCGTCGCTCGTCTCCTCGCCTCAAAGGACTGCCGGTTTTTTTTTTTTTGCCAGGTTGCATTATGTATATAAAAACTTTGAGAGGAGCAAAAACAAAACCAGAAATAACTTAAATAAACAAATCTTGCCGTAAGCGTTGCCCATAATCCTCTATGCTTGGAGATGGCCGTATTCGCCGCTGCGTAGCCCTAGTAAAGCTCTAACATCATGAACGTACTGGAGGCCTTCCAGCAAAGGTACTAAATGCATCAAATCGCCATCTGTCGGATCGTTTATCCAGCCTTGAATCGGTATGGCATTGTCTATGGGGAGAAAGGGTTAGATCCGTGTGTGTACGATGTAGTAGTTAAAAACTCTCACCTTCATGGAACAAATAGCTCAGCGGGCTATTGTCCAGAATCATCACCTTGCTCAGATCCGGCTCAACAGAACTCAAGTCTTTGATGTACGCTCCTTGTCGATACGTGCAGTGCTGGCGATAGTATCTTGCAGAGAAAAACTTCCTTTCCGACTCGAGCCAGTCAATTACGGGGTCGGCATACTCCTGAACAGAGGCTGTAAAAACAACCAGGTTGAACCACTTGCATATTCTGCGGAGGAACTCGTCGCAATAAGGTCGCTTGTTCACCCAGTACAGGATCGGATGCTGCGCAACGCTATTCTGCCCACTCATTCCCAGAGTCGCAGTGTTGAGCTGGACTTCAATCATGTGGCCGCTGTTCATCCTTCCTCCCTTGGACATGCTGTGGATGAGCGTCTCATCGAGATCTAGGATGAGCGTCTTTTGCTGTTTCCTGGAAGGTTCCAATAGGTTCAGATACGAGGGCTGTCGTCGGGGGATCAAGGGTCGTGGCGGTGCTGGCGTCTTCGGATACTTGGTAAGGGCGGCGATGGGGGATGTCGGAGACTTGAGCTGCGCGGACAGTTCGCTTCGGCCGATGTCGCCTTTCCCTGGAGAGGCAGACTGAGACTTTCTATGTTTCCGCTGCTCCTCGTCGTTGAGTTTAATTCGGATAGATCGTCGCGCCGAGCCGGTCTCTTCGCTGGCCTGGGTGGACTTGGATCGCTGATGCCGACCTTTGGCGCCACGGGGCTCGTCTTCCGATTCGGATGATATGCCAGACGAAGATGTATTATTGGAGCGAGACGGTGTAGACGGAACGCCGAGGTGCCGCGAATTGCGGCCAGTCTTTTTCGAATCTGGGGTCGACGGATATACATCGTCCGCGGCCAGCTCGCCGTGAGCGAAGCCAAACAGCCTTTTCAGCTGTGTCATGGGCGCAAACTTGCCAAAGTCGTCGTAGAAGCAGGCCGCCAGGAAGTAGGCGGGCGCCGTCAGCGTGGCGAACAGCCACCGAATGGAGTTGATGACGCTGGACGCGATCCCCCGCGGCAGCACATGCCACCACCGCGAGCGCTTCCCTTCCGGCTTGGACTCCCAGAATAGCGGCGTCTCTTCAGTAGCAAAAGCACCTTGGTCGTCGTTGTCGAATCGCTTCTCGGAAGGGGAGCCCTCGGCCGACGAGGGCTGGGCCTCCTGTCCATCCGCCTTGTCCTCAGACGCTTCGAGCGCCTTGTCGTCGTCGGACTGCAGGCCCGTGCCGGATGAGATGCTGTTGGATCGGGAGTGGGTGGGACTCGACGGCGGCGACACGCGCGCGGTGATGATGTTGAGGGAGTTCATACTGAACAGAGACACCAATCCATGGGACATCGGAGGCGGCCTCGGGGAGCGGGTCGGGCGCAAGGACTGTTCGGGACGACGGAGAGATGAAGGATGCGAAAGGACGAGGCGAGGCGAGGCCTGGAGAAGAGAGGCAGAGACACGAGACGGGGCCCAAAAAAGGGAGCGTCGCAAGATGCCGGGGAGGCGATGGAGACCGCTTGCGGCGTCGATGCTCGTGGCTTCCGGGCTCGGGGACGATGCCAATGGCCCTGCAGCGCACTCCAGGGGGGGTTAAAATGAGCCTCCGCAGGGCGCTCGGCAAACGAATGTCATGAGTGAGTCGCTTCCAAGGGGGCGGAAAGGAGCGAGAGAGGCGGGCGGCGATGGCGATGGAGCCGCAGGCGAGGCTTGTGGGCGAAGATGGGACGAGATGCGACTGCGATGCAACAAAGAGGACAGCCGTGGAAAATGGGACGACGCTATTACGAGCCGCCCGAAAAAAAAATTGGAAGGGCTATGCTCTTGAGGGGGCCTTGCTCTGTTCTAAATGAACTTGGCCAAGTACATGTAGACCACAGGCACAAGCACGTCGCTCTAGCACGTTTTGACAGTTAGCTGGCCCGTCCAGGCGTTGAGGCACCCAGGAGGACGTTCCCCAAGCAAATCGGGCCAGGTCGTCATCAAGGCCAGGGTATAGCGGGCCAAGCGCTGGGAGGTCAGATGCCGCCCACGCTAGGGCGGGTTTTTGGGGACTTGCAGCGGCCATGGCAGGGGCTGTTGGGGAGCCCCTACCGTCCAATGCGCTGCTGAGCCTGGAGCCCGTTTCCGGTCAGCAGTGCCGAGGTGTGGCAGCGTATCGTATCGAGTGCTCGAGGTCGGAATATAACGACGGCAGACAAGGTACAGGCGCATAAGAGTAGAGACGGCAGCTAGACAAGAAGAGAGTTGAAAGATGGCATCAGTAAAGGTGATCAAAGATGATTCCAACCTCCAATATTGCCAATTAATATCGCTAGAAATATATACTGTACATATCAACACTCTTCAAATGCTGTTAATACTACTGTATTTACACCCGTCATCGTTCCATTTCCAACCGCCCTTTTTCTCTTGGCCTTTTAGTCGTTCCTACGCTAGCATGTGTCAACTCTAGCCCGTCTGTATCCGCGCATGTGGTTGACCTGAACTTTTAATTTGTGCTAGTTGCCCAAGCCACGACTGCTTCCTACAAGCGTCAAGAGACGCTGGAATGGAGAAACACGAAAGACAAAAAAGTCAAGAGGCTGGCTGCATGTTTGGCTTCAGCCTACTGTCATACGAAAAAAGTATCAGCGTCCTGTGCATTCAGGTATCGGGGCCGCTAAGCTCGCAAATCTTACATTAGTGCATACGCTGCGAGGTGGGCTGCCTTTAAGCTGCATGGCCGAAATTCTTTTTCGACGCCACTACCACGGGCTTTTGCATGTTGAGTCACGATCGCAAAGGCTCTTCTGGCGCCCACAAACCAACCCAGAGCCAAACCCCGCCCACCTGCACCACACCCATTCCCGAGCTGCGATAAAGCGAGCGCACCTCTAGCATCACTTGACGCTATCACGGCCATAATTTGTATCTTCTCCCACCTGCCCTTTGCCAGAAACTCGCAGCCCGCGCAGCCATCAAGAATCCGAGTCCTTGTCCGTCGCACAAAATTCGAGTCATAGCGCTGCCAGTCATCCCACCGAGCATCGGCCCTTGGATAACCGCACACAAAGGCCAAAACACCGTCGCTCGCCAGCAACAGAGCCTACGATGCCCTCTGTATCCGCGGGCCATGCGCTCGACCTCGAAAAATTCCTGAAATCTCTCAAAGGACAACAGCTGGAAGCTTCCGTCAACAGCTTGATATCGTACGTGATGTGATCCGTCAGTAGTTTGCAATGCGGGGCATGATAAGATTGTCGCATTGCGGCTCGACTTTTATTTCATTGGCCGCGGTGCGAGGGAGGTGTACTGCCAGACAGCTTGATACTGACAATACGCTGCTTGTAGTCTTTTAAAGCGAAGACAGATTAGGGGATCCGAGCCTTGCGCCATCGCCACCGCCCACATCCTCCTCCAAGTGGTTGCGCGCTCAAAATGGCACGATGTCGACAGCCTCTTGCTCAACGTCTCAAGGACCGGCCGTAGATTGGTCGACGCCCAGCCCAACGAGCTTGTCATTGGCAACATTGTGCGCCGCGTTCTGGGCCTGATTCGAGACGAGGCTTCTGAAGATCGAGGCGATGCTGGCGACGAATCGGCGAGCGAAGCACCCACGCCAACCGACATTGTCCCGCCGTCGTCCATTAGCCAGCAGTGGTCGTCAAAACGGTTCGACTCCGTCGATAGTTCAACCGGTGCCTCACGCCCTCCACTCATCTCCTCCTACAGCTCCATCAACCCGCCCAAATCACTGTTCCACCTGCTGTCGACCTCGCCTCCCACTGATGGAAACGTGTCGCCTTTCAAGACTTCGGGCGCTTCGACCCCTACCTGGCGGGGGAACGCGGGCCAGATCCACGCGCTGCGCTCTGAAGTGATTGACGGTATCGAGGAGATCAAGGACGAAATCAGCCAGGTGGATGACCAGATTGCCGCCTCTGCTGAAGTGCAGATCCATCCCGGAGACTTGATACTGGTCCACCAGCCATCCACAACAACTGAACGATTTATTCTTCGCGCCGCCCAAAAGCGCAAGTTTACCGTCCTCCTCGCCATGGCGCCGCCGAGAAGACAGCACTCGCCTGAGAACCAGCATGCCGTATTCAGAAAGAAGCTGTCAGCAGCCGGCATCACGGTGGTGAATGTGATGAATGGCGGGCTGATGGCTTACATGTCAAGAGTCAACAAGGTCATTATTGGTGCGAGAGCAGTTGTTGCTACGGGCGGTGTTGTGGCTGATGCTGGCTCTGCTGCTATTGCACGAGCGGCCAAGGAGCAGGGCGCTGCTGTTGTCGTGCTCAACGGCATCTACAAGCTGAGCCCGGAGAGCCCCTTTGACGAGAGCTCGCTGATTGAATGGGGCGACTCGTCGACGTTTGTGAGCTTCTCGGACGGTCCTCTGGTGTGTGGTGCCGAGATTCGAACCGCACTTACTGAGCTGATTCCGCCGGAGCTGATCGATACTTATATCACAAACCTGTAAGTTGGGTCCCAGAGGTGTATCTTTTCTGCCTCGATTTATCCTTCTGTTCGAGTATCTCGTCTTGTGAATTGAGCATATAACTAACCGTTTGGTGACTATAGGGGCACACATTCACGCGACCATTTGTCGAGCCTTATCGCAGACCATTACAAGCGAGAGGACGCAGACTTTCACATCTGGGAAGAGGCTCTCGCCTGATGGTAGTGACGATTTCACGAGGAATGATAACAAATCAAACAAGTAAAAGCAGAAAAACGACCAAGGAGCCTTCATCACATACATGGTGACAAAAAGAAAGGATAGGATAAATGACGGTATAGAATGTTCCTGACACAAAAAAAGAGAGAAATTAAAATTACCGGCGAATAGCTTTCGCATCGTCATTCATTGACGTTGATATGTGCTGTATATGTCTTGTCTGCCTTGTGCCTGGCTAGTAATAACTTTGTCCGGGGTACAGACTCCATTTGGAGAATAGTACAAACTATTGAAGCTGGATAGACATCCATTCATAACTGCCAACAACATATCATTAGCTCAACACCAAAAGTAGCATCAGTCAAACGATCTCGCCGAAACGTCACCACGATAGCCGGCCGCGTCAGCAAGCATCGGCAGCCCAGGGGTCCTCATTGGCTCCCTCTCAGCACCCACGACCTACCCACGGCCTACCCGTAGGATTCAATCAGGCGATGCAACGCTCAGCCAACCCCAGCGCCAGGCTCCAGGCGAGTCCAGACAGGCATCGCTGCAGCCAACTTGCCAACGTAACGGGGCTGCGTGGCCTCCACTGGCAATTAGAGCTGGCCAGCACTAAACGACCACTAACAGCCTAGCTGGCCACACCCGTCGCAGCGCTAAATCCGCCCAGCGTCGACACTAACACGACGAGACGACGATTTCCGGCTGAAGAAGCAAAGAGATTCGGCGAGGCATAAACGCTGGCTGGTGCAAGCTGCAGCCATAAAAGATCCGCTGAGGGAGTGACAAGACTGCATTCGTGTCTTCTCTCTGTTCTCTTTTTTCTTTTCGCCACACAAAACAGTGCTTGCCACTTGATTTTCTTGCTGTTCAATTCTGGGGAGAGCTTAGGGGGTGTAGTACCCGGTGTCTGCCTAGAAATCGTGGCCTGTCTTCAATTCTCTAGGCCTGCCTGTTTTAAACTTGTACAACTGCCATCAATTGTTCAAACCTTTCATCCAAGTCCCCAATTCCTTAATCAGCAGTACACTGCGAGATCTTCTCCACGACGATAGGGATAAAATACTTTCCTCCCCCGGAGCATAGCAGCCAAGAGTACTTCGTCACAGGGTACGCACGCCTCCAACGGCTTAAAGCCGCCATCGCCAGGATGAATCCCAACAACACCAGCACCAACAGCAATAGCCATCTCAGCGTCCAGGGAGACGAAGTCCCGCCTCCACCCTATTCAGAGACGGACGTCTACAGCAATTCAAATGGCTCTCGCTCTCCTCGCCCGGCAGCCGCAGAAACCCCATCTCACGGCTTCGTACCAGTAGACGATGCTGCCTCTTCGACTGCCGACGATGTCATCTACACGCCACCTCTCAGCCCTCAAAACACTTCAGACGCTGGGCAGTCCGCGGCCTCTCTATATTTTGAGCGGAGGCCTGTGCCGCAGCCAAACGCAACAGCCCGCGAACCTCTTGTTCATGCCATAGAGGTAAATGATGCTTCGCGGCCTGACGATTTCCCCTACCAGAATGACTGGGCAGCCCGAGACATCTCTGCCCTGGACTGGTCTACTTTTGTCAACTTCCTGCTTCCCGATCACAGCACGAGACAGAATGAGGCTATCCTCCATAGAAAGCTGCGAGATGAGATGCAGTCAAACTCGGGCAGCACTAACGATACGACGTCGCAGGTCGAAGCCCAGCTCGGCCGGAATGCTGATGCAGGAACTACACCTAGCCCTGATGCTGTGCAGCGAAGAAGAAATGTCGAAGCCACTGTCCTGCAGTGGAATGATGGCTTCTTCAACCCTCGTGGTATCCAAGTCAACCTTGAACCCCTGAGAGCTCCGTCCACGCAGATGCCTGGGGCCTGGGAAACCAACGTTGACCAGAGATCTGAGTCTGCTCAGTCTTCGCATACAGCAGGCCGCTCAGAGCCCTCCAGCTGGAGCCCATGGAGTGGCCTCGTCATGGATGAAAATGGCATTCGACTTGGCAACTCCTTTATGGACGAAAGTGGCATTCGACTTGGCAATTCCTTTGTGGCAGACTCAAATGGCCTGCGCATCGGAAACCTCATCATGGATGACAAAGGCATTCGATATGGAAATAGCAAAGGGCCAAGCCAGCAGCAGTCACGGCAGCCAACTACGGATGCCGGCCAAGACGTTCGCGGTCGTGCTGCTAATCAAGGAAGCCAGCCCGACAACAAAAAGGATCACAAACGCTCATCATCCTGCTCGTCTGTCTCATCACTATCCTCCATGAGCTCTGTATCTTCCATTGGGTCTCTGCCCAGCTATGACGACGTTCCCCAGAGGTCAATACAGGTTTACCTAGCCCGACTCCAGGACTGGACTGACCATCCTGAGCAATACCGCTCCAAGCAAGACGTCAAACAGTTGAAGGCTGACCTCAAGAGCGTCCCCATGTGCGATGGCTCCATCTCTGAGGCAGATAAAAAGGCTCTGAAAGCACAAATAAAGGCCTTGGCGAGTGTGTGGAGGCAGATCAAGAAAACCCAGAGAAAGGAACGCAGGGCTCTCAAAAAGGAGCGCCGTGCCCAGAGGAGAGCAGAGTGGAAGGAGAAGAGACAGCATAAAAAGGAGATGAGGAAAGCAGAGAGAGAAGCTCGAAAGGAAGCCCGAAGAGAAGTTGCTGCTCCTCCGCCTCCCCCGCCACCTGCTATTCCACCAATGCCTCCAATGCCTCCCGGACACGTTGTGCCTCCTGTGCCTCCTGTGCCACCGATGCCTGGAAATCCTCCCCCCTTTACCGGCAGCTTCCCCTGGGGTCCTCACGGCCCGGGCAGAGGTCGAGGTGGACGAGGTGGAAGAGGAGGCAGAGGCGGAAGAGGCGGTCGGGGCGGTCGTGGTGGTTTTCAATCTGATCACCAGGGTCCCTTTGGCCAAGACTGGACTGGCGAAAATGGCGTGTTTGGATCGCGCGGTCCTTTTGGCCCTGGAGGTCCATTTGGTCCCCATGGTCCCTTTGGCGAAAAGGGCATCTTTGGAAACGGCGGCAGCGATGGCTATGGCTCCAACAGTTTCTTTAGAAATACGGCGGAACAGCGACACCAAGCGCACAATCAGCGCGATCAGCTACAGCAGCGGTTACAGCAACAGCGCGAAATGAGAGAGCAACAGCTGGAGCGAATGCGTCAGCAGCATGAGCAAGCACGGCAGCAACACCAACAGCATCGTGAACGGGCGATGCAGCAGCATGAACAACATATGCAGCAACACGCACAGAAGATGCAGCAACACGAACAGAGGATGGAACAAATCCGACAGCAGGCCGTCAACAGCGGCGCGGCATATTCCTCTCACTCCATGCCGGGCTACTGGCCCGACGAGAAACACGAATATTCAATTCCCGTAACATCACAAGATGATGACGAGCAGATGGCTCCCTCTGCCGCTGCGGCAGCAAAGTACCGGTCCATCATGGGTATCGAGACTTCGATTGAGCAACAGCTCGCTGCGGCGGAGAAGGCTCCGCCAGGTCCTGAAAAGGAGGCGCTGGAATGGGCCATTGCCGAGATGCTGAATCAGTTGGAGGTGATGAGGATGGAGGCTGACGAGGAGTATGCAATAGAGCTGAGCGGGCAATGATGTTTATGATGATTTGAGGTTGCAACCCTGATTTTTGGAACTCTGCAAGATTGATGACTACTCACTTTAGTTTTTTCTTTTCTTTTCTTCTTCTTCTACGAATGTATTAAAAAAGCAAAAAACATTTAAAGCAGCGTTAAAAGATACCAAGCATCATATTATATAAAGCCTATAGGTAGACAGTCATTACGAAAAGAGAAGACATAAAAAAAACATCATCTTATAAATCAAACTTTTCCGACTTCATCTCACAACTGCGTTCTTGATTCATAGGCAATTCCTTTTTTTTCTCTAATCTATTCCTCTCCCTCCCAATGTCTTGTTCCCGTAGAATAACAACATAGAGTACAATAGCGAAGCCCCAAATCTCACATCCGACAAGCCATATGAAAACAAAAGAGACATTCTTCCCTTGAAAAGTACAAGATATAAAACATAAACCACACAAGTATAAAAAAATCGAACCTCTAAACGTAAAAATGCATCCCAACTTTTTTTATACACAAACAACAGCCCAGCTTTTAGAGAGAAGAAAACGAAAAAAAAAAAAAAAAAAAAAGAGAAGAAGAAAAAGAGAAGAAAACTGCCCATTTAATGCTTCGTCTCATCCTTCTCCACCAAATCCCCAACTCCCAATCCCCTCCCCACCGCAACCTTGACCTTCTTCTCCTTATCCCCCACCTCGGGATCCCTCCCAACCTCGCCCACCGCCTCGCCCTCATCCACGCCCTCGCTGCGTATCGGCAGCTCAGCAGTAGTCGCAGCACCAGAGCCGTTCGTCTTGCTCTTGTCCGCATCCTTGTCCTTGTCCTCGTCCTCGCCGCCGGCATAGCGCTTCGCCAGCTCCGCCACGTCGTCCAGGTCGAGCCGCATGCTGAAGGCGTCCTCGCCGTCGGCGTAGTACTTGCTCTCCGTCTTTTCGTTGCGGAACTTGAGCGTGTCTTCGTAGAGGTGTCGTGCGGCGACGTTGGAGACGCGGACGTGGAGCGAGACGTATTTGGCCTGGAAGGTTTCCACCATGGCGAGCTCTAGAAAATAAAAACAAACCCTCGAGGTTAGTCACACAGATTGTAAAAAAACGGTACAAGGGCAAAAACATACGACTCTGCCTCATCAGCTTCTCCGCAATCCCCAGCCGCCGATGCGTCCGCATCACGCTCAAGCTCGTAATATGCCCATGCTGCACCCCGTCCGTCGGCTCCTCCTCCATCTTGGCCAGCACGTAGCCCACAATCTTGGGGTAGTCGTAGGCGCCCTTGCGCGGGCGCGAGACGTCCACCGCCACGAAGCTCAGCTGCGGCCACGACAGCGCGTGGTAGAGGTAGTACTTGAGAAAGTAGTTTTCCGGCAGGTTCTCCAGGTTGGCGTGCTGGATGAGGGGCAGGTCGGCCGTGGTGAGGAGGCGGATGTCCATGGTGGGCGGTGGTTTTTTATATAGAAGGAGAAAAGAGATTGAAACAAAATGTGGTTGTGGTGAGAAACAAGAAGAAGATGTAAGAGACAAGAGAGAAAGGCAAGGCAGCGGATCTGGTTGCGAAACTCGGTGCAAAGGCCGGAAGAGACTCCCCCACCAAAAGCCTTGTCCGCTGCGGGGCCCGACTTTTGGTGCTTAGAAGCTCCAAGAGAAGAGCTGTCAACGAAATCAATTATACACAGGAAAAACACTATTTCTCGAGATTCTTAAATGCCAATTGCATAGTTATAGAGCCTGTTGACTAGCTCAAGAGAGAAACCTAAGAAGAAAAAATCGAAATGTTGAATTCTCATATGCTAAAGGCACCCTAGTACTACCTCAACTCCCCGCACACATACACCATAGCTCAATATACATTCTATGCTCTCTTCATTTATTTATTTTTCTCTTTTTCTTCTCTTTTTTCCTTTATTGTCTTGTCTGATCTCTAATTGTCTACTTTCTTCTCGCGAATCGGCAAGTCTTTCGTTACCTCGGCCGACGTCGCAGTCATGCCCCCAGCCGCAGAGGCCTCGTCCTGAGCCTTGACATCCACGTCGGCAGCGGTGGCGGCAGCAGCCTTGGCAGCTTCAGCTTTGGCGGCCTTGGCGGCCTTCTTCCTCTCCTTGTCCTCCTGCTTCTTCTTCTTGGCGGCCGCTTCGGCAGCACGAGTCTCGGCGGAACCGCCAAACAGCTCCTTCCACTCGGCAATCTTCTTATCCTCGATTCTGGTGAAGAGATAGGCGGCCTTGCCAATCTTGTGGCCAGCCTTGATGGCGGTGGGCTCCCAGACGTCAGGGATCAAGGCCAGCTTGGTGTTGAGCTGCTGGCAGATGGAGTCAGAGGTGGATGGCATGTACGGAGAAGCCACTGAGGCGAGCAGATGGCAAAGGTTCAGGGCGAGACCAATGGTGGTGTGAGTTCGCTCAGGGTTCTCCGCCAGGTTGGCGTTGTCGAGTCGGCCTTGGAGAAGGTTGTTGCCCTCTCGGCTAATCTCCAACAGGGCTTTGCTGCCGGCACGAATGTGTACATTCTCCAAAAGGTCGACGTACTCCTTTAGCAAGCCATTGACCGTCTTAACCCAGGCGCCAAAGTCAAAGGTGTCATCCTTGTAGGAGGGGTCGAACTCGGGAACGACGCCATCCAGCTTGGCGTTGACAAACTTGACAATGCGGTTGACAAAGTTGCCAAAGTTGGCGAGGAGCTCGCTGTTGTTGGCCAGCTGGAACGACTGCCACTCGAATTGGGTATCGCTGGTTTCCGGTCGGTTTGATAGGAGGTAGTATCTCCACACAGATGGCGAAATGCCAATTTCCCTGGCCTGGTTGCCGAAAACACCGATTCCTCTTGACTTGGAGAACTTGCCGTTCTCGTAGTTCAAGTACTCGGTAGTGGAAAGGTGGTTAAGCAGGGTCCACTTGTATCCGGTACCAATCTCGGATCCAGGGAAGATGACTGGTAGCAGCATACATGTCAGCTCAATCTCGAAAATAAAAACATTAAAAGAAATCATCCGGCCACGAACCTGTGTGGAAGGGCACGTTGTCCTTGCCCATGAACTGGTAGAGGGTGACGTCGTCGGGGTTCTTCCACCATTGCTCCCACTCATCGGTATAGTTGGCCGTGATGGAAGGATAGCCGATGCAGGCATCAAACCACACGTAAATGACCTTCTTCTCGTATCCAGGCAGCGGAACCGGCACACCCCACTTCAAATCTCTGGTGATGCTGCGAGCCTCCAGGCCCTTGGTCAGCCACGACTGGGTGATGGAAACGCCGTTTTGAGGCCAGCCGTATTTCTTGTGCGCATCCTGGAACCACTTGTCAATCTCGGGCTGCAGCTTCTCGAGGCGGATGAAGACGTGTGTCGTGTCGCGGGGCACGGGCGTTGCGCCGTCAATCTTGCATCGCGGGTTGACGAGCTCAAACGGATCCAGCAGGCTTCCGCACTTGTCGCACTGGTCGCCGCGGGCATCGTCGTAGTTGCACTTGGGGCAGGTTCCCTCGACGAATCGATCGGCCAGGAACGAATCGTGCTTCTCGCAGTAGGGCTGTTGTGTCGTCCGCTCCTCGAGGAAGTCGTTTTCGTGCAGCTTGAGGAAGATGTCCTGCACAATCTCCGTCTGCTTCTTGGTCGAGGTGCGGCCAAAGTAGTCGAAGCCAATCTCGAACCACTCGTAAATCTCCTTGTGCTTGACGTGGAACTCGTCGCAGAGCTCCTGGGGCGTCTGGCCCGTCTCGAGGGCCTTTGTCTCGGTGGCCGTGCCGTACTCGTCGGTGCCGCAGATGTACAGCGTCGGCCGGTCGCGCAGCTTGCTGAAGCGCGAGTAGACGTCGGCGCTGAGGACGCTGCCGACGACGTTGCCGAGGTGAGGGACGTTGTTGACGTAGGGGAGGGCGCTGGTGATGAGGACGTTCTTCTTGCCCTTGACGGGCAGGATGGGATTTTCAACCGCCATGGTGGAGGTGATGGTGCAACTGCAGAAACTCCAAACGCCGCGTCTCTATCGGTACTTTATGCGTCTCTCAAATTTGAAGAAACAAGCGGCACGCGAGTGCAAGTGACTAAACTAAACTCAACAAGGATGTAGGTAGACAGTCAAATCAACGAAGGGCGCATGTGCAAAATAATGTAGACACTTCGAGTCATCGCATTGCCCCGCTATCGCTGTGCGCCTTCATGGCGGGGTGTGTCGCAAAAATTCTGCCGCTAGCCTCTACCCAATTCGGAGGGTGGTCAAGACTTTATGTCTTTGGCGTCAATCTCAACTCACTGCTAGTATCAACCTCACATCCGCTATCCGTATATTAAACTCGGTACAGCTTCAATAAAATTCAAAAACCAGTATTATTATTCAAATTTAATCAATACTACTAAACAAATCTCCAAATGTCATCGGATCTCTTCGACGACGTCTTCACTCTCGAAGACCGCTTCTACTCACAAGGCTACAACCAGGGCGTCCAAGATGGAGCCCGCGCCGGAAGGATAGAAGGCCGCTCGCTCGGCATGGAAAAGGGCTTTGAAAAGTTTCTCGAAAGCGGCCGCATCGCCAGCAAATCTCTCGTATGGGCAAACAGACTCCCCCAAAAGCCTCAGCGAAGTCCCAGTGCCTCGGAAGGGACAGAAAAGAGCTCCGAGGCTTGCACGCTGCCACCACTGCCCAAGAATCCGAGGCTGGAGAAGAACATCAAGCTGGCATATGCGCTGGTCGAGCCTGATACGCTGTCGACGGAGAATTCCGATGAGGCTGTGCAGGACTTTGACGACCGGGTGAAGAGGGCGCAGGGCAAAGTCAAGATTATTGAGAAGATGCTAAACTAGGACGACTCTCGACTTGGCCAGCATTGGGGATTGTCTAATGCTCTATTCAAGAGGTTCCCATCTTCCATCTCAGTGTCAACAATATAGAAATCATAGAGGGTTTTGGGGTTCATGGAGTTGTGGTATCGGTTAGAATTATCAAGGGAAAAGATTAGGCGTTCATAAAAGGAAACAGAGCATCAGTAGGAAATTCTATCGTCTTTCTTCATCTCGTCTTTATTTACACACAGCCATCTCCCCCTAGTTTATTTGAATGTCCTGCAAGGATAGCTACATTATCCAATTATTAGCAAAAATCTCCATTTTGAAACCATCACATTCCAAGCAAAACAACTTACCCAGCACCATATGTCTGCTCCTGCTCCTCGTGAAGCTCGTACTTGTGCACATCCCACGCTCCCGACACCAACGTCTGTCCGCTCGGCACAGGAGGCAGGCCGTCGACAAACACATCCTTGGCCACATCCTTGGGGGCCTTTTCAAAAAACGTCGCCAGGCCGGTCTCGCCCTCCTTCTGCGCAGCCACGAGGGCCTGCTCTCCGGCCTCGCCAATCAGCTCGACCTTGGGCTTCGCGGCGCTTCCGACCGTCAGCAGCGACACGGCGTAGCCCTGGTTGACGACGCTGAGCTGAGGGTACGAGCGGCGGACGTCTCGCTTCCAGTAGGCGTTGTCGGCGATGTCGCCGGCGGGAATCGTGACGGGATCATCGTAGCTCTGGGGGTCCAGGCCGCCGGGGGTCGGGTTTCGGAAGTAAGGATTGAGGGGGACGCCGTTGGAGCGGTTGGGGTCGATGGCAAAGGCCTTTCGGATCGTCTCCCAGATGCCGGTGGACTGGAGAGTGTGTTTCTGCGGGTTTGGGGTCAGCATCATGTACCATCTTGATAGCTCGACCTGGACCGAAGCCGCGAGCCAGAATTGAGCGTGATTTGCGCCAATTGAGGCAGCAGAGCGTCGAGAGCGGGCAGGGATTTTCGCACCTTTGAGATGGAAACAAGGCCACCAGCAGCCTTTGCTGCCGCTTGAGAAGCCATCTTGCGGAAGCGATGGGATAGTCGCAGTGCTGTATGTCGAGCGAATTGGCTCCGAGTTGGTTGATCTCGAGGTAGCAGCGACAATTGCTAGCGATGGGTCTAGCCGAAGCTTTACCGACAGCGCGCCAGTACCCTAGAAAGATGGAGGAATCGAGATTTCGATGTAGGATATTGCGACCTATTGCAGTAGGGGAAAATCTGAAATATCATTACTTGTAAATGTAGAGTATTGACTTGTTTTATTTTTGGGAAAACTATGCAGCATGGCAGTTCAATCGATATAAGTTTATTGCTGGGGAGATTCTTTGGTAAGTGCAATTTGTTACATGTACTTTTGTCAACACAGGATTCAATCACTGCACTACGGGTAGGTGATTTTACCAATTGTCTCAGATAAAGAAAATCATTATTGTAGTCAGCAATAGACAAATCTTCTCTTCCGATATATCTAATAAACTGACCGAACATCATTCAGTCCGAGAGAATTCACCTTGCATCTTCCATCAGGAACCATTGCAATATTCTTTCCCACCTCCTCGCGCTATGTTTGCTTGTAACAACAAGTAGAATAGCATCGAAACATGGTTCTCTCCATCAAAAGTGCATACCGGAACTCATGGCATTTCCCAACCATCTTTTCAAACACCACCAAGGGAGAACAATATACTGTTGGCCATCATCTCTTCCATCAAGCTTACCTCTACAGCCACAGGCTGCCATATCTTGAGCACATCAACAGAGCTACACCAAAGAGTGGCCAACAACGACGCGAAACCAATGACAAAATCAATTTACACTGTCCTCAGGAGACTAACGAGCAATTCATACGAGAATAGTGGGCCCTATATAGATTCCCAGTGCCAGCAGACAAATATAAGCACGCTTGCTATCCCTCATACCGATCAACTCCCACGCCAACTTGTAACATGACAAAGCAAACAATTTTCTTCTTCTCTTCTTTCAACACGCACAATTATCAATACGGGAAAAAAACACAGTAGCAGAAAGAAGAAGGAGAAGCAAGGGAAAAAAGAACAAGTAATGTTTTTAGTTCTTTCCCTTCAACTCTTCAACCAGAGCCTTGACTCTCTCCACAGTAGCAGCAGGACCGCCAGGCTCGGCAACGAGCACCTTGCCCTCCTTGCTGATGACAAACACGCCGCGCTGGGTTCCCTTAGGTTGCTTCTTCAAGCCAATGGCCGCGATGAGAGTCGCGCCGGTGTCGCACAGGAGGGGATAAGGCAACTTCTGCTTCTCCTTGAAGGTGGTGTTGGCCTTGGGTGAGTCGGCGCTCAGGCCGTAGATGGCGAGGCCGTCGGCGGTCAGAGGCTCATAGGAGTCGCGGAACAGGCACACTTGGGTGGTGCCTGATGATTTGACAAGTCAGCAGAGTGCCAATCGCGTCGAGAACTTGTATAAACGGGCGAAAAAACGCGGATAAACGCGCGAGGATAGCGAAAGGATAGGTGACAGAAGATATATATATATATCGATATATACATTCCATATGAAACGGTAGAGTAGTAGAAGGAAAAACTTACATCCCGGAGTCGACGCCTTGGGGTAGGTGAACAAAACAACACCGCTCTTGCTATCATCAACCAGCTTCTTCAAAGTCGTCTTGTCGCCATCATTCGTTTGAATCTCGCCGCCGAATCCCTCAAGGTCAACGACATCGCCAACAGCCACCTTGCCCGCAGCAGCAGGCTTCTTCTCCTCGTCCTTGGCCTCAGCCTTGGCGGCCTTTTGTTCTCCCTCAGGGGCAGCTGCGTCTTCCGGCGCAGAATCGGTCGCCTCCTCGTCCTTGGACGGCTTCTTCTTGTCCGCCTCGGCGTCGGGCTTCTTGGCGTCCTCCTTTGCCTTGGAAGCGGCGGGCTTTCGTCCCCTATTAGTAGCCGCCTTCTTCTTGGTCGGCGCGGGCGCGGGCGGCGCCACGGGGGCCTTGCGCTTGCGCAGCTCAACAGGCATGATGGGATTGATATTTGGTTCTGATAAACAAGTGTTTGTGTATTGGCTCTTCCGGCAAAGCTGCTCTTTTGCTCGCAACAAAAGAACTAGGAGAAAAAATGACACGTATTACAGGCCAATAAAGCTGCGCAACGCGGTTGAAACAAGGAAGGCGTTGGGAGGGTGTAAGCTAAAGGGGAGGCGAGAGAGAAAAAAAAAAAACAGACAAAGGCCTGGCCGTCTTTCGTGACAGGGCAAACCACCAGAACCTCTGCCGTGGCATGCGGTTCCCAAGTTAAGGTACAATGTACCCCCCCCATCCACTACAGCAGCTTGTGCCTGGCTACGACAACCAATCAAACAGAGCTGGGCTATGCGAGTTGGAGCTTCTTGTCGAAGCTAGGACCCGTTTGATTAAACGCGGAGCTCCAGTTTACGGAATATAGCCGTGGACTGGGGTTTTTGTGAGATAGTAGGTCGTGTATCTGACGGCAAGTCTCCGTAGCGCTCCGGGCTTGGCTGTGATTCGCTTGCTGGTGTATGTCGCGAGCCCAGGTGCCTGTGCAAGTATCCAATCGTCCACCCATCCGTCCATCTAGTGCGCCATACACGCGAGAGTCTACAGAGCAATACGTACTAGTACAAAGCATTTGAGCTACAGGAACCAACAGGTATTACGAAATGCTGTTGGCGGTAAAGGAAGAGGGCGCTGTTGCCCGGGATACTGACGAATTGAGTTGGTGGGCGTGCAGTGACCTGCATCTTATCTGCAGCTTCGCGCGCAGGGCCTCTTTTTGGCTCCATGCGTCTGTCATTCCGCTGTCGAAGCACTGACGGCTAGTAATCGGGTTGGTCTTGAGGAATTGAGCCGCATACAGGTTCGAGTGCAGTTACAGTGTCATCACATCTAATAAAGAATCGAGAGCAGCGTCTTGTATCGCAAACTTAAATGCAGCAATTCAATGCCGGTGTCCCTTAATTGTTTCACTATCAGCCTGATATATCGCATGCTCTTAGGTCCTTCCTTCTCAGCAGCAGCTTCTTGATGTAGAGTCATACTCAGATGAAAACCAGTAAATCATCCTTCAAATGTCCCCTTTGAAGAAAACACAGCGTGTCTTCCTCCCATTGCCAAATCACGAGCCGCGTCGAATGCATCAACCCCAAGATGTCCTCAGCATATAGGCTGAAACCTATATAGCCCACAAGCACTTAACAACGTGAGTTGCATGATAAGCCGTTATATGGTCGTATCGATCATACCGAATCAACTTTTTGTGTGTCCGCAGCCTGGAAAAATGCTCGGAAAGAAAACCATAACTCAAAGAAAAAAAGGTCGAAAGAGACCTTCATCGTGGGTATCATAGCTGCCACGCCAACTCTCTCTCCATCAGATGAACAGTGGAGAAAACAGCTTCCGCCATTTAGTTAGGGCACTGAGCCTGAACGTGGCCGCCCTGCTGGCACTTGTAGCAGATCTTCTCGCCACCAGCGGCCTCCTTAGGACAGTCACGGGAGTAGTGGCCAGACTCGCCACAGTTGTAGCACTTCATGCCGTTGACGCACTCGCCTATAGATAAATTAGTACAAAGTTCGTGCACACATCGAATCGACGGTTACATACGAGACATGTGGCCGTAACCACCGCAGGAGTAGCAGGTCTTGCCAGCACCGCCACCGTAGCCGCTGTTGCCGCCGTAGGAGTTGCCACCGAATCCGGACTTGGGGCAGCTGCGGGCAATGTGGCCCTTCTCGCCGCACTAGAGAAGAAACTATTAGCATCGGTTCCATGCGTTTGTTGAGACGTTCAAGCACATACCTTGTAGCACTCAGTGCCGGCTTGGCCTCCTCCAGCAGCGCCAGCCTGGGGGCAGTCGCGGGAGATGTGGCCGGGCTGGCCGCACTTGTAGCAGGACTTGTTGTCCTTCATGGGCTCAGTGCAGTCACGGCCTGAGAAAAGTCAGCGGGTGAAGAAGAGAAACCGTCAGTCGGATTGTGCTTACTGAGATGGCCCTCGCCTATTGCAGGAAGCTAGCTGTCAGCAACAAATTCAACCCAATATGAGGAAGAGGGAGACGGAAAGCATACCGCCGCAGTTGTAGCTATCGAGAAGTTAGCACCGGAATTTGATTCTCATTGCGATGGTGAGGAAGATGCTTACCACTTGGCAGGTCCCTTGGTGGGGCAGTCACGGGCCTAATGCAACTGTTAGACTGAATGATGCTCTTTGTGAGCTTGTTGGTGACGAGGATTCTACTGTACCTGGTGGCCAGCGTTGCCGCCTAGATGAAGCTGTTAGCAAAGTCCATAATTTATGGAAAAAAGGATCAAGATGAGGATGAGAGCAAAGACGACGATTGAACGTGAAGGGAAAAATGGAAACAAAACAAAACAAGAAAGCTGATGATGACAATCGAAGCTCAAGGCTTGACGCTCTGCGAGCTGACTCGAAGGAATGCTTTGGCCCTAGGATTTGGAGGGGCTGCCAAGCATCTCAAAAAAAAAAAAATCAAGGTACCAGGCTCGGGAAGAAAAACGCGGGGGAAATTCAGGTGAGGTAGCACAAGTGGCAACTCATGATGCACAGAAAAAAGGGAAGAGACTCACAAGAGTAACACGCTCCACGGGGTGCGTAATCCATGATTGAATTGGTTTGAGTAGGTGAAATAAGCTATCGAGCCGAGGCCATCACAGTTAGCGACTATTTTCATGCGAGTGTTGGAGAGCCCAAATGTGCAAGGCCATCTGCCGGCCTGAGGCTGAGGGGCAACAATCGACCCAGTTCGCGGCGATACCAACGTCAGATGCGCCAGCGAGGGTTGGGAAATGGGAATGACGAATTCGAACATGTTTCGTCAAGAAGGAACGGTGGCATCAAGAAGGCATCACTCACTGAGATATTGTTCGAGATTGAAGTTGAAGAACCGAGAAGCTGTGGGACGAAGATGTTGATTCCACAAATTGATATTGGAAAAAAAACGTGTAGACGAAAAAGGGAAAAGTTTTTGACGATAGCGGACTATGTGTTGGGGCCCTCAGCCTAGGCCGGTCTAGTGCACAGCTACAGCCGAGCGAGCGTGGGAGGCCCTTGCCACTGGGCGGAAAAACCGATGGGCCGCCGCCAGCCCAGGGTTGGGGTTCCTGCTACAGCGCTGTGGCGCTTGCAAAGGCGCTGTTGTTGCTTTACTGGCAGTGAATCACAGCTCACTTTGGAGTGAGAAGATGGGATGAAAATGTGCTCAAATTCGCTGTTGCACATCCGATTGCGGAGGAGCCACTATTTCTTGAAATTTGTTATTGTATTTGCTTTGATTTTGATGTCGTGCCACAGTCGCATCCAAGCTGCGAACCTATGCTATTTCCCGTCAACTACGCCTTGGTACATGCACATGTATCTCGAGTGCTCTGTTAAGCACTATCTACATGAATGTAGCGGCTGCTGAATACTTTCTACCTCTACTAAATTCAAACATGCACCATTCTGTAGCTCGTAGAGAAAGTAAAAGGCAAGACGCTTGTCGTGTGATTTGCATTGATGCTTTTGAAAAACAAACATGAGGCACGTGTCTCCGAATCAACAGAGTAGCAGTAGCAGCCGGTGGGTTTAGGCACCACCTCGACCTGATGTTGGCTCACTCTAATGCGGGTCACGTGGACTGGCGTTGTTGTGGCGCGCGACTCGCCGCGGGAGCATTCACGTATTAGTGGCGCTGTCGCTTCATGCTGTCTCCCTGCCTGGCTGCGTAACTTTACTACAGGAGTCTTTGAAATGGACGGCTGGTCGGAAAAGGGGCGGCCAGCGGTGCGCGAAGCTCTGGATCATGTGTGGGAAGTCATTGATCGCGAAGTTCAACATGGTACGTTGGTGCTGCCTCCCTCTTGATGAGGACCTTTTATTAACACGAACAAGAACTCGCGAAAAGGGCCATGGACAATGACAAGACCAAGGAGCTATTAAAAGCCACGGTTTCCGCTCTTTCAAGTCTGGGGGCTCAGCAAAAGGTGCTGCAAGCTGAGAACAGCAAGCTGCGAGCTCAGCTAGCAGCCATGTCCTCAAGTCTCAGCCCTGTCAAAGCCAATTCGAGCACTCCGGCCCCGAGTGATGACACAAAAGTTGACTCAATGACTCCAACTCCGAGCAGGGCCACTACTGCACCGACTCTCCCCTCTTCAGCAGCTATTGTGTCTCCCCCCAGCTCCACTGGGTCAGAAGGTAACGAGCTTGCAAAGTTCAAATTGCGATTCAATGCTCTCTCGGACAACTTCAAACAAGCAACGCACCATCTTCGGAAGAGAAAGGAAGAGCGCGATTTGTGGATGGCACGAGCAAAGAAGTTTGAAGATCTTGCTCGGGTAGCTGAGGAGAAGCATGGAATACGAATTCTTGAGGAATCAGAATGTGATAACCCTGACGAATCTCGCCTCACAAATCCCAATCCCAATTCCAATGTCCGAACCTCTGCTCTAGAAAACATGCCACCGCCTGCTACTCGGACAATTCCTGATAGCCAGTCAATTACCGATGTAGAAGACGCGCAGCTGCAATCTACTCAAGGGGATCCCGATGAAGCTGAGACTGAAGATCTACCGCCTCTACCAGCACCTGGCGATGGCCAGGATTCAATAGACATCAAGCAGGAGCCGTCTTCTGATCTTCCGGTGGTAGTGTCTGAAAGATCGCTGAAGAGGAGAAGGGTTGAAGACGATACACTTACAACTCCGACCGCTCCAATAGTCAAGGCTGAGCTAAATAACTCTAGTCCAATCACGGCATCTGAACACTATCAATTTGACATCCAGGAGAGCATTGACCTCGATGATATAGCGCAGAAGATAACCACTCCACGAAAGCGTAAAGATTTGGACGCCTCGGTTGTTGAAGAGGAAAAAGAAGAACCGAGATTAGTTGCTCATACAACTCCAAAGTCTGGCTACGTATGGGCAGACGGTCTACGATACTCAGCCAAGAATGCTCCCGGGCCGTCTATACTCACTCCAATCAGCGGTAACAAGAGAATTTCGAAAAGTATTGTCGATGGTGATGGCAGCCTCACTACATATGTGAAAGCTTCATTGGCCCGCGGGATTGCAGAGCTAGCAGAAGATGGCACACCTTACGGAAAGCGTGGATTTACAAAGAGTTCAAAGCCTTCGCAAGGGATCAGCCTAGTTCCTAATGGTCGGCTGAGTTCGCTATTGAATACCCCAACTTCCAAGAATACATCACCCATCAAACAAACTCCACAAACCCGCACGCCAGGTACTGCTTCTGCTGAAGACACACCTCTTGACACACCTCTCAACCTCATGTTCCCCGAGCCTAGAGCACTGCCCTTTGACAAGCTCATGCGACAGACCAAGAAGCGCAGCACTTTAAAGAACGGGGAGTTTACAACGCCTATAAACAAGAAAGCCCCTGTTCGAGATGAGTCTCCGACCAAAGGGCCGACGTCAGGTCTCCGTTATAAGCCTCTGGCACAACTCCGCCTCGATGATTTCAAGGTCAACCCCTTGTCCAACGATGGCCAAGACTATGCCTTTTCGGAAGTCGTCAGAGACAAAGATGATAGGGCAGGCCTACGAGGCTGTACAGATATGCATTGCTGCGGGAAGCACTTTCGAGCCCTGGCTCTATCACATCGGCCAGATTCGCCGTTGACGGCAGAACAGCGACAAGAAGAGCAGAAGCTACTAGAGAATTACTTGGGCGAACACGCGTACCGATTAGCAACCATGACAAAGGCCGAAAGAGACGAGATCTGGATCGAAGCCAAGACTGAAGAGTTGGCCAACAAATACGGCAGGCATCGACACCGGTTCGCTCGCATGCAGTCTCCCCCGGGGTTTTGGAATGCCGACTTTCCAGATACACAAGAGCTGGTGGCTGATCGAGAAGAGGCGCAAAAGAGGGAGAAACGCACAATCGCAGATCGATATAGAGAGGCCATGCGTCCTGGCGGCATGTGGCTATTCAGAGACGAGTAGATTGTTTTGATAGCGGGCAATCAGAAACTATGGCGGCGCATCAGAGAGAATTTGTATAAAGCATTAGGCAGCGCAAGCATATGGCAAGCATCGGCGTCTGGGTTACATGGGGATTCGAGTGTATTGATTGGTTATTCAAATCTGATTAGAGTATGTGGATTAATGACGGTTGATTTCAATGTATATTGCCAGAATACATGAACTCTGTTTCTCATTCTTTCATTTGATCACAGGCGTTGAATCGGTGATGCTGATGCCACTATTCTAACCAATGCTATAAATACCCAGTAGTCCCCAGATCCAACTATCCAAGCCTTACCCGAGCATATACAAGCTCAAACAACTATGGAATTGCTCCCAAGAAATAAATATGGATTACTCGACACATGACCATATAGATCATCACCAAGTTTCAAGCTCAATACAACTCCTCGCCATGCTCTTTTGTACTATCCGGTGTCGGCCAATCATCGGATCTCTCCAGCAGCAGGGCACGGACGCCGGGGCGATCTCTGCACGCTAAACTCAACTCCAGTCACGGCCACAGCCAATTTCTGCCTCTGACGCTAAAGCAGGCCTGTGCAAAGCCGCAACTCCAGTCTAAGCCAGCGAGCGCTTCCAAACATCGCCGTCCGCTTCTACAGCCCATTTTTACTTGTTCCTCGCACCCTCACCTGCTGGCCGCAGCCTCGCCTCCTGCAAGCAATCCCTGACGCAGACATCGTGGCCTTGAGACTGCCACCGTCATTCCGCTCCTCGACTCTTGATCCTCGTGCGCTCGATTCTGGCGGCACAATCGCCACTGTCGCCGGTCACGCCACCCCATTGCGCATCTCCATCCGCGTCGCGCAGCTCGAGCCAGGCATCTGCATCTCGTCCTCGCCGTCGTGCAACTGCCAGCCTCAGCTGCGACTTCTGGCCCTCCCCGCACTCCGCTGGCGGTGCAAGTAGATGCCGGAGCAGCACTGGGCGATATCCGCAACGGTACGATCCCCCAAGCCGGCAGGATGAGTAACCGCCATCTGCCGGCTGGGCAGAACATACAAGCTGCAGCCGGAGGCGTCAATGGCGGCCTGGATATGAACGGAAACATGGCACATGTGGGCAATATGGGCGGCCCGCGGAGGAACAGGCCGCAGTACAACGGCAACATGCCCTATCACCAGCACCGCGAGCCTCACTATCAGCACCAGCAACACCAGCAACACCCCCAGCACATGATGTACTCCAACTATCCGCCATACACTCAGCAGCAGTACTACGCCATGCCGCAGCACCACTACCCGCAACCACTTGCCCCGGGCTATATGCCTTACCAGGGCTACACCAGGTCGCCGCCGCCGATGCAGCAGTTTGCCCCGATGGTGGGCGTGAGCGTCCCACCGAGCTACCCCCGAGGCGTTCCGCAGTCGCCCAACCCAACCACGCCGTATCAGCCTCCACTTGCTACCGCGCCCGGCCTGCCTCATACGCCGTCCTCGACTCACTCGACGCAATTGCTGCCTCCGCATACACCTACCACTCCCCAGACGCCTCAGAGCGTTCAGCCAGCCCCCGTGGTGCCCACCCCTCCTACTCAGGAGACTGCTCCATCACCAGCTCCGGCCCCGGCCATTGTTGCTGCTGCCGAGCCCCGCGAGCCGTTTCGACCACCGGTAAGTTGATGGAAGCAATACTAAACGAAATGTACATGTTTGGCTAAATTCCAGTGAAAATAGCTACCCTGGCTGTCACATCCCGGTGTTGCATTCCCTGTGAGGACTCCGCGAGCAAAACGGCTGAGAAAGCCTTTGGGTGCAGGAGACAAGGCGGTATCCCTACCTGCGGGGCAGCATGATGTAGCAGCAGAACAAGCCAGTCAGAAGCCTGCTCTCTCTGCCCACAAGCAGTCGGGCACTCAAGCTCCAGCTCTCAAGCAAGAGGTAGAGCCTGAAGTATCCAAGACTGAAGAGACAGTCAAGGCAACGACCAATGTTCCTGCTACGCGCACAGCTGCCCCCGCCATTCCTGTAGTCCCAGTCCTGCCAAAGCACGGGCCCAAGCCTGAGACTGCGAGTCAAGAAAAGGCAAATGAAGATGCTGCCAAGCTCAACGGTCAAGACACGGTGGCTGCCGAGTCAAACGAGGTCAATCCTGACGGAACAAACGATGCTCCTGCCTCAGCAGTCAAAGCTCCTCCCTCGAGCTGGGCCAACCTCTTTGCCAGACCATCAGCACGAGCTCCAGTCAACGGCTCGGGAGTGAATGGTGTCAATGGGATCAATGGTGATTCGGCTGACGCCGCCAACAATTTTCCCGGCTCTGCCTTTTCTAAATCAAATGTCAATTCCCTCGCGGAAGCAATCCAGTCATATGTGGTGGAGGACAACGGTAAACTCGACTTCCTTGAGCCACGCGGACTCATCAACACTGGTAATATGTGTTACATGAATTCCGTAAGTCTTTGTCTGAAAACAATCAAATTGTAATGGAACTGGTAACTGACATGTTTTTAGGTGCTTCAAGTGCTCATGTTCTGTGTGCCGTTTTACGACTTGCTAGATCAAACTGGCAAGAGGGCTGCTCACAGCTTCAAGAGCGAGACTCCTATGATTGACGCCTTGATTATGTTCATGAGGGAGTATAGAGTACTCAAATCGTCAGCATCGGCTGACCAGCTGAACCGTAACCTGAAGAGCGAGGACCTCGAGCGCTATGGTGAACCATTTACACCCGAGTTTGTCTATGACGCTATCCGACAGCTATCTCGATTTGACAGCATGCGAGTGAGTATCCCCAGCTAATCAATCTCTACTAGGTTTGGAACTAATAACTGACTCCTTGTTTTAGCGTGGTCACCAACAAGACGCAGAGGAATTTTTGGGTTTTCTTCTTCAGTCTCTTGATGACGAGTGCACGCATGTCATGAAAGATTTGTCAATTGTACCCGAAGAAGTGCCTTCATCCAACACCTCGACTGGTGGATCTGTTGCGGCTTCCGATGACTGGCTCGAGGTCGGCCGCAAGCAACGTGCTGCAGTGTCTCGCCTATCAGGCCACAACACATCAACTCCCATTACCAAGATTTTTGGCGGTCTTTTGAGATCTGAATTTCGCGTGCCGGGCTTGAAAGATTCTATCACCACAGAACGCTACCAGCCTCTTCAATTGGATATTCAGTCACCAGATGTCAGGAATGTCGTTGATGCCTTGCGTGGGCTGACCCGGCCAGAGCGCATTCAAGGGGACTTCAACTCCCCACGCGGAAAAGATGTGGTTGCTACCAAGCAGGTCTTTATTGAATCTCTGCCCCCTGTTCTGATTCTACACCTGAAGCGATTCCAGTTCGACGCTGAAGGCCATGGAACCGTCAAGATCTGGAAGAAGATTGGATATCCTCTGGAGCTTGAAATTCCTCGCGAAGCCTTGTCACGCCAGAAACGCGACAGCTCGATGCCTAGATACAAGCTTATCAGTGTGGTCTACCACCATGGAAAGAACGCCAGCGGTGGCCACTACACTGTAGATGTGAGACGACAGGATGGTCGCGAATGGATTCGGTTAGATGACACAGTCATTCGGCGCATTCGTCCGGAAGATGTCGCTGAGACAGGATCCGAAGAAGACCAGAAAGACACACGCAAGGAGACTACCTCGAGTGTCACCAACAACCGATTCGGAGCGATGAATGATGAAGAGACTGGCGACGAAGATGGCTGGAAACAAGTTACCGCTCCAGCCAACGGCAAGCGATGGAGCAGCGTCGTCAACGGCGGAGCTAACGGAGCTACCAAAGAGAAATCAGTCAAGGACAGCATCAAGGATAACAAGGTGGCATATCTCTTGTTTTACCAGCGCATGTAAGATGTAAGAGAGCCCTTTGGCTGCTACCCTCTTACACTACTACAACATAATGAATTGATGGAGGTCAAGGAGCCGGATACCAAATGAGAGATATGCATTGGAGGATTTGTACATGACGACTGCAGTATAAAATGATGTTTGATACAAAGGCTATTTTACTATTTCATGTCAAGGATGAGCATAGGCGAGAATGGGGGGCACAACAGGAAAGAGGACTCATTCAATGAAAACGGAGGCAGAAAATTGGCAGATGCCCAGCGGGTCAGATTTGGCGTTCTGGCGTCTCGGCAGGATTCTCAATCTTTTGTCGAGACGGTACAAAAAGAGGGCGAGAGAACCGGCTCTGGCTACAGGGCGGTCATTGATTTTCAATATGGCGGCATGTCTAGACTAGACTGGGCTTCGAAAGAAGAGTGTTTGGGTCAGGGTTGAGAAAAGCATTTTTGTCAATGGAGAGCCTCTTTTCCTTGTTGCTTCCAAAAGTGCATTTTTCTTTACTACTCCTGTACTATTATAATAACATAGCCAGTTTGAGTAATGGTATTTGAACAAGAGAAAAAAACACAGATAATTACAATGTGGAATTAAAGGGAGATTGGTTGATGAGCGAGGGAGTTGGAGGGTTTAGACCACGTCTATAATGTTTTGATTTTAATACAAGAGACCTGTGTAGAATCTCTGAGTAACGATCACTTCGCCGCCGCCGCTTTAATCCTGCTTCTCCAAACCAATGAGTACATTTATCGTTTTCTTCATTTCCTTTCTCTCTTTCTTCCTTTTTTTTTTAGTGCTTCTTGATGACGGTCATGGAGTCCAGGGCGTCCTTCTCGGCGAGTTCGGCCTCGACCTGGGCGAGGATGGATCGCAGGTAAGGGACATCCTAGTGGTAATTTTGTTAGTTTTCAAGGATAAGGAAAAGCGAGGCCTTATATCGAGGCTTATATATCTGTATATATATAATACAATTATTGTATTATAATATTTATATATATCGCGGTGGGGATATAGTCGTACCTCCTCGGGCTTGGTCCACTGGTCCTTGGGGAGCAGCTTGTGGGTGTAGCTGCACTGGACGGAGCGGCGGATGCGGTAGACACGCTCGTAGGCCTCCTTGGCGGACAGACGCTTCAGGGCGATCTGGACAGCTTCGTTTTCCTCCTCGAGGAGATCGTCGTATCTGGTTATGAAGAAAAGCATAGCGTTAGCACGGCCTGGTTCCATATCGCCCAATTCGACACCAGCATTTCCTTCTTAATACACAGTCCTCCTCTTTTGATGTCTAATATTATGCTTCTTCCAATCCCATTGGTGACATCTGCGCAAAAAAGCTTTGAAAGAGTTCGATTTCGTACCTCAGACCGAGCTGGCGGTAGCCGGAAGCGCTCGCATACCAATTGGCAGCGGGCGTCAGCATCTTGGTCAGCCAAGGCCGCTTCAAGACGTAAGGAGCGAGAGAGACCATGTCGGGCGAACTGTGAGGGGCGGCGAAAGAGAGGAGATGCTGCGAGAGAATCGGATTGGCCTTTCTCGTGAGAATGCGCGAAATGGGATGATTCGGCGGGCCGCAAAAGTTGGGAGAGCTCGGGATGTCACGTGCAAGGTACTCAAAGTGGCAGCGTTTTTGGTGGGGGTTGACTATTTCTCTTTTTTGGGCCTCAGTAATAAACGGTATGAAAAAAACGGGCTGAACATTTTCTTGCCAGCCCACGGAGGGACCCGGAAGCGAGCCACGCCCGATGTGGGGGAAGCGAGTCCGGCGCTTTCAATCACGAACTTGGTCTGGGCTTGGATTGCTGCGCGGAAGATGCAGGACAATGGCCCGTTGCATTCGTTTGGGGGGGGGGGGGGGGGGGCTGCTTGGAGGGTTGCTATACGTCAGCATGTGATGGATGACAATGCAGTGACAGAAGCATGCAGGAAGACAGCCGAGCGGCATGTGAGGATGCCGATGGGCTTACGCTGGAGTTGTAGGTATATTAAGTGAGATCAGATCTACCAGTGCTCGTCATGTCAAATTACAAGCAGCGAGGCGTGCTTAATCTGATTTGATGCTTGCTTTTGGTCGGCGCCAGTTCTAAATGCCCTGGCTAAATTTGCGTCATTTGTCTCTGACGTAGTGCCATTTTTCTTCTTCGGCCCCCCTGCATTTTTTGCGAGCTGCGAACTTGTGCCTTGAAGAGAATCATTGTTTTCTGAAATTTACGGGCTGTTGAGTCGCTAGCGCTAGTGGTGTGCTCGCTGAACTGATAGTCACTTGGCGCTGAGAGGGGCTTGAGTCCAGTGGAAATAGCAGGCCGAGCCCCCCCGCCTAGGCCTTCACCACAGTTGAAAACGCTGGGGACCGGCCCGGAGAAGCGTGGGCCAGCGTTAAACACTTGCCTGCAGCCATCTTTCTTTCGCACTCTCCACCACGCTCTTCCACTTCTTTCCACTCCCACTCTTCATCTTCTTCTGCCCTTTTCTCCTGCGCAGAAGCCTATTCACTCCCCGACCAGCGCGATCCATCCCACGGCCTCAGCCGCTCTGGGCGACTCTCTCTGGCCTTCGCACAAGTCAATGGCCGGCGGCGTTCGCTAGGCAAGGACGGTTACTGCGCGTGGGAGCATTCCCCGCAGTACCCGGACTTCCTGGACCGGACGGATCCTCGATTTGAAAATACCATAGACGTCAATAGCGGGATTGGAGGGAGAGTTTACCAGCATCTTCTTTTTCTTCTTTGAATTATCTACGGGCAGAGCCGCAGAGCGGTGTCCTTGCCCCTACAGGCCTGTTCTCCAGAGAAAGATAACGGGATCGGGATCAGAGCACAATCTTGATATCATCGCCGACAGAATACGACATAATCTTCGCTACGAGATTTTAAACCCCAACCCCGACCTAACCCTCTACAAAGACCGCTTCGATCATCGCAACGTTAGACTTTTTCTTCTCTATTGTTCTGTTTTTTCCCCATCTTTTAAGGAGGGTGCTATGTCTCACGACCAGTCCCCCGAACAAACTCAGCCTTCGCCTGCAGATCATGCGTCATCTCCCTATCGACTCGCCGTCGCCGATTCTCCAATGCCCTCAATAGCCGGGGGTTTATCCCCGCTGCACCGATGGACACTCTCCGCCTCCGATTCCCAATTCAATGCCATATCAGGGGCCATTGGTGGCTTCACGTCCGGCGTGGTGACTTGTCCGCTGGATGTGATCAAGACCAAGCTGCAGGCCCAGGGCGGCTTTACGCTTATAGACAAGGGCCGGCATGTCGGACATCCGAAACTGTACAATGGGCTGATAGGAACAGCCAAGGTCATCCTCCGCGAGGAAGGGATTCGGGGCCTTTACCGGGGTCTGGGCCCGATTGTGCTTGGATATTTGCCAACCTGGGCAGTGTGGTTTACCGTTTACAACAAGAGCAAGACGTTCTTATACCAGTATAACGGTACGTAACTCCGTCGGATATAATCCATTTTGGGCCATTTTTCCAGCTGACTGACCTTTCCCATTTGCGAGCAGAAAACCCACATATCGTGAGCTTTTGGTCATCCATCGTCGCTGGTGCGAGCAGCACCGTTGTGACGAACCCGATATGGGTTATCAAGACCCGTTTGATGTCGCAGAGCAATCCGAACGTGGCTAGAGGTCACCACGCATTTGCTCGGCCTGGTAATACCCCGACAGCAAGGCCAACTCTCCATGACTGGCACTATCGATCAACTATCGATGCGGCAAAGAAGATGTATACTTCCGAAGGCCTCTCTTCCTTTTACTCTGGTCTTACCCCTGCTCTTCTTGGCTTGACGCATGTTGCCGTTCAATTCCCCACGTATGAATTTCTGAAGACGACATTCACCGGGCAGGGTATGGGTGAAATACAGGAAGGAGAAAAGGCTCACTGGACGGGCATTCTGTCTGCTTCCATTCTATCGAAAATCCTAGCCAGCAGTGCGACTTACCCGCACGAAGTCATTCGGACTCGGCTGCAGACCCAGAGACGGCCGATTGCTGGCGAGAATTTCCTGGTAGATATGGCGGCACCAGGAGCAAAGGTAGCATCGGGGCCGAAATATAGAGGCGTCGTCATGACATTCCGAACCATCCTCTACGAAGAAGGATGGAGAGCGTTTTACGCTGGAATGGGCACCAACATGATGCGGGCCGTCCCTGCTGCGACGGTAACAATGCTCACATACGAATACGTGATGAGGGAGCTGAATAAGACCAAGTTTCACGCTCAAGAGTTAAAGCGGGTGCTGGAGGAGGGGTCTTGAAATAACCAAGGCCATCCATCGAACACGGAAGAAATTCGCTGCATTATGATTCTTAACCGTCGATATTCCCTTCTTCTATATGATCATGGATAAGGGATTTTACGAAACAATGAGCAAAGTATCACGGGGGTTGAGATATACCCTTCTTTCGAACCTCCCCCTTTTTTCAAGTTTCTGGGCCAGGTTGTACGTATAGACTCGCTTGAAGTTTTTAGCAGAAGCAGCACACAAACATTTATGAGATTTTTGGGCCCAGTAACCGACCTTTTTCTGATAGCCCTTTTTCTCTCTCTTCCTATTTATTCTACTCGGTTATCGTTTTCATTACTCTTTTAGTTTATTTCAATTTTTTTTTTTCGACTTTTTTCCTCCTTATAGTCTAGAGAGACTATTTGCATACAGGAGGGAAAGGTGGTGGAGGAGCGTTTGTATTTTCTTGCGGAAAGATAGGCAGGCAGGCGGAATCAGGGAGGTGGTTAGGTTAGGCTTTTGATTTGCTAGGCAAGCTATCTGTGTATATCTAGGTGACATAGGAAGAGCAGAAGAATATGCTATCAAATGATTAAGGTGTTTTTGTGCCTCTATTTCTCCGTTTTGGCTACCATTTGAATTTTTTAAGACTGTGGTGGCATGTTTAAAGCCGGTTATGGTCGGGTAAGATTCAGATTGTGGCTATAGCGTGGACATGTGTGGATGTGGCTGTATTAAACCTAGAGTAGGTCTTATGCCTTGTGTAATATAGAAAACCATATGAAATAGTAAGACATTGATATTTTTTGCTTTGTTTTAGACGTATCTAGCCTTAAATATCTACTATGAAATATGGCGATAAGTGGCCCCCGGAAGTTGAAAAAAACGCCGTACACAATGTAGTCCCAATAAACACCACGTTAAAACAATAACACAAACAGTTTTTTTTTCTCTTACACCCTTCAATGACCGCTTTCCTTTTTACAGCATAGCCTTGGGAAAGTTCTTCATCGCCTGTCTCACGCCCAAGTCGCCGAGAATCTCCTCGGCACCGCCCAGGATGGCATCGAACTTGTACGTCCGGTTGAACATCTCGACGTACTTGCCCATGCCGGACTGGGTCAGGCCGCGGCCGCCCCAGATCTGGACGGCCTCGTCGGCGACTTCGTGGGCGGCGCGGGTGATGCTCATCTTGAGGAGGCCGATGGGGCCGGCGAGGTGGAGGGCCTGCTGCTTGTAGGGCATGTTGCACATTTGGTAGGTGATTGTTTCGAGCCAGGACTGGTTGGCTTCGACGAGGGCAATCATCTTGGCGAGCCTAGGGGAGTGACACTTGTTAGATATTTGCCTATTTCTAGATGGGCTTTGGTGTTGTGTGCTTACTTTTGGCGAATGACGGGCTGGTCAATCAGGCGCTTGCCAAAGACGATGCGCTGGTTTGCCCACTTCAAGCACTCCTCGGTGATGAAGCGCGAGGCGGCAATGGAGCTGCAGGCCATGGCCCAGCGCTCGTGGTTGAAGTTGCTGAGGATGACGTGGATGCCCTTGTTCTCCTCTCCGAGCAGGTTCTCGACGGGGACCTTGACGTTGTCAAAGGTGATGTAGGCGGTTCCGGCGGTGGTGGAGTACGAGGTCTTGATGGATTTGGTCTCGACGCCCTCGCCGCGCTCGATGAGCACCACGCTCAAGGCCTTGCCGGTGCGGACGCCGACGACGAAGTAGTCGCAGAAGACGCCGTTGGTGATCCACTTCTTGGTTCCGTTGACGATCTGCCAGAGATGTTTTAGTTAAGCCATGATATTTACGGGTGAGAAAGATGAGCTTACGTAGTGCTTTCCATCGGGCGTCTTCTCGGCGGTGGTGCGAAGACCGGCAACGTCAGAGCCGGCAAAGGCCTCGGTGATGGCCAGGCAGAGCTTCTTCTTGCCGCTAAAGACGTCGTCGACAATCTTCTTCTTCCAGGGTCCCTCGCGAGCAAAGTTGAGCACGGCAGTGAGGCCAATGGCCATGCCGGCCAGGTTGCCGTCCTGGAAGCCTCGCATCATGGGGCGGGTCATCTCCTGGCACATGACCATGTCGTGGAAGTAGTCAAACTCCTCGCCCTTGACGGCGCCGTTGAGGAGGTTGACGCCGTGGAGGTGCTTCCCGGGGCCGAGGCGCATGTGGATGACGCCGGACTGGCTCATCTTGTCAATGACCTCCTGGCCGACATGGCGTCCGGTGGCCTCGCACTCGAGGGCCTCGGGCTTGACGACCTCGTCGGTGAAGATGCGGATAGCCTTGCGGAGGGAGCGGTGCGAGTCCTTGAAGTATGGGCTCTTGAAGTGAGGCGTCAGCCACAGGGGCTCGGCGTAGGGGACCGGGCTGAGGTCGCCAGGCTGCGGGGTGATGACTTCGGGCTTCTCGCCCTCGACGGTGCCAATGGCAAGGTCTGCGTAGCGGGAGAGGACCTCGTGGCGGTGGAGGTTGTAGAAGGCCGAGGTGGCGTCCTGGCCGGCGATTTGGCGGAGGACGCTCTCGCCGCCGGGGTGGGCGTCGACGAAGTCTGTGAGGTCGTAGACGACGTGGTCGATGACGCACCAGAGGGAGTCTTCGGAGGTGTGGTTGCGGACCTCTTCGCGGGTGAAGGTCTTTGCTGGGGGCGCCATTGTGTGGGTGGGATGGATTGTGAGCTTGAAGGGGGAGAGAGAGAGAGAGAGAGAGAGAGAGAGAGAGAGAGAGAGAGAGAGAGAGAAGAAAGGTGCAAGTAAAAACACAGAAAGAAAGAGAAGAGGGAATACGAGAAGAGGAACAGACGGAAAGTTTATACGAGAAGCCAAGTCAATTGCATTTAAATCTGACACAGCAGCGGCTCATTTCGACTTGCTCTGAATCTCTTTTTTGAATTCTTGCCGCGAGCCTCGGCTTGGGGACGCGGGTACCTGGGGTGAAATAGAAGGGCCGCTATTGGCTGGAGGGCATCTGAATAGCTTTTGCTATCCCTGTTAGTGCTCCGGGAGGCAGTCCTGTCTTTGTCTTAGCGCTGGTGGAAGATGGAGATTTCCCCTTCTTGCTTGGCATTTTTGGAGAAGCCGGAAGCAGACCACATATTGCTGTCTTCGGAGGGGGGGTGATGGGGAAGGGGTATGGGGTTGTTGAGTTCTCTGTGGAGGTTGGGAACTATATTTGATTTTTCTTGCGCGAATAGGTGGTGAGATTTCGATGTGTCGGCCCTGTTATGCTCCAATATACATGGTAGTTTTGGAATTCAGGTACGAGGTGCTGTAAGGAAGAGATAATTCCTAGTATGCACTTCCGTGTCAAATGTTGAAACTATGTTACATCCAACTCATAATCGGTAATGCTACTCCATATTTTGATAAGCGATTGCCCAGATCAGCATCTCCTTGTCGCATTTATTGGCTGAAGATCTTGAGCCTCGGCAGAGATCGGTAGTGGGTACTGCTGCATCGTTGTTGGCCGTGGGGTTCAGCCTCATTTCTCATTGTGATGCTGGGTCCCTTCTCTTTTTTATCGGTAATTTTTAATGGGTCCAACACATTTGTAGTTGGTGGTGTATGTTATGATTTTAAATCAACTGTGGCATAAGTGACATGAAGCTGGCAGAGCGGACTTGGATATAGCACAAAGCCGAGAATCATGGCCAGCGCACTAAAACTGAAGACGGGCGCTATTCTAAACAGGGCTGGATGGACCCTGAAAATGAACCCGCTCGAAGCCATGGAAAACCCACTTCTACCTCGAGTGATTGAACGATTGATTCGGAAACCGGCGAGAACTTTTCTTCAGCCTCTTCCTGCCAGTAACGCCAAGCTTTTGAGGCGAGTATAAGCCAGCAGCGTTGGTGAGCATTGCGACTTGACGAAGCCGATATCGAGTACAAGCACATGTTCCGTTCCTGTGCATCACGCCTTGGTAAGTCAAATCGATCAGCGCCCTTTTTTCCGGCTTTTGTTGTATCTCCCAGAGTCCAGCAGCCGCGCAGTCCAGTGACTGTTGGCAGCGTCTTACACGGCCTGAACGCTGCCCTCACCTGATGAGCGCATCCATTTCACTTGCACGTCTCCAGCATATAACATGTTTTTATATGCACTCGTCATGGGGGTTTTCTTATTGAAATTGCCTTTTTGCGGATTAACTGAGGTACATGTATGTGGCAAGCGCCGGCACTTGGCCACCTCCAGTCACCGGACTCGACGGTCCCTCGTGGTCGCAGCGCAGCCCGCCTCGTGATCGACCAATAGCGCTCTTTCCATCTATCAGGGCCTCATTATCTCGCATATCAGACAGATGCACATGGATTTGATTTGCGAAACAATCTCGGCTATTCTCTCGTTCCTACTGTTATCCATCTCCTTGACTCAGCACCCTGCGTTTGTTTGACTTGCTGCCTCCACGCCGCATATCGTCTCATTCACATCATCCGTCTGCCCCCTTACAGCGCACATATCTACCCATAATCTCGAGCAAAGTCAAGTGACACAACTCATCATACAGCTACTAGCCTCTGCATCAACACCAGCACCAATTGACAGGATGGACGCTTATGCAATGTATCCAGTTAGTCTCTCGAAGCAAAGCTCGTCCAGAATATACCAGGACCTCTGGGCAACACGACTCCACAGCCTGGTGCAGCTGGCATCAGATCATTCGCTAGATAGAACCGTGACCATGGAGACTTTCAAACAGGTATACGCCAACTTTCCACTTGTGCCTTTTTTGGCCTTTTAGAATCCGTCCTTCACCTTACAACCATGTACCTTGCGTCATACCGTTTTTGTACAACCCCTTTGTGTAACCCACTCGAATTTGCCAAGAACACCAAAAGAACATCACCAAAGCCCTTTTATATCGCTGGAAATTTTCCCCAATTGGGTTACACTGCTACTCACACAGCCTCCAATAGCTCAGACAAATCAACCCGGGCTCAAAACCGCACGTAGGCATCGTCGGCGCAGGACTTTCCGGCCTCCGGTGTGCAGATATCCTGCTACAACATGGATTCCAGGTGACAATCATCGAGGGCCGTAATCGGATCGGCGGCAGACTCTGCCAAGCGAGACTCGGAAACGGCCATTTAGTCGATATGGGACCCAACTGGATACATGGCACAGATGACAATCCCATGCTGGATCTGGCCAAACAGACGGAGACTGCCGTTGGGACCTGGGATGTAGCGTCTTACGTGTTTAACGAGTCTGGAGATTTGCTGCCGGTAGCTGAAGGAGAAAAGTATTCCTCCCTGGTGTGGGATATCATTCAAGATGCGTTTGTGCATTCGAACAAGTCATCCGCAGACATTGACGCGAAACTAAGCTTGTTGGACTTTTTCAAGGAAAAGGTGGTGGAAAAGATACCCGAATCTGAGGACGACTTTGAGAAAAAGCGAGAGATGGTACTGAAGATGTCTGAGATGTGGGGTACTTTTATCGGCAGCCCCGTTGACCGGCAGAGCTTGAAGTTTTTCTGGTTGGAGGAGTGCATCGAAGGGGGTGAGTTCAGACCCATCTGCATTGATTGCGAGACTCTACCGGCTGTTTCGCAAGCAGGAGAGTGTTAATCATGGCATAGAGAATCTCTTTTGCGCCGGCACATACGAAAAGATCCTACAAGAAGTTTCAAGACCAGCACTGTCAAATGCCACGATAAAACTGGACTCCATTGTCGACAAGATTTCCTGCCGGACAGATCCAAACGACGAGACTCGAGTGCGGCTGAAGAACGGACAGGCGTTGACGTTTGACGAACTGGTTATCACATGCCCTCTAGGGTGGCTGAAACAAAATCTCACCGCATTTGACCCTCCCCTGCCGCCGGTTCTCACAAAGGCGATTGGCTCCATCGGCTACGGGTGCCTTGAAAAGGTCAGCTAGCCACGACAAATGAACAGGCCCTGCATTAGACCAAGATCGCTAACAGTGTCCTTTTTTTTCCTACTTCACAGGTCTACATTAGCTTCCCAAAGGCGTTTTGGCTTCCAGCCGAAGGTGAGGGCCGCAGAGTACACGGCTTTGCCCAATGGATAGCACCCGAATATCACGCCGAGAATGCTCGCGGGTGGAATCAAGAATTGGTGGAGCTGGCCAGCATTGCACCCGAGGCAGCTCACCCAACGCTGCTCTTTTACATCTACGGCGAGCAGTCGGAGTATCTGACAGCAAAGGTAGCCGAGATTGATGGACAAGAGAACAAGGACGCCTTCCTGCTGGATTTCTTCAAGCCTTACTACTCCAGGCTGCCGCAGTACTCTGAAGACTCGGCAGACTGCCAGCCCGTCTGCTGTCTCGCGACCAATTGGGTGCGTGACGAGCTTGCCGGCCACGGCAGCTACAGCAATTTCCAAGTCGGCCTGTCCAACGGAGACGAGGACATCAAGACCATGAGGCGCGGACTGCCGGAACACGGCCTGTGGTTGGCGGGAGAGCACACGGCGCCGTTTGTGGCGCTGGGGACGGCGACTGGGGCGTATTGGAGCGGAGAGTCGGTGGGGAAGAGGATCGCGGAGGCCTACGACATGGCGAAGCAGAATGAGCCATTGGACGCAGCTGCATGATTTTGATTTGATTTTGATTTGATTTTGATTCTGACTGCGAGGGGCTGCACTCCTGCGTACTCTGCATGTAGATGCCGCCATGACTGCTCTATCTACATGTAGTTACCTACCGACATGTGTATCTGCATCTTACTGCAGCAGATAAGTAGCAGAAGCTTGTAAGACTTTCAATGGGGCAAGATAAAACTGGCATGATGTTGCTACGGAGTACAGATGAGCCAATTCAATCACATCATACAATCACATACCGCGCGGGTCGTAGGCAGAATCTCCATCCAGGCTGAGAGGTGCCCTTCTTCAGCCACCTGCCTTGCAGCCAGTATAAAGCAAGGTAGCATCACGGCTCGGATGCCTGGCAAAGGCCCTCCGTGCATTGCGTGAATGCAGCTCGTGGTTGGCCGTGGCCCTATCTCTTGGCCGCACAAACCACACCGTGACCCCGCCGATCCACTGCGAGATGCATATGCCAGCAATCCGGACAGTGTCTGGCCAACCGGTTTCCAGGGGAGCAGATGCGTGCGCTGTCCAGGATGGCGCTGGGCTGCATGAGAGACGATAGGCAAGCGTGCTGGGTGGTTTTGCGGCCATTGGCCGGCTGCCGTTGCACTGTCGACAGCAGGAGGGTTGCCTAGGATCAAGGCAGTAGCACAGGCCCAATGCCTCTATGACCTCTTATTATAGAGAACATACCAAGGTACACAGTAGAGCAGAGCAGAGCAGAGCAGAGCAGTCACAGGCACCAGGCCAGGCGCCGAGACAAGTCTGGATCAGAACCGGGCCAGGATTACGGGGCCTCCACGTATTCTGCGCAGTAATGCTACGTATTCGCCTCAAAGTATGGCCTCCAAGAGGCGCCAGATACGAGCTCAAGTCACTCGCAGCCACGGTGGCACAGGTACCGTCGGTGTAGGCAGTGACATGCCCGGTACTCCAGACTGACGTCGCCAGCTGCTATCGATAGCGGCCCACCGCCAGTGGTCAAATGACGCTGGGACGCCCTGATCTGCCTGCCATGACTCCCGGGAGCGTCACGAGCTAGTGCGTGAATGGGGCCTCCCGGGGCTGTTGATCCAGGCATTGGCGCTGCTGCGGCAGGTATAGCGGCTGTACTGCGCGGTATCGCCTTAACGAGAGCCCTCAAGGCTCGCTCAAGCCCCTCGACCGATTCCGCTAAGCCCCCGACGCAACTCTTCCAAAGTTTCATCCTGGCTGGGTTCTGGCACCATCTTGTTCCGTCTCGCTTCCCATCCTTCTCTCATCTCGCCTCTCTCATCCTCCTGCCCTTTCATCGTTCCTCACGCCGGGCCTGCGGACGCTCAACCGACCCTCTTTGCGCCGGCTTCGCTCCTACAGCTGACCTTGCGCCTGTGATGCCTCGCTCTCGATCCGCTCAACCATGAACCTCGTCCCCGCATTTGGCCGGGGGTCTGTTGATATCGCGCCTACCGCAGCGTTTGGCTGGAGCCGGTGACGATCTGGTTGCCGTTCAGTTTCGCTTGCCTTTCCTATCGTCGCCAGCACGAGCGAAAACAGCTCGCCTTTTCTCTTCTCTATAACCACCACCAACACCCAAGCCTCGAGGCAATAAACCTTAATCATGGCTGGGCTTTTCCAGTCATTTCGGAGCTCCAGCATGCCTAAACGGCTGCTGCGATATGCCTTGTCGCGGCTGGAGCTCCTCGATTCCGACGCGTTAGACATGGATAATCTAGATCTGGCTTTGGGTAGAAATACAGTGTTTGAGTTTAGGGACGTTGGAGTTCAGCTAGATGTGAGTAATTTACTTGTACTTGCGATCGTGCATGAAGAGAGGCTGACATTTGACTTTTAGAAACTTGAGAAGCTACTGAAACTGCCTAGGACGTTTGCGCTGCAAAAGGCAAAGGTCCTGCTCCTGCGAGTCACCATTCCGATGGATTTCTATACGAGCCCTATATCTATCGAAGTCGATGGCGTCGACGTCAAGTTGAAAGTGCTTGTGTCTGACGCCAAGTCCAAATCAACCAAATCTACTACCCCCGATGATGCCTCAGCTGCTGTACCAAATACCGTGGATCTTGCGCAATCATTCCTCGAAACGCAGCCGTCGTCGGAGCGAAAGAAACTCGAAGCTGCGCTGGCTGCCGAAGCGCAAGATCTCGGCGCATCTACAGCAATGAGCGATGACAGCAGTGAAGATGAGCCTATCGTGGGTACCGGGCAGCCTCTATCGCTGCCAGGCTTCTTGGCGGGTTTTCTGCAGGGAATTATGGACCGAATGCAGATAAAAATCAAAGGCGTCAGATTCCAGTTGGATATGGATATCCCTGTAGACCTGCATTCGTCAGTTACCGAACCAGTGTCTTTCCAAATCGCTTTGGAAGGCATCGATATCGAAGGCGTTACTACAAGAAGCGAGAAATCAGAAGCATCGCCAGCTGCAGCTCCAAAGGAAGGAAAGCGGCAAATCTCCTTGGACAATGTCCGCGCTTACCTGGTGTCCGAGGCCAACGTCTTCTCTACCCTAACCCGGTCCTCATCCATGACTTCACCATCCGATACGTCTTCGCCTCATATGACAAGGAACCCACCTTCGAGGCAAACTACATCCTTATCGTCAGAAAGTCCCCAGGAACCACAGTTTGCGCCATCAATACTGTCATCGCGCCATCATAATCAGTCGTCACAGTCGCCTCGGGAGAGCGTTGATAGCCACCATATTGCTTCATCGCAAGCGAGTATCAACAATCAATTTTTACCGTCAATGCAAAGGAGCTTTAGAGACCACCTGACCGACGAACATGATGCGTATCAGCCCGACTACCCCTTGGGAGATAGCGAAGAAGCTCTTGGAATTCCATACGAGTTTGAAGAAGATGAGGATCAGGGCATGCCAGACGACGAGTCTCCTGCGACTCCCCGCGCGTCAATGTACCAAGATTTTAATTCCCCTGACGATGCAGGTTTCCATTCGCCTGAAGATCCTGCGCCGTATTCTTCACCCCCAAGAAGTATGTTCAACAGCACGATATCTAGGGCACAAGATGCTTTCGAGCAGGACTTTCAACCAAGCTATCCCATGTCGCGACAACAGTCGAATCTTGAGGGTCATGCTCAGTCCTTGGCAGAGTTGGGGAACCAAGATCAGTACGAACCGGAAAACCTGGCTGACGATCTCACGCAATCGCATCTCTATACACACGAAGAGGCTGAGAGCATGTATATGAGTGCTTTTTCAAAGGCAGAGAGCGAGGCTGATATATCCGAGCTCAGATCCTCAAAGCACTCAGATGCGTCAACCGTTGAACAAGCGGTTCCGTCATCAGTAGAAGAGGCGGCTCAAGTTCAGATTCCCCCATCTCCTCAAGTTCCTGCCTCTCCCGAGGTTCCTTCATCTCCTCGGATTCTTTCATCTCCTCAAATCCCTTGCTCTCCTCAAGCCCATTCGACTCCTCAAGCTCCCTTGTCACCTCGACCTTCGACTCCTCAAGCTGCTACACCCCCAGTTTCTTCAAGCCCTCAAGTTCCTTCGTCTCCTCGAGTGCCTTCATCTCCTCAAATTGCCTACTCTCCTCAAGCATCACCGAAACCAACCAAGGAATTTGCTATGCCTGGGGGCTGGGATGACAATGCGTCTGAAGGTTCATCGGCATCTGATCGGACCATGTCGCCTGAGAAACTGGCTCCCAAGCCGGAAGAAATATCAGAGCACGAAGCCGAGGAGAGGCTCAAGTCTGAACCTGGGCGAGAGAAGCCGGGTTCTCCTGTCTTTGGCCAGACTTCAATAGCCGAAGACGCATCGATTGACATCGAAGGGAAGCCACAGCACGAGGACGTGGCTACTCCAAAGGGGCCGACGCGAGTTGTCAAGGAAATTCTACATCTCAGCTCCATTTCTATATATGTGCCAACAACACACCAGCACATTGAAATAGAAGAGGATAATTCTGAGTCAGTTGCCGAGCTTGCTAGGGCAATGGGCAACTCGGTATATCCTCAAGCGCCTGGAGCGTTTTCCGTGCACGCGCCGACTTCCGGCTCGGTGTATGGCCACAGGCCCTCAATACAGTCAACGCAGAGTGTTGATAACGTTTTGGAGATAGACTTGTCTCCGGTATCCATCCGCTTTGATGCTTCACTCGCCTTTGTGCTTGCCATGATTGTTGGAAAGCTTCTCGACGCGGTCAAACAGGATAATCCGGTAAAGGTCTCGAGCAGTGGGGCTGAAAACGAGCAACATATGGATAAGACCCCAGAGATCAAGGTTACTGTCCAAGAAATATCTTTGGATTTCCTGAGTCGACTTGGTGGAGTGGCAGATACGCCTCGGCGTCATTTGGACTCTTCGGCATTTATGTTTGCCCACGAGGTCCTTCTTAATGCCACCTTGAGCGGCTTGACTATTGGTGTTTCGCCAACTAAAGTACCAGTAGCCAGGGGCGGAAGGGACATGCAAGATGCCATTCAAACAAAAATCGACCTGCAAACCTTCCGCTTTGGATACGCCAAAGATGATATCATCTCCTTTGATAAGGTTGAGCCAATGAGTACTTCTGTGAGAGATACTTTTATTTCACACGGGCATGATGTTGGTATCAGAATTACGCAAACGAAGAAAGGCGTCAAGACCGAGATTGAAGCGCTACCATTAGCTGTTCGTATTGATCTGCAGAAGCTAGACGAGACATTCAGCTGGTTCGGAGGTCTCAGTAGCTTTCTTAATATGAGCGCTTCAATGACTTCCAGCCCATCGCCTACACCAAAGTCACCTCACAAATCTGTGTCCACGCAGAGGCCAAAGGGAGTGCGATTCGATACACCTATTAAGCCTGATGATAAATCCGCTGCTTTTGAAAACAAGATCGATATGCGGATAGGTGGCTCTTTTGTTGAACTCCTTGGCAAAGAATGCAGTTTTATTGCAAAGAGCGGAAGCATCTCTCTCGTTAGCCGAGAAGAAGGCATGGGAATCGTATGGCGCACAATGCGCGTGTCTGGGCCATACTTGAAAAATTCCATGGCAGATCCCGCCATTATGACCGACATCAATGGAGTCAGGCTGGAGTTTGTAACAATTCCAACCAATTCAGATCTTGAGAAGCTTCTCGAGTTGATTACGCCCTCAAAAGCCAAGTTTGATCATGGCAGCGACGAAATCATGGTTGATACTCTCTTACGGCAGCGAAGAAAGGGCTCGGTACTCAGAGCTACAATAGACACCCTGAACGTGCGAGTTAAGAACATGGCCCAATTCGAGGTGCTACCAGCTCTAGCTGAAGAAGTGGCCAAGTTGTCTACTGTGGCCAAATATCTCCCAGAAGACGATCGGCCTGGACTCATGACTCTGGCAACGATCCATAAGCTTGGCACGAGTGTCGACCTTGGCGGAACCTTTGGGCAGCTTAGCTGCGACGTCCGGGGGCTCGAGGCTGCGCACATTACCGTTCCGTCGCTGGTAGCTGTTGCAGTGTCTGGAATTTCCGTCCGACGCAACGAAACAGAAGAGCTTATTAATTCTTCGATCCTGTACTCTTCAGCAGAGAATGCCATGAATCGAGGACCAGTCATCATGGCGAGGATGATCGGCGACGACATTGAGCCCGTCGTCAAGCTCAACCTACAGGATGTCAGCATCGAGTATCGGGTTCCAACTATCATGGATATCCTTGGCCTGGCAAACGATGCTACGCCGCAGGATTTCGAAGAGAGCCTCGCCGCGTCAGTAGCTAGTCTTGGTGACCAAGCTCATGCCGCACTGGCACGGCCTCAGCCTCAGTCACCGACTGAAGTCACTGCTAAGCAGAGTAAACCAATGACCTTGGACGTATCGTTTCGAAATTGCCTTGTCGGCTTGAACCCTCTCAATCAAAAATCGAAGATGGTCCTTGTATTCACAGATGCCCACCTCTCCGTCACTCTTCCAAAGGACGAGGTCACAAAGGTGAATCTGGATATTAACAAGGCCTCAATTTTGCTGACAGACGATGCTACCCTTGACGCATCTGATGACCGTACTTTGAGGAACCCAAGACGGCGATCGTCGTCTTCAGCGACCCCTCAAGTAATCTCTCTGTGTGCTGAGGGATATGTGGATATTTGCTACATGTCCTCTGCAAAAGTCGTCGTCAATGTCGCTCCAGGTCTAGATGGTGAGAAGCAGGTAGAAATTGAAGTTCGAGATGATCTCTTGGTGTTGGAGACTTGTGCCGACTCGACCCAAACCCTGATAAGCTTGGCTAATGCTCTTTCACCGCCGACTCCGCCAAGCAAAGAGAATAAATACCGGACCAAGGTAGTACCTGTCCAAGATCTGCTTGCTTCGATTTCTGCAGAGGCATTTGGCAGGCCAGAAGGGGAATACGACTTTGACCAGGACTTTTCTGCTGCACGAGAAATGGCTAGAAGCCAGTTCGACACCGGTTCTGAAAGTGACGGTTCTCTCCCTATCGAATCCCAATTCTATGGAGATGAAACTGCGGGAGAAGAACTATTCGATGCCATGAATGTATCCAGTACATCGCAAGATCCGAGGATGCAAGATACCAACGAGGGAGTTTTAATCTCTGGGCTTGAATCTTCCACTAGCAACGCCTCAGAAGACGGCGAAGGTCTGGTTATCCACGACGACTTTTATAACCGCAATGCCGCCGAAGAGCACACTGCAAAGATTTGGAACTCGAACAAGAATACTTACGACAGAGCCCCTGCGCACATTGTAAAGCGCAGTCCTCTCAAAGTATCTGTGAGAGATGTCCATGTCATCTGGAACTTATTTGATGGCTACGACTGGATCCATACTCGCAATGTCATCAACAAAGCTGTCCATGATCTAGAGCATAAAGCCTTTGATCGCCAAGCAGGGCTCGCCAACGGGCAGGTCCACGGCGAAGAGCGTGAAGATGAAGATAAAATAGATGACTTCTTGTTCAACTCCATCTATATCGGAATCCCAGCCAATCGAGACCCGCAAGAGTTGGCCCGCGCCATCAACGAAGGCCTCGCTGACAATATGACGGAGACGGAATCAGTCGCCACTACAGCTGTGACAGCAACATCAAACCGGACTGTGCGTAGAGGGTACCCCAAATCTCAGCGCCTGAAGTTGCGACGAAGCAAACGCCACAAAATCACCTTTGAGCTTCGAGGCGTCAACGTCGACATGGTGGCATTCCCCGCCGGAACTGGAGAAACGCAGAGCAGCATTGATGTTCGAGTAGAGAACCTTGACATCTTTGACCACGTTCCCACATCAACGTGGAAGAAGTTTGCGACTTATGATCAAGATCAAGGGGAGCGTGAGATGGGAACTAGCATGGTGCATCTGGAATTGCTGACTGTGCAGCCAATAGCCGAACTGAAGGCTTCTGAGATTGTGCTCCGAGCAACTGTGTTGCCCCTGAGACTCCATGTCGACCAAGATGCGCTTGACTTTATCACCCGGTTCTTTGAGTTCAAGGACGAAAGTGTACCGGTTCATTCGTCGCCAAGTGATGTTCCTTTCTTGCAGAGAGCCGAGGTCAACGACATTCCGGTCAAGCTTGACTTTAAGCCGAAGCGAGTCGACTATGCTGGGCTTCGATCCGGCCACACGACTGAATTCATGAATTTCATCACATTGGAAGAGTCCCGGCTGGTGCTCCGACATGTTATCATTTACGGAGTTTCTGGCTTTGACCGTCTAGGTCTAACACTCAATGATATCTGGACGCCCGATGTTCGAAGTAACCAGCTTCCCGGTGTTTTGGGAGGTCTAGCGCCGGTGCGATCACTGGTCAATATCGGCAGCGGCTTTAGAGAGTTGATCGAAGTCCCCCTCAAGGAATATCAAAAGGACGGCCGTATTATTCGGAGCATATCTAAAGGAGCCGTTGCATTTGCCCGCACCACTGGTACCGAGTTGGTCAAGTTTGGAGCAAAACTTGCAGTCGGTACGCAGTATGCATTACAAGGTGCAGAAGAGATGCTTGGCACTGGCCGCCGACCTGAAGAGGCTTGGGATGATGATGATCTCGATGCAGATGATAAGAAGCAAATATCGTTGTACGCAGACCATCCGACCGGCGTGATTCAAGGCATTCGCGGCGGCTACAGGTCGCTTGCCAGAGATGTGAATCTGGCACGAGATGCCATCATTGCGGTGCCAGGCGAAGTCATGGAGAGTCAGTCAGCCAGTGGTGCTGCCAAAGCAGTGCTGCGACGAGCCCCGACCATCATCTTCAGACCAGCAATGGGCGTAACCAAAGCGATTGGCCAGACATTGATGGGAGCAACCAACTCGATTGATCCGCACAATCAACGCAGAATTGACGAGGTAAGTCTCATGGTTCTATCGTATAGCCCGTGTGAGTATAGAGTGGTTCCACTAACAGTATCGCAGAAATATAAAAAGCATTAATCGAAGGCGCAGAACGAAAAGAAGGAAGAAGAAACACAAAAAAAAGTTTGACACTTGACTATACCCAACAATACATACATGAGAGGAATTAGCTTCGAATTTACTGCGGCTGCGGATTCATTAGCGATGGAACCGTCTTTCTTTGAGAATATACGAAAGGACTAGATTTCTCATCTTCTTCTTTCCCTTTCTGAAACATTACACGTCGGCATGATGCTGTATTGAATAGGAGAAAGGGAATCCTTTTATGGCGATGATTTCTTTCATTGATGTCATGTTTGGCAGGCGTTGGGGTTATCTACTATACCAGAACAGAATGATGCTGAGTTTTTGTTTTTGATCTTTCTACCTTTTCTTCTCTTCTTTCTCATAATTCTCTTTGGGTAACACTGGAATGGCTTGGAGTGGATGGATTCACTATATCGTGTGGGTAAATTTACAGAATGGCAGCCCGAGCAAACATTGCAAATTATTAAACGATAGACAGCGCCTGCGCGTTATGAATATATACAGAATACAGAGCTGTGAATTGAAACTTGTGCTTGCGTGTATGCATGTGTGTTTGTTAATAATACATCTGTCTATTCGTGTTGTAGATGGCTTTTGATCCTAGATGTCTAGGCGATTTACAAAGAGGAGGTCTATCTCATATATATGTTGTTAGAATACCCTACCCAATTAGTGTTAAAATAGTAGGAAAGCTGGAATCCTCTTGTCAGGATTTCTAGCCGATATCCAAAATTGCCTGCCCTCTTGGTTCATTCAAAAATTGTCATTAATACCCTGTTCCTTCTCAGCGGCCTTTCTTTCGCGATTCGCATCAACCCACCACTTGTGCGACTCGTCAGTCCCCGTCCACTCTCCCTTGTCGTCAATCTCATCCCACGGCTTCGGGCTCAAGATGTAGTGCATGTTCTTGACCTGGTTGTCTCTCCAGATCGGGTCATGCACGCCCTTCCAGCGCAGCGTCTTGAGCGCATTGTACGTATACGGCAGAGGCACCCACCGCCCGCGGTACAGGTCCGACAGGAGGGACTGGTCTGCAAAGTCCATGTTTGCGGCGTCGGCCTCCATGTGGGCGACGATTTGCGAGTATAGCACGGCGGAGGGGTTGACGACTTGCAGGCCGCCGTTCATGAAGCCCAGGGGCCCGACGGAAGGGTCTGCGCCGACGGTCTGGGCGGTTTCGGGGTCGCTGTGCTGGTGCGTGAAGGCGCAGTTTTCGGGGATCCAGTCCTTGGGGTAGTGAGGCTTGCGGAGGGGGTTGCAGACGCAGGCGTGGCCGGCGGCGAAGACGCGTTTGCTGGAGGATGAATTGCCGGATTCGCTGAGCGAGGGCGGGTCGAGGTCGAGGGTCATGAGCTCGTCCATGTTGCGGAGGACGAGCATGTCGGAGTCGAGCTGGACGATGCGCGAGTACTGGGTGAGGGAGAAGGGCACGAGCTTGCTCCAGCAGTCGTAGAAGCGCGGGTCGTTGGAGTAGTCCCTGCCGGATGCCGGGAGGAGGTACTCGATGCGCTGGGAGGGGATGCCGCGGGCCTGGAGGGCGGCGAGGCCAGACTCGGGGAAGGTGTCTGTGTAGAGGGCGACGAGGGGGTATTTGGAGGAGGCGGCGCGGAGGGAGTGGTTGAGGGTGAGGAGGCCGGGGAGGTAGTCGAGGTTGGTGATGAGGGTTGTCCAGACTGGGAGCTGGAGTTAGTTGGAGTTGACAAGGGAGTTGAGGGAGTTGCTAACCGTTGTCTGAGTCAACTGCGCGCTTCCGGTCTGACATGTTGGAGGTGGACTTTTATGAAATTTGATTACTAGAGATGAAAGTTTGAAAGTGAGTGCATGTGTTGGAGAAGGAATTGACTCGTTTTAGTCCATGGAGGAGGAGGAAATGCCTCTGGCGCAAAGCGACACAGAAACTAGAAATCGTTCATAGTGGGGGAGGGGCTCAACAATGGCTGGCGATGATGCGAAGCGATGTGTAAGGCGTCATTTTTTTTCTTCCTTGTCGGCATGGGAAATGGATTGGCTCGGCCTGGCCCGAAACTACTGTACACAGCCGCTAGAGGTGAGGCTATGGATGCGCTAAAAGCTGCTGACAGGCATGGAGTGGGGATGGCATCTGTGTTTGGTACGAAGAGGGGGAGTATATTGACTAGGAGACTGGTTTCTAGAGTAGTGCTTTAATAGAGAAGAGAAATAAGACAGGAGAAGAGGAGATGAAGAAACGAAATGTCGATTGATGTGAGTAATAAGTAGGAAAAGGAAAGAGAAAACATGACGGTAACAAATGGAAAAAAAGTAAACTAAATCTTGTAATGCAGTCTTCAACAACTCAGATACGCTTTTCCCTCATGCACAATATTTTAGAACAAACTCTAAACGGATGAAGTCAGTCATCAAGACTCAGTTGCCTGCAAAGCCTCAGTCGGCCTATCGCACGGCATGGGATACGGCCGCACATACGCCAACCCTTGCGGCTGGACCATGAAGCCAACACCGTTGAAATGGACAGTGGGATTGCCGTTGTGTACAGGTCCAGCCTCGAATGTGTCCCAGCTTCCCGTTGCTCCTGATGAAGCTGACGAAAGACGTCTCTGAGCTCTCAGCCGCAGAAACGCAGAATAACGAGGGTAGAGCTCGCTGTTGAAGGGGTCATCTGCGCTGCGAGGTACCGGGACGACGCTTCTCAGCGGTGGGAGAGGGCCATTGTCGTCAGCAGGGCCATCGTACGGGCGAGGAGTAGTGCAGCTTCTGTCCATGCCGCGATAGGGGCGTAGGTTGAGTTCCAGCTGTCCTCTTTCATGCTCGAGTCGCTCCACTTGCTCTTGATAGTCGGGAGCCCCAAATTCGAACCATTCCAGCTGCTCCTCGCGCTTGATCCGCGGCTCAGGGTGGAACTGCTCGTCCTGCTGAGGCACTTCTGGTGGCGACTGGGGATATTCACTTTGGGGTGAAGAAGTAGTAGTCTCTCGAATCTGGGCTGGGAAAGGTGTGGGTTGGTGATCATGCACTCCTAGATCAAAGGAATTGACTGGAAGGGGCTGTGCCAAAGGTACAGACGCAGGAGGTCTTTGGACGACGCTCGTTGGCGATAATCCCAAAGGTCCGTCGAGCCCGCCGAGATCTGCGTTGGGTCCGATAAACACCATCGGCTCAGTCTCCAATCGGCCACTTCCGTATAAACCGAAATACTCGGTGCTGACATCAGGGTAGTCCACGCCGCCGTAATAGTTGAGCTTCTCTTTCGGCCTCAGCCGGTGGAACATGACCGAGGCAGAGGCTCTCTGGGTGGGATTATACCGCGACATGTCCTCCAGCTCGGGCATCAAGAAGCCCGTGTCCACGAGATTCTGGACAATCTCCAGAGGACTCCTGCGGTTGATATCAAGCTCCGTAATCCGTCCGCAGGCGACAGAAAGAGTCACAAAGAGCGACCAGACGTCTTGCTTGCAGGTGATGGGGTAGATGTCTGTGCGCGTCTCTGGCGCAGTGAAGAGAAAGTCGACGCAGCTTCTCTGGGGATAGCTGAGGGCAAAGTCTGTGAGGTAGAAGCCGTAACCTTTCTGCGTGGGCTGCACGAGGATGTTGGTGGGCTTGATGTTTCGGTGGCAGATGCCCTCTTCTTGGAGGTACGTGAGCGCGGAGAGCATCTGGATCGTCAGGCTGTAGAAGTTGGAAGTTTTGTCCTTCAAGTCGTAGGGCATGGGGGTGAGGGCGGGGAGGTTGTATTCTCTGATGGGCGTGATGAGCAGCACCATCCCCGGACGGATGAGGGTGTAGTAGATGGGGATAATGTTGCGCTGCTTACAGTTAGCAGAGTAGGCGTGGGGGAGAACTAGGCAGTTGTTTTTGCTGCCAGACGTACGTGTCTGATCTTCTTGATGTCGAGAATCTCTCGCTTCAGCGTTTCTTCCTGGACAATCGAGGCCATCTCTAGCCTCTTGACGACGACGATCGAATCCATCTTCTTGTCATGAGCCCTGTATACATTTCCGTGAGGTCCACATCCGATATGATTAATGGAGTGGAATCGCTCTGCGACTATGGCAGCTTGATAATTGTAAAACCTAGAAGCCATTTCTTGGATATTTCGTTGGAAGAGTGGTGATGGTCTGACGGTATAGCGCAGCGTGATTGATACCAAGCAAAGACGAATAAACAATAAAAAAGGAGCACGATCTAAGCGAGGTATTCGTATTTGAAGCGTCCTTTTATGAAGTGTGTTTTGATGCAAATAATTGCAAGTCACGTATCGGCCAAGGCAGTGTCAACAACATACACCCGCCAGAGCAATATTACTAAGTCAGTTATTCAGTCATCTGTGCGTCCGGTGTGAGATGGCAATCACTTGCACCTCATTTTCGAAAGCCAGTCCAGGTGGCAGGGATCATTTCTTCCTGGCCACTTGATTGTCAGACGGCGTTTGGTCTGAGTAAGTGGCTATGAAGCACCGGACCCCATCCTTGCGCCTGTCAAAAAGCAAACAAACGGCTGTCAAGCTGCATGGCAGCTGGAGGAGCATTGCTGTACGTTGTGCATTAGATCATCTTGTATGCCCCGGTGATGTTTTTTCGAGTTCGAATCGCATCTCACCTATCAATGTGACCGATTTATGAGATCTCCAAACCCAATCTACCATACGGAGATAAAAATCTGACATGAGAACTCTCAAATTACTTCATCCCCATCACTTTCAATGTTCCTAGCGATAGCTTGATTCTCAATGATCTAGTACTACACGGCACAATGTCTCGGATCCGGTCAGGCTGCCAAGGATAGCTTCAATTATGGGTTGCCGCCCACTGGCCCTTGACTATGCAGCAGCAGCCGCAGTAGTATAAATTAGCGTTAATTTTTACCATGGCTCCCCAATTCTTTGATTGGATGCTGTGGCACCCGTAAAATGCAAGGGAGGATGGGCTGAAAAGAAGCAAAATCAGGCTCGGGGCTTCATCGGCGGCTCGGGAGCCATATTCTTGGCTTTCATAGCAATATAGAATGCAATCTATTTATTTGAGATTGTAACGATAATGAGATGTCTCAAATTCATATACAAGTCTATGTCATAGACACAGTGAGAGAAATTATAATTGCTGGCATCGGGCATCAAAGTAGCTCAAAAGGTAAACTCCGTATAGCGCCTTCACAAGCTTCTCGACGACAGGGAACAAGGTGATTGTCTTGCAGCACCTGCATTAGCTTACGGTAGAAAAGCCTGGGTTATTCTCGGTCTAGCCCTACCGACCTTTGCATTTGTTTGCAGTGTTCGTTTCTTTTTTTTCTTCCTACCCTTACAGTTCTGCCTATTTGTAATTTGTTTGCTACAGCCACAGCGACGGCCCCCTTTTTGCATGCATGCAGTGAAAGTGTAGGCGTTTACGTCGTTTGATTGGAAAAACTCACCGTGTTGCCTAGAAGAGGAGTAAGAGCGGAGACGAAAATCAGGCTCTGCAAATCCCGAGCGTGGAGAAGCTCTTCTGCTGTAGTCTGGACGCGGCATACATGTAGTGTGTACATGCGTCCTTTGGTCTCGTGCCTCTGAGGAAATGAGGAGCGGAGCTTTTGGGGTTACACAGCGTCTATGCTCTACCGGTGAGGATGCCGATGGTGCCGTGGGCGGCCTTCCATTGGCTTCCACGGCAGATTGCCTGGCGGTTTTGATGGGTGATTGCTGAGTTGCGTATCTGCTGGATGATGTGTATTACATGATGGCTTGTCAAGAGCGTATCATAGCTTACTGTTTTGTAATCTATACTGCCATGGAGTTTTATCAGAGTCGTCGACGAGGAGACGGAAAAGAGCCGCGACGGAAGCAGGAGACTACATGTACTAAAGCAGCTCTGCTAATGTTGAAGAGGATTAGATGGTGGCCAAGAGGAGGATAACTAGGAATAGGCATCCGAGGCTGCCTGGCAATGTAAAGATGACTTCCAGTAACAGATTCTCAACAATGATTGTGCTTTTCGCAGCTAGTAATTCTTTAAAAGGATATATCCAATATCAACATGGAGGTCGAGACATGAGATTCACTGGGAATAGGCAGTGTGTTGCTGAGATTTAGTTATCCTCGTCCGCGCAGAACCCCTGTCAGACGCGTCCTTCAAGGCACAAGGGCTTGTATTGATGTTGATAGCCTTGCCATGCAGCCCCTGGTCATGCAAACGGATGAGAGCCTAACCGGTAGTTTCGACCACATTGTCCAAGTCCGATAGACAAAGATACTAAAAGCCATGGACGACATCATCGAACAAAATTAGGACGAGCAATTCCTTTTGATTCAGCTATGAAAGCTCGAAAGTATAAATTGTTGGGCCACGCCAGATCAACTGATCGACGTGACTCTCTATATCCACCAACTTCCCAGATTTGATATTGTTTATTTCTGACAGCGTCCATTATTTCGAGCCAGGAGTCTGTACCCTGATCCCCCCAAACTAGCACCTAGCCAAGGAATGTTTCCAGGTTGGCGTTGCCGAGCACAGCTCGTCCATTGGCCACAAAGTCGTCGTATATGGAGACAAGATCCTTGGAGCGTAAGTCGCAGCCATAATAGAAGAGGGCGCTGCCATCTTTGGAGAAGCTTCCGTCAGCCTTTTCAAAGAACCAGGTCAGGTTCTCATCCTCCTCGCTGACAGTCCAAACCAGCGTAGGGTGATCCTTTTTGATAGCAGTAAAGATATTCTCCATAACATTACTGAGCCAGCCGGCCTTGGTGGTGGTGAGAGCAGCAAGCCTAGCCACAGCTCGGTTCTCATCCTTGGGCAAGACAACAGCCAGGCACTGCATGGTGTCATCGTAATAGGCAGTGAACTTTTTCTCCTTTAGCATATCAACAAATCGATCAACAGTGGCCTCAGTGTCAAGCCCCTTGTAGTTACTGATCAAGGTGGCCTTTAGCTTTCCAATGTCTTCAAATTCACTAATCGAGGTGGCCTTTTGGATTTTATCGCCGCGGCGCATAAGTGTACCAGCACCCGAGTCTGTAAAAAGCTCTTTCTGGAGATCGCTAGGGTGGATAATCGCCACACTAGAGCTGCGAGGAAGGTCGTCAAGCAGCTCCTTAATCTCCTTGATCTTGAGACGGGTACCATAACGGCACCAGGGCTGGGCCATTAGGTAGTCGAACTCTTCGTCAAGATTGATATGTGAGATTTTCTTGCCTTCACCATTGAAAAGGCCTCCCTTTTCAGACAGATAAACAACCTTCAAGGGCTTGAGAGCACGGGCAAGTTCAGCAGCCGCAACATCTGCATTGACGTTGAGCAGACTACCGTCATCTCCTTCGGCCATTGAAGTAAGGATAGGCACGTATCCGGCTGAGATACTGCTCTCGATGGCTTGCTTCCTAACCTCGGTAATCTTACCGACATACTGCCACTTTTCCTTATCGAGATAGGTTGCGCCGAAAGCGCCTTGTATAGAGCGTGTCGCTACGCCGAGGGAGTCGAGGCGATCGATTAGTCGCAGATTCTCTTCTAGAAAGAGCTTTCGCGCAATGCCAAGCGTCTTCGCATCCGTTACTCTGATTCCCTCTTCGAATTGAGGTTCCACTCCCGCAGCCTCCAGCAGCTCATTCAGCTGCGGGCCTCCGCCATGAACCACGACCGGGTATAGGCCGAGCTCGTATAAGAACAGCAGACTTCTGCAGAGGTCGTCGAGGTGATCGCGAAGAATTGCGCCTCCAACCTTGATGACGGCAAACTTCTGGGAGGAGACGGTGGTGAAGAGCTTGAGGTACTGCTGCCTTGTCGCAAATTAGTCCCATCTCATCGGGCACTCTGTATCATGTGGCATCGACCTACCCCTCGCGCTTGCTGCCAATGCTGCTAACAGTCTGGGCCACAATCTCACGGGTCCTGTCGGCAGGAAGATAGGAATCTCTAGCGAGGGCGTGACTGGTCGAGAATCCGCGGTTGAGGCATTGGATCGACGCCGGTGCAGATGCGCGTGCGAGGGATTGAGAGAGAGCCCTGGAAGCAGACGGACGGGCACCGGCCCTCAAGGCCACAGCAGCAGCAGACAGCATTTTGCAAGTCTCTCACGGGGCGAATGAGTGAATGTGGGAGGGACAATTGTTGGCGGCCGATGTCGTTGTAGTTGAGTCTTTAATGTGGGGTGACGTAAAAAAAGAGCGGACCTACCGATATCGTAGAATCTGATAAGATTGATTATCGACCATGTTAATTACCGCAGCGTGCTTTTCAAATTTTACTGGGGCCAAAGTCTTGTCAATTGTTCACTGCGTTTACGCTGCCGTAAATCTTCACTAAACATTTGAAATTGACATGAAAGACGCCGGTGGAGGTGACGGGTATAGTATTCACAAGTTCCTGGATGACTGCATTTAATCCAGTGGGCGCAGTTTCGATTGGAAAGAAGACAATTAGGACGCAGACGAAGACGACGACTGATTTTCTTGGTAGAAAGAAAAAAAGGTAAAAGAAGGATAATAGAACTGAATGAATTGGAACTTCATGGGGTAGTTGATGGCCTACGATGACAAAAAGATGTTCGAGAACTAGAGGCCTCCTTACGACAGTAATGAAGCCCCAAAACATGGTTCTTACAAGGCAAAGGATCTAGAAATGGACATGGGAATTGCTCGATGCATACATGTATCAAGCATGCTCCACCAGCCAATGCAAGGTCCAAGACTATCCAAATATAGACATCTCACGGGGAAATTATTTGGGGACAAGAGTACGCATTCGTCTGGAAAGAAGACGGGTTTATGTAGATTTGTATGTCTAAAGGCCAATTACAATTGTAAGGTGATCCAATTCCAGATTTTACAAGGATTTGCAAGCAGCATCTGCTTTCACGCACTAAAAGGCGGCAAGTAGCCATGACAACGCAGAAGGAAGCTATTCGTCACAACTCCTATTCAAGGTACCAATCTAATTAGACAGCAGGCATAATGCATTGTCAAAAGCTTATAAAGCTCGGGCGTTGCATCTCGTGATAATGCGGGGGAGATGTACTGTGGCAACAAAGCTCACGAGACTCTTTTGTTACTGATGTGGGGAAGGCTCTATTAGTAGTATCGCCACTTTAGCATGAGGATAAAATGGACGACATGACTAAAAATGTTTCTTCAATCATCGATATTAGATCATGTGAGACATTATCGAGGCTGGTGTTGGGCACCATTTACGATTCAGGTACGAGAGGAGCCACGCGTCATTGCAAGACCATGGACTCTGCTATTGGGAGCAGAAACAAAGTTTCGCCAATGGCTCGCTGCCAGTATTGAAGAATAGGAAAGCAATCTGGCCTCGGAAATCTCGAATGTGCGGCTGTCGAATGCTTTGCAGTAGCAATCCAACTCACAGATGACAATGCCCACGTGGGCTCTCTCAGCCGTGCCCTGGCAAGGATACTGGCAGGGACTGAACGAGAGCACAGATCAATTTGATGATGGCTTCAGGGATTGTAGTAAGCATCGCATAGCGCTATACCATGGACCTACAAGGTACACGATCTCATTCCATCGCACTCGCTTAACTGCTTACCTTGCAGTACGGAGACTCCGTACCTGGCCTTTTGCATTGCTTCTGCTTCTAGGGCCATTCTAGTTTCTTCTATGGAGTATGTTGTTGTTTCGTACTCGGATGAACAGCAATGGACGACTCGTACAACTGCAATTGCTAGGTATTAGCAGTAGCCGCTTGTAGGGATTAGCTGGCTGCCTGAATGACGACCCCCTTACTGCTAGAAATAGTAGGTAGTTTTGCGACTGAAATCTATACCTCTTTCCAAGATCTGGGCATAAGAGCCAAGGCGAAATACAGCCGTGTATTTCGCCGTTTGTCGCTGTGTGCTTGACTGAAGCGGTGAGAATCCTACTTTGATAACGCTGCAATTAAACAAGGCAGAAGCTTACTGCGACTACTACCTCTATACAGGAAAACAAGCAGATAAGCACGCAGGCAATCATCTAACAAAAACCACGAATCGAAGCAAGACAAAACAGACGCTAGCAATCAATGGCCTTGCGGAGCTGTCAGATATTGATCCAACGACGGAATCTCGGAGATGTGCCGGCGGTCCAAGCGCCCTGTAGTGCCTGCGTGATGCCTTCTGCCAGCGTAGATTCTGGCCCAGCGAGCTGGTTTCTGGGAAGGACTGGGAGCAGAGCCGGGTGTTCTTTTACTGACCGCGTGCCTAGGGGTCGTATTCCCCGGTATAGGGGCTAGCAGCTACTCTCTCGATGGATGTACACAATGATATTGTTGGAGACGGTAAAAAAACAAGAGGCACAAGATCAGAGAGGGAGTCTCCAGAAGCATTGAAACTCCGTGTCGGCATATCGTTCCCCTCGTCGAATGATCCATCGGCCCAGATCAGCCAAGAGATAAAAGAGCGAAGAACCGCCCCCATATTGGCTGCATCACACCACGAATCTGCACGAATCTGCAGTTTCCATTACGCATTCACACGCCACGAAACGGCACGCACACACCGAGCGGAAGTCGTCACAGATCCTGCGGATAAGGTGCAACCTGTCACTGCTCCGGTTACTGCGCACATGCGTGTACATGGAGAATGCAGTCTTGTCTCCGGGTACGGCGGGCAGTTGTGGTTCCGTTCATGCATGGCTGCACATGATGAGGGTGTGGCGGTGATTAGGAAGGTGAGCTGGCTAGAGGTTGGTGCCTACATGTAGGAAGAAGATAGAGAGTGCTGCAACCAGTAATTCGCCGCCGGCAACATTCGCTGAGACTGGCAGATGGAAAGAATGAAATTAGAATGGCGGGAACATTGCTGGATTCAGTTCAGTCTTGTTGGTCCGAACATCGGTGAGAAAACTGATCCAGATCAATCAATCAAAACGGCCATGATTCACAGCACCGGCAGGATCCAGCCAGCCAGGGGAGGCAGTGCCATGGCCACTAAAAGCCGGTGCTAAAAAGGGAGCTGGAGCTCTTCCGCTGCCCCTGGGCGTAGCTCGTGCCATCTTTGTATCCTCAACAGCTTTCGAGCAAGTCGCAGCCCCTCCTTTCCAGGCCCCCAAAAGATGCTCCTCTACCTCCGCCGCTCACCGAAACACCACCCAAACCGGCCGTACCCTGCTATCGCCAAATCACCCCCACCCCGCCCGCAGGGTCCCCCGGGAATCGCCCAACCGGTACCCGGCACAGCGGGTGCGTATTCGTAAACGAAAGGGTCCCAGCTGGCATTGGCATGTTTCTCTTCTGGCCCCGACTTTGTTGAGGAAGACTGAACATGCAAGTACATTCCCATGAGTTTGCAATGGGCACCCGGCTCCGCTTAAAAGCACTGCCGAACCACACTACGGCCTTGGTAACCGCATGTACATACAGCAAGCAAGCACCGAGTCTGGGATGCTCGAAACGGGGAATCGAGGCCATGACCCCATAAGGCGAAAAGTGTAATTCTTGTTGCGGTGACGGGGACTGGCCCGGCCACCTTCTAGCCTAAAAAGAATCCCAATCCACAGATCCAAGTATCCAGTCGTGCACCGCCTGTTTTTTTTGGCTTTGGCTGGCAGCTGTCCGTAGTATAAGTAATAGCTGCTTGCGTCGCTTCCTCTCCCCTCTCGCCAAAAAGCTACTCCTCCTCTGCTTTCGATCTTCTACTCTCTCTCCTTTTTCTTCCCGCATTGCAAAAAGAAGAGGCCCATCTGTCCTGTTTTTGCGACAACTTGCGTTTCCTCTCGGCTACTTCATCTCTCCATCTTGAATCTGCCCAGCAAGCCCATTTGCACACCACACAAGCTCTCTCTCAGCTTTCAGCGTCTCACAACTTGATTTTTCCTCGTTCCATCAACAACACACACAAACAATGTCTCGTGTTACTGCCCCCGCCGTCAAGCTCACCCGCGCCCTGAGCTCCACGACCGCAGCTCGTGCCGCCAAGCCGCTCCTCGACGCCTCGGCTTACAATGCCGGCGCCGTGCTGATGCCAAAGTACGCAGAGCTCCTGCGCGGTCGCAGAACCCCCATCGAGATGTCCGAGGTATGTTTTCCCAGCTCTTCTGAATAACCATAACCAATCCATCAAAGCCAGATGCTAACAAAATCAAATCTGCAGTCCTCTCGATCTCTCACCACCACCCACCGCCCTATTCCCCAGCCCTCCATCGCCAACCGCTCCAAGCCTCTGATGCAGACCTTCTCCAGCGTCGCATCCTCCTCAACTCCCGCTGCCCACCTTGACGCCACCGTCCTCCCGGCGTTTAGCAGCTTCAACCCTACTTCTTCCTTCGCAGATGCCCTCCCTCGCATGCCTCTGTTGCCCGATAACTACGGCGCCGCCCACCCCGCGCCTGAAGCCGATCTGCCGGTTTCCATCCCCAGCTCGTCCATCGTCGCGGTTAACCCGGACAACGTCGTCCCCGCCACACCGCTCTCTTCATTGAGTGGCGTTTTGGACACTGTTGAGCTCAAGTTTGTGCATGAGGCGCCTGCTTCCCCTGCCGCGTCGGAAGAGAGCCAGGGCATGATCCGGGATCTGTGGAAGGGCATGGTTGAGGATGTCTTTGGCTCAAATCAAGCCATTCCCAAATCCCATTAGCAGGCCTTTTTCTTCTTCTCTGAAACATGTATGACTATATATACATGGTGGGCATTTTCTGCTTTTGTTTTCATGCGAAATCTTTGTTTTTCTTGTTTTTATTAGTGTAAGCGGTTGCTTCATGGACACAACTCCATATCATGGGCGATATATGATGGCAGGCAGGCAGGCCGTTCGCTCTGTACTTTCCCCACAAAAGGGCTTGATCAAGGTGATCAAGGGATTTACTCTCGTTATGAAACCGAGACATATATAGCAAATTTTAATCAAAAAACTTCAAATTCTTCTGCTTACTACACATGCACGTTCCAACTCTGTACAATGAATGCAATAAACATACAATTACTACCCGTCAATATCAAACTAAGTATCAAGTGTATCATTCAAGTGGTAACAAAAAAACAACGTCGTATTTTGGACAAAACTTGTGATTTCGAGGCCCAATGCCCCGACACCAATATGCTAACTTCCTCAATCTAGACTACGGAGCAATGGTGCCTATATATAACATCTTTCGCACATCAAAAAATGGCGTCGTGGAAAGGTATTGTCGCTCCTTCTGATCAAATTCTCTTCGTCTCTCATTCATCTTTTTCTCCACCGCCTGGATCGATCGGCAAACTCCCCCGCCCCACGTTCTCTTCTCCGCATGAATATATCCATTATTATACACCGCCTATCTCGTCTTCTTTCCCCTCTCGCTTTACCTCTTCTTGGCTGATGGTCTGGGCTTGCATTCATCGTTGTTAACGGGATGCAGCATGACCTTGATTGGGTAGTTTTGAGTGTTGTGCTGGAAGCCCTTGCTCCAGTCGTAGCAGATGGCATAGGCAAAGATGCTTCCCGTCCTGTTGAACTTTGTCGAGGTGATGCTACCACCCACGTTGGGATAGCCCTTGAGGCGGTGCTTGGCATCCTTGTCCCAGAAGTGGAACGTGCCATCTGATCCAGCGGTGCTAAAGGTGCCGTGGACGGGGTGGAACGAAATGTCGTTGACGGCATGCACGTTGACCACGTTGTTTTGGACCGGATCGCGATGGCACTTGAATGAGAAGTTGGATCTGTTCGAGCAATAGGTTAGCTTAATTACCCTGGATATTCGTCGTGTAGAACGTTGTGACAACTTACGTAGAGTCCTTCTCCTCCACATACTGAATGGCACAGCGACCCTCGATACTGCCAATAGCAAAACCACTTGAGTCGGGGAAGCAGCTAACAACCCTGGTCTGCCACTTCAGTGGGCTCTGCAGCGTCTTGTAGAACTTGGTTGGGTTTTTGAGGTCGACGACATTGATGTAGCGATCAGCCGTGCCGACGACCAGCAGATTCTGCTGCACATCCATGGTGTACACGCGCTCTTGGCAGGCCAGAGTAGCCGCGGGCTGCTGTTGCCGGAGATCCCAGTATTTCACAGTCTTGTCCCAAGATCCAGACACAACCATTGTGCCGCTGCCGCTATCGAACCAACGCACGCTTCGTACAGGCTGGTCGTGTGTGCCCACAACAACATCTTGCTGAGATGCCAGGTCGCAGACTTTGACGTTCTTGTCCGCGCCAGCAGAGGCAACTTTTGTTCCATCCTAATTCATTTTCAAAGACATCTTGTTAATCTTTCATAGTCCAATCGACTACCTTCTTCAGCTCTCTGGCGCTCGCTTACCTTTGAAAAATCGCAACCCAGGACGGGCTGGCTATGCTCAAACGCGTGACGACCCTGGCTCTGGCCGTTTTGAGCAATTTCGTAGATGCGGACCTTGTTGTCCCAACTTGATACGGCGAGAAAGTCGGGTCCGTTGGGGGCTGGAGAGAAGGAAAGGTCGGAGATGCTGTCGGAAGGGGGATCGTTGAGGGCCACGTCCTGCTTCAGGTCGCCCACCGTGGTCGAAGCAGCGGCGCTGGCAGCGGCAGAGCCGAAGAGACCAGACATGTTGGCGGATGGGTTATATTGGGAATGGTATTTCGATCGATTCCAAGCTGTTTAGAGCTTTGTTCCCAGACGGAATTGACGTCCTGGCGCGTTGCAGCGCGAGGTCCGTCTCGTGTGTATTTTTTGCCGTCTCTGCTCGCCTTGTCGTCGCAGAAGCAGAGAGCAGGAGAATCGTACACAGAACCAGCCCCAGGCGATGGTGGACGCTCGTCGCCAAATATCCCCTCGGCGGCGTCGTCGCGTTTGCAGAATTTATAACACAAGTTGACTTCTAGGCACGAAGGCAGCGACCCAGCATTTCTCAACGCGACGTTCGGATTGGCTGGTGCGCCTCGCAGGCTGCAGCAGAAACTTGATAAATGCATAAATGCGCATTGATGCATAAATCCCACTGTTGGGGCTCCACTAAAATTTACTAGAAAAAAATTCATAGCTTCGAGCAGCTACTGACTTTTCTTTCCTTTCTTCTTCTTCTCTTCATCCCCCTTCGCTCAACAAATCGCCATTCGAAGCTTACACACGGAGATTCTGCTCTGCAGCATCTCTTCCAAACACAGCTTTGGGAGAAAGTCCCCGGACGTCTCCTTTTTGGAGCATGCGGAAACGCGCCGCCATAGAAGCACTGCGGCTGACCTCCGCGCCTTGGCCCAGCTGCCGCATCTGCCCTGCCTGCTGCTAAATCCGTTTCTCACGAGGCACTGTCAAACCCTAATCTTGCGTCTCTGGCCCCTATGGATGAAGATATGAGTCCGTGCTGGAAGGCTGCGGGATTGGGGTGGCGACGCTGAATGGAGATGGATGGCAGGTGGACGTTGTCATGTCTGCCGGCTGTGGTATCGGGTGCAGAGGATTTGTTGTCGAGGTCGATAGTTATGCGATTGCCTGGCGCAAGCTTGGTTACTCGATGGGGCCCATTCTTGATGCGAAGGGGGACCCCGTCTCTACCATGACGGTATTCCATCTTTTTAACACTCTGAAACTTCGTTGGAAGTTTTTTTCTTTCTTTTGGGATGCCCTGATGGTGGGAGATGGCCAGAAGCTTCATATGATGATGACCAATATAGAGTCAAGCACCGAGTCAAGAAAACCTTGCCGTTGTGGATAAAAATATTTTCATGTCAACTGATGAGCTTCTGGGAAATTAACATCTTGTATAAGATATTATCCATTTGATGGGTTTTGCATCATAGATTATATAGTTTATTCATCTGATCACTACAGCTCGGCCAAGTGGCTTAGAGTCTGTAGTTTCTGGATGCTTTACTTACTCCCTGCATACTATACCCGGCAAACTCGTAATCGATAGGCGTAGAACGCATACAAGCTTGCTTCAATGGCACAGTGAACCCGGAACGATGCCGTCGGCACCGATCTCCGCACTGAAAGCACCAAAATCAGTTTACCCCGGTCTGGTCTATTCTTCCCATGCCCTGGTCGTTGAAGTGCTATAGCGGGCGTACCAGCTCGACACCCTGGAGCTCAGCTCGCTGAAGGGAAATCGAATCAACTCGTGTCAGCTCTGTATTGCTCCGTATGATTTACTTCGTATAAACACGCGTATTATCCCCAGCTCAGAGCAGAAGGAAGCCCCCCCTGCCAAATTCTGCAACGCTAGCAGGCAGTCCAACCAACAGTGCAACAACGGCCGCCAAAGAAGAACGAAGCAGAGATCAAACCCCAAACTCACCCGACGCTACTGGCACTGAAGAAATTACATAACTTGGCGCCGTTGGCCCTGACTAGAGCAGCAGCTAAGTGTGACAGGAGGCGGCCAGAAGCTTGCCGGAAGAGGCTACACGCTGCAGATCGGGTCAGCTTTTGCCAGACTACAAAGTCCGTTTATTCCCCTCCTGGTTTGATTAACTCGTCATGACGAGGGTAGTGTACTACTGTTGTTGTGGTATTAGCAAATGGGATAAGTACGCGAATTCATTGGGTAGCACGCCCTCTGTGAACGAGCGAATGAATCATGAATCCAGCCGGCCAACAGCTTCTTCTCTTCCTTCATTTCACATTCGGCAACACATGATACGACGCTGATATTTAGCCAACCCAAGCACCTCAACATTCAAAACACCCCCTACCGTTCGAAAAATCTTGCAGCGAATCGCCTCTCTTTCCCACCCTCCAAGCAGAATCCTTCCAGCTTTCACAAAGAAAAAACGCCACATGCGACCTACACTCAAATCGTAGTACATACACGGGTGCCCTTGTCCCCCTCAACTGAACTTGCGATTAAAACCCCCAGCTAGCCCAAGCAGTAGCCAGTCCCACCATCACCGTCCAACCAGACTCCTGTTCCTGGTGCCCAGCCCCCGAATCAGGTAGCGAGTTTCACCAACTCCCATTCCCCGGTTCGGTTTGTCTTTTTTCCCCTTCTTCCTTGCTGCGGTTAAAATGCGTGCATACTTGTACCTATACGCGGGATAAAAGAGCAGAAGCCGTTGAGTAAGATGTTGGCGGGCTAAGCCTGCTTTGTCGACTTCGACTAGGGGCTGTGATATACATGTCCATTGGAGCTAAGAAATCTCCTCCATTTAGGCTTGGGATGAGCTGCTTAGCACGAGTATCGAGTTCGTGCCCCCTTGTTTGTGTTGGGGTGAGGTGACATCGCGCATCGTGGACATTGGGTGCAGGCTGGAAGTATGGGGGAGAAAGCGAGAAGCGCGAGCCTTGGTTCGTACTGTACGGCACATGTATGGGTCTCGGTGTCTTCCATCCGTGGTTGTAGTAGCTCTGTGAGTCCATAATAGTCGACATCTTTTCTCTCAAAGACCGTTCACGTTTCTTTTGGTTGTCGAATCCCTCCTTTTCCATTTGTTTTGTTCCAACAATTGAAAGCCACCCAAATCAAGAAATGGCCTCCCTCTTCCAGCTCTTCATCCTCCTCTTCGCAGCAGCCCTGACTGTGTCAGCTGCCTCCGCCCCAAACATCACCAGCCTCGTCGACAAACTTCCCCCTTGCTCGCTCAATTGTATCATCGACGGCGTCACGAACGATGGCTGTGCCGTTAGCGACCTCGCCTGCGGATGCTCCAAGATCAACGACCTCACAAAGACTGTCTCGCCGTGCATGGCGAAAGCTGGCTGCACGCTTGACGAAATGACTCGTATGGTTGCCCCTTCTCTTTGAATTCTGGTTTTAGTAACTCAATGCGTCGTAACCATTCGTTGTTTGAAAATATTCGTTCCTAACTCTTGTTGATTATCTTCATTACACAGAGGCTGCTGGAGCTGTCGTGCAACTCTGCGAATCTGCCGGTCTCATCGCAAACACCACCACAAGTGACACGACTTCGACCACGGGAGCAGCATCAGCAGCGACTAGCAAGTCCGACGCGGGACGATTCTCACGAGAGCTCGGATTCGCATACGCTGCCGTTGGCGTATTGGTGGCCGTGGTTGTTCTGTAAAGCGAAAAGGGGTTTCGCCATGGGTATTTCTTTGGACTTGGTTAGGATAGGACAGGGAATATAAGATTGAGAAAGATGCTCTTTGGATAAGAGCCACGCATTTGCTCAGCACATGTTATTGTACAACAAGACGGGCGACTGTTATAAGAAAAAAGCTTAGCATCTATAAGCAGCCAAGCAAAAAACGTATCTTGTCATTTCAAAGTTCTAGTAACAGCCTACCAGCAGTTCTAGTCTAGTGTATCGTGTCATTTCATATCATCAGGCATCTTTTTCCCCTTCAAGTTATCCCCAAAAGGCACAAGAATGCATCAAGGTCTAAACATTAAAAGCAGAAAAAGGGGGGGGGGCGGTAAAACAAAAGTCGCAGGTCAAGTTCGAGGTTGAGGTCAAAGTAGTCGAGATATTAGCCGGGTCCGAATCTGGCAATGGCGCCGTAGTTGCCACCGTCAAACGAATCGTGAAGTCCATCCAGGGCGTTGAACTGAGCTGCCAACTTCATGCCTTCGCGGCGCTGGGCTTCAATGCGACGCCAGTCCCACTCGCCATCATCAGCCAGGTTGATATCGCTCACGTCGACAGTGTCGTCGCCAACTTGATTGGGACCGCTAACCCAGCCGCCGGGTCGTTGAGGCAGCAGGCCTGAGTCGGAAAGCACCGTTGCGGGATGAACAGTAAGACGGCCGACCTTGAAGACGTACTTGCTCATGGCTGTGGCATGGATCTTCTTCTGCCAGCCACTGGTGGCGTCCTTGTGGTCTCTTGTCCTCACGCGGCGGAATCGTGGATCCAACCACTCGGTTGGTCTGGCGGCGCCCTTGGGCATAAAATATGTGATGATGTACAGCCACTTTCGGTCCCAGGTGGCGACGCGACTCCATAGCTCGTAGGACTGGAATGATGAGATTTCGCGCTTGAAGCTGCACATGACGGAGCCCAGCGCAATGGCAAAGTTGCCCTTGACAGGCTCGCCGGTTCGGGGGTCCTTGACAAGTCTTGTCTTGGCGTTGTTGGACATGCTGCGGATGGCTGGCCGCAGCAGATAGGCACAGAGGTGCGTTCGTGATATGTCGAGGTCGGCAAAGTATGTCGAGTTGGATTTGTGGAGGTTGTAGTCGATTTCAAGAATAGGGGCTTTGGTTTCGGAGATCATGGGTTTGAAGAGCGCGCGGGGGCCGAGCTTTGGTGATTTGCGGAAGACCATGTGGTAGAGCATGGCGTATATGATGCGATACTGTTGGGTTGAGCAAATCAGTGTGATTCAAGGGACAGGCAGACAAAGAAAGCAATTCACGTACGGTCCACGCAAACGGGAGCGTCTTCCAGTTGAAGATGATGAAGAAGAGCAGCAGCAGCCGCGATGTCCGGCCGGGTCCCGTCAGAAAGGACTGCACCAAGGCCGGCCAGTTGATGCGCCAGGCGGCGTAGCCCATCGATCCGACGGCCACCGAGATGATGGGAATCGTCATGGCGAACCCGCCGATCCTGGTGGACGACATGGCTCGGTCGTGAGGCCGTCCGTTTGGCCTTGCGCGCATTCTAGACTTGTATGAATTCGTCTCTCAGCCGAGGCGCGGATTTGCTGCCCCTTCCCGCGCGAAGCAGATTCGCGAAGAGCTCGAGGCGCCTAGAAGCGGTGCGGGATTCAGGGAGCCAAGCTCAGCAACGCAGCTGTATCACAAGCTTTTCCACACGCGACAGGGTCTCAGACAAGGTCAGACACAATTCTCGGTTCGCTGCGCGTCTCGATCAACAACTGGCGTGAATGTGCTGCGCGCGTGGCTGGAATGCGGGCAGATGGCGCATGCACAAGGAACGGGAGGGCGATCTATTAGAACGAAAATCCAGGAACCGAGTCTTTTTGAATGCAGGGGTTTCTTTGGCTGGGCGGCCTTTCGCTCGGCTCGGCGCCCGTTAGTCTTTTTTCTCGGTCAGCAGAGGACGCCACAAGCCGAGGTTCATGGACGATAAGATTTTGGGGTCAGATAAGCTTTTGCTGTCTGACGATGAGCTTGGGAATGAAAGGGAAAAGTAAATTCAAAGAGAGAGAATGGTAAGCAATGAGCGAATTTCTTTACTCGAAAGATTAGGCTTGCTCTTGGAGCCGTAAGTTGCAGCTCCCAAAGCGTTGGGAATAAATGGCGATATACCACTACTACATAATCGGCACGTATTGGTTCTCTGCTTCTTCCCTGCAGGTCCGCCTCGTGAGAGGACCCGCTCACACTTGTGAAACTGCAGCTGCAATAAACGCTCGCTTACTGCCTGAGATGATGCAGAAGAGGGGCAGAATCTCCAATACCTGGCATGTCATTGGAATTTGCAAATCGCATAAGACAGCATGCCATATCCGTGAGGAAATCCGTTGGGCACTCATGGCCAGCATCAACAGCCGCATCGGCTCCCCTTTATGCGTCACGCCTCCTTTTCTCTCCCTTCCAATCTGTACCCTGAGGCTTGAGAGGTGGCCTGAAGACTCACATAACACGCATGAAAGGCTGCCAGCAAAGCAGTCCTCCTTTTCACTAGCGAGTCAGCGGCTGCCATGTGTGCCCACTGCTCTCTTCTGCAGCCCAAGGCTCGCTGTTTAGGAGCGATATGCGAGCCAGGTTATAGCTTATATCGCCTGTACATGCATTTTATTTTTAAAAGCAACTCATTCATGTAGATGCGATGCATTACTAGACGCACTTGTATATATTAGTCCTAGGCACTCTTAACGATAATAGCCCGTAATGCGTCTGGTACTCGCTTCAAATAACCTCGACTTAGATGAAGATTCTCTCCTCAAATGGCATCATCACATGTTCTAAATTAACAAATGCATTGATGCCGAGACGGAGTTCGCGGGGGAGCATCGGCCCCGTAATTTCCGACCCAGGCTTAGGTGCTTTGCATAGAACTCGTTTTTACTGGAGCACACATCTTACACATCCCAACTCAGTATTGAGGGGCTCGAACTTATATTTATGCGGCAAGAATTTGGAGGCATCATAGCAGTCATTTTCAGATTGCAAACATCGCGGAGACATCTTTGCATATCTATGTGCCTCGTAGCTCAGTGACTCTAAAGCTACCCGGCAAAGGCCGTAAGATACAGTAACTCTACCTGTTGGATGAACGACGATAATCCTATCAACCATGTACATATCATCTATTAGCTGGGTTGGCTGCATCCTCTTCCGTGAGAAAACTACCATCCTTGGCAATTCTTGCACTGCCTTTCACTGAAGTTGGGTATCAGTTACGGGTTTTCACACATGATTGGCCGTCGTGTAGGAACAAGAATATGCTTATTTCGTAACTGATAGCTAAACATGACCTAATTCGAATTGCGCTGCACGCAGCAGATAATCACAAAGATTGCAGTAATAGCTGGCAGCACCATTTCTTGCTCAATATGGCTACATCCCGGATATGAACCCAGATCAACACTTGCGCAGATTTTCTGCAACAGAGACACAGCTTGTTAGTATACTTTGCATCTACAACACTCAAGGCAAGGTAACATTACTGGAGTTGCATTGATCTGAAGTGTAGAATCCGTTGATATAGCATTTCAATCCCGGGATGTAATCCCAGGAGCTAATTACCGTCAATAACTGTAATGATCAGACTTGGCGATTGGCCTTGAAGTAGACATACCAAACTCCTTCATAGCAGTCTCCTGACTTATAACAAGAAAAGTCCCAGGCATCTCCATCACCGATTGTGGTAACCGATTTAGCGCTAAAAGACGGACTGCTTCGGCAGTGCACAGGGCCATCGTTGTTGAAGACATTGCACATCTCTCTTTTCTCGAGACCTGGGGCCGCGCTGGTGAAAAGAGGAAGGACCAGACAGATGATTGTAGCAGTAGTCTTCATGTTAACTATTGGTAAAAAGGTTGGATATTTTTCTGTAAAGCATGTCTCCAAACGCAAGAGAACCACAGCTTTATATATCTTTTCAGGCGACTGCTTGGCGGTAACTTTGGGGGCGTATCTGCATACAAATTCAGCAAATGATCCGTTTTCGAGTCGTACTAGTCTGCCTATATCTCCTGGATAACCCTATTCGCTTGTATTTAGCAGCAAAAGGATCATACTAACTGTTTTCACACTACCAGAGCGAAGAAGTTTTGTTTCGCTATGAGTCTTTTGCTAATGCTGGGAAAGTGGAGCATCTGGGAAGCGATTCCGCTTTTACTTCCTATTGTAGCAGCTGCTGTCGAATAAGCTTAATTTGTAGAATAAGACGGGGTAATAGGCTCCGAGGGACATAGGCTTAACGTTGTATCTCGTGGCTTTTTAGCTACATGATGGCGAGTCTCCCTGTTATATGTATTCGGCTACCATGGGCTATCATTGTAGTGGTTCGTCAAGTACAGACCGTGTCTTTTAAATCTGCGCCGATAAGCCTGTATTTTCTCTTTCGCTGTACGTCAACTTATAAGCCCTCTATTTAAGTACACGCAACATTGAACGTTGAGACTCTTATTGCAGAACAGGAATGTTATTTCTGCCTTTCCAATCTTGTCAAGCCACCAAGTGCAATGTCAGGAATGGTTACCACTTACTGCATCATTCTCAATGAGTACCTAGATTCACTGACTCTCTACCACCTGCTCGCCTCGCCATAACTAATGGCTCCACATCACTTTTATCTTCAGAATTCATCTTTGCGCCGCTCGCAAGCAGTAGCTTCATTGTCACTCTCTGGCCATGCCTAGATTCCTCGTGTAATGGCATCCTCCATAACTGACCTTGAGAGTTTATGTCTGCGCCACAGTCAACTAACAGCTTCAATGTTGTTACTTGGTGACCCTTAACTGCCCATTGTAGCGGTGTCTCCATACTCTTGTTTTTGGCATTGAACTTCACGCCTTCTTCCAAGGGAAGTTCCATGATTGTGGTATCGCCAGACCAAGCAACCTAGTGTAATAGTGTTGCATTAGCCGTATCTAAACCACTCGAATCCACACCTTCCTCCAAAGGCACTCCCACAGCTGTTGTATGCCCTTCCTTGGGCATTACTAATGGTAGTTGATGGAGGTTATGATTTCTGATTTCTTCATGTAGCATCTCCACCGCCAAATGGTTACTCGGAGTAGCTAGTGAGGCAAGAATTTTGTGGTTAGACACCACATGAATACTTTGTCTAATAACTAGCTTCGCCAGCGCCTGCAATCTGCTTTCAATACACACTTGTATCAGTTCAAGAAGCAAGGCAGCTTCTCCGGATGTATATACAACATCGTTGTCGGCTAGCACGTGTATCAGTGATAAACTCCGCTTTGCGAAGGCCATTGTCCCAGGACTTGGCCGGCTAGTATCCAGCCAGTCTATCTGCGCTCCTCTTTCGAGCAGCAGATTTGCTGTTAAATAGTGTTCGTTCTCCAATGCTAACCATAAAGGTGTCCGTCCGTGAAGACTATCTTCTGACTCAATACTGGCTCCTTTCTCGATAAGAAGAGATAAAACATCGTGATGTCCGTGGCTCGCGGCTAGCCAGAGAGGTGTGCAATGTGATGTTGAATTAACATCGAATTTTATGTGTTTTTCCTGCAAAAATAAGCGTACAATGTCAGTATGGCCTTTACTAGCTGCATGGTGTAGAGGCGTGCATCCGTCTTGATCAACGTTATTTATATCGCAGAAAGTCAAGAGAATCTGAATGATGTCTGTGTATCCAAGCTTTGATGCAATGTGAATGGCTGGAAGGCCTTCGTCGACCACAGGAAGATCGCAAAATAGATGTACCACTGAGACTTCTGATACAAGTGACAAAAGGGGTCTGTGACGTTCCTTTACTGCCCATCCAAAGAGACCGTGCAGATGAGAGGCTTTCGAGCGGCCACCAGACACCCACGGATGAACATTCCACGTTGCATTAATATTCATCGCAAGCTGCATGAAATTCTCCCATCTCGATGATTCGTGATGAATATTCTTAGTATGAAGCGCCCAGTTAGATATCGCATAATCCAGAAATCTGTATTGCGCTCGATTTGGAGCTGCTGGCGTGGGTACTGGTACAGAAATTGAACTGTTTTTATTCTGTGGCTTTCGAAGGAAGAGCCTGTGTAATCCAGTACCAGACATCGATTGTATAACTTGATAAGGCGAGGGAATGGCCACTGTTGTCTTGGTGGGTGAGATCTTGCTCAGCTGAAGACTGAAGTCCGACAAGGACAAGTAAGTGATGCAATACTCTCCACATTCTAGATCACCACTTTCTTCTGTTGAGTACCCTGGAACAGACCTTTCTTTAAACGGTTTTTTCCCATCTTCCTCGAGGTATTGCTTCACTGAAGAATGTGCAAAGCGCACACAGTTGTCAATAGGATCCAAAACAATGAGATTTGCACAACAGCCAACAGTAAAATCCCTTTGTGGTTTTTTATCGGCATCCCATTTTGTGTCTGTAGATCGAATAGCGACGGCTTCTCTCAGCTCCTCGATGTGAAGGGACCTCTTTGCAAAGCTGACCCATTTGAGTACCTTTAGTGCCCAGCCATCTTGGAAATCTATCCTGCAAACGCAGCGCTTATATGTTTCTTCAATATTTTTGGGTAGTGCAGTCAAGGCATGACGTATATCCGCATCAGTACGGCAAGTTTCCCACAGAATCTCCAGCTGGAGATACACCCAAAGAAACCTATATCTATTAATTAGCAATATTCCTCAACGTATATAGCAAGCTGGGCATCATACATATTGGATGATTCAGTAAGCAGTGTCTCTTCAACCCTTTTTAACAGTGAGACATCATCAGTGAGCTTTCTGTACATCATCTTCTCAGCGATACTTGTTTCGATAAAGTTTTCAATGTCTTGCATTGCATTTGTTGAGATTGGTATTTGGCGAATCCCGCGAATGAAAGTACCGACATTTATATATCCGGGGACTTGGTCTCTGCTTAATAGCAAAACGCGCGACTTTTGTGATATGTCGGGAGAGTCGAACAATTGTTGAACGATCCTCAAGAGGTGTATGGCATGGCTCTTCTGAAGAGCGTCAATTCCGTCGATAATGTATACCGTATTAGGTACGACACGACATAGCCGTGAAAAGATACTTTCCAGATCATCAAAGTCTGGTAGAGTTCGCTCAGATCCAAAAAATCTCCGTAAGTCCGGAGCAACATCTTCTGGGAAAAATCCAAAGTTTTGATATTGGAAAGCGCATATTTGCTTGATGAAGCTAGAAATGACGAATGAAGCATTCAGCTCATCATTATATTCATAATCGCAGTAGAAAAAGACAACTGGGGATTTGAGAGTTGAAACTTGAGATCTAGCAGCGTCGACCACCGCGGTTCTATCCATTGTTAGACTGTTATGAGGAGAGGGATGGTTTGCTTGACTAACGCTATCATTGTCTTGCCAGACCCAACTAATGCGCAAGCGTTCATCAGTATTGCACACACAGAAAATAGACAGAAGATATACTTTTTCCTGAACACCACAAACTTGAGATTTTCTTTTCGATGAACCATTCCTTGAAGCTCGGATGATCAAGGAACCATCGAGTAGTGTTATGAAGTCGTTTCTGTGACAGTTTCCAGTGAACCTTTTTGTGTTCATAATTCGACATTCTTTCGAGTAAGTCTTCATCAGCTGCATATCGGCTCAGCATTTTACCCTTGATGATATCCTAGCATACTCACTGCGTTGGTGCGATATCAATTCCATTGGAGACTTTCGAAATGGATCATTTCCAACGTAAAATGACACTATAAAACAAGCTATTAGAAAAGAAACATATTGACATCAGCAGAAACAGTAGCGTGCTCACAATCCAACTCTGCTGGCGGAGTATCTGTAATCTGGTGCTCATGAACGGTTGATAAGAGCTCTTTGGCATAACCAGCTGCTGTCGCGGCTGCGTAGTTCTGCCACTGCTTGTTTTTATGCGAGTCCGAGTAATCACATATGCCTCGAATCACTAAGCAAGGGAAATTGTCCATCAAGCCAGCCGCTTCCATTTCGAAGCATAAGATGTCGTATTCTTGAGCCAGCTTGTCTCTGACCCGACTGTCTTTTATGACTTGATTTCCGGATGCGATAAGGCCGTAATGAATAACAGGGCCATGATTATTTCGGGGAGGTCGCTGTACAAGCTTTCTTGTATCACAGCTACTGCAAGTCTCTTCCGAGTCGGCGTGAACATATTCTTGGTCGAACAATACGTCTTGGTCCTCACCAGGACATGCAAATATATTTGTTTCGTCTGGCCGTGTCGTTGTCATCTCCGAGATTGTGGAAGCCAGTTTCCCTGGGTTTAGCATATACGTTGCCTGCAGCTTAGATATTGCTGATAAAAGAACAGGCGGCGGTTTATTCAGTATTCCGACACGTTCAAAACGACCGCCACTCAGTGCTTTGCCGAAATCGTACTGAATAACGCCTCCTAAGTTCATCGTTGGTTTACTGACCACGACATCTCCCAGCCGGATATCATTCTTTTTGCTGGGAGCCCCTCCTCCGATGCCGACCATTAGAAAAAAGCGTATCGATCTAAAAGAGTATTTCATATGTGCAGCTGCTGTTGTTGCGGAGGTCGTGCCGTAGATACCGGATGGAAGGCAAGCAATGACCACATTGTGGGCATGAATTCTACCTAGAATGTAAGAGTTGTCATCATTCTGTATGGCCGGTAGGTCGCGGTGTCTCTCATCCAGCATTACCACAGCCGCAGCCATTTCCAGCGGGAGGGCACAGACCCATGCCACCGTGTAATCTTGATGGCGGTAGCGCTTTATCGAAGTCGCCATTCTGAATTCATGCGAGGTGAATCATTCCACGTCAAATGGCGTATCTTGGTTTATCCCGTGCGGTTGTTGGGAAGGACAGAAAAAGACTCTCGAAGTCGAGCCTCGCGCGTTGAAAGCCCGAACCCCGCTCAGTAGATTAAGGATGGGTGGTATCATGTCTATCATATCCGCAGGATTCGGCGAAGTAGCGAGAAGAGTATTCTCATCCAATGGTTAAAAGCTCTGACATTTCGGTATAAACCTCTAGACAATTATGAATTTACATCAGGAAACTTAACCCGCCCTAAGAGATACTAGCTGTCCTATATGGAATACGCATGAATTATATTTAGATGCAGCGATACAGCCAATCGTACGCCTGGTAGTTAGAGGAATACTTCATGCGTAGGCGGATAAAATGTTGTAATTAGTACTAAGGTAAACAGGACTTATAGTACCTGTCTATGTAGGTATTTTTGCAGTAGGAAGACGGGTATTTTCTGCTGACTGCACTAGTTTCCAGCTAAGTCTCATTACGTGTACTCTCGATAGGTCTTGAATTACTGCTAAAGAGCTAAAGAAGCAAGCTTTTTTAAAAATAGAACGAAACCAAACCATTCGCTTTTTTTGGATTGAAGCTGTTTCTCCGCAACCTCACTAATATTCAATGTATGTAAGCACTAGGTGCTCAACGTGGTATTGCAGTTGACGTGAGGTAGTAACTAGCATCTATTGTTTACATATACTGACCTGATACCTAGTGACTTCTGTCTCATTTCCTCGTCCGCGCACGCTTCATCTACGCATTGTTCACCTCACAAAATGGCTGCTCGCAACGTTATTGTGACCGGTGCCACTGGAAGGCAAGGACGGGCATTTGTACAAGAGCTACTGAATCCTTCGAATACCAATGGCTCAACTTCTCTAACATACCGCGTTTGGGCTGTAACGCGGGACACAGCGTCGCCCGCAGCAGCTCGGCTTTCAGGAGTTGAAAAGAGCCATGGAAATGAGATTAGAGTGGTCCAAGGTGATCTCAGCGATGTGGAGAGACTCAAGCAGATTTTCACTGAGGTAGCTGCTGAGGGTGGAATATTCGGCATTTTCGTTGTGCTTCCTTATCCAGGCCTTGGAAACAACGGCGGGGACGAAGAGAGGCAAGGCAAAGTAATCCAACCCCGCACATGAATCATTGGGGAAATTACTGATCAAGATCAATTATTCCCTGGCATAGACACTTGTAGATCTCGCAATTGAGTTCAAAGTTGAAGCTCTCGTTTATTCAAGCACAATCCCTCCAGGCCCGGATGAGGATAATGGATTTGACGCATCTCGTCTGGCAAAGCGAGAGATTGAGTTGTATTGCAAAAGCATGAGCGACAAGGGTCTCAATTGGAGGTCGGTACGGTTGCGCATTAGAAAGCATTGAGCTGACTGAATGATAACATAGCATTGTACAACCTGGATTTTTCATGGAGAATTTTGACGGTTGGATGGGAGCGCTGGCCGTACCCGTCCTTTCCCAGGGTTTGCAAAAGGGGACGGAGATGTTACTCGTTGTATGTGATCTTCTTCATCAGCCAAAGCGCACCGTGGAATAACTAACATTAGATACAGGCATCAGAAGATATTGGAAAAGTCGCTGCGGGGATCATCCAGGTAATTCGACCATGTTTCGAGCCACGACGAGCTCTGCTAACTACTCTCACAAGAATCATGAGAGATACACCCACAAGACCGTAACTGTGGCAGGCGGAAGCTATACCATGGATGAGATCAAAAACGCATATAAAGAGGTCATGGGGAAAACAATGCCATCTGTTCCAGCCATTTTGGCATGGCTAGCTCTCAAATTGAGCGCCGGCGTGCAGCATGTGTAAGTCCATGTCATTTACATCCTAATTATTGCTCTTCCTGACTTGGCGCCTAGAATTAAAGATACAGAGAGAGTTCACCAGGCGAGAGTCAGTGGAGGATACCCGACACTGGATGAAGAGATCGAGTTGGCCAAAACTGCATGCGAGATGCAAGATTTCCGCACGTGGCTCATTAAGCGTAAGGAAAAGCAATCTTGACACACATAGTATTGCGCACGAGATTTCACCATAATAGATGGCCATTTTATTTTTAATGGTTTTTTTTTGTAATTATGCTATATAAGACCCAGATTATACTAAAATACTACAAAGATGTGACGGGAATCAAGTCAAACGTAATCAGTGTCCCCTTTACAAGCGTTCCTTGAACACTGCCCGCCTTTCCCTTAGTATATAAAGACAGCTTGATAAAGATATCAGGCACCTCCCCATTTGCTTCCGACATCTCTTCCTCCGTAAAAGCTTCCTTGGTACCCTGGTAGAGGAAGAAATGCCTTTGGCCAAATTCCGGGTGAGCAGGTGCCGCAGCTTCCCACTTGTATCGTGTGACATTGCTAGATGGGCTCTCTTTAACACCAGGGTTGTTGAAAATGGCGTTGTAAAAGGGAACCATGGTGTCCAAGACTTGTTCATCCTTGATGAAGAGAGAAATCCCAGCGACGCCAACTACGCCTGATGGCTGAGACGTGTTCTCTGGCGTAAGAGGAGCTCTGAGAGATCGTGGAGTCCGATCAAAAGTCCAGAAAGGCTGTTGGTTGATATGAATTGGGCCTTTGTAGTCGTCAAAGTTAGGTATAGCATTGGCCCATATCCTCTTTGAGCCATCTGCCATTGTCCTAAATCCAGGTTCTGGATCGAGGTACTTGATTCCAACCTGAGAGTCTTCGATTCTGGCTTGGACAGCACGGAACTTCTCTTCAGATTTGTTTGAGCCCTCTTCTTCGCGACTTAGAATGGTGTGGGCCCAGTGGATGATTTGTCCATCGGGCTGCTTTCCCCACGGGTGCATGGCCCTATGTTGAGGGTTCAAGCCATCAACGAAAGCAATCAGCTCGAGATAGACGCCATCTTCAAAGACGACAATCTTGTTCTCAGTCATGCCGCCCTCATGCACGCCTCCATCAAGGATAGTAAAGGCATCTGACAGCCATTGCGGAAGTGAAATGAGTTGCGAATGAGGAATCAAAAGAATAACATGGTCGAAAACAGATTCTGGGGCAGATTGTGAAGCCATGATTGCTTTTAATTTCTTTTTACATTCCTTCTCTGTTTCTACGTGCAAGTCAGCCTTATAAGTCACCCAAACGGATATTATCGCCAGCTTCTAAATCGCCGCCGGAGTTTTAAGCTTATGTTGCCTCAGCTCCGGTAGCCTCGGCTGAGGAACCGAGCACGACTTACTGCGAGCACTAGCATAACGGCGCTTTAGTGGGATGCTGCGGAGTTCAAATTACCTATTTTGTCATGCGAGCAGGATCCTACTTCATAGTCCTCTGTCTCTTTACTTTATCATTCGTCCGGCAATCCGATGATTGCTATTGGACTTTCCTGTATTTAAACCCCAACCCCTCCTTGCATCCTTTATTTTCATAACGTGAGTTAGTCGGTGACCAAACAGTTTCAACGTGTAAGCGTTAGTTGAGCAGCTCAACTAGTGTGAGCTGACATACCACTCTCCACCACAGCTGTTGAGTCTCGCTAGGCGCTAGAGTTGTAGAAAGAGTTGCTATGAGTTCTCAATAACTTATAGTAGGTCTTTACTATTTGAAAATAAGAATTTGTGTTGCTGTCAATATCCTTGTGACAAACAAAGCTCGAAGGATTTCCTGAACCCTCAAGAAACAAGCAACGTGCGGCCTATTTATTAGCCCGTTTAGACATGTCATTCTTACATCGCGCCTCCAGCGGTCCGAAACTTCAAACCCGAACTCGGCTCACGCGTACCAAGTCGAGTTACCAAGTCGGTGTTAAAGGAGTTTGATCAACTTCATAATTCCGGCTTAGAAATCTTCTCCGAAAAAGATGTTTGCACAGACAAACTAATGTCTCTTCTGTGAGGTAATATAAATTGCATGCTTCCTCTTGTGAGCAGATGTCATCGCAACTCGCCAAAGTGAAGCGCCTCCCAAGTATTCTCACCTCGCCATGTCAGCTCAATCTATCCTCTTGCGCAATGCTACCATCTTGGTGCCCGGTCCAGCCGGGGGTAAACCAGTCGTACCGCTTCGAAGCCACTCACTGCTCATCGAGGGAAACAAAATTGCTCGCATCGCGACTCATATAGATGCCCCGTCTGATAAGACGCAGGTGATTGACTGCACCGGCAAGATTGTATCGCCCGGATTCATCGATACGCATCACCATGTGTGGCAGACGCTGCTCAAGGGACGGCATGCGGATCACAGCTTGTTGGAATATGTGCCTACTGGCAATATGCAGTCGTTCAACTATACCACCGAAGACATCTTCTGGGGCGAGCTAGGAGGATGTCTCGAGGCGCTGGATGCGGGAACGACAACGATAGTCGACCACGCTCACATGAACTATTCTCCAGCTCACAGTAAAATTGCCAATACTACTTTCTGTTTTGCCATGGGCTAATAGACATTAGGCACAAATGCCCTTGCCGCAACCGTATCATCAGGAATCCGCTCCCACTTTTGCTATGCGCTTATGAACAAGGTAACTCAGTGGGAGCCCGAGCTCACGATGAATACAGATTTCCTACCGAGCTGGGCAGTTGAACAAGTTGAAGAGCTCATCAAGGCCGGCCCCTACGGCAATGGCCGAGTCAACGTGGGGCTGGCATTTGACGCCTTGTTCCTCCCGACGGAGATTGTTGCCGATCTGTATAAACGGGTTCGTCAAGCTGGAGCAAAAGTTATCACCACACATTACGTGCGTAATGCCGTTTTTGGTAGGTTTTTTATTCTTCAATCATTCATTGCTTTTACAGGCTAACAGTGATGAGGCCAAAATTCGGCGGTGGATGCACTTGAGAGACATGGAGTTCTTGGCCCAGACATTATCCTCTCGCACGCGAACCAGCTCTTGGACTCGGACGCAAAGAAGCTTAGCGATGTAAACGCCGCCATTTCTTCAACGCCGGATACCGAGATTCAGATGGGCCTCGGCTACCCGGTGTGCTTCCGAGACGACACCAGCGCCATCAGCTCTCTCGGAGTCGACTGCCACAGCAACAATGGATCCAGCATCGTGAACCAGATGCGACTCGGGCTGCAGGCTGAGCGAGGAATCCGAAATCACGCCATTCTTGAGACAAGCAAAGCGCCCAGACATCTCTCCCTGTCCGTGCAAGAAGTCTTTCGGCTCGGTACCATTGGCGGCGCGAAAGCCATCGGCATGCAGGACCAGCTCGGATCTCTCGAAGAAGGCAAACTAGCCGACATTGTCATCTTTGATGGCCTTAGCCCCAGCATGATCTGCGCTGCTGAAGAAGACCCCGTGGCAGCAATTGTCCTGCACTCTTCTACCGCGGATATTGAGACCGTCATTGTGGATGGAAGAGTTGTGAAGCAGCAGGGCAAACTCGTGCCCGTTGAGCTAGATATGACACTATCAGATTTCAAGCCTGCCAAGGCGCGATTAGAGTGGTCTGATGTGGCTAAAGAGCTTTTGCAGAGTCGCCAGCGCGTCATTGAAGCAGGTAAAAAGAGCTGGGGAGGCGATTTAGAGAAGGCAGTGGGGGGCGTGATGAAGGCATTTTACGTTGATCCGAAAAATGTGATCTAAGTAACATTTGTATCAAGACGGGTTGATCATATGAGGGTTGGTGGCAGCAAGCTGGAAGAAAATATCTAATGTAACTGTAAGGAAATACCCTGTCATCTCTGCTCAATAGTATAAGCAAGCATCTGTGAATAAACATCTTCCTATCATAACATGGGATTCTATCTTAATTTTCCTTACCTTGCGGCCTGTTTCAACTATACATCCGAAAACGCCGGTGATATCACCATCCAAGAGGAGTTGAATTCTAAACATGTTTGCACTAGACAGTCTATACTCGTGGTTTTCAACTTGATCGAATAACGTGAGTTCCCTCCGCAGGCTCCAAGACTAGCCACTGGCAGGCAAGATCCTTCTTCTCGTTGTGTTTCCTCAGAGTAGCGATAATCTGGTTGGCAATGTCCTCAAAATTGGACACGGCGAGGGCCAAGATGGTGGGGCCGGCGCCGGAAAGGCATACGCCGAGGAATCCGGGCGTGGTCTTGGGCGACATGGATTGAACAATTTCGTTCAGACCAGGAATGAGGGTCTGGCGGTATGGCTGGTGGACTCTGTCTTGCATAGCCAGGTTGATGAGTTCAGGATCCGGTGGCGATTGACCAAGGGCAACGGGAAGCAGGGCTATCCGCTGCAGATTGAATACCTAGGCGGCCACAGAGTCAGTCATGGAAGCAGTTATTGCCTCGTATCGCTCTACTTACGACATCGGTACGCTGGTAGTTTGGTGGCAAGACGGCTCGGGCGTCGTGGGTGGGCACGATAAAGTCCGGAATGATGGCCACGGCCTTGATCTCCTTGTTCCACGGAAATTTGATGTGGTGACCGATGCCATTGGGAGGCTCTGGGGGCCTCTTGCCAGTATCGACGCCTCCCGCCGGGTTGGGCAGCACTTCACTCAACGGAACTTCGACTCTGGAGGCATCCTCGGGCTTCAATGGCATGAGGTACGTTCCAACAAATCCTCCAAAGAGCGCCGCGCCGACGTTGTCCGGGTGTCTCTCTGTAGTCAAACAAGAAATCGTGTTAGCGCAGGGTCCGTACAAGAATCCAAGCTTTCTCCTCAACGCAACAGAACACCAGTAGACGCACCAATCATCAAGCAATAGTCAAACAGCCGCTCCTGGGTCAAGTGGTGCAGCTTCCCAACTTCCTTGCCCAGCTGGACACCAGCCACCACAGCCGCTCCCGAGCTTCCCAGCCCCCTCCCCAGCGGAATCGGGTTCTTGATATGGACGTGCGTCTCGACGGGGAAGCTGCGCTGGTCGTGGCATCGCAGCACGTAGAGCGCAACCCTGGTGATGAGGTTGTTCTGCGGATCCAGGCTAATATCGTCGGAGCCTTCACCCTGGCCCTCGTACGTCACTCTGCAGTTGAGAGGGTGTTCGGACCTGGTCTTGGAGCGATCAATCGTGACATGCAGCTCGAGATACACGGAGAGCGCAAGGCCAATGACGTCGAAGCCGGGCCCGATGTTTGCGCTGGAGCAGGGCGTCTTGATCACGAAGGACTCCATTGTGGTTCGTTTCTTCGTATTCGCCCGTCTTGGCTCGCTGCGAGTATCCGAGGCTGGAGGGGCAGCAGGAGAGGCGGCAGAGCAAGGAGGAGCGTGCGGTGCGTCGTCTGCGTCTCAATCGCCAAGCAAGTGTCGAATTGGGGTCTTGTTGAAAGGTGCAGAGTCGAGAAAATGTTTGTTGGCTTGCTGGCGCAAGTAGTCACGCCCTATCATGGCAGCCCGATAACCGGAGCTCTCTAGAACGGCGTGCACTTTTTTGATGGCGGGGCAGGCCGCATGCGTGTAGGTGTAGGTACATAGGGAGAGAATTCCGAAATATCACCCTAGAACTTTACTAGCAATGCTATCGCGATAATTCTACTCTAGAGACATCATTTATGTTATGCACGTGCCTAGATACTGTATTTACACATTAGCCTATTGGGTAGATAGTAGATGCAGCCTATTGGGTAGATAGGAGATGCCTACGTTAGCTGCGGTCTATGGCATGTACAGGAGAATGTATCTTGGCTCATGAAAGAGTCATATCCGTCTTCCGGCGCTCAGGCTTCAATGAGCTTTGCATTTACTTTTGCCGCAGAAACGACAATGCTAGGTAGATCGCTATGAATTAAATATACAATGAAGGAAAAAGTGCATCAGTCTTGGCATGGCGAGTTTGCGGTAGGTAAGCGTAAGATGGTTGCAACCACCAGACAAACGGTCAGCACCGCTTTGAGACAGATCACACCAACTTTAGGGTAGATCATCACCATTGTACTACGTGCTTGGCGTTATTGAATAGCCCATCTTGAGAGTTCCAATTTGTATTACAAGTTGCATGTTACAGAAATATTTCCCTTTGCAGTTCACGATTCGCAGCTAGTAACGTATCACGAAAGTTGTAGAGACCCTTGATGTTTACGTGAATTAGGTGCCGGTGAATGAATTCTCATAGAGCTTCTTAAGTATAGGTATCTGCAGTAACACACAATTCAAAGCCTTTGTTACTACGCAAAATAGGAAGAAAATTTTTTTTTGTTTTTATTGTATAGAATATATAAAAGAACAATCTCTTTTCAGCAAATTTTACTATATACAAGCTATCCTGCAAAATGGTGAGATGCTCTTCTATGTCAGCTTCTTGCATGCGTGTAAGTAGGCTCAGCAACAGGGTACTGAGCACATTGCCAACGATTTAACCATATTTTTATACAATGGTACTCTCGAGAAATAAACCCTATTCGGTGCTTCGAGCGAAGATGCACTTGTCACCGTACAAAGGAGATAACCTTGAATCATGACAGACGCCTCTCGGCTTACGTCGTCCAGTATTCACCAAGCCACCTAGTCCGGCGTACTCCATTACCAGCAACCTCCCGCCAGCCCTATCCTTTGAATCCTCCTAAATCATAGCCAAGGACATGGATGCGCTGTCGAGCTGGACCGGCCCCCCCGGGTCAAAATGTCGGCCGCAGCGGCGTTGCACCAACACGCATTGCCTGACTGGGAAGTAATTCTGGGTGACGCAGCAAGCTATTCGACGTTGCTCCGCAGCGGACCTACAACAAGCGTTAGATCGAGTGGATGCCCGGCACTGGGTAGATGCTGGTCTGTTTTGCCCGCATTTTCCTGCTTGTCGTTTTACTGTACTGCCTACTTGACTAGTTTTCATGCACTGAGGTTCGTATATGCCGGCACAGCTCCATCACGCGGTGGCAGTCCGCGACCTCGGTTGTGTTGGTAGGTAGGGAGATGTTATCTAGAAGGACTTGGGCTAGGAATGTGATTCTCGAAGAACAAAGGAATCAACGGTAGGGGGAAAATAAAATAAAATAAAAATAAGGATAAAAATTCAAAATCACAGTCGTCTCGTATTACAATCCGTTGGGCTTCAACTACATCCTACTCGTACATGCAATGCACGCTCCCGACCCATCTTTGGCGTCGTCTACACATGTAGTCTAGACAAACCGCCAACCGTCCCATTTCTCGTACCAGGTGCATCACAAGGCCGGTACACTGCGTCATCAATACGAGCCGGATCGACACAGCGTGCGCTACTTGCGGCTGTGGCGATGCTCCAGGGTCCCTGTCCGGGGAAGGGATTGGGCGATTGGGAGGACCGTCGTTGACAGGAAAAAATCCCCCGATGGTCCGGTAGGGTCGCTTGCAGAAGATGGGCTGCTAGCAAGAAGAACTAACTGGAAGAATGCATCTCTGAGGGCTGAAGAGGAGACATGATGGACTGAGAGTGAGCGGCTCGACTGAGTGACGAGATGCACTAGGACTGGAGGAGCAACGGATGGACGCCTCTGACAGCCATCTCTAATGCAGAGGCAAAAATACGAGCTTAATTGCAAAGGTGAATTCCCGTCTCCTATTTTCCTCTCTTCTTTCGGTGTAAAGCTATTACGAATGAGAATCTCCGTGATACCGACTCCGTGCACACGCAGCAACGCAACCCATCGGAGATGGACTTATAGCCCAGCAACACAGAAACACAGCATCAAATGGCCCGTGCCGCACGTACCACGTAGGATCATGTACCAACCCGATGGATGGATCTCTTCAGGGCTTGTTGTCCACCGTTCAACTGCCACAACAAACAAGTTACGAGCCGCTTGTTAGGGTCAGGCTGCTAGCTGGCTCAAGAGAGAAATACTACGCACCAGGGCAGGGATGTTGTGTTGCTATTTGTGGATTTGTGGACCAGAATCGGCATCAGATGATCGGACACGAGCAAAGAGCAGGATGATGCCTGAGCGCAGTTGACTGGTCACAACGATTGCTACCCATTCTACCTCCCGATTAACTGCTTGTAGTACTAGTAGTATCTGGTTATTTCCCATGTCATATGTAAGTATACTTCCGAAGGGAAGGAAGAGGGGCTTGGCTAACTGGCATTGCAGTAGGCGGGAGGACTTGGCGATGGATGGATACCACGATCCATCGGAGCAGAAGGAAGAGGCGACTGAGTTTTTTCGACGGGCAAGTCCCAAAGCGGCCATGACGGGCAAGTTGCTCTGAAGTATAAAGACCAGAGTCGTCCTCGCCAAAGAGTCCAATTGCTCTGAACCATCATCTTCAGCCTTCATCACAACAATCAACCACTCAACCATCTTCAGCACATTCGCTTCACTACTCAGCTTTATATAATATCTATACCTCATCAACTCAACAACTCAGTCAAGATGCAGTTCTCCAGCCTCTTCAAGCTTGCTCTCTTCACCGCCGCAGTCTCTGCTGATACCGGTACGATGGACTATCACACATATTCGGATCGCTCATTTTGCTAACATGAACTCATCCACACAGTCTCGTACGATACCGGCTACGATGACGCTTCTCGCTCCCTGACTGTCGTCTCTTGCTCCGACGGCGCCAACGGCCTCATCACCAGATACCACTGGCAAACCCAGGGCCAGATCCCTCGCTTCCCATACATTGGTGGTGTCCAGGCCGTCGCTGGCTGGAACTCCCCCAGCTGCGGCACCTGCTGGAAGCTCACATACAGCGGCAAGACCATCTACGTCTTGGCTGTTGACCACAGCGCTGCTGGATTCAACATTGGCCTCGACGCCATGAATGCCCTGACCAACGGTAACGCCGTTCAATACGGACGTGTCGACGCCACCGCCTCTCAGGTCGCTGTGAGCAACTGCGGCCTCTAAGTCATCAAATTTGTCCGCTCGAGAACAAAACTTTTGGGTTTAGGCCTGGTTTGACCATTATGGAATTGCATCGCATCATTGGATATGGCAGGAACTGCATTGGGATTGATTTTTACTTTCATTTTTATATCATGGGTATACGGGAATGAAGACTTGTTGGATGTGTAATGAGCATTAAACGAGTTAAACGGCAGACGCTACTACTAAATTATACACAATACCCTCATCGGGCATCATTACTTTTAGTATTTTGATCATATCGTACTGAGAGTGAAATCGCTTATGACAATACTAGCCGAGAAATGGTGGATCACGGAAATGGCGGAGCAATGTAAGCAGATCGACGTGGCCGCCAGATTCGACAAGATGGAGATGCATTAGCCGCAGCGTGAGGTGTAAGCTTTCGTCATTCATATTCGGACAGGGTAAATATATGCATAGTTGCTCGTCTAGCCAGTCTTGCGGCCGCATTGTGACAGCAGTCACCTCCGCCATGTCCGTATTATGAATTCAAGATTTGTATCAATTTTACGCCAATTGCTTTCATACACTCATGCTTGATGTCAATTCCCGCTACTCTCCAACCCACTCGGCCTCGATAAACCACATCCTCGACTTCTCCGGCTGCCATATACCGTTAAACTGGAACCGCTCATCAGCGCGTCTAAACAGTTCTCTCCAGTCATCCGGCTCCCTCTCCCTCGCGTTCACCGTGACTTGCATAAACAGATCCAGCGTCCTCATTGTCCTATCCTCAATGTACCCCGCCGTGCCCGGCTCCGGAAGGGCCCCATCGTTGATAATAACCTTTGCGCCCCGCCTAAGCGAAGGGATGAGCGCTCTGAGAATCTGCAGGCAGTATTTGTCAGAGAAGCCGTGGAAGATCATGCGGAAGAAGTAAGCGGCGGCGAGGACGGGCTGCGGGGTGAAGAAGTCGTGCGTGGTGAGCTGGACTCTGGGTTGGAGGTCTGTGGGGACACTGCCGATGGTTTCGGGAGTGCGCATGCCGGCGGTGTCTTGGACGATGAAGGAGAGGTTGGGGAAGGCTTGGGCGAGGGCGAAGGAGATGTAGCCTTGGTTGCCGCCCATCTGAGGGACGCGTAAGTCAGTGATTGTTCTGTTATAGGTTCCCAGCCTTGGACTTACATCGACGACTGTGCCATCTTGGGGGAGCTTCTCCCAGGGATATCCCTTAATCACAGTCTCCATGGAATACCCCTCTCCGCTACCATGAGCCTGCATGGCCAGATTATATCTCTTAGAAAACACCTGATCCTGCTGAATAAAGTCAAACCACGGGAGATCCTGCTTATACGCGAGATTCACCCCAGTCTCGGTCGACTCCTCGCTCGCCGGCCACTTCTTCATCGCCGGGATGACATGAGCCACCGGCAGCCACAAGTCGTTGCACATGAAGCCAACCCAGCTCCGCAGGGGCGCATCTTCACGAATAAGCCGCGAAGTGCGGGAATGCGCCACGAAGCCCTTTTCGGGCTCTACGAAGATGCGGTTGGTGATGGCGTGGCGGACGAGGCGGCGGAGATCAAGGACTGAGAGTTGAAGACCGTTGTTTAGCTCTTTGACTTTGAGCGTGAGGTATTCGTAGGAGACTTTGCCGATGAGGGGGACGGCGTCGGCGATTTTGAATTCCCATATTGATTGGAGAGAGAGGGTGTTTACACACTATGCCCGTTGATGTTAGCTCGACTGTTGAATTTGGGAAAAAGTCAAGTTGCTGCTGCGTAGCCAATGAATCACTTGTATACTCACATCCCACGCCAAGTATCTCAACCCTTCCTTAGGACCTAAAGCAATATCATGAAGCTCCTTAGTCAGGGATATAAGCTCCAACCGAGCCTTGTACGGCTCCTCGTCATCCTGAGAAATGGGAAACTCGGCAAGCCCATGCTTATCAAACGATGCGGCATCCAGACCCTTTGCAGTAAGGTGGTCGGTGATAACCTTCGTCTTGGCGGCAATCTCCTGCGAGAGAAGCGTCATCCGCTGGACGGATTGAGATGCCATTGTTCAAATCGGAACTGTGCGTCAAAGTGAGGCTGGCTGATAGGATGAGAGCTGGACCATCTCGATTGAGTCGAGGGATTAAATCCGCCTCCGATTCCATTGCATCGCGTCTGGATGTCTCCACCCCTCCCTCTTATTCTGCAACAGGGTGCTGTAAAAGAGAACATGGGCTGAGGCCACAAGTGGACGGATGGATCGATCTAGGCGCTCTGTCGCCTATAGTAGTGTAATCGAAATTCTCAGCTCCGCAGACGCGGGGAACTTCTGATTGCACTAAATAAAAGAGCGCGGTCTATTATACTATTAACTTCTAATTTTGTATGTACGTAAGCGTATGCTGCTTGAGTTGTGTCTCTATTCTTGTCTTGAGTATCGTGAAGGAAAAAATGCCTTCGTCTTCAACTTGGTTTCTGCCCTATAACAATATTAAATGGCATGTAGCCATGCTGACTGCCGTCTGTTAGTTCCTTGCGGACATCCACTAGATAGACTTCCAGCTCGTCCAGTGTCCACTTGAGCCCCCGCGTAAAGGGTCTCGCGGCAACTCCATACAGCGCATCATGAATCATGCTCCTGTTGTAGAGCCCAACCATCTTCAGCCGGGGGTCTTTCGGCCATGTGCCGATCGGGATCTTGAAGGGTATCTCGGTGACGTCGATAAAACCCGCCTCGGTGACGTTCTTCTTGTTGTGTCGCATAGCTAGCAGATCGACGTTGAAATGGACGAGCGCGCTTTCCATTGTTTCGTAGAAATTTTGAATCATGTTGCCTTCGCGCAACGTTCCGTCGTCGCACTTGACTTGGAATTTCAGTTCTTGCAGCTCGATCCATCCGCCAGGCTTCAAGGCTCTATTGGCAGAAAACGTTAGTGTCATGTTACCAATATGGGATTTTTGATGAGGCAAATTCCAAGAACGGCTTACCGATATGCCCGCGATAATAATGTAGGCCAGTCCCGTATTGAAGAGGTCATATGCCGTATGTGAATATAGTCTAGAGACTGTGGCGGTATCAACCACTCTGCCTCGGCATCATCAACCATGAAGGAAACATTCGGCGGCACCCATTGCGGCTGGATTGGACTCAGGTCAATGCCTTGAATATCTGCTTCCGGGTATTCGTCTCCCACTAGAAGCAATCGCATGGTTACTTATGACTGGTCATATCATGCTCTCTCTTGCCAGGCTCTGAAGCGAGAAAAAGAACAAACAGCAGTTTGCGCAAAGAGTGCCGTAAAATCAATGAGAGTTTCTTACTTACTGTCAATAGCCCAGATGCCCGTTCCCGTCCCAACATCCAGAATCTTCTGCGGGTGGTCCAGCGGCGCATAGTGAAGCTTCCCCTGGCAAAGATGCACAATCATTGCGTGCTTCATGTCCTCCCTCTCCTGCTCCGGCTCGTCGTTGGGGAACTGGTATCGCCCCTCTTGAAACCGGTGATAGCGCCTGTTATTCTCGAATTCGTAGTCGCGCACAGTGCTGCAGATTGATGTCGAGGCTCGCGACGCTGAATCGCTCTCGTAGCCGGCATCGCTGGCCGCATCGTCGGCTTCGATGGTTGCATCGGGATTCAAATCTGCGATAAACGGCGCCGAGCCCGGCGAAGCTGCTACCTCAGCAGGGGAAGACCCGGCGCGAGGAGAGGACCCGATGCGAGGCTTCTTTGCCGGCGTCGAGGTTGGTGACGGCGACGCTTCGTCCTTTGAATGCTTGGCGACGGCAGCAGCAGCTGTTGTGTCGGCTGTGTCTCTTGTATCTGCGGGTTTCTCCATCGTCGCATTCGCATCCAGCTACGACCAGGCCTCTGTTGAAGATTTCCAGACAGTTGGATCGGCACGCGCAAGGGAGGCAGTGGAAACTGCTCACGATTTGTTCTCGCTAGAATTGCGACGGAGATTCCATTTGTCCAGAATAGGAACAACCATCTCGCCTTAGTCAGTCAGCGCTTGCGCTCACTCGCGCCCTCACGACTGTTGGCAGGGCACACGAACTAAACGCTAATCACGGTGGCGGAGCGTCCCCGGTTCTCCGCAGAGTCTCCAAATTAGCAGCATGAAGTTCCATTTTTAAAGGTACAGACTGCATGTGGTCCTTTGCCCAAAACGGCACGGGCCGTGACCTGGTTTCTGGCTGTACTTTGGGCACGGATTTACTTCGAATACATGTATCAACTTCTCAAGCCAGAAGGTTGGGACTGGCATCTTGAGCAGCCTTCTTTGCTCTACACGACATGGCGGAGGATGTCGATGGCCACCCCCAAGCTAATTCCTAAGCCCGCGCCAGCTACAGCTCCTCCTGTGACTCGAACTATACTGGCAAGCACACCCGTACCGTATCCTCCAGCTGCAGCGCTCTGCACAGTGGCAAAAGCGCCCCTGGCAGCGACGTTGCCGGCAGCTGATTGGGCTCCTGACGCAACCGACTCTGTAATTTGAAAATCATTGTCAGTATATACAAAGTGCGATGGTAAAAAGGACTGGACCAAGCTGTAAAAGATGCTCTTACTGGCGGCAATGCCTCTCGGAGTAAAGCCCAGCACTCTGGCTACGCCCATGACCGGGGCGGTGATGATCCTAGGAGCAACCATCATGAGTATTCCAGCGACAACTCCGGGATTCTCCTTGGCAAAATTGGCAGTCTACATCGATATTAGTAGGTCGCTTCATAACCATAGACCATAAAGTGAATCTGTCACCTACTTCCTGAGCTGCAGCTTGCGCACCATTTTTTACGGCTTCAATATTTTTCTCATCCTTGACCCATTCTTCGACGTGGCTAGCCTTATCTTTGGCATTGGTAATGATTCCTTCAACATGAGGTCGAGCCTTCTCAGCCGCCTCGCCTACAACTCGCGCCGCATTGCCTAAAGCTTTCTGCATTTCTTCTCCTGCTCGGTTAATGTTTTCCGGAGTGAAGTGCTGAGTTATTTTTGTTAGCTTGATATTGAATAGATGTGATAAAAAGAGCACATGCCTGGTGAATTTGCTGCGCAGCATTACCAGCGTGCTTTCGAATCTCTTCGGTCGCTCGGTTGATGTTTTCCGGAGTGACATGCTATTGTCTTCATCAGTTGGATATCAGGCAGCTATAAAATAAGGGAACAAAAACCTGTTGTATCTGCTGCACAGCATGATCAGCGTGCCTCCGAAGTTCTTCAGCTGCTCGGTTGATGTTTTCGGGGGTGATGTGTCTGGCGGCCTCTCGCTGGACAATAGCCAAGCCTTGGCCGAGCTGATCGAAGAAAGACATATTGGCTTCTCTCTTCTCTCCGTGCTGGGGGTAGAATATGTAAACTAATTCACCGTATGAAATTATCTTGCGGAGGGGACCAAACAGGGGAGGAAGGATAAAGCTCTGGGCTCTGGGAGCTTGCAGGCTACATGTGCCACTTAATGTTTTGGGCAGCACCACCAAACAAAACGCCAAGGTGCATGCAGCCGGAGTTACAGATAAAAGTCACAGGGCAAGGGATATAATTTTTCCTTGCTGCCCTCACCCCGTGCATCTGCGTGTCGTACAGTTGGCTGCACCCGTATCAGTACATGCACAGATTAATGCACGTAAAGGCCGGAACGTTGATGCAGGAGGCCTACAGTGTGGCAGCATACTAGTAGTACTAGATACCTGTACAGGCAGGTGCAACATGTACATGTGCATGTACCTAGGTACGTACGCAAGGGGGTCTCCTGCTGAGTGAGTACATGTACATGTAGCACGATATGCAGGGCCACTAGATTGCTCAGAAACAGAATAAAAGAAGGGATGATAATGATTAACAAACGTATATTTTCCTGTTCCACTGTGAAGCTGTTCAGATTCCTGCTACTTCATACCTGTACATAATAATGTGTGCTGCTACATTCCCATCTGCCCTGATGTAAAGTTTAAATGCCGGTTTGGTTTGAGATATAATTATATATGTTCACCTAACATTAAGAGAGCGACTGACTGTGAAAGCTGCTTCTTGAAATCCCCCAAACCTGTTCTGAGGTACGTCCTACTGCTTTGATGGACCTGCTTCCGACTGCTCTGCTTTTGATGGTTCTCCGTTTGGTGAATCTGCTTTCGGCTTGCCTCTCAACCAAGTCCAAGCTGTGCCAATGCTTCCAGCGCCGGCAACGGCACCTCCAACAGCCTGAGCCGTGCCAGTCAAAGCTGCGACGCCGTATCCCCCAGCTGCAGCGCTTTGAAACGTGGCGAAAAGACTGCCGGCAGCAACATTGCCAATGCTTGCTTGCAGGGCCGATGCAATAGAAGCTACAATTCAGTCAATAGTGAGAAGATGCACTTCATCCAGTGTGGATACTAATATGACGGGGAAAGTTGGCGGTTCTCTTACCTCCAGCTATTCCTGCCGGCGTAAATCCCACCATTCCAGCTATTCCCATGATTGGAGCCGTGATAAGAGCGGGAGCAGCAATGACAGCAACTCCTGCTCCGGTGACCACAGTAGCTGCAGCAAGCATGGGATTCTCTAGGGCTGCTTTGCCAAGCTATTTGATGACAGTGTTAAAAGGATGTGATGTCCTTGGAAGCTCGCGGATAACGTTTCGTGTACTCACTCGTTGAGCTGTGGACTGAGCTCCATCAGCAGGGCTCTGAGCCGAAGAATTTTGCGCCCCGTTCATATCTCCAATTTTTGAAGAAGTAGCTTCAAAGTTCGTTGTCGTATTCGCTGATGTTTCAGGATGATCTGGAGTCGCAGCGGAAAGGCTCGAGCATTCGCCGATGATGTCGTCGTCAGTGATACTATTATATCTCTCTACATTATTTTCTGCTTCGACATAAGCATCTTCGGGGCAAGTTATTGAAGTTTCGGAGCGAGGATGAATGTCGCGAGCCTCTTCATCAGGCCGGTGAATAGTATTGGGCAGGCTGGCCGCATTAGCATGCCTGGACGCCTCCCGTTGGGCATTTACTAGACCGCCTCGGATGCGAGAAATAGAAGACATGACTCTGTTTGCCTGTTTTGGAGAAATACCAAGAGATGGAACATAAGAGTGAATAAGTCTTGTATGGCTGTTTATTTGAAGCACAATGGAAGTTGACAAAATGGAAAAGCTCGAAAAGCTGCCTAAGCGATGTATGCAAGTGAGCGCAGAGCTTAGGCGGTAATGTCTTGAAGACCAATCGCGATCAACTTGAAACTGCAGTATGCAAGAAGAGAAACCCTTTTTGTGACAGAGTCGGTCTCATATTTGATCCTACAGGTCTTGGTTTTGGGCCGTGCGATTGGCCACAACCGTGTGCTGTACAGGGGCGCTTATCTGTGCCATGCGGGAGGCCTACAGAGTTGAGGATACAGACATGTATACAGGTAAATATGCACATAAATTATGGATAAGTCAAGTAACCAATAGAAGCATTATGAAAAGAGGAATTGAATGCTTCTGTGGTCCAATTAACTGATCGCCAACATTACGGTTTATTTCTTAGTAGCACGCCTCACATATTCTCCTCGCTGTCCTCGCCGTCTCTTATAGGCGGATTCCGATCAGACCAGGGTTCGAAAACTTGAGCGCCTTTGAGCAGCCCTCCAACGGTCTCCCAAATGACCAAAAACGCAAACAGCGACATGACTATTGCCATGAAATCCGTCGTAGACAAGCCATTATTCGTTGCGGGCAATGCAAGCAGAACAATGGCAACGACCAAACGCATACCGATCCGAGGTGTCTTTGACATAATCAGACAATCTTCGTCGTGCGTACGATACAACATGCCGTAGATCCAGAGACAGAACATGCCAACACCTAGACCTCCTCCTAATAGCCATCGCTGCCCGTCTTCAAACTCATCCAGCCGTGTACTGATGGCTGCAATGTGACCGCCAATGAGGAACGACGCGGACAACGGCAAATGAAGCAGAAAGAAGCCAAACGCCGTCCAAGCAGATCGCCGAATTGGATGTGTTGCCTCCAAGCTTCCATCACCGCTGACGTATATCCAATTGAGACAAAAGGCAATGATGAGGGTAAAAGCAGCTTTGGCATAGCCCTGTGTCAAGCCCACCCCAGCTGGATCTCCAACAATGACGCTGTATACAAACTCGCCGAGGATAATGATGAAGAATGCAGCCATGCGGTCGATTTCGTGAGCAATGTCAACCGCCGTGCTGTATGTAAGCTTTAGCTTGCGCTTGATCCACGGGCTTAGAGTGAGGGACCAGGTAAGCTCCTGATAGAAGATGACGACAGCGACGACGGCGATTTTGGCCTCAATGCTGACGTCTTCAAAGAAGAGCGGAATGGTAATGAACAGACCAATGAACATGAAGAAGGCCAAAATGCGAGCCTGCGCGCGATGCTGATAGCTGGCGAAAGAACATACAAGAAACGCGCACATGGTGGTGAATCGGGCAACGACGTAGGCGCCAGCAGTCGTTTGCATCGCCGACAGATCTTCGTCAACGAGGCGGGCATTGTTCGCGTACAGAACCAAGAGCGCCATGACCCATAAGATGATGAGTCGCTGGAGGAGGTCATCGGTGTAGTACGAGTTCATGATCTCGCGAAGATCGACCCATATATGCCATGCAGGCGCAAAGATGAGAATGTATTTGGCGAGGTGCTGTCCATCTGGATTTTCGGCGAGGTCGTCGCTGAAGTTGGCGACAATGGCAACGTCTGAGTGATGTCTCTGTTAGCAATACCTCTTTTCTTTCAGTTCAAAGGTTGTCACAACTTACACAGTAAATCGAGGAACAGTTCAAAACGACCTGCTTGTCGCTCCTCATCGTTTTCTTTCACGAGTCGCCCATTATGAAACCATTGCAGCGCCTTGGGCCGCTTGATCATATATCGCTCCCCAGCGGTGCTTTCTTGGAGCTCGTTGCAGTTCATGGCGATTGAGCATGGAGTTTAATGCCGTTCCAAGTGACTGTTTCACAGCATTGAGAATTAATCATTACGAATCTATTTTGAAAAAGGGTAATGGGGTATCTCGTCTCTCGCTTGGTAGCTCGCTACTAGACGTGCTAGTTGGAGCTAAAGTGATATTTGGATCTACCCATGTCCGGAATTGTAAGTCAACATTCCAACCTTCAGCAAGAGAAGGCTAAGAGCACGCTAAAGAAGCTGTATGGCTTGCTAATTCTCTGATGGAACCATTGAAACTTAAATTGTTGACTGAAATCAAGTATTAAGCTATTCGCTAAGCATAATCATTGGCTAAAATGTTATCATTTCGTGCTTCATACTCATATCCAATCATGTTAAAAGTCGTTAAAGTGTCATAGACTCATTATATACTCCATTTTCTTAAAGCATGCCAAAATCGCATCCTCAGATTTGCTTGCTACCCGTAGTCTGCAGCAGCCAAACTTGACAAAATGCCACGCTAAATAACGAATATCTCACCATTCAACAGACGAGGATTCTCACCAACCCATATTCTTTCACCAGAAACGCCCCCCAGCGGCAATACTTCTTTTAAGAATCGGTGTGCGCGTTCTAAATTCTTGCTATAGCGGCTCATCATCTGAAATCGACTGAGAATCCAGCGTTGATGAACCTCGTCGTTTGTCTCAAGAGCAACCATAAAGAGCGGCCAAGCAACTCGAATGACAGCTTCAATACCTTGATGTTTATCGGCTTGGATGGCCAAATCAATAATGGCGCTAATATGCGCTTTCGGAACGATTTCTATGCTGGTAGCTATTCCTTTTCCTCGAATTAGGCGGAGAAGTTCTAGCTTGGAAGCATGATAGAGGGGAACAAAGGCGCGAATATTGGCGACTAGGCGATGTGAGCTGTCTGTAGACAGAGAAATGTTTGATGCCACCTCAAGTAGCTCCCCATAACGTTTGTCAATTTGCTCAAAGGCAGCTTCAATTGCGGGTATGCGCTGCCTAAGCTCATTCACATCAAGGCTGGCCAGTGCAGCAATCATGGCGCGAAGCTGCATGCAGGCGCAGAGAAACGCAAAGATGTCTCGATTCTCCACGTCATCCAGCAGTTCTACCTGCGGATATGAACCACCCCACATTGAACGATATAAAGAATTCGAGTATCTATGCAGAGCCTCGAACCCGGGAATAGACGAAGTGTCATTGGGCCCCATGATGGCCTTGATTTCACTGTTGAATTGGCCACCAAGCCCGAAAGTAGCGGCTGTTGAATCACAAAGGGCAATCCAGACGAGCAGCCGGATCACAAACAGAGACAAACCAGGTTCATCTGTTTGACCTTGCAGCTGCTTTGTTCGAGTTAATACTGGGGTCCCCTGCCACCCACGTTTGGATATTTGATCCGAGAGCTTCTGGCACCGATGTTTCACAATCAAGGCAGCTCCAGCCAAGTGGTTTGATAGCCCTGAACAAGATCCGTCACCATACTTTTGCTCATAAACAAGCATCAGGTATAACACGGCAAAGATGGGGTCCAACTCCAACTGCCGACCGTCGTCTGCAGCCCCAATTACATCGGCTAAAAGACCTAGAGCAGCTGAATAGTGTTGAACAGGAGTCCACTTGCTATGACGACCTTGCCCAGTCGCAGGAGTCAGGCTGGCAATGCCATCCGCATTGCTGTTCCGGCGAAACTCAATCTCATTGCCTCCGAGAGCCAACAAGGCATGCATAACCATGGGCTCATCTTCAGCGAGTGTGAATATTATGGAGAAGAGTGAGTAATCAGGATTCTTGGTGTGCTGGATCCTAGCAAACGTCGTACGGAAATAGCGTATCGCCTCATGATCAGCCGAAGTGAGATCCAACGAGCACGCGCTACTAGGAAACTCTGGAAGCCGTGTTGGAAGAGCAAGAGCCCGAGTCAATGCTGCGCGTTGTGCCCAAGTTGGCAATGTCTTGGAGCTCTCAAGTGCTTGCCTATATCCTCGAGACATGGCCAACACGTCATTGTGCTTCATCTTGGGCTCATAGTCACAGAGCCGTCTTAGACGAACGCATCGCTCACATCGCGGCCGCAGTTCGTCACATTTGACCTTTTTGATGCGACAAGTGTAGCATCCGTTTTTGGAGCGGCGGGTCTTTGGACGAGGGCCCGCGGGGGAGTTGGCACGATCCATGTTGAACTCAAGCTCCAGTTTTGTCGGACGGATGGCCCTCAACGATGCTTGACTCAAGCAACAAAATGTCTACCCCTTGATGAAATGGGAGAGGTTGAATCTGAACTGTATTATCAATCTCTTTTGTGGGCCTACGAGATGTCCCCATCTTAAATCTCCAGAAGGCGCCTAAGAATGGAGGCCTGCGAGATGCTGTCCTCGTGCGCCGTCGCTACGGCTGAGTTGCCGACCGTCGGTACGCCTCAGCCGCTCGTAGTACGCCTTGCAGAAGTTACACCAAGGCCTAACAGTTGCTGAGATTTGGGGCTGCTACCCCGCATGACGCCAACAAGCAGCCGATGGTCGCCAAGGAAATGGAGATTGATCTGTTAGAGGCCCAATCAAGTTGGCGAGATAGCACTAGCCAATGGAACGCTCCCACTTTTACGTATCAGAGGATGAAAACAGCCATGTCAGGATGACTTTGAAAAGATATATATTTGTTGATCAATACTCACATCAGATCTTATACTTCCAACTTCAACAGGTTCACAATCTAGCAGAACATAGTCAACATGGGCAGCAAAGTCGATATCGAGCAAGCACGGCATCTTGTCAATTCTCACCTTGACGAGGTGAGCGCGCAACTCCGCGAAGTCAACAGAGCAATCCACGATAACCCTGAACTCGCCTACAAAGAGTTCCAAGCACACGACACAATCACCTCTTTCTTGGAGAAGCAGGGCTTTGATGTAAAGCGAAAGACTTGGGGCCTCGATACCAGCTTCGAGGCCACCATTGGCTCTGGCGGACGTCAAGTTGTTGTGTGCTGCGAGTACGATGCGTTGCCTGACATTGGACACGGCTGCGGCCACAATCTCATTGCCACATCATCTATAGCCGCATTCCTTGGAGCTGCTCATGCTTTAACCAAACTGGGCGTCCCAGGCAGGCTGAGAATTCTCGGAACACCCGCCGAAGAGGGCGGTGGCGGCAAGGCGAAACTGATTACCGCCGGTGCCTTCAACCCCCCCGAGGACGTTGCTGCATCCATCATGGCTCATCCCATGTCTATCCACCGCATGATTGGCTCGGAAGGCAGCCAAGTATCTGGTGTTGCGGGATTGGATCTCATCGCCAGCTTCAAGTTCCGCGTCGAGTTCCGCGGTGTAACAGCACATGCGGCCGGCGAACCCTGGAATGGCGTCAACGCTCTTGATGCTGCCGTTGCCTCGTACAACAACGTGTCGCTTTTGCGCCAGCAGATTCGCCCTGACGAGAGGATCCACGGCGTGATTGAAGTTGGCGGGACTGTGCCAAATGTCATCACCGATTACACGCGCATGAACTGGTATGTCCGAGCCCCTACGACTAAGCGCGGAGCGCTTCTGGTAGAGCGAGTCAAGGCTTGCATGGAGGCGGCTGCAGTGGCAACTGCTTGCAAGGTCAATTATATTCCGTAAGTAACAGATCTCTCGCCATTTCATCTTTCAAACTTACCGATGAATATCTTTCTAACCTGAGAACAGAACGGACACGTACGAGAGCGTCATGTCCAATCCCGTGCTTTGCAAGACATACATCGAGGAGATGGCTGTACTTGGTGAAAAGGTTGATATGAAGCTCCTCGAGAGCTTCAACGCCTCAACCGACATGGGCAATGTCACTCATGTGGTGCCTGGCATCCACAGTGGATTTGGCATCCAGACAGCGCCGGGTGTCTCTCTGCATAGCCGCGAGTTTGCCGCCGCTGCAGGAACAGATGATTCTCACGAGGTGGCAATGAAGAGTGGAAAGGGCATGGCGATGCTGGCTATAAAGGTTCTGGTTGATGATGCAATTGCTGAAAATGCAAGGGTAGAGTTTAACAAGCGATACGATTAAAAGAGTGAAAGGTTCTCACGTATGAATATAATGCATAGAACGAGCGCATATGCATTACGCCTAAGGATTACGCCAATGTCGAAGGATTCATATCAGAGAGCTTCACTCAATCTTCTAAAACTGAGTAGATATTGCCATACACAAACAACTTTGCCAAGCTAGCAACAAGGTTGCAATATCAGACTTTGGGTAGTATGATGTTACACACAACTGAACAAATTTGGGTAGATTCGGACACTGCTCGTGTGCCACAAATTTCTAATACTACTTGCAAAAGAATTCATATCATGCTCAATCGGGCAGCTGCTCGATGTATATTTGCACTGCCTCATCGAACTGTTTGCTCGCTTGGTGTAAGTGATGCCGCTTTATCCAGGATGCCGACAGTTCCACATCTTGTCAACTTCGCGTCCCACGCCTCGCAACCACTCACTGCTTTTTCCTTCCAACAAAAATTTGTAAGACGACAGAAAACACCGCAAAAATAAGCATATCGATCCTTGCCGAGTTGGACGACGAGAAATAAGATCCAGGTTAATCTGCCTTTCCTAAATCGTCTACCGAGATGCCTCGCCCGCTGCCACGACGTGAGAATTCTTCCAATAAGATGCAGCGTAGCATCCCCGTGTTAGGCGCTGCAGCGGGACTTAACTGCTCCCGCAATGCCAGATGGGACGAGCCGATGGGCCTCAGCCCGGGGTCTCCACAGTTGCAGGATGTGCCGTGGGGTTGGAGTCGCTTGTGCCGTTTTGGCGATGTTGATGCAAAGTCGTGAGGAATTTGAGATTTGGAGATGAGAGGCTCTGTGTTTGAGTTTAGTCAAAGATGGATCACTTACTCGCTCTTATGCGCTCGGAGCTTTTACCTGCCATAACGAGGGCAGTCGCTAGATCATGAAACGGAGTGATCTACAGCCAGCGTTTCGAAAGCCACTTTCAGCGCTACTATGCACTCTTCTGCACTCACAAATTGGGGGCATGAATGTCGATCCCTTCCCTGTCTCCTCGCTGGCCCTACGGAGCATCGGTCGCGATTAGGAGATAGCGCCCTGGCCAGCTCCAGTTGCCGGCTGAAACACCTGGATCAAGAAGGAACCAAAGCTGTGTTATGCAAGCTGAACTAGGGGAAGAAACGAGGAACCACAGACAAGGCGCTCGTTGTGGCATGTGTGATGAGAGCTGGCTTTATAAATACTATGTCCATCCCCATCCTCAGTCGCACAGATCACTTCCTCTTCAGCAGTAGCTGTGCAAGACTCTTAAAGGACCTCAAAATGAAGGCCGCATTTGTTCTCCTTGCCGGAGCCGCGCTGGCTTCCGCCCAGAACGTCTACTTCATCCGACATGGCGAGAAGCCCAGCGATGATGACGACCCCAACCTGAGCGCCCAGGGCCTGGAGCGTGCTCAGTGCCTGAGAACCGTCTTTGGTGCCAGTTCCCAGTACAACATCGGCTACATCATTGCTGAAAAGCCCAAGAGTGAGTTACATCCAGACCAGACTCAGTCAATATCTTGTTAGACATCCAATGTGTTGACTCATTTGACTTCAGGTGACAGCCGACTTCGTCCTCTTGACACAGTCACTCCTTTGGCCCAAGACCTTGGCTTGACTGTTGACACAAGCTGTGGCAAGACCAAGTCCGACTGTGTCGCCGACCTTGTCAGTGGCTACAACGGCTCAGGCAACATCCTCATCTGGTGAGTGTTGATCAATACTTCTCGGAGTATGATGGGTTTAACTAACACGAGGTATAGCTGGGAACACAGCGAGCTTACCAACATTGCGGACGCAATGGGCATTAAGAAACCTCCTACATACCCTGACGATTCATTTAACCTGATCTGGACTTCCCCTGCGCCATACACCGCCGTTACCAGCATCACATCCGAGAACTGCCCTGGCTTGGACAGCTAAAGGAGCGACAAAAAAGATATAAAGGAAACTGCTCATGAGTAGAGCCCCATATAATGGCGATTATTCGGAGGCATCGACTTTACAAAAGACTGGACCAAGCTCTTGGCTGACGTGTTGTTGAGAGTTGAAGTTTTGATATAATGAACGATGGCTATGGATCGTCGTGACAAACGGGCGCGATAGCAAGCTATCATACAGGAAGGCCATGGCGATTGGATCTGCGCACGTGTGGCCTCATACCGCTGTTACAATATTATGGCTTTTCTGGGAATATGATGACAAAGGATCTCTTAATTTAGCAGCTTCGGCATATAACAAGCTTCCTTTAAAGGAATATAATGACAAAAGGATCCATCAATTAGCACCCTTGGTATATACCAAATGCCCTTAAAGGCAACACCACTATCATGGAACGCATCCACTTGTCCGTAAACGGATCATAAACGGCCTAAAATATTACAACAAGAGTAGGATGATCATGCATTCATCCTTTTCGCTGTTCGCGTTTCGCTTCAAGTAAAATACTATTACATTTACCCGTATTCTTCCTGTACTCGTCTCTTGTATTACTATTCACTATTACATTAGAGAACTTCCCCGCTCTGTCCTCCATTTTCTTCAACTCGAGACCTGTTTGCGACTTGTTTTTTCATCGTCTCATTACAAGCGGTAATCTTTCAAGCTGTAAACCTCAAGAAAATCCACAGGCTTCTTTATTATTAACAATTATCACAATATGGCGCAAGCAAGCATGGATCCCAAACCCCCGAGCGGTGTTGATGTATCGCGGCCCTCAGTTGCCCGTATGGTATGCATCATAATGAAAAGTTTCAAACTTTCTTCTCCTCTTATCTAACTAAAGCCAAGTACGATGTCTATCTCAGCGGAAAACACAACTATCCTGCAGACAGGGCTGCTGTTGCAGCGGTCGTGGAAGCATACCCAAGGACCATCGAAGTTATTGTGGAAGCTCGTCACTTTTTGCGCCGTGCTGTGCGGTACATGTGTTTCCGTGGAATCGACCAATTCATTGATATGGGCTCGGGATTGCCCAGTGCAGATAACACGCATCAGGTGGCCCAGAGGGTAAACCCAAACGCTCGTGTCGTCTATGTGGATATCGATGATGTCGCTGTTGCCTTTGGTCAGCAGATGCTTAATGGAGATCCCAAAACGGCATTTATACAAGGATCAGTTCTAGAGCTGGAGCCGATCTTGAACCACCCAAAGACCCGAAAGCTGATTGACTTTTCGAAGCCAGTGGGCGTACTCATGATGGGACTGCTACATTTCTTCTCTATTGACATCGATCGCGCCATTCTCAAAGACTTGCGGGACAATCTTGCTTCGGGCAGTCTTCTTAGCCTTTCTCATACAATCTCAAATTTCCTCACTGAAGAAGAAATTCGACAGGTGCTTGCTGTGTATGCAAAGACGCCGACGCCTTTGATCATTCGAGACATCAGCCTAGTGGAGCAAATCACGCAAGGATATTCTGTTGTCGAACCCGGTCTCGTCTCCATGCATAAGTGGAAGATGGATATAGCCGAAGAAGGAGAGCCTGAAGCTCCGCAGACTTCTGCCATGGTTGGGGTTGTTTTACGCACATAGATTAATATGCAGTCTGATGAGACGTGAGTCTCCATAGGCAATGAATGACTCTAAGGGTTTCATGAGGATTTGTGCACAATAAATATACGAATACAGCTGAACTGATATACTCAATACATGCTCATTTCATCTTGATTTAGACTGATTGTCTTGACCGTGGCAACTGAAGAAATGAGAAACCTGCAAGTTGCTCCAATTGTAGTATTATTCAACGAATAACCACTTTGACCCTATTTCTTTCAGCCAGTCATTTAGAGTCGGCTACCACAAATTCCAACTGCCGACATCTATACATATCTTAGCCTCGACAATGCTTCGCTACCCAAAACCATATAAGCCAGACAACCCTCCTCGCTTTACCCACGCAAAAAGTTGCTGACATTCAATTAATAATGCATTAATAACGCAACAAGAGCAATATTGAAATTTGTCTCAACCTAAACGTCACAACCTACCCATTTGGCTGTACAATACGTTGCTCGCCGATGGACTATGCGTGGACAACCAAAAGGCCGCTAACCGCTTATGGTAGCAAAACCCGCCAAGACTTTTGAAGTTGGTATAAGTCAGCCATGATACCTGAATTCTTCGAGAACGTCGAGTAAAATAGCAAGGAAAAGTTGCAAAGACGAGTTAAGCGAGATAACCAGAGCAGAGATTCGGGAACATTTGATTATTAACAGCGATTTGTATTTGTGATGGAACGTTTGTCAGAATGATGATCGCTGAGAAGCCTTGTTCTAGTTAGGTAAGTTTCCCGAGTTGAGTCCGTAGACAATTGTTGAGGAACGACGATAAATACCTCCATCTCCTCTTTCAATCCAAAAACCAGAATTTTCCAGCAGCAATCACACAAATAAGTCTCCCACACATCCAACAATCAGTCAATCCTCAGTCAAGAAGTTCCCGGATCGAACCAAGCAATAATGTCTTCTTTCAAGGGCTCCGTCAGCGTCACCTACATCGGTACTGCCACTGCCCTTCTTCAAATCGACAATGTCACCTTCTTGACCGACCCGTTCTTCTCCCCTTCCGGCTCAGAGTGGGTGCGCCCCGTTGTCGTGCTCAAGAACTCTCAAGATCCCGCCGTTAAGCCCGAAAACCTTCCTCCCATCGATGCCGTTCTTCTCAGCCACGAGGATCATCCCGATAACCTCGACGAGATCGGTCGCAAGGTCCTCGAAGGCAAAAAGGTCTTCACAACCAAAGATGGTGCTGTCCAAATTGGCGACAAGGCTGTCTGCGCGGGCCTTAACCCCGGTGACAAGGCCACCCTCGTCGCTGGCGGAAAGACTTTTGAGATTATTGCCACGCCGGCAGAACATGCTCCGCAGGGCGAGTGCATTGGCTTCATCGTCACTTCTGCCGACTTTGGCTCGACCAATGGTCTTCCCAACGCCATCTATTTCTCTGGCGACACCATTTACAACCAAGACGTTGCCAACAGCCTCAAAGGCTACCACATCAGCCTCGCCCTGCTCAACCTTGGCAAAGCTGCTATTGAAGTAGGGCAGCCTGAGCCTCTCGAGATTACCATGGATGGAAAGCAAGCTGCACAGCTTATCAAGGATGCCAACATTGACAAGGCCGTGCCCCTGCACTTTGAGGGATGGGGCCACTTCACTGAGGGTAAGGACCCGGCTTCGCAGGCCTTTGATAAGGCAGGTGTCAGCGAGAAGGTCTTTTGGCTTCCCCGCGGTGAGCGCAAGGTCATCTTCTGAGCAGGCATGGCATGATTATTGCTGTATGATGTTGGAGAAGATCACTAGCCTATGTTAGGATATCATGGATTGAAGAGCAGAAAGTAATAGCAAAAATAAGAATTGAATTGTTTCTCACCCCTAAGCATCATACCCCATCATCATCTACTATGTACTGAGAAATATAGTCGTAGCCCCTATTCCTGATGCTGTCAATCAGTCCCTCGCACCAGGATATCAACTCGTAGTCGTAAAAGTGGTTGAATCGGAGGAATTGGTAAGCTATTCTGGTTGGTAGTGCTGTGGATATTGCTCCAAAGAGCTTCATCTCTTCTTGCACCAAGTACTCGATGCTTTGGAATATCCAAGTTGACATTTGAATCGCCATTTCTGTAATCATGGGACTCTCCGGACTCTCTCCATTGATTAAAAAGTCATCATCTCGAAGTTCAGGATAGTTATCTCTCAGCTTCCTGATATATACAACGCACATTATCCAAAAAGCCCAGTAGTGCGTCATTGAATTCGCTGAAGTAATGTCGGGAAACCATAAGCACGGTCTTTCTGTTCCTTTGTTGAGAATACGGAATGACGGCTTATTATAAAGGCTTTGGAAAGTTATGTTCCAAGCAATCAGAGCGTTGAGAAGGTCTTTGAGTGCCTGAAACACGGGAAAGGGTGAATTTGAGCTGGGCGAGTCGAATTTTAACTCGTCGATATCAACTAGAATAGAGGGAAGTGCAGTCGCCTCCGTCATAAGAGCGTGGAACGAGTTTGCCTTGACATATTGAAATGGCTTCGTCCGCCACTCGGGCGCAGCAAGAAATGTGGGCTGTTTTTTACGAATCGCATGGATAATCTATTGAAGTACGGTTAATAATCAACAAATCGAACTGAGAGCAGAGATGGAAGAAATGGAAAGAATGGGCTCTTACAATAGCGGGACGAAGACCAATGAAGACCCTATGGGACGGCCCGGAAGAGTATGCTTCTGGACTATGCAGCTGAATCAAATCGCTTAAGCCAGAGGCATGAGCGGTGCCACTAGAGATGGATGTGGGCAATATCATCTATTTAAACCAAGTCAAAATCAGCATCTTGGCATCAAATGGCACTGTGCGCCAGGGCCCAAAAGAGTTCGGCACTTACTTCTGAAATCATTAGGCACATAATGGCCACCGCCAAGGCGTCAGAATTGGACGTATCTATGTTATGCAGGCTGTCATGAAGCGAGTTCAATGCGGAGCAGTGGGCGGCTAGAGCATCTGAAATCGGCGCTATTCCGTTGCGGCCTCTAGAAAGGATGGATACGCCTAGGGCCTTGACAGACGATGATAGAGTCATTTCATACCGTTGAGTCATTGACAACAGAGGCAGAAGCTCAATCCATGCTCCACAGACTCGAGGGAAAATATCCACGTCCCAGTTTAGGAAAGCAGAGGTGCTGGGAATCATGGCTGGTGAAAAGTTCTGCACGACTAGGGATATGATATCCTGAAAAGGCCAGGCCAGCGACGGCCACACTACAGCCGTCTCATATCTCGCTGCCCTGGCTGCTTGAGTCATTTCGTCGAGCCTGTCCGGGGAAACTAGGTTTTGGGGCTTTGTACACTCGTCTCGCTTCTTTCCGGCCTTCCCATCTTTTCGCACCTTGGACTTTGTCGACGGCCCTATGGATAGCGAGGATGGTACAAAGACAAGATCATACTGGTATCCTCCACATTTGATCTTTGTTCCTGTGCACTGAGAGCATGACGGGCGTTTCCCGTCACACTAGAAGTACCAGATTCAGTCAATATTTCCGAGATGCAAGATGTAAGATGAGAGATGATCAAAGAGCATCGTGAGAAAGCAAACTCACCCCTAGTTTCCTCGCTCTGCATGTATGGCACACGGTTAGCTTCCGAACCTTCATGGTTGTTCAACTCCGGTGTTGGACCCCAATACAAGCAATAGAATCTGATTTTGCTTGTTCAAGATAGAATCATAAGCCGAGCGCATCGCTTTTAGCTGACGATGGCCAAAGGGCGTTGACATGAAGTGGAGCCATCGATACGGACCGGATGCCAAGCCGAACGCCGATGGCTGGCATCCGGCGAGATGATTGGGGAAATCTGTTGCGACACTATGCTCGTTGCGGCAGCAAAAACCGCCAAGTACGCTATAAGACGCTTGTTCTGTGGGGGCTGTTCAGCTTTGACAGCTTAATAATAGAAGCATAGTACGATGAAGAAGTTGAGAGACTATATCGATGTTGGGCTGATTTATCAAGAGTGGGTTGCAAAAGTCTTGACAAGGCAGATTCTAGTGTCTAGATGAACAAGATAGTGGTTTGCCAATATACAAGCTTATAATGTAAGTCTACTATGCCAGCTGTAAACATGAATAGTTTGGCGCTCAGTCTACTAACATGCGGCAGCTGAAGTGCTCTTTTACTCTTACCAAAACACTCTACTCAACCTACAATGTGCAACGTTGCTTGCACCCATCTAGCCCTTGTTCCTCTCAATAATACCATTATAATAGTTGCCTTATCTCATTCTAAAACGTAATGGCGAAACAGACACTCCAATCAACTGAAGGGGATTTTTCAGCTTGGCCTGGCGTCGGCCAACTTCATGAAGCCATACAGAACATGACCCACATGCTAGATATATTCTATATCATCCGCATAATAATCAAATGGAATCATATGTCATCTTCAAATTTTACATGCAATGGATGCTCTGCCGAGATGCTGTTCCGAACTCTCAATACCTACTCGCCTCCAAAGTAAAAAGCCACAACACGGCAGAGAAATCTCCTGTCAGATTCATCACGTTTTCTCACCGGCCCGATGTCTTACTTCTCACTCCTTAGAGTTCTAGGAACAAAAGGTCATCAACCGCGCGCCAAATGACTATTGACTCTATCGTACGGAGAACATCGCTGATATTTAACTTTTCAGTCTCGCTATTTTCTTACGCCGCACGGATGAGAATACTTCGCCCGAGGCCGGAGTTGTTACATATTATCTCCGACGCCAACAACACCATTTATACGGCCGAAATATAAGATATCCGACTCCGAAATACCGGTTTTCTGTTTCAATTTTCAGCTTTGTCAACTCGACCTCTCTTACCAAGGAAGAACATGTGATTAACGAAATCTAGTATAGTAAGAGCCTTGAAAGAGTTGTTGCTGCTAGTACCGGATACTCCAAAGTCCATTATTAACCCGTATATGCAGTGTAGAGCAGAGGGGCTGTGCTTTACATGCCATAGGGCGCGACGAAAATTGATCAGCTCTCGCTCATGTTATTTGAATCCTCCAAATCTTAGAGCCTAAAGTCTTGGCAAGTAAGTTATACTTCACTTAAACTGCGGTCAAAGACAGAATAGACGTATACTTCGCGGAGTATATAGAACCAAGTTATTTAGCGGCTCACTCGATAATTACCCTACGCCTTAATTCCTGTGTACGCCCTTTACGTTCATATTTGAGAAACTGAGAGATGCCGGAATGTGTAGTTGAGGTCCGATGCTTTCCTACGAATTTCCATTTCTATCCAGGTTGTCTACTATCTGTCACTTCCATGCCACTTATTAAGGCGAGAGTTACAAGAGTCATGATAACGTTACGTGAAACTTCAGCGTAATGCTATGTTGCCATAATAGGAAGACTTGTAGCGACACTAAGCTGGATGCCGCCATCGGCAGGAAGCAACGCCGAAAGACGCGACAGCGATGCCACCAAAAATACGCCTAAAATCGGCTTCACTCCTGCAGAAATATCTCCTCCCCAATAACTTGGATGCCGATGGTATGCGGCAGCCAGCGGCCGAGGCTTTATCCAGAGCCAGGGTGAAGATCCAAAGCCGAGGATCTACATAGTACGGTCGTTATCAGATGAGTCATTTCAAACTCCAGCTCTCGTGTATTGAGATGGCGAAACAATTGACAGGCTTTTGACATTAGAGGCAGAAATTCTCGCTTCTAATGGAGAGCTAGTGAGAGATAATACGAGCATGAAGCCCCCAAATACGGTCATTGCTCCGAGGGATGATAATGGGCTCATATTCTCCAATTTTGTCAGCAGCAGCCCCTTCAACTCTGAAAATAACAAGGTCAGTGGTAATTCTGATTTTCTAGACTGGATATTTATTTGGGTGATATGCTGCGAAGACCTAGTACCCGATCTCTTGCCTTGCCTGTTTTTTTTTCGCGACAGAAGACGGTTTTCGAAGAGCATATAGAGGGATACTGTGTGTTCAACGCTTCGAAAGAACCACACATCCATTGTGTCTGCATAATATTGATTAAAACCTGATTAATTGGCGCCAATTCTTCTCGATGCCGCCGTAACCGCTGTCTTTGCTTGATTAGGCTCGCGCGGCTACACATTGGTGAATGTTACAGCAAGGGCGTGCGTTCAACTTACAGAAGGATTTTGAGCATTGATTTACAATCTTCAATCCTCCCGGCGCCGCCACCACCCAACATCTTGCTATTCATGAGACTCCGTATATATAGGGGTAGTTCAAAGACAAGGCTTATTTCAAACCATGAATAATAGCAACTCTCAGAGCCGTATCTGCGGAGCACGTAATCAAATTACCAATGAGATTAAAGATCACTGGCGGAGATGCAATGTGCAAAGTACATTATAAAAGACTATCAGCAGCTAAAGAAATACTTGTCGATAGTCAAAAGCTCGAAAACGATAATTTGATGCCAATCCCTTCACAATCGCATATATATGATTCGTTTAAGTTTTAGCTCATCTTTTGAGTCAATGATCCTCCTTTCCATCATTGAAGAGCTATTGCGAAACAGGTAGATTTTGTAAAGCACTAAGGGGTCAGATACTTTTATAATCTAGTTGCTTTTTTGGCGACAGAATATGCAAATCTACATACTACCAGTGAAATAATCGCCGGCGACATATATAGCTGCTTCACAGCGTCTGTGTCTTGCGTTGCTTCTTAGCTCTGGAGTGAAATGGCAGAACAGCCAAGCAATGGCCTGCGCGGTATGTTACGCCTGTGGGCAGCTTTATTTCAACCTGCTTTCATGGAGCTAGGGTTGGTTAAGTGTCTTGTAAGAGAGGACAGCAGCCTCTTTCACATCCCTTAAGATAGTCTCTCGAGGCCTGGTTGTATTCACGGTAGTTTCGTCCCCAGTAGAATTTGCGTTATCCTCAACTCCATACGCGCAGAGAATGGGCTAGAGATATTCATCTACCCAAATCTCAAATCACTGAGCATATCACGATTAGCTGCATCGGTAGAAGCTAGTAGCAAGATACAATTGCCACCAAGGTCGTTGAGTTACTATCAACGAGTGGAATTTTATTGGAAGGTCTGAATTCAGTTATGACGCCTAAAAATAAACACTACATACTTCGAGTTATTGCTTACGAGGCTTTCTATAGCCGATGGCTCTTATAGGAAGCTATCATCATGGTAACGGGGCGATCATCAGGGGGGTTCTGATTCGCAACACCCAGGCATACTTCACTGGCGGCTTAGAATCGGTGATGAAGTGCTTTAGTTGCTACACATAAGGTCATTGCCTCATATTACTAGCATACTGCGACAAAGCGGTTTCAAAGATAGAGCTATAGGTGTGAATCGAGAATATTAAATACTACTACTAGAGAATCGCTCTTCAAGAGCCATACCTGTTGCCACAGTGCCGAAATCCTCCTATTATTGTTGACTTTACAAGTCCAACGAATTCTGTATGGCTCAAAGAAAGGCTGCCGGTAATGTAAACAGCCAAAATTTGGGACTTTGCCTTGCTTCGGTGTATATTTTATTTTTGGATTAAAGCCATACAAGCAATCAAAGATTCCACCACAATCTTACCTTTTCACTTATTAACAAAATCTGCGGTGCGTACAAAGCCGAGTCGAGTCCCTCGTCTTCATGATGCTAATAAGCCCCAGCTACTTGCTCTTGGTTCAGAAAATCGAGGAATTAAATATACCGTAATGTAACATGGATCAAAGAAGCTAGAAAAAAAAAAGAAGCAAAAGTTCAGATTTACTAATGAGCTATCGGCACTCGTGAATATGACTGCGGGCCGGCTCTCGCTTATACGCAGATTGCCGCTGCAACCGAAGCACAGGTGAAGATGCGCGCATGGTCCCAAATGTACCACAAGAGACTGCTAAAATACCTATTCATTAACTTCCGCGGGATCCGCCTAAACAAATAGAAAGCTGAAAGGTTGTCAATTGCAAGATGATGCCGTCATTATCGCTTCTACGCGCATTACTTTTCCCCAAGTGGCGACACAAGCCACAGCTGAATGCTGCGGGGGAATCATGCCTAACCTTCTCGAGGCCTCAAATTCTCAAACATAAACATGACGAACTTTCTCGTAGACTATATATGGACAATTTCGCGCAAAAGGAGAGCCAGAAACCGCACAATACAAGACCACCAATACTATCATCCTGCGCGAGCAGAAACACTCATTGATCTGTTAAAACCAGCGATTCTCTTACCCAATCATGTCCGTGGCACGACTTTCTTTCCCGGCCATGTCGGTGGCATACTTTCCGTCACTTCCTTCGATGAAGCAATTGGAAAAGACGCCAGTAGACAAGTCTTCTTTAGACACCCTCCCACCAGAGCTGATCCATCTGATATGTTATTGGATCCATGTCGACAGGAAAACGATCAATGGCGACACAATTGAGCAGTGTGAACGCCCCGAGGGATGGAGAGACTCGGGACACCACACGCAGTTCTCAAGAACACTGGCAAGGCTGTCTCTCACATCCAAACGCTACCGACAGATTGCCCTGCCATATCTTTACTCATACATTGCAATCACGAAATATGACGAGATACAGCTGCCTCAGTTCATCTCTACACTGTGTCGCAACCCAGACTTGCGGCTTTTGGTCAAGAAAATCGATATTGAAGGTTTGCCACCGGGCTTTACTTTTGGTCCAGAGATTAACGAAACCGTCTTTCGAGATGCTGCCATCGAATTTAATCTCCCTTCTCTTAATCTTTGCCGTTTCAAGGAGTGTAACCAAGTATGCGGCAAGCTGCGCGACGTGTGCGGCCACAGCCAGCGTCTAATGATTCTGCTTTTCTTGCTCACGCCCAACCTGGAATATGTGGGCAGTCTATCGCCTTACAACTTTTTTGCCGTCGAGTTGGAAAATGTGACGAGAAAGAAAGCAGCAGAGGCGACAGCCATCTCTCCTTCTTTGCACTACGCATTTGGATCGCTACATCACCTATGGGCGGCTGGGGCTCAGGTGTACTATAACGGGTTTCCATTATTCGACTTGGAATATGAACCTCAGGATCTGGTGTTCAAACTGGGCGCCTGGCTCGTTCCAAGCCTTCGCACCCTGCGAGTCCGCATTGCGTGTACGTTCCGTCCAATTCCAGCAGACGTACATCTTGACAACCTAAAAGAAATCACCTTGGACACAGCACTTCTCACAACCGAGGGCCTGATGAGCTTGACTTCAGCTTGCAAAGTCTTGGAACAGTTCTCCTTCTACTCCAGGGGGAGCTGCCGCATGTTCTCGGACCATCTCTTACTTTCTCTCCGCAGAAAAGCCCCTCCCAACGAGTTTCTCCCAGAGGATATTGTCCCCGCCTTTTCACATCTCAAAGGCACTCTTCGACGTCTTGCGATAAACCGATGGGATGGTGCTCGAGGTATTTTAAACTCTTACGCCCATTTCACCGCCGAAAACAAGGAGATGTACGCAACTTGGCCAAACTGGATAGGAAACGGCAAGTTGATAGGCTCTTTGGCAGACTTTACTGCCTTGGAGACTCTGAAACTCGACTCCACATGCCTCTTCCACAATCCTAGAGACCAGATCCCACCAAATCTCTCACCATATCATCTCACAGGGCGGCTACCCAAATCTATACGCCATCTGGTTCTGCCAGGTGCCCCTACTCAAATGATCCCGGCACTCCATGCGTTGGCCCTAGCAGCAGCCTCCAAAGAGTTTCCCAATCTTCAGCTAGTCGAGGTTACATGTGACGAGATGGATAGCCAAAAGCGGGAGATATCGATACGAAACTCTTATATCGGCGACTTTCTCCAAGATATTTACTCCAAATTTATTGGCATCGAGGAATGGGGCCCGCTTGAGCAGAGATTTGCAGACGCTGGAGTCAAATTGGTTCATATCGATTCTGGCAACACCCGCTGCTTTGCGAGAGACGTGCTTGTGAATGCCGGGCTCGTAAAGCCTGTGGAGAGGAAATATCGGTAAGCTGCCCTTCCACTCATGTATATACATGCACGCACATGTTAACGTAGCGCAGTACCCAAGGTAATCTTCCCGCTTTTCTCTGAATTTTCAACTTTACGACTTTGAAGAAGAATTCACATATTCTTTTTCTCTTTAGCAAATTTTCATGTTATAGTAAATGATGATGCCGTCTTCAAGTCAGTCCGGTGAATTCATCTTGCTGTAAGTAGTGCAAACTCCCTACAATACGGAACCCGTTTAACTCTGCTTGAACTTTTGCATAAAATAGCTAATATTATCATGCTAGCAATATCGTGGCCCTTTTTGTCCTTCAGTCGATCATAATTTCCACAAGTCAGAACCTCTATGGCCTTTGGTATATGTATATAAACCACATCTGCTATCCTCTTAAGCGGATGCAGTGACCTTGGCCACAGCCGCTTTAATCATATCGTCCGTCGCATATTTCTCAATAAGATGCTTCTTGAACTTTTCGTGAGCCTCTTTGTCCTGCTTCTGCAGCATTTCGTTATCCTTGTCAAGTAATGGATACGAATCAGTAAGTTCGGTAAGAACAGAAACCATGAGCGCGTTTGCTTCGGTCGGACCCCCACCCCATGAAGAGTATTCCGAGTCTGCCTGAAGGCCTAGCATGATGAGGCCAACTCGCTCAAAGTTCACCGTGGCAGGCTCAAATGTCACCAGGCATCGACAGCCTTCTTCGCCGGCAACAAAGGTGTGCGCTGTGGATTTCGGGACCGTCATGGACTCTCCAACTTTGAGCTCATACTTCTTCATGGCGTCAACTTCCTTGACACCCTCTGGCGCTACAACGACGGATAAGGAGCCGGAGAGCAATTTGAAGTTTTCGGTGAAAAGGGTGTGGTAGTGAGGGAATGTGGTGGAGCCAGGGCCGAGCTCAGAGTCCAGGACAGAGCGTTTGCCGCCGTTTAGCAGGCCGGACTCAACAACTGTAGGGATTTTATCCGCCATGGTTTAATTGCGTTGATGTTTTGTGGTAATAATAGTAGGTCACTATTTTGCGGATTTTGCTGCTGTCAAATGTCAACTTTGAGAAAGAGATTGCTCATATGAACTGCGAGGCTTCGTCTCTGATATATAAGCCCTTGAAGGAACTAGCAAGAATCTCCTCATATATTAAGCTCTTTAAGCCTTCGCTAGCTCCTCCAATGACTTACGACGCACATATGTATGTAAGACATGGCGCCGCAAAATGGAGCGAATAGAAGCATGCTCACTAATCACTAACGACAGCTAGCCAATGCCAAGTTGACTTTGATTGCTGCACTATCCTATGAACCATTCATGAGCTATTACGCGTAGGATCAGTAGTTGCCAACTCAGAGCTACATCAAACTATTTATAAACTTGCTGACCTTAGCTCCTCATGTAGGTGGTTCTGCTATGGCAATACGAAGCGTGCGCTACGTTTACAATATCGGAGACCGGCAATCATCGGAGACCGGCAATCTGCGGAGACCGGAGTATTGCTGTAACAGGTCGTCGAGCAAAAGCACGACTTTTCAATCATGGCCTGCATTGTGCATTCCACCATTCGCTGTAAATACGAAGTACAATCCAACTGTGATGTGCGACTGAGTGATTGGGCAGTTGGGTCTATATAATGTCTGACAGGCGCGAAGAGATGACAGCCCGCCATCTCTGGTGGCTTGAGCCACGCATATAAAGGCACACACATTGAGCGATTATTAATCTTCAAAGGCACTTTCACCTGCATAATGATATATAATCTATCTATGTGTATGTCGGCAATCTAAATAGTCACGCCGCTCAAGTGTGTACTGAAGGAAATTGTACAGAGCTTAGAGCTATGGATCTCTAGCAGATAACCAGGACCAGATATCACGCAGTACAAGGCGAGGCAACAACAGAGCTCAAGATAGCGTTGTCTATACATAATTATGAGAGGGGGGGTTCATATACCGTTTCTATATACATATAAATGCAGCCATTATTCCTTTGCTGGCCGGTTGGCGTTGATTTCGCTCAGAATTGCATCTGCACCCGCCTTCACAAGTTTCGCGGCCAGCTCTTCGCCAAGTGCCTTGGCCTCGTCATTCGTCTTCACCGTTGCATCCACAGAGTCTTGGGCGCTCTGAGTGCCATCGAGGCTGACAACTATCCCTCTCATCTGCAGAATGCCCTGCGCCTCATCAATCCATTCCGTCTCAACGCCAATAGGTACAGTGCAGCCTCCTTCGAGTGTGTACAACAGCGCTCTCTCAGCGAGACAAGCAAGAGTCGATTTCCGATCGGCTAGTCTGTTGAGCAACTCCAGCACCTTGTCGTCTCCCTTGCGAATCTCCAGACCCAATGCCCCCTGGCCGACTGCGTGCAGAATGCCTCCGTCCTTTGAACCAATATACTGGCTGATGCGGTGTTGGAGGCCAACTCGCTCGAGGCCGCATGCAGACATGATCATGCACGTATACTCACTTTCGGGATTGTCCACTTTGGCTATCCGTGTTTCAACATTACCACGCAAGTTGGCAAACTGAAGGTGAGGGTAGAGACGACGCAGCTGGGCCGATCGCCGCACAGATGAAGTGCCAACTACGGCGCCTTCAGGCAGTGTCTTTAGACTGGTATACGGCAGACCAGCTTTGATAATGAGGGCGTCGCGAGGGTCATCTCGGAGAGGAATAGCTGCGAGATCACATGTCTCAGGAAGCCTAGTCGGCATATCTATCCCCACCTGTTAGATAAGATGCTATGAGAGAGAGCGAAAGGCCATGCGCGTTTACCTTTCAGACAATGAACCACAACATCCAATTGGCCAGACGTAAGCTTTTCCTCTAGTTCAACCGTCCACAAGCCCTTTGCGCCAAACTTATAGAGCTCTGTGGACTTGTCCTTGTCACCAAGAGTGTGGAGTGACTCAATTTCAAAGGCACGGCCAGGCGCCACCTTTTGAAGGCTATCACGGATGCCTTTGGCTTGCACGACGGCCAGGTTTGACCTTCGAGTGCCAATTATCAATGGCTTCTGAGCAGTGGGAGATGTTTCTGACATGTTGGTACTGTCAAGTGGTGGAATTGAAGTGCAAGCAGAAAGAGAGACAGGATGGGATACAAAGGCCTCATTCACGGTACATGTAGACTAAATGTGTGGAGCGGTGGATCTTCGGCATCCTCTGTCAAGCGTATAGCTCTGCGTATTCAACTAAGCTAGCAGCACATTTGTAGATGGGCAAAGTAATAGTATTTGTCAGTGTATCTGATGAGCAAAAAAACAAAAGCAATTCCGGTATTGGCTGTCAGTTGTGAGGACATATTGTTAGCACCTTGCCTGATATCTACCCACCTCCACTCTCCGCCGATCAGCGCTGCTGGTTGGTTGTCATGAACTGACTTCAGCCCTATGCTATTTAGACTCACTTTGCTAGCTCTAGTTCAAAACTGTACTTTATAGCTTATAATGTGGTTTATCAAACAAGACATCCATTTTCAACTGTCTTTGCTACGGCGCTCCCGCCTGTTCAAAGAGGCAGCCTGCAGCTAGTGCTCCACTCGTAAGCTACATGTACGCTATTGAAACTACTACACGCAAGTATTTCCATTTCCAGATGGTTGTTTGCCAATTATGAAAGCCGGTGGCCATAAGAGCCCCTGGCTATACGAGCTACACGAGCTACAAACAATGGTCAATACAACGACTGATGTTGATAACCATCTAATTTACCGCAAGCCTAACCCAAGGTTACATGTAATAATGAGCTAACCCTGGTCCTGCAATTGTCAATGGATTTTAGCCGCTGTTTTGGCACGTCAGGCATGCAACTTGGTTGTCACAAAAAGCAAAAAAGTGACAGGCAAGGATTAATTCAAATCTAGGGGCAAAAAAGCAAATAAATCTCCGCTCTTTCGTCATGTGATTTTGTACTGCTACTTCTCACTTGCTTGACCGTTTCGGTCAGCGTTGCGACTGGCCCGTCTATCCATCTCATGTCTTGTCAACTTTGACTAGCATGGGTGTGCATCCCATCCCTTATTTAACCTCTGTTGCTCTAGATTGCGTCTTTCAGAAATGTCCCAGATGCACACAATCCAATTGTCGCCAGCTTTGGGCTGTTGAACAAGCGAATTAAGCAGCTGCCGCGTTTGTGTCAGACTCCTACTGCTACTATTACCACCTTGCTACTACCATCAGCTTACATAGCATGTATACATGCACCTATACAGAGATGCTCTACTTTTACCCCCATCATTCGCATCTTCGATGCTTTACTCGTATCCAGTTGACCAGTCATATCGTCGATACATGACTGCACAATCTTTTCTGCGCCTTGACCTGCGTGCAGGCATCGGCGGGATTCGGGTGTGATTGCTGCAACGTCCCTTGTCACAATGTCATTTACCCGGACAACGATTCGCCCTCAAACACTAGCTAAAATCCCCTTGCTCGGCATTGCGAGTCATGGAAGACAGCTATGCATGCTAGGAGAAGGCGTGTCTCTTGTTTTTCCGGTGCTCTTGCTCACCGAAAGAAAGAAATGAATGCATACTGTACAGTACTGTGGTCGAAAATAGGTACATACAAGCATGTACGTGGTCCGTGAATCTGGAGTTGTTGCCCTCCCCCGGAATCCTGAATTTTGAGAGAAGCAGCTCTGCCTTATGCGGTCAGCGTCGACATTTGCAACCGGCACTATCGGCAAATTCGACAGGGTGCCTTCCAAGGCTTGCTGTTCCGGCCACTAAGCTTATTTTGTGAAGCATCAACAAGAGGCCACTTGATCCAGGATAGACTGGGCAATGACCAGCAACGGGCACAGCATGTACCGTACGTGTATATTCCGCTCGGCACACGCCGTATCTTTTATACAGCTACTTGTGTTCACGTGATGAAACATGACATACATGACGGGATCCAGACCAACTCCCAAAGTAGCAGCTGGCGATGATGGGGAGGACCCAGCTGTAGCCGAAATCGGCAAAGAAGCAGGGCAAAATACTGAGAGTTGCCAGAATCAGACGCCCAGTCTCGGCGTCGACCACTCAGGAGAAGGAACAGAGCAAAGTATGTCAACGGCGTGCATTTTCGGCCTCGGCGTTATCGCGGCGTGGACCAATCTTTGAACGGCAATGGCACGCGTGTTCTTGGCGTCTCCTGTCGTGAAACTCTGTGGCGCTTTAGACGACATTGCTCCTTAAGCCTACATACCAAGTGCAAGCAAGTATATTAGCGAGGAGAAGCTGGAAGCCGACGCCACAGAGACGAAAAGTTACAGCTCACAAAACTCGGCTGTGTCTGCCAAAAGGCTCAATTACATACTGTATAGTCTAGGGACAAACAATCCAGGATCTGGCAGCAATGGACCAATCGGTGCTCGCAAGCCGTTTGCAGCTACTGCACGCCAAACAGCGGTTAGGCAGTTCCTAGCGCTGCGACCTCAAGGAAATCCCCAGGAGTGCTTCCAATGAGGGCTCGAAATGACAAATGGCAGAGCCAGACAAGGGTGCTATCCGGTGGTGGTCAATTTCAATTACTACTCAGGGGCACTCCTATGTATACTTGTGTAGCGGTTAACCTCATCCGGAAGAAGTGAATGCAGCTAAAAGACACAGAATGCCTAATATAGATGCTAGTGCAGTAATCCGTTGAAGCTAGGCGCGGAACAAGAGAAGCAAAGGGTCGGTGACGTTGATACCAATCACCCATTCTCGAAAGCGGCCTCGTCAGCTTGGCTCTGTCCTTGGCCGTTGGAGGATTTTGGACGGACAGACCATCTTGGGGTGGCCGGCAGCCCATAAATCGGGCTGATCAAGATTGAGATAAGACCCACCCCGTCAACTCTCAACCCCGGCCCTGGGCAATCTTGGTCGTCGGATTGGTGGACCGGGTCGGTGGGCCGAGAGACCCGGACGAGGCGATGCTATTGCCGCTTGGAGTCGTATTTGTGCAGGCTGAAGCACAGTGTCCTGGCGGTTCTAGGCAACTGCCGGAGTGCTAGCTACATGCTGCAGAGCGGCAGCTACTCGATAGTAGGAGCGTCCTAAATGGGAGAGTAGATGTTGCTCGCAGAAGCAGGATGCATGGGATCTGTATCTCATGCGAGCAGCAAGGGAATCAGCTTGGCAATCTCACTCATTGCAGTCAACTGAGGTAACCCGTAAGAACATGGGGAGTAAACGATGTCGTGTACGGAGAAATGCATGTGAGTCGACTGCAAAGAGGAGCCGGTGCATGCTGTTGGCATTCGGATGAATGTAGTTAAAAATAACTCCTTTGCTGACGGTGGAAAATAGGCCCATGGCATTAACAAGGGCTATGAATGCCAAGGTGGAAGTCTGCTCTGTCTTGGCAGTTTGAGAAATATAAGAAAAAACTCCGAAGCGGCAAGAAAATGCGTTTGGCCTATTGCTGACTGCCTATTGCTATATGTGTTTTCGTACCTCTCGACTATGTCTCATCAATTGACATGGAAGATGATGTAAAAAGGCAGGTCTTCTTGATCCACAGCCAGCCATGCAAAAGCCGTTTAGCCTTTTACTTGATCTGTGTTTCACTCTGACCCACGCAGCAACGGCCATTGATGCTATTCGAGAGCGGAATACGACGGCGCCAATCAAAGGTACAAGTATACATGTATGTATACTGCAACATAGAGGTAGGTGCCTGCTGTACGACGGCAGCAGCGCAGTTTGTTTGCCCTGCATGCTTATCAGAGCGAGTCACAGCCGGGCCGCAGCGCCATATCACATGCAAATGCAAAGGCGCCTGTAATGCTGCCAGCCAGGTTGCATCTCAGCGTCAGAGTCAGAGCACGCAGAGCACACAACGGGGCATCGTCGCAGCGGATGCTACAGCAGCCCAGCATGACTGCGCAAGGAGCAGCATCAGCCGCGGGGCCTGGACCGCAGCGCAAGATCTGATATCTGATACGGAATAACTGGAGAAGTGCCGCCAGAGCAGAAACCGCTCGCGGCCGACGTGCGGCACTAAGGCAGCAGGCCGCGGGCCATGCCCCTGACTAAGTCGACGGTATCTGAGCAGGAAGCATAGCAACAGACTTGACAAGTTCTTATTGAAGTGATTGGAATCTGAGACACACAAACAACATCAGCTAGCTGCAGTAAGCAACAAGGCGCACTTGACGCTGCAATGATAACTGCAGATTTTCCCGTCTCTCAGCCCACGTCATACGCTGCACACCATACCGCGCCAAAAAAACAAAAACCATCAAAAATGCTCCGCTTCCCTCGCCCAGCGTTGTATTCTAGGCTGGATTCCGGAACTTCCCAACCCCGCCGAGGCTAGAATCGCCATGGCCTGTTTTTTGCCCCCCTCATTCGATGGATGCTTGTGCGGGGGAAATGGCCCAAAATAATTGCAGGCTGGCCGTGGACCCGCAAGGGGGGGGGCGTTTGATATACAAGGTGATGGTGTTTGAAGAAACAAGATGAAGATGAAGATGGACCTATATCTGGATCAAGTACTCAGAAGCAGTATCACCATCTATTTTGGTAGTATATACGTAATCGTAATAATCTCACTTTTATCAGCCATTGATAAGATGCATGTCTTGATGATAACCGACAGCCACGCTCCCGTTGGAGACCTTGTGGCGTTACATGACCTCATAGAGACATCTAGTACATGTACATCTCCCTGTTAAACTTTTCATCTCTCACATCTCCATCTCCGTCTCCATGTCCATTTCGTCTCCATCTCCATCCATACATGTTCCCGCGTCTGATGCTGTTAGACGCGGCCTCGCGAACCAACAACACAACAAAAGAGCCTCCGGGCCACAAATCTACTTGGACATGCCCCAATCGTCGTAGCAGGCAATCCTCCCGCGCCATTCATTATTCTTCTGCCCCGCAAGGATTGCCTTATTCGCAGCCTAGCGGCTAATGCTGCGCTAACTGCTGGCCTACTGCCGGGCTAATGTATGCATGTACAGGGACTTGGGCCCCCCCTGCTCATATCACGGCTCTTCTGCTCTTCTACCCAACCCTGGACACAACCTCATCCGCCCAGGCTGTCAGGACAGGATCCGAGGGATCCAAGGCGCAACTGTACAGATACATGGCCAGCGTTGCCCTGCCGCCTGCTGCGCCTGGTTTCTGTACTTCGCGATGGCTTGTCTCTCCTGGCTCGCTTCCTATTTGCCGATCTTGCAAGTGCATTGTGCGCCTGACTGACCGGGAGCTCTCCGCTCAGGCTCCCCTACATGATTGACAGCGGCTCGTAGAAAAAGGCTGTGCTCAAACTCTCAACTGTTTCCCATCTCCAACGCCTCTGGCATCAAGCTTCATTCACGCCTTTATTCCCGTCACCTCCATCGTTCTTTCTGCTGTACTACCGTCGACATCAGCGTCGAGGCATCACTCTTCAGCCATGGCGCCCACGACAATCTCGCAGCTCCCTAGCGAGCTGCTCCTTTATATCTTCGACTTCCTCCACGAGCCACCTGCATCTGACCAGCGCCATTATGACGACCCGGCACACATTTCCAGACCCATTGCTGCAGATGGCAAGCCAAATCAATATAGCACAAGTCCGCACGACGACCTCAACCACTTCCGTGGCAACATCAAGAGTGCATCTCTTGTTTGCCACCTCTGGAGACGCTGCCTCTTGCCATTGCTCTTCCGGGACATTGTCTGGAGATTCCAACACATCATCCGCCCTTCCGAGCGGCAAGATCCGCTACACGCCGTTGAAGAGCTCGAGTTTCTACGCTTCCTCACTCGGGCTGGGCTTGCACGCTGCGTGGACAACCTGACCATCATCATCGACTATCCCGAATCCGAAGTTGGCGAGGACGCCATGCATCACGCCAATTGGGGCGTCCTCCCTAGCCACTGCCCTGCGCCGGACAACCGAGGGTTTAATAACGGTCTCGTAGCCCCTGAATCAACTCCCGACACAACTTCAAAGTGCCAGTCCAACGATTGGCTTTGGCACACCATCTTTGACAAACTGGACCTCCTGTCCATCAACCTCATCAGCTCCCCGGCCATTCTTGCATCGTTACTAGGGCGGCCAATCAACCTGTCTGGGGCCTGGATCTTCCGTCAACGGTTTCACATTCTCTCCCTGTCGAGGCCCGCGGACCAGCGCCAACAAAACTTGACCAGCATTGACGATTCGACAATGGCGTCACCGAATCTCCCGCCATCGGGCAGAGCACAAACACCAGCAACCAGCCATTGCTCGCTGTTCAGCATCCGCCCATGGGCCTCCATGCTCCTCAACGAAGGATCCTCCGTCAAAGTCTACACCACATACGAATACTTCCACCACACGCCCCCTTCTCTCCTGCCCGCCCTCTTGGACTCTGGCGACGAATCCATGCAGCCCCTGCTGCAAACCACCATCCGCTCCTTTTCCTACATCGCCATCTTCCCGCTCGCCAACCACATCAACAACATCCTCATCCCTCGCGTCCCAGCCCTCGAGCGCTTCTACATCCAGATCGTGCCGCGGGCGCCCAGCTTCGCCGAGGACGACTACCGCCACCCCGCCATGGACATTTCGGATCTGTGGATGGAGCGCAACACGGCCTATGCACAGCTGGTCATGGCAGTATTCGACCCGCCGCCGCTGGGGCTGTGGAACAGCCTGCAGTGCTTTGAGAGTGGCGACGCCATCGATAGGGAAGCCTGGGAGCAGGCTGTCCGATATGTCATCTTCGCGGCGGGTGCGACGTGGAAAGTTGCTGGGGAGGGAAAGTTTGTTCGCAGGGACGATGCCATGCTTATCTCCTGAGCAGCACCTTTGCAGCCTTGAGATTTCTCTTTTTTTTTTTCTTTTTTTTTTTTTTTTTTTTGTCAGTCTATCGAATTTTAGGCGTCATTCATTACGGGACAATTACTAGGCAACTAGGGGAAATGGGGTTTACAAGCTGCATTCTACACACATGCAGCTTTGGGATTTTGGAACGGAGTTGGAATAACAGATTGTGTATTTGGGACAGCCTTTGGGTAGCGTTTGGGTACTGATAGGATTCGGGCATATATTTTTTTTATTGGCTGGGCACAAGTCAAAAAAGTTTGATATCATTGGTTATTAGGATTTAGGCTCCAGGACGCAGGCTGACACTAGGATTGGTAAATTGAAATACACAGCAACAAGGGTGTTTTCTTTGTATGTCCCCCTTATCTAATAAAAGAAACGAATAAATAAAGAAAAGGGAAAGAAATGCTCTGCTTAATAAAGAAACAATAAGCAAATAAGGGGGAGAAGGCCATGGAATCACAGCTGCATGGCGGGTTCTGTCGGCTGTCTGTCGGTATGATCGGTGCCGTCGGTGTTGCAAACAGTGATTGCCTTATCTAGGCAGTTGTAGGTGGTAACTCGGTCAAAGACGAGTAAATGGCTTGGTAACATTGGAAATATGAAATCGATATACATGTTTCATTCAATATGACAGTCTATAGCGGCCCGGGGCTGCCTATCTACAGCCATCAATGGCAGCACATTGCCCAATATATCCCCATGATTGTTCTGCCACTTGGGGCATGTACTTGTATAATCCGCCTTCTATCTTGACCGCCCCGTAGCATGGTCCATCATGTCCAATCCATAATCCATACCCGTGAGATCAAGAATGCTCCACCCACAATGCATATATATAAACGCCTCTAAAGCCAATGCAACTCAAAGTCTAGAAGAGGAAAGGTTGCGCGTAAACGAATTGCTAGTCTCCCCGGGGAAAGGGACGAAAATGGAAAATAAAAGGAGTAAAGGAAAACAATGAGAGAAAATAGTCTCAATCTTCATGGCTGCTCAAGTCGCCATCTTCGTCACTGTCCGTCAAATCCACCTTGCGCTTGGCAATCTCGTGCTCCATCATCTCTCGGTACGTGCTCCAGCTCAGTGCGCCAAAGGCAACAATAATCATGGAGCCGCCAATGATGGCCGCGGGGCTCAATGGCTGGCCGGTGATGAACCAGTCCGCAAGAGCAACGATGAAGATTGTAAGGAGGGCAGCGACAGACGACAGCACGGGAGACGTAAGAGAGATGAGAATGAGGAACGAGGCGCTGAAAGTAGCATTGGCGAGCACGGCACAAAGGATGAGCCAGCACGTGGAAGCGTTTGGAAGCTCAAAAATCTCCAGGCCGGTCCAGTGCAGGAGGGGCAGCGGGATCCAGAGCACGCTCAAGGTGAAGAGCCCGATGCAGGAGCCAAACGTGTTTGCGAAAATCATACCCCGGCCAGGGGAGACGCCGTCGGGAGGACAGGCAAAGCGCTTGTACAGAACCTCGTAGAGGCCGTACAGCACGGAGCCAACGCCAATGACAATGTTGCCCAAAAAGCGGTTGCCTGCTTCTACATCCACGCCCTCTCCTCCCTCGTTCACGCCCTCGCCCTCGGCGGATTGGCCGCCAGTGTCACCATAAGCCACGACCAGGACGCCAATGATGGCGATGATGACGGCCACCGACTTGTCTAGGCGCAGCGGCTCCTTGAGCAGAGGCACGGAGAAGGCATAGGCGAAGAAGGCCGAGCAGTTGTAAATGGCGGTGAGGTCGGACGGCGTGGTGAGGCTGACGGCGACGTACCAGCTCAAGCCCGCCACGGTCAGGGCGGTGGTGATGAAGGCCGTGGTTCGGGCCACGTACCGCACCGACTTTGCCGCGGGCCGCTGCAGGCCAAAGACGTCGAGCGTCTGCAGCTCGACCATGAGGGCCGTCGACTTGACCAGCTGCAGGTGACGGCGCCAGAAGGCGTCCCACGGCATGTCGCGCTTCTGCAGGCGCAGGATGAGCAGCTGGACCGGCCACATCAGCACCCACGAGCTGTGCGTGAAGAACATCATGCAGTAGGCCTTGTCCCAGCCCAGGTCGCCCTGGATGTGCGCGCTCAGCTCCGTCTGCACGCAAAAGGCCACCAGGCTGAGCACGAGGAAGAAGGCCGCGTACGTGTACTTTTTGCGCGCCGAGCTGGCCGCCAATTCGCCCGGGCTGCGGCTGCGCATCGTCGAGCGCCGAGACAGGTTCGCCGGTCGCGAGAGTGATTCGTACATGGTGCCCGAGCCGGAGAGGGAGTTGGGCGCTGCCGCAGCGTGTCCGTCGCCTGAGGATCGTGACGATCGGCCTCGCTCGACGTCCTTGTCGCCCAAGTCTGCCTCTTCAGAAGAGTCGGGTCTGGAGAGCAGGGGCTCGCTGGAGCGGCCATCGGCTGTCGTCTCACGGAAGAGGCCGGGTCGACGATTATCCGAGCCCATGGCCGTTGCGTTGCGTCGACAGAAAAAAAAGGGTCCGAGATCGTCGCTGTCTTGTCTTCAGTCGTTGGTCGTCCCTGCCGTTCAGGAGCGAAAGCGGCGTTCGGACGGCTCGTATTGGGACGACGGCCTCCAGCAGTACTTGATTTGGCGCGAGCGTCGCGGAGACGTTGGCTGTTGCGGGAGCATGTGGCTATCTCGGGCGAGACGGCTAGGAGTCGTTACTTTGGAACGCTTCTTTTTTTTGTCCTTTTTCTAACAAGGAGAAAAGGCCAGCGTTGCGGGAACCAGAAAAGTCGGGGTCTGGAGATTCGGATCTTCACTAGATGGAGAATTGGCAATTGTGGCGCGGACCGAGGGGGCTTGGCAACGGCTAGATGTTACGGGTTTTAAAACACAGGGGAACCGCTGCTTGTTGGCCGAGATGAAGGTCGAATGAGAAGAAAAAAGATGGCGGCTGCCAAAGGGCATGGATGCCGTCATTGCTGACATGCAGGCTTCGCCTTACGGCCCTTACAGTGGGTTGCAGCCACTAGAAGGGTCCCTGAGGCCCCAGAATCTCCGGGTGGTCGGCCTACGAGATGCGCTAACGTAGCACTGGAGGCTGTCAGAGGCTGCTGATGCGGTTCTTGGAGCTGCACGTACATGTAGCCAGGCCAGGGCCATCACGAGGACGCAGCTCATGCTGTCCCAGGGTGACTTTATCGCGCACAAGATACTGCGCTGTTTATTTAGGTGTTCATAGCGATGGACCAACAGTTGTTCTCTACAAACGATGATGGAAAAAGAGGAGGGGGAAAAAGATGGCAATTCAGCGCCCAGATGAAGTATGTATGCACGTTGGTAGGGTGAGTGAGAATCTCGGTCATATCTTGTACAAGCCCTATATGGCCTTTTGCCCTATTCAAAACTTTTATAAGCTCACAGCATACATCCTTCTGGTTACGCATGGCCAGGTCATCTGCCCCAGCAGATCCAACCAGGCCCAAGCCAAGGCCTTTATAAACAAGGCCGCCATCACGCCATTCCATCACCCGCACAAGCCATTTATTTCGCGCCTGGTCCAAACAGCACCTGCTGAGGATCGTACTTGTACTCCAAGTCGCCGTGCCAGTAGTTGACAGACTCGGCCTTGCAGAGCAGCCAGGCCTGGTCCAGCGCCTGCACCACCTCCTGCGGCAGCGGGCCCTTTTCAAAGTTGTCTATGTTGTTCTCCAGCTGCTCCAGGCTCGAAACGCCAATGATGATGCCGTCGTTTCCGTCCTTGACCTTGAGCGCCGAGTGGTGGACGAGCCATCGCATGGCCACCTCAATCAGTGTCAGCCCGGTCTTTTCAGCAGCCTCTTCGACGATGCGCAGTGCCTCAAATGTGCTGTCTCGGAAGTATCTGCCCCGGGAGATTGCTCCCATCGGCGTGTTGCCGGCATGACGTCCAGTGTCGGGCACAAAGTCCTTGGACTTGATCTTTCCGGAAAAGAGGCCAGCGGCAAGAGGGTTGTACACCACGATGTCGAGGCCGTAGCGACGGCAGGCCACGACCAGCTCAGGCTCAATGTTTCGAGTAATGGCGTTGTACATGGCCTGGAAAATAGATGGGCGGACCCAGCCGTTGTATTTGCATGTCAGCACGACCTCGGCTACTTCAAAGGCCGTAAAGTTACTGAGTCCCAGCTTGTTGAATTTACCAGCCTTGTGAAGCTTGTCCACTGCCTCAAGAGTCTCGGCAAAGGGTGTTGCGCGGTCTGGTTTGTGAAGATACAGAATCTAGTCATCACAATTAGCTAAAGCATCCGCATTGCAACACTTTCAAAGTAGCCTTCTAGAGTCCTGACAGCCAGATGAAGATTGCCTGAACACGATGTTTTGCGCCATGTTTGACTTACATCAACTTTGTCGGTTCCCAGCTCCTTCAAGCTCTTCTCCACGGATGCGACAACTTTGTCTGCTGTGTTGTCGCCGTATTCTCTAGGATAGATGACCTTGGTCGCCAAAGTAAAGCCATTCTTCTTCCAACTTGTCTGGCCCGTGAAGCCTTCCTGGGTCCCCTCGCCATACATTCGCGCCGTGTCAATCTCATTGTATCCGCGAGACTGCAAAAGGTCCAGTGCCTTGTTGAAGGTGTCCAAGTCGGTGACTCTGCCGTTGGTGGTCGGAGTCTTGTAAAAGGTCATAAGACCGAGGATAAGTCGAGACTTGGGAGCAGCCATTTTGCCTTGTCAAAATTTATGAGCAGGTCAGGAGTATGGAATTACGGACGGATGATAATGTATGAGGCATCTTCAATATATAAGAGAGACGAGTGGATCCCCATGTTCAGGCAAATTCGCGGGGCGGCTTCCCCCACGGCACATCATCCGAATTGCTTTGCGTCTATTGCGTGCACTTGATTACGAAATATTGCACCTTCGCCGATGCTATAACGAAGGCTCTGATAAACGCCGAATGGCCTTAGCAACCGATTCATGCTATCTCCGGTAGCACTGCCAGGACTATCAACCAAAAGTTCTACCGGCTACAATCGCAGATAATGTGCTGACAGCCAGCGAGCCGGCGGCAGCGTCCGCCCATCTTACTAAACTGCAGCCGGTAAGATTCCCCATTGCGCTGTTATTGCCAGGCCCAGTTATACTTCCCCTCCTCTAAGCGGCAGTTATGTCGGGTATAACGACCCAAGTTGCGTGTGAGAAAATGCCCATTGCACTCCTGCAAGGCTAATGAGATGGATCTTCTTAGGCGAGATGCTGAATTGAAACTTGCTACAAACTGATAGCGGAGATCCAACACTCGATGTCTGTGTCGTCCAGATATAACAGTTCAAAAGGACGGGGTCTTTTATAGTAGAATCTATAAATTCCATAATCATTCCATGAAGTAAAATTGATCATTTACGTCTTTGACACCGATAATTCATCATCGCAGATTGACCTGTTATCCAAATTGTTTTTGATGTCCAAATGTACACGGAATCCGGAACCCAAATCTATCGCAGAGAGCCGTGGGGGCGGGGAGAGCGCGCCTTATCGATAGGACTTGGCGATGCAGACGCCACCGGAGAAACTGCGGCAAAAAGCCCCATCCAACCGCGATTCGCAAATGTGTGAATAGTAGATGAAGTTTATAGCTTCAAGAGGCGTGGTGGAATCGAATCAGCTGCCTTTGCGCAATCTGTGCAACTCACCTGTCTCAAATATGATCCAGTGAGCACCCCAATGGCCAATATGCATCAATTGACTGCTGACAGCCCCCCAAGGCGCATTGTAACATAGACATAGTCAAACCATGAGGGCAAACCTGGCCCGTCATGGCAGGCGATTACTTGTCTGCCAAGCGAGGACGGCGCCATCCTGCGCTTTGTATGCGGCTCCGGCTCGACGAAGGCCAGTCGCACAGAGACCGGCGACACATGTCAACTTCGAACGAACGTTTCTCGGCGGCTTGCTCCAGAAGAAGGCCCCGCGGGAGATTAGACAGCCCGAGTATGAGCCGGGATGGCTGCAAATCATGGTGTGGAGGAGTCGCATGCTCGACAATGTCAGACCTCAACCTCGGCTTGAATTGCTGGAAGCGTGGAAGAAGTTGATGCAGTCGAAAATCAACACCAAAATGCCTTTCAACAGCACACAAGCTCTGCAGTGCCGCCGATTATTAGAATATCTTGCTGATCCGGAAAACACCGAGGAAAATGAAAAGGATAGAAAGCTTGGCGCCGTCCACCTAGCGATGGCGAGGCAAGTCCTCCTTGAGATTGATCCAATCGAACGAACGCAGCATCATCTTGATTTAGCAAAGGCTCTACATTCCGTGTGGGCTGCGGGAAACTTTCCCAGCAGGAAACCCAATCCCGTGGTGTCCCAGTGGGCCTATCTTGTCAACGCTCTGAGTTTATATGGCGGATCACTTGAAGCCGTACAGATGATGTATGACAAATGGGAACAGCCAGATTACTTCAACTCCATAAACCAGGGAGAGCGACTCTTGGAAGTCGTTGCAAATGGGCTGGCAAGAGAAGGACACGAAGCCGAGCTGGTGAAGCTGGTTGAATATGCTGAAACCCACAATGTCCCATACAGTGCCAGAATTCAGTACATCGTGGTCAGGTTTTTTGCCGAACGAGATCGCGTCACCGAAACGAAATACTGGCTCAACAAACCGCTCATGAGTGGCAACATACAGGCGCAAGTATACCGTATCCTAGCGCCCTTTGCCATGCGCAACGACCTTCAGGAGTGGGCGACTTCACTGTTCCTTGAACTCGGCGAATCGCAGCCATGGAAAAAATATTGGAACGCATTGCTTCAAGCAATACTCATTACCAGGGGAAGCCTTGCTGAAGTGGACACCATGATGTCGCACATGGTCGACGGCAGTGGAGAGATAGCTCCGGACATTCACATAATCAACGGGCTGCTCAGAGTTGCTGCTGAACAGCGAGATGCCGCTCTAGGTGAAGATATTCTTGCACTTGCCGCCAAAAGAGGCCTTGCTCCCAATGGAGAAACACATCTCATCTTGCTAAACCTGCGGCTCAAAACCGACAACTTGATGGGGGCGCGAGAGGCATATAACCAAGCAAGACATGTACAGCCTTGGGCTAATGAAGCCAAGCCTCGCCTATTTGGAGAATTCCGCTTGGCAGTTAATGAGTATCTGGTGGCATTGGCAGCGCAGAAACAGCCCGATTTCAAGTTTATTTCATCAGTTCTCGAGTCCGTCGAAGAAGATCAGATGCGGCTTGAGCCAGACACTGTCGGCGTACTCTGCTTGAGATTCCTAGAAAACGACCAGCACTTTGACGTCATGGACATGCTCTCCATCTATTCCTTCTTATACAGCGAAACCGAGCGAGAGACTGTTCAAAACGCCTTTGTCTCCTTTTGCCTCGACCGCAGCACGAGCACAAATCGAGCCTGGGCTGCGTATCAACTTCTTCAACAGTTCTTCCAGGATACCAGTTTCGAGCGGCGGGTATCATTAATGAATGCATTTTTTGAGCGAAAACGCCCAGATATGGCTTCACAAGTCTTTGGGCATATGCGGGCACACCGAAACAAATCGTACCATCCTACAGTAGACACCTACATCACATGTCTAGAAGGCTTTGCCCGATATCCCGACGAAGAAGGCCTGGAAATGGTTCACAATATGCTCAAGATGGATGTCTCGCTACAGCCATCGACGAAGCTATATACCGCCTTGATGCTGGCATACACAGGCTGCGGCCAGCCACTAATAGCGCTGGACTACTGGACCCAAATCACACAGTCCAGAGAGGGTCCGTCATATGCTACTTTGCAGGCAATGTTCTGGACGCTGGAGAGGAAAAGCGGCGGGCATAAGCAAGCCCGAGAGGTTTGGCAAAAGATTGAAAGAATGGATTTGGACGTACCTCCCAGCGTCTACAACGCATATATCGGCGCTTTAGCGGGAAATGGAAACGAAAAGGAGGTTCGAAGCCTAATTATGGGGATGGCGTCCGTTGTCGGCTCAGAGCCAGATGCCATGACGTGAGTACAAACTCCTCTCCTTCTATACATCCTTGGTTGAAGTCAAACCATCGCATTGCTAACTCGATTTATATAGACTCGGCATCACATACAATGCTCTGCCCGGACAGCAGCTTCAGAAAGGATTCCAAGAGTGGGCCAAGGGACGATACAGCGATGCTTGGGCAGAGCTGATGAAGGTGGGCCGGCGGATGGACGAGTATTCGCTGTGCCAATTCAAAATAGAACGGATCATGAAGGCTTAGAAGGCCAAAAGCTGAGTGTACAACATGGAAGGAAAAAATATCAGCATGACATTGTATAATTGAGGGCGGCATCTATTGTACACATAGTTCAGGGGGAAATATCTAGCTACAAGTATATAAAACAATGTCTTGCGTGAGCGCCATATGCATAGAAGGCAGCTCTAAACAGAAAAAAAAAATACAATCACACTGCGCCATTTTTTAGTCCGTCCAATCTCTCATCTCCTCTCAGGGAAGAAGTTGTCCCTGACCATTTCCGGGTGAGCGTGAATAGTCGGGTACAGACCCATGCCCTGAACTCGTCGGATCATCTTGGCAATCTTGCGCTGGTTGACGGGACGAAGACTTGTGCCGGATGAGTGAGTGATTTGGCCAGAGGTTGAAGTGAATTCCTGGATCAAAGAAAAGTTCTATACGCTGCATTAGCTCTCGCTGCCTCCCCTGATTTCTCGATTCTAGACAATAGATGCCTAATGAAGCCATACCTTGTACATATCCAGAGGTCGAATCCCCAGCGCATCAACAACATCCCCCCCTCTAGGCGACCTCTTCCTCCACTTCTGCATCTCCACAGGACTCATATCATGCGGCGAGTACACATCACCGGCGTCCCACCTTCGCGGCATCTGCTTGAGGTAATCGTTCGAGTTCTTCTGGTTGCGCATCATATCCAGCTGGGTCTGCTTGTTCCTCAGCGACGTCTGGCCCACGCGCTTATATCTCGTCATCAAGTCCGACGCAGCCTCGCTGGGCTTGTGCGCCGACTGGCCGGATCGTGAGGGGCCAGACGATCGTGAGGAAGAAGTCGGGTTGTTGATGGAGAGGAGGCTGCTGGTGGAGGAGTGGCGCTGGTGAGAATCGCCGCGGGGCGGTGCGCGGGCCGCTGCGGTGGTTGAAAAGGCGCGGATTGAGAGGCCGCGCATGGCGCTGGGCGAAGGCACGAGAGAAGGCATGGCGGGCGAATTGAGCTGGCAAAACGTTCTGAGTTGCTTGGAGAGCTGGCGATGGGCGAAATCCTGGTGTTGAGCTAAATGCTAAAGGTGGCGGGCGGAACGCTTTCCGCGAAGTACCGCAAGGCCCCACTTAAAAATTATCTGCGATTTTCATTTTCGAGACTCTCCTCCAAATCTATCAACGATAACTTGCAATCAGCGCTCTTCATACCAACCAATTCCTCTTTTGTTGGTCTACGATTGTTGTTCAATTTGAAACCCTATTCCCAGAAACAATTGTAACAGCAACTGCCTGACGACAAGGCTCCCGACAAAATGGTGCGCAAACTCAAGCATCACGAGCAGAAGCTCCTGCGCAAGACAGACTTCTTCACATACAAGCAAGACAGCAACCACCGCGACAAGCTCGTCCGCCGGCGCTACATGATCCAGAACCCCGAAGACTACCACAAGTACAACCGCCTCTGCGGCGTAAGTCTCTTGTCCCCCATCACCTCTTCCAACATGCTAACGTACAATCCTCCAGTCCATCCGCCAACTCGCCCACCGCCTCTCCCTCCTGCCCCCCGAAAACGCCACCCGCCGCAAACACGAAGAGCTGCTGCTCAACAAGCTCTACGACATGGGCATCCTCTCCTCCGCCTCCAAGCTGTCCGCCGTCGAGAACAACGTCACCGTCAGCGCCTTTGCCCGCCGCCGCCTGCCCGTCGTCATGACGCGGCTGCGCATGGCCGAGACGGTCCAGGCCGCCACGAAGCTCATCGAGCAGGGCCACGTGCGCGTCGGCGTTGACGAGGTCACCGATCCGGCGTACCTGGTGACGAGGAACACGGAGGACTTTGTGACGTGGGCCGTGGGAAGCAAGATTAAGCGGAACATTATGAAGTATAGGGATGAGCTGGATGACTTTGAGCTGTTGTGATTGTTGCTTTATTCTTCCATCTTTTTCTCAGTTTTACATGTCTTTTGGTTGTTTGGGGAATATCGGGTTTTGTGCAAGGAGAGAGGGGATTTCTCCATTAGACACAGCGCATGGGAGGAGAGCATATTGTCGGAAAGCTAAATTTGGCGTTTACGGGCTTGGTTGGTTAATGAGGCTGTTGTTAGTTTGCATTACAGCCAGATATTGCAAGAGATATAGATACCAATCTCAGACTACTTGTACAAAGCATTTTACATTGTTTGCTATCCAAATCTTGAAATCCCTACACATCGCCAGATACATTCCGCTAGAGCATATATTTCAACCCCGAATCTCTATCCTAGTCCTCTCCTCTCTTGCTATTATACAACTTCACTAGCCAATCAATCATCAGCATTCATGCCATTAGGTTTTCAGGGAAGTCCACAACGACAAGTGCCGCAAACATGGCCACTCTGCGCTCACTAATCAGAAAACGAATCAAAGCTCCTCTCCCAAGTTCACCGTCGCAATTCTCTTTCCAACATCTACACAAGTATAAAAGCGTCATAAAAAATCTTTCAATTTCCTTTCCTGGGGTATACTGCCGCAGAGATAAGCCGCGCCATCTTTCAACTGAGCTCTCATAATCGTTCCGATTCTCGCCAACATAATTCACATTCCCAGAGCTCCCTACGTTAAACGCCTTGGCGTATTTCCGAGCGCAAAACACCCCTATAAGTCGATAAAACAATCCACCTTCAAATATCGCAAATCTCATCCACCACAATCGCAACGACTCCAAGCATCTCATCTTCACCAGTGGAGGACTTGAGGCCGGTGACTCCACTAGCATCGGCCCCACCCCGTAGCTTCATTTCACAAAAGGCGCAGGCTGCTCAGATAAAGGGCTAGGCTCACATGTGTTTGGAGCATCTTATACCAGGTAGACACACTGTGCGTGCCGGGTATAAAAGCCCACATCCAAACAGGCTCCCACACTCTTCTTCCTATTTTCCCCCTGGTGAGCCTAGAAGATCTTGTTCTTCTGTTTCTTCTTTTCGCTTTGCTGGGCTCTCGGTTTTTTTCCCCTTGGATCCCTGTGACAAAGACAGGTGGTCGCCATAGAAGTTGCCATCGTCCCATTCACATTTGTATAAGTCCCCTGAGTACCAGAGGGCAGCCGTCCTCTCTTCTTTCACCATGGACACCTTGGCTACCATCTGGGATGCCTTCATACATGTCGTTGATCCATGGCGCTTCATGAGCATCTCTTTCCGTCATATACCCGCCACCATACGGGGTCTCATCCATGAAAAGGATTATGGAGCTCTGCTCTCGTTTGCAAGATTCGAAGAAGCTCTCTTTGGCACATTCTGGGCCACCATCGGGCCGAATGTCAAGCTTAATGCAGAGCAGCGCGTCATTCCTCTCCTTGAAGGTCGTATCAAAGATGGTGTCGTTCATGATGAAGTCGTGAGCACCCCAGTATATGGTACGGTCCTCGAGGTCGGTGCCGGAAGTGGCATGTATGCCGACGTTTTTGCCCGTTTTCGCGAAGGTGCCGATAGCGCCCACGACAACGAAAGCCTTCGACACAGAAAAACCACAGGTGGCCACATCACCAAGATGTACGGCGTCGAGCCCAACCCCATTTCCGCCAAAGCGCTCGGACAACGTGTAAAGGACCTCGGTATGGACGATATATATCACGTCGTCCCTGTCGGTATCGAATCTGTCGACGACCCCTCCGCCTGGAATGGCAAGATCGAGCCAGGCAGCGTTGACTGCATCGTCAGCATCCTTTGTCTCTGCAGTATCCCCGAGCCTGAGAAGAACATCAAGCTTCTGTACAACCTGCTCAAGCCAGGAGGCCGCTGGTACGCCTATGAGCACGTCAAGGTATGGCGCGGCGGCCCATTGCTCAGCCTATATCAGCGTAAGTCAGCGCCCACGTTCTGCTTCTATCCCGATTATTATCATTCCAAGAACTAACGGCTTTCGACTTGCCAGGCTTTGTCAACCTCGTCTGGCCACACTTTTTAGGAGGATGTGAACTCTGTCGCGATACCGAAAAGAGCCTCAGGGCAGCCGGCATCTTCAAAGAGATTGATTTCGTGCAGCCCGTGGCTCAGCCCCCCTATCAGGTTTTGCCGCACAAGATTGGCATTCTGACGAAATAAGCCTTTTCATGATTCAAGAACCGCTTTTCGAGCGCAGCGAATACCCCCAATCATAATGTTCTCATTTGAGCAGCAAGTCTTTCTCAAAGCTCGTCGTCATCGTCATCGTCCAAAAGAAATATCGAAGTCCTGTTGGATTTTTCGTCTCCCGGTATCGGCTTCCCCTCATCAGCAAACTCATGCTTCTGTATGTCTGCCTTCTCTTCTTTGATATCCTCCTTGATATCTTCAGCCTTCGTTTCCGTTTTGATTTCGTATTTTATGCCACTCGGCATGTTCCCAGTCATTTCTTCCTCCTTTTTCACAATTTCGGGCTTGACTTGAGGCCATGGCTCCAAGTTTTCGAGCTTTACCCCGCTTCTTGCCTCATCATCCTTCGTCGCATCCGATTTTAGCTTGTGCTCAAGCTTCAGGGCTTTTGCCCGCATGTCGGCCGGCGATATGTCGCGGTTGACGATACCCTCTTTTTCCAGCTTAGCCTCGCGTCTTTTGTAGAATGAATTCAAGCAATTCCTTCTCGTTTCTGTCGTCCAGCTTTCCACAATAAGAGCAAAATCCGTAGCATTGGCGAAGCCAAACTCCCTAGCCATCTCACAGAACTGCCGCAAGCAAACGTCTTCAGGCGGTTTGAACTTGCTGTGTAACCCATCGCCATCATCCACATCGCTATCAACAAATAAAGTAGCTTGACCAGCAACATCTCCCTCGTCAAATAATCTCTCAGCTGCCTGCCGTGAAAGCTGCTCCTCTACCTTGGAAGATCCAATCACCTCGGAATTGTCGTGCGTGTATTCTACACCAGCTGCCGCAAGGATGGCTTGCACAGCGTCGCTTTTGGGACGGTTGACTTTCTTAGAGTCGGTTGCTTTCTGCTTGTCACTAGAGGTCAACATTTCTGCCAGCTGACTTAGGCCTCCATCTTCGGAATCGCCGTCTTCTTCGCGTTTGACGACACCCAAGTCTTCCCCATCCTTCGCAGCCTCTTCTATATTGACATCAACCAAATGTACCCCAGCTTTAGCTTCAGCAATATTTGTCTTGTTGACAATGTCGCGGAGCAAGCCCATGTCGCTATGGTGGGTGAAGATATTTTTGAGCCCAAATATTTCGCCCTTTCGTTCAGTGTCTTGCTGAACACCGCGAAAATATCGTCGCTCAGACGAGGCAGTATATCCAATATTTGCTTGCTGCTGCTTATAGATTTGGCGAGCATAGACAATTTCTTCAATCGTCCCAACAGAGATGAGTCTGAAAACTTCAACATCTCGTGTCTGGCCTATCCGATAAGCTCGATCCTGGGCCTGTAGGTCATATGCAGGATTCCAATGAGGATCAATGATGACGACCTTGTTAGCTGAGGTGATATTCAGTCCGACCCCACCGGCCTTGGTTGAGATGAGAAACACAAACTGAGTGGGATCCGAATTGAAAGTGTCAACCACATCTTGGCGCGCCTCGTAGCTCAAAGAGCCATCTAGGTAGCTCACAGTGTAGCTCGTGCTGGTGAAGAGATGCTGCAATATTCGAAGTAGTCGCACGCTATGGGAAAATACCAGAACCTTGTTTCCGCCTCCATGCCAAAATTTGAGCAGTTTCTTGAGAATTTTCCACTTGCCGCAAAACTCTGGATTGACCAGGTTACTAATCCGATCTCGCTTCTCATATAGCACACTCCATGTGTCAGGCATGCAAGTCTGTAGTGTCCTCAGTTCTGACTTGTGCTTCTCTTCCAAATCAGTCGTCAATGGTACCAGGAGAGTGAGATGGTTGGCTAGCTTTTGTAGAACGATAATACTAGGGAAGACAGCGCTTTGCCAGCGTCTGCCGTTTGGGAGATATTGGTAACAGCACCAGCCCTTCTTGCCTCGATGCTCGCAGTCGCAGTCTTCTGAGGCAGTCCGTATAGTAGCTACTTCTGCACTGCCAAGGAAGTTTTCGTATGCTTCCAGCTGCAAGTCGGTAAGGGGACAGAAGACCACTCGATCAGTCTTCTTCGGCAGCTGATCTGCAATGAGAGACTTCATGCGGCGCAAAAAGTATCGAGGGAGGAGGTTTTGAACCAGTTTCTTCGCCGTCTGCCTTGCAAGGCTTAGTTGCGCAACTGTTGCCTCATGGGACTGGCCGACAGTCAAGGGTTTTGTGATGGCATTTGACCACTCCGCCTTGGCACCAAAATGGCCCGGGTTGGTCCAATCCAGCAATGTCCAAAGCTCTTCGTATCTGTTTTGAATAGCGGTTCCCGTTAAGCCAATCCGACAAAGCGCATTGACTTCTTGCAAGGCTTTAGTAGTCTCCGAATAACGATCTTTGAGTCGATGACATTCGTCCGCAATGATGGCGTCCCATTGTACCATGTTGATGGAGCTGCGAGAGTTTTTATATGTCTCGTATGTTGTAATCATGATTTCCAGCATGCCTGCCCGAGCTGCGCCAAGTACGTCGTCTTTGTTTGCGCCATGGAAAACGTCAACATGCCACCACCCCCATCGATTCAGCTCGTTTCTCCAATTCATAATAAGAGATCCGGGGCAAATTATGAGTATCTTGGGATACCATCGGTCGCCAAATAACCGCATTTGCCTCAGACGTTTCCCATCTCGCTCATCACCTGTTTTTCCGAATGCGGTTGTTAGAAAAGCGGCAACTTGAACTGTCTTGCCGAGGCCCATGTCGTCTCCCAATATGCCTCCCTCTTGGTATACAAATTTCTTGTGCAAAAATCGAACGCCATCAACTTGATAGTCACGTAGGTATTGCGCAATTGATGCTGGAATCAGACCGCCGGACTGAGGAAGCTCGATATCTCTGTACGGCCGAGACGGTCTGATACCACTTCTTGGGTCAAAGTCTGGCCTCTCTCTCAGCTCACTAAGCCTCTTCGACTCATCAAACTCGATATCGGTGTAATCAGGCGGCAGCATCAGTGCAGATTCATGATATAGCTTCCTCTTGGCGTCAAAATCTCTTCTCCGCTCAATCAAGTAGTCGGGGAGGTCCAAATCCTCCGAATCATCCTCTGCACGGCCATTTCTTCGGCTGTCCTTTTCATCCTTCTTTTTCCTGACGGATTTACGTTTTGTCTTCCGTTTCTTTGGCTTGGAGGGCAGACTGTCTGACTCGTCCGTCCACTGAACCTTTTCCGTCAAGTCGGGCTCGATTTTCCTCTTTGGAGGAGGGGGTTTGGCCGATCCCTCGAACCCATCCTCGGAAGGAGATTCTGTTTCTTCATCGTCTGATATTTCCACGACATTCCTCGCCATTTTTGAAGCCGAAACGGCAAAAATGCCATAAGAAGCCGGAGAAGAAGCGCGTAGCGATAACGCGAGATGGCGAATAGCGGACCCACGTGACGCTTCAAGGTTGCGATGTCATGGTCTCGACTGCCTAAGCACCTCCATAGCGCCTGTATTTTAGCGGCTGTCAGGTCACGACCAGCTCTAGGCAGCACTGCAACAAGCGGTCTGGTGCTAACGACAAGCTTAGAGGAATCGCCTCTTCAGGTCTCTTTCAGCTATTGCTCTCGTAAATTATTAATTTGAGTAATTTTGATATTCATCATATGGCTTACGTTCAACATGAATACCTACTTAAGGTAGTGTACTTGGAGTCTTAAATTGTGACAATAGTTCTACTTACATCAAGGACCCATGCAAAGCGCGCAGCCCTGCTTAACCGTCACAACGTCTTGCAGTCAATTAACAAGATTACATGTAAGTCAGATTGTCAACACCTCCGCTAGGCAATCATAAATATTCAAATGACACACCATCTGGAGTATCGAGATGATTATTTATGAAGAACTAATACAGGCTAATGGCAGTGACTTACCCAAGCAGCATTGCTTGATGACCACATCAAAATCTCCTATTTAGTGCCAGGGTGACATTGATGCAGTAACTGATGAGATAATCGCCGCTCTTATAATTTGGATAGATGCAAAACACCTGCGGAAGGCCATCGTTTGGATATGCTAAGATGCTTATGTTATCGATATGCAAAACAGAAGGCTCTCTTTGAAGATTTGCAAACCACAATGCAGATGATCACTATGGCTGGCAACATTTAAAAACCTGACAGCAGTTGCAATCATTTGAGACAAAATATGGAGGCAAGACATCACTCTTGTTCGTATTTTTCCCCATTATTCAACTTTCACCATGGCAGCAAATCTCTCCTTGAGCCCCGAGGAAGCGCGAGATCGAATCGCCATCCGTCAAGTCATCGATCAATATGCTCACTGTGCCGATCGCCGCTTACCAGACGAGCAAATGTCCCTCTTCACCGATAAAACCAACTTCTTAGTATACATGCAAGGAGAAGGATCGTCGCCCTCGCAAGTTGTCGAAAAACGAGAGGATTTGCGACCAGTCTTTGAGTTTCTGCGCGGCTACACCCACACAACGCATTTTAATGGACAAAGCACCATTGACATCGGACCGGACGGCAAGACTGCTTCTGGCGAAACATATTGCATTGCATATCATTTGTCTGAAAAGGACGGTCACCGGCAAATGTACGTGGCCAGTTTGCGGTACCAGGATATCTTGAAAAAAGAGGCCGATGATATCTGGCGGTTCTCGGAGCGGAAGCTGTACCTCGATTGGTCAGAGACGAGACCGTCGAATCCATAGTCATTTCATAGGTTGATTCCTTTAATTCCATGGCGTTGTCATTTTGCCGCCTGCATTATGGATACGCATATCGTCCATACTCCGCACTTTGCAAGTTGTGTTGTCATTATGTAGCCAATTCTGGCATATAAAGCTCCAATTGCATCTTCAATCGTATCGTACGATTCTGCATTCGTATTTAGCCTTTTGGCTGGAAAGACACACCTTTGCAGGTTTCCCGCAAATGTCAGATTTTAAAGCCCAAGATACCACTTTAGGGGGGCAACATGCGGGGCGCCGAGACGTAACTCGGCATATCGTTTGGAGGATTCTGTATGCTTGTCGTGCATGGCCGAGACGGCAACGACTTCCGCCATTGCAGAGAATATCAAAACAATTCGATCAAATCTTCAAGTAACGCACCACGCCTCGAGGTACCAGTTGCTGCCACTGTCCCAAGAGCAAAGGCGCTACCTATTCCAATCATATCATCGCTTTCAGAGAAGAAGCGAGCATATTCTGAGTCCATTATTTGACCTAGTTTCCACATGGCCGCAGATTATCATAGTCTTCTCCTGACAAAACATCCGTTGATGCTAGACGACTGAGTTACCAGCAACCTGCTCTGTATGGTTATAAATACCATACATTGAAATTATAAGCATAGTGGTCTGCCAAGACAGTTCAGGATCGACTGCCATCATTGTTGCTAAATCCTCATAGAGAAGCTTTCATATGCGTCCTTGGTCGTAGACTGATGTACTTTTCGAGTTGGCGTGGGGATCGTTATCGCTTTTTGTCGATTTTTTTGTGTTGATAAAGTCGTAGTGTGTCGAAACTTGGGCAGTGGATTATAATACCTCAAGGCAGCGGTATCTATCTCAGTTTTGAGCTCAATTAGCAATAAATATCTCAATGTGTAAGAACTGGTTCGAGGCCGCCCACCAACAATATTATCCACATTAGCTACCTGCCGCTCCAGCTCAGTCGAATGCATAATGGAGTTTACCTGGTTGCCAAAACATTATCCACGTCCGCACAATGCGCTTCGGAAACCCTGTGGAAAGGTATTAGCAAACATCCCTAGACCCAAGGACGGTGACTACTTACTATTACATGCTGCGTCTGAAATGAAAGGAAAGGGTCAAAGAATGAGAAAAGGCGAGCAGGAGAATCGATGGTATCCTAGAAATATTAAGATGAGTATCTCATACATGACAGAATCACAATTGTTTAAATGACACATTGGAATGAATCAACATAGAAAATCCCATTATTTAAATGCGTGTTGCGCCGAAATATGCGTTATATCCAAGTCCACCGAAACGCCCGTGGTATATATACAGTCGAAAGCTGGACAATTCTAATTTTTCAGTCCCCTTCCATGACATCGCCCGCTAACAATGTTTCAAGCTCGTTTAGACGTGTCCGTCAACAGCCCACTTGGCGAGAGCAGGCCAGCCAAGCAACAGGCCAAAGGCAGGAACATAGCTGTCGAAAGAAAGATGTTAGTAAATAAACGTTTTTAAAATTCCATGTCGAGTTTATCAAGAGTAGCTTACGTGACAATCTTGCCCAAGACAAAGGTAACCTCCTTGACATAATCAGGAGCTGCAGGCTTCGCGGTGACTGGAATCCGCTCGTAAGGGGCGTGCTCAAAAGCGCGGCCCATGCTTCGGATTTGCGTGACGAATGAGACAGGTCTGCGAGCAACGGTCTTGGCTGCAGCACGAGTGAGGACGGAGGCGGACATCTTGAGAAGTGTTTGAAAGATGTGTTTTTGTTGTGTGTAAGTTGAAGAGATTGGAGATGCAATCAAATTCGATTTCGAGTCTTGGAGATATTAAACTCGGTGTATATGATTGAGGAGAGATATTCGTAGAATATAAGAAAAAGTTGAGTAGAGAGGTGATCCTCTGTGGATTGTGTTGTTGCTTTGTAGATGTGATGATGAACCAAAAAAAAGCAAACTTCGAGGCTTCCAACCCGAACATTATGTATCCCAGCAATCCATCGCAAGTCGCCGCACGCCATGCGGCGCAGCCACCATCCGAAATTTGATTTTTCCTTTCTTTCCCCCATCCGGCCCTCATGATGTCAATTTTGGCGCTGCTTCCGCTCTCGTGAGACTCCCCTTGCGGCCAGATTATGGGCAGATGCCGCACATCTAGCTGGGTGAATATCACACCACTGTCAGGACATGCTGCTGCCACTGTTACGAAGCCGCCGCCTGGCGATTGGCCAGCCTTACCTCTGACCTAACGGTTTTCGGGCTCGGCTCTTTGAACCAGGGAGCTTGTGGGAATAAGCGGCTACCAACAACGCCCCGGTCGGTGGTGCCACCCCGGAGGATGCCGGAGAGGGGTGGTCGTCTGGCGTTTATGACTTTTCTTTTTTTGGCTTTGCGAGTACAGTAGCAACGGCACATGTATTGACAAGATCCAGAAATTCGGGCGGCGTGGAGACAAGAGCCGCCGCATGATTGACGCCCAGGTTCATCCCAAAAGCGGAATATGCTGGAGCTCATCATAGCCTACGCTTCCTGCAGTTTCCTATTATGAGCAGGTTTACCTAAGGTTTCGCGCCCGGAGCAGGCGAGGTTACAGAATTATCATACCACTCTTCGGCGGCCGCATCTCTGAGTGGCCGGATTTGCCCTTGTGCTTCTGCCACGTAATCTGGGGAAGTCTCTTGCGGCGTCAAATCACGGCAAGGCGATTACTGTTCGGATCACAAAGATCCCAAGAGACTGCGACGGTGCATGGTGTGCTGTCCTTGCATGAGAAGAGGCCATCCAAGATTCTGCTAGCAGGCCATGGACTCAGATGCATCTCGTGTACATGTAGATGGCGCTATTCCAAAGATCTGGACAAACCACAAAAACACCAACAGACCTTTCAACGCCGTTGCTGCCACAACGCACATTCTGGCTCAATCATGCTCAGCTCCTTACAAAGGAGTCATCAGGCGATTCCGCATCATTTCTATTGACTGCTAGAACATTGTGAAGAGACTAAAGCGGATTGATTGCCTAAGAGATTTTGTTAGTCCTTTTTGCGGCGACTGCGGCATCAGCTCAGCGTCCGGTTCCAGCCGCAGCGGCGCACTCCCCGACATCCGCTCCGGAGACGAGGGTCGGCCAGCACCGATCTCATTTCTTCGGGTCGATTTCTATTTGAGCACGTGGCTCAAAGCCCAGCTGTGTTTTATTGCAAGATTATATATGCATGCTTGTGTAATCTTGAGAAATATATGATCTCATAGATGCTTTGCATGAAAAGATTCAAGTTGTCAACTCACGGAGGACTCTCGGTATAGGTTGAAGGACAGGAGGCTAGGACTACAAGTACAGTTGAGAAACCAGTTGAAAGGCAGGGAAGAGTTATATAAAGCTATGTATATTTCCTGACTTGGAATTGAATTTTTATATTTGTTTCGGTCTTTATATCTGTTACTATTTCTAGTCTTCTTCTAAAAATAGTGCCGTTGAATGGTGTACATTACTTGTCCAAACTTGGTGCTACAATTGAAGCTAACTACAGAGATTCCTGCAGCTTTCCCATCCTTTGTTACCACAAAACCACAATACTACTACCGCTCCTCAGAACAATCAAACAAACTCCTCAAACATACATATTAAGTAAGGCCAAAAAAAAAAGTCTGGCTGATTCAACGAAGCAAACACTCAGGTGGGCTAAGACGTTTTAATGTCTACCTGCAGCGTACTACAGGGTATACGATCCTCTGCACAGCCAGCGCAAACAATTGATATCGTAACATGACTGAGAGCTGAAAATCTATTTGTTATCCTTTAGATTAAAGGATCCAGTAATTTTGAGACACAGAATATTAGAGCTATAAGCCAAGAGAAATTGATTTCTGGTACATGCACTTTCTGCACATGATTCAAAATAGCTAATGCGGGTATTGTTTGGCCAATGATTCTCCTATGATGGCCTGACCAGGGAACTCTTCTTTGAAGAAGGTGTAGATGGCAATGGCAAGCGACAAGCACCAGAGCGAAATGGAAGAAGTCGTTATCGCAAACTATTGCCATACCGTGTTCTGCACTGTACCACCTTTTACTGCTTCTCAACTGGCATTCTGCTTCTATTTCCTGTTTGGGCTGATCCCCCGCATATCAGGCACCACGCGTTCGTCTTCCTACCATTAAGCATTGCAAAACTCCACCACCATATCGATTCATGGCCGAGGCTGTCAAGATTACGAAGGCGATAAGTAATGCAGCATGGCGGCTTGGCATCCAAACATGCGCACATTCGCACTGTCTTTTCATCCTCGTCTGACCGGCCGTAAGCACGAACAAACAGCAGCCAACCCGGCTCTCGAGTACCTGCATCACCTGTACCGAGATCAACGGGTGCTATGGCCATCTTTCTAGAAGAGAAATCCTGACTGCTTAATCGAAGAATGCCAAACCTGCATGTGGACTTGGGCATCCAAAACAGGACCCTGGGACGCATCAACTAGGCAAATTGCGTCCATAGTCGCCGTCTTCTAAGCTTAGTTCTCAGCTGGCCTCAGGGAAGATGCCAGGATTGACGGCAGCTCCCTGCGCTAAAAGGCTGCTAACAGAGCCCCCCCAGCCTGTTTGTGCGCAGTGACAAACAACCAACAACCGTCGAAGAGGCGCATACGGACATTTTTCTTGCGCGAGGGGGACATGACCGTCTTTTGCCGGCGTTATTAATGCGCATGCGCGGATCTCTCTGGCGATAGATTTAGACGTCTCGGCGATTTCTGCCATTGGTGCCAACGTTGTCCATCATCTACGGCCGTGCGATCGCAATGGCCAGTCCAAAGTCCCCCGAGAAAAGCCCACGAGGCGGCTCCTCCACCAAATCACCACCAGCGCCGATATCTCCTGATGCCGCGCAGCCGTCAGCAGCGGGCGAGGTGCCCACGACAGAGATACCATTTGTATGTTTGGCAAATTGATGTCGCGGCTGCGAAAACATGGTGATTTTTCTTTTGTTTTCCAACTTATACTGACGGGTCACACAACACTAGGAGGAGCATGACAATGGCGATGGCGACTCTGGCGTGGAAGATGACGAGGATGACAAGTAGGTCGCCCCGAGCACTGCGCGATATACGCTGCATGCGCCGAGGCATATTGACCAAGTTCCGCAGCGCCTCATCAACCGCCTCTCTGACCGACAGCATATACGACTACCGCAACATCCACGGGCGCACGTACCAAAACTCCAAGACGACGCAGTACTGGGGCCCCAACGACGAGCGCCAGAACGACGGCCTCGACATCTCGCACCACTTCATCACCATGGTGCTCGGCGACAGGCTCTTCGAGGCGCCCCTCTCCAGGCCGCCGACCAGAGTCCTCGACGTCGGCACCGGCACCGGCATCTGGGCCATCGACATGTCCGACGCCTACCCGTCCGCCGAGATCATCGGCACCGACATCAGCCCCATCCAGCCCATGTGGGTGCCGCCCAACTGCATGTTCCACATCGAGGACGCGCAGCTCGAGTGGACGTATGCGCCCGAGTCCTTTGACTACATCCACATCCGCGGCCTCTACGGCAGCATCAGCGACTGGGGCGCGCTCTACCAGCAGGCCTTCCGCGCCACCATGCCGGGCGGCTGGGTCGAGAACTTTGAGTACAACATCATGGTGCTGAGCGACGTGCCCGAGATCCGCGACGACCCAAAGCACATCTTCAAGCGCTGGGCAAACGTCTTCTTCGAGGCCTCGGAGCGCATGGGCAAGACGCTGCGCGTCGGCGAGGGCGGCCAGATGCGCAAGCTGATGCGCGAGGCCGGCTACGTCGATGTTGTCGAGAAGAACTATGCCGTTCCCATTGGCGCATGGAGCAGCGATCCCACCATGAAGCAGATTGGAGCGTATAGCCTTGCCTTTTTGGACGAGAGCCTGGAAGGCTTTGCGCTGTTTCTGCTCAAGGAGATTATGGGCTGGGACTATATCGAGATCCAGCTCCTAGTCTCGGAGTTTCGCAAGGCTTTGCACAACCACAGGATCAGACCGTACTACATATGGTATGTGCCTCTTTTTTTCTTTTCTTTACAAGTTCACTTCCTCAATTGCTAATGCATGAATATAGTACAAATGTCTTTTCACGAAAGCCATAGCGCGGAGATCAGCTTCGTTCATTTTCGTTGTATATTTTTTGGTCTTTTCTTTTTTTTCTTTATTCTTTCTGGCGTTTTAATTTGGCTACCCCCACGGCGTTGTCTTGTCTTTTCCTTTTAGCGTTCATGCTGAGAATTTTGCCAAAAGCACTCGAACCCTTGCACAAAGATTTTAAGAGCTGTCCAGGCTATGCCTGTCAAGGCAGCGTTCATGCCACCTTTCCACGTGGCCAGCAGGGCGGGCGGCATGACTTGACGGCACTGTCACATTGCGTGTATTGTCCGCCATCTATCATGGAACCTGTTTTTATGGAATACAATTTGGGAGCGAATGATTGATTGATTTCTTCGCCCTCCTGGTAGCTGGAGCCCATGTACATTACCTTGAATCATCATGCTCTCTCTCATTTATTCCTGCATGGGTGTATATATCACTGCGTTAATATACTACAAGGCGTCTCGCTGACCCAGATTTTTGGAAACCATGCGTTCACTTTCAAGAGAATCCCATGGGATATATTGTTATAAATAAAACTATTGCCTCGCGTATAGTATACTAAGCGCCACGACCGAAACCTCCATGTGCTCGTTACAAACGGGCCAGCGTTCAGGGGACATGCATACATGTAATCCAACATCCATGTCATATGAATCTTCAGCTCATGCACGCTGAAACAATAGTCTAGAATCAATAAGCTCACAATATTGTAACAAGCAGCAACATGGATAGCCCAAACCCTGTTCCCACCACTACGAAATATTCATCTGGCCGCATCTTCACCGAGTAGAGCCATCCAACGATGTAGCATCCTGGACTGTGTAGCGCTAAAGTGAGCACCTTGTCGACGCTACTGCGCTGTTGTTTTATTTGTATTTTCTCAATCGTAAAGATAGACGATAATCTGTTATACTAGTACCACCAGGGGTAGACACGAAGAGGGGGTGAGACGTCGTGACGCCAGACTGTGGTCTTACAGAGCACTGTGAGCACATGTACATCTCCCTACTCTACTACTTGACTTTCTTTTCTCCCCTCTTCCACAATTTTTGAAGAATAAACTACGCTCATATTTTCCTTTTTTAATTCGCCTCTTCTCCACGCTATATCCAACGACCAGGTTCGGGCCGCCCCGCGAAGAGTCTAGCGGCGGGCACTTCCCCATCTTTGCTCCGCTCCACAGTGTAGACGCTGTTAGCTGCCGCTTGCAACAGCATAGAGCGGTGCTTTTAAACACCTTTTCAAAAATCTCAAGTCTTTTTCGGAATCATCGGCTCTTTATATCCCAAGCTCTACTCTGCATGTAGATGCGTGATGATGGACAGATTTGCCGGAATTCCAGGATACCTCGTCCTGTTCGCCGGCAGTTTCCTCGTATACTTGATCGCAGGGAGAGTCACTGCGTGGGCGAGACTGAGGTCCTTTCGCGGGCCCTTTTTGACCAATTTCACCAATTGGCCCCATAGAAAGGCTTTGCTTCAACAGAGATGCCATGAGTTTTATGGCGAGGTCTGTGAGAAATATGGTTCGTTATTTGAACTCCCTCCCTTTGCTCCCGTACATGACAAACGCGACTCGTCGTGACACTTTGAATATCTGCTAATTGCGATTCCTGTATGGTCAAGGACAGGCCCAATAGCAAGGGTTGCACCAAATATCTTGGTCACCTCGTCCCCGGACGTGTGGACACATGTAAACAACTCGCCTGGATATAAGCGTTCTGAATGGTACTATTCAGCTTGCCGCATCGAATACCGACGCGACAACGTCTTTTCGCAGTCCGACAACGCAAAGCATGATTATCGAAGAAAGCAACTGGCTCCGGGTGTATGCCTCCCGTCGTATCACTATTGAAAAGTCAAGACTTTTACTAATCATCACGCAATTGCCAGTACTCGGGAAGAGAGAATCTCGACATGGAAGATTCCATTGACCAGCGTCTTCGGGATTTCCTCAACCTGGTAAAATCCAGGTACATTTCCACAACTGCCAAGATTGTGCCCATGGATTTAGCACGAAAAGTCCAATTCTTCACCCTGGACGTCATCAGCGCCGTGGGAACGGGCAAGACATTCGGCATGCTGCAAAGAGATGCCGACGTGGAGGATTTCCTCCAGTCAAGCGAGGAAGGACTCCGTATAGGCAACTTTGCGGCTGCTCTAGGCTTCAGCTGGATCACGCAGGCCCCTTTCATCGGCCGGTTCATAGCTCCGTCGGCAGAGGACGGCAAGGGCTTCGGCAGGCTGATGGCCGCGTGCTTCCGCCACGTTGACGAGCGGCTCCAGAACCCCACAGACAAGAAATCCGACATGCTGGCATCGTTTATCCGTCACGGCGTAATAGGCGACGACCTGCGCTCCGAGGCTCTCGAGCAGATCGTTGCCGGTTCCGACACCACTGCAAGCGGGATTCGATGTGTTTTGCTTCACGTCATAACAAATCCTCGGGTATACGCCAAGTTACAGGAAGAAATCGATGGAGCCGTTCGAGATGGCAAAGCGCCCCAAGACGGCTTTATTACTCACACCGAGGCAAAACAGCTCCCATACCTGCAAGCCACCATCCGTGAAGCGATGCGAGTCTGGCCCCCCGTCGCAAACATCTTCTCGCGAGACGTGCCACCCGAAGGAGACACCGTCAATATCGACGGCAAGGACGTGTTCTTACCCGGAGGCGCTTATATCGGGTATTCTGCGCTCGCAATGCACCGCAGCACTGAGATTTATGGCGACGACGCCAAGGCCTTTCGTCCAGAACGCTGGTTCGAAGATGACAAGGACAAGCTTGCCACCATGCTTCGTACAAACGAGTTGATTTTTGGCTATGGAAAATGGCAGTGCTTGGGCAAGGATGTCGCTCGGATGGAGCTTGAAAAGGTTGTATTCGAGGTAGGTCTTGTTTGGTAAAACAGAGGCAGAGGGGTGACATGAAGTTGCACACCGAATTGCGCTGACACTGATTGAATAGCTCCTTCGTAACTTTGACATTGCCCTGATTAACCCGACGAAGCCGTGGGCGGCAATGAATAACCTTGGATTGTTTACCATCTCAGATATGTGGGTGCAGGTAATGGAGAGAGGGAGTTGAGTGTGAGAATTTTGTGAATATTTGGAAAAATAATGTACCCTCAATCCATCTTCATATTAAAGTATGGATGCAAGAATCGATAACTTGTATCTGTTTACTTCCCTCTTCTCTTTAAATAAAAAAAAAAAAAGGTAATTATTTCGGATTCATCTTGGTTGTTGCGAGCGAGTCAGTGAAAGACGCAGCTCAAATATACAGTCACGTGATTGCGACTTTACCAAACCTTTTGCCTCGGAACAGCTTCCATTTCCCATACAGCCCAAGTCACCAGAGACCACGACAATGCCGCTGGTAGACCCCATCACCATGTCGTCAGCACTGGCAAAGGACGCCTCGGCCCAGGCCGCCGACAGCAAGCCGAAAGCTGCCATTGCCGCCGTCCCGACGTTCAACAATGCCCTGTCCAAGGGCGCCTCTTTCGGCCGAGTAGCTGTCCTGCTGGGGCTGCTGGCAGCTCAGTTCAACGAGCTGGTGGCCCAGCCGGCCCTGACGCTGCAGTCCGCCGTGCCTGTCGTGGCGGTCGTCCAGGTGGCATATGTGGTGCTGTGCCTGCCGGCGGCGGGTTCCCAGCAGGCAAAGGCGGCCAAGAAGCCCCGTCCTGGCGAGAAGAAGAAGCCCGAGGCGGCCGGATCGAGCTCCCTGGTGGTGCGCATTCTCCCACTCAGCACTCCAATTGAACAAGATTGATTATAGCATGGAAGTAGAGAAGAAGATTATGCTAACATTGACATGCCTAGACTGCTCTCCTCGCCTTGGTCCTCACCACGATTTCAACCCCCGTTATCCACGCCCTCTTCATCCTCTTCGGCGCGCCGCTCCTAGACCACGTTCTGGAAACGTTCCTCTGCGCCGCTCACTTCGCCCTCCTTGGAGTCTTCCCCATCATCTACGCTCGCGGAGTGGATAACCAGTCCCTGGTTGCGGTGGCTGGCGTGTCTGCGCCTCTGGACGAGACGCTGGGCGGGCTGCTTGGCGCAGTGCTTGGCGCATGGTTGGGCGCCGTGCCTATCCCCCTGGACTGGGACCGAGACTGGCAGCGGTGGCCGGTGACCATCGTCTGCGGCCTGTACGCGGGCTCATGTCTTGGCAGCTGGTTGTCAGGCAATGTGTTCTACGGCAAGCGAATCGGCGGAACGGCGCCCGCCGCCAAGGAGGAGTAGAGAGAGGAGGCACTGTGGAATCGGGCATCTACCATTGGGCATCATGTTACGGAGCGTATATTGTTGGGGGAGGAAACAGTTACCATCGTGTGCTGAGGCAAGCATTACGAGAAACTAATCTCTGAGTTTGAGGTTGATTGGCTTATACACGGATAGAGAAAACAAAATGAAATAATACCTACTATAGTACCTAGGTTGCTAGCGGCATTGGTTTAGTTTTCAACGAGGCACGAAGCAGCTAGTTGGCCGTTGCATCTGCTTTAATAATACATGGCTGTCTTATTACACACCCTCTTTTCTGCGACGGAGCTGCCGTTTGGTCGGAAGCCTCGATGCTGGGGATAGGGGCGCCCGCAGAACAAGTCTAGCCCAGCGCTCATGGAGCGACGCCAGCCACTTCCGCCTTTCTCAGCTTGACAGACGACACATGTATGGTCCGGTGATTACACCCATCTCACTCGAGCGGCAGCCACCGCGGTTTTATGGGAACCCAATTAGTAAAACGCAAAAAAAGAGAAAAAAAAAGAGAAAAAACTTTCCGGTACTCGGCTTGCACGGAGCCCGGAGTAATTTCGTGATAGAAGCGCTACCATCCCCCATCCCCATCCGCCCAATCCATTCCATCATTCGCAAAAGTCAGCTCAGCCGAAGCAGTTGCTCCCAGCGGAGAAAAAAAAAAAAACTGATTTGCTTCGTGCTAAGGCAGAAGCAGCAGGTTCAAAATTCTAAAAAATCCCCCAAGGATACAATTAGATAACCAGCCTCCATTTGAACGCTTCTGGACAAGGGGGCCAACTTTAGTTGTCTGCAAAAACGCTTGAATTGGTCGCAGAGGGAAGCTGAGGTCACTCATACGTGATTGAGGCAAGCCGCATCGGCACACACGGAAATGCGCATCTCTCTGATCCCTGGCAGGTGTGGCTGGTGGGATTGAAACTCATCGGGAATCGCAGATTGCACCAGCGCCAATCAATCAGCCGTTGCTGTCTTCAATGTTTTTTTTTTTGTCGTCATGCAGGCCCGGCGTCTATTGTGGCGCAAGCGCATGTTTTTACGCTGCCGGTTTGTCACTGTCGCTGTCACTTTCCACAACCAGCCGGGGGGGGGGCAAGCTTCACAGCTGTGGCGGTGCAGCATCACCTTTGACTTGATCACACCCAAGCTTGCATGGGCCAAGCAGCACTAGGCAGGGGTCTGCAGCACGCTTAAAACGTCATGACGTATGATTCCAATTCGACGGCGGCTACCAGAAAGGCAAACAGCAGTTCACAGGTCCATGATGGCATACTTTGCAGCGCGTTGGTGTCCATGCGCCGCCGTTCAAGCTTGTTCCGGGGGGGTTAGTTGTGGCTTGTACCTTATTAGCCCTGACACAGGCAAGCAAGCAACCTTGGAATGCCATCAGATCGGGTTACCTCAGCCTGGGTTGCCATGACATGTTCTGTAATGTAATGTCATGTAATGTAATGCAATGTAGCAGCCAAGCTAAAGCCAAGCTTGCCTCTATTCATGCTTCTGTGGCTTGACCTGCCTATGACGCAACATGGAAACCAGCGTTTCTTCCTTTTCCTTGGCCGGAATGCATGGAAAGCGCCAAGATGACTGGCAATAAATAGTACATGACTTCGCAGAAACCTTCTTGCCATTTCCATCTCCCTCTTCATTTGCGCTTCAACTGCTTTCAGCTTATTTCCGACTAGAAATCTTGTCATTCTTCACCCTACACCAACGCAAAAAACGCTTATACATAGGCTCTCTTCCCACGGCTCGACAACAACTCGTACATAACAACCTACTCTCTGAGCTTCCGAGCTTTCAACACTATTCACCATGCCTTTCACATCCAGGTAAGCTCCGAGCATGACGTCCCGTGGCTTCCGTCACCACGTTTTCCCCCGCAGCTCGCAGCTCTCATGACAGCACCTCATGGCGATGCCCGCCTGCGAGTTTGACGAACGTGAGGGAGTGTCGATCAACAACAACTGGATACTAACAACGTCTTTCTCTCCAGCGACGTCGCCAAGATCATTGTTGCCATCCTCCTGCCGCCCGTAGGAGTCTTCCTCGAGAGAGGCTGCGGTGCCGACTTCTTGATCAACATCCTGCTCACAATCTTGGGTACGTATAAATGAACCCTGTTCACCGCCCCCCCTGGTTACACTAACAGCGAGACATCACGTCACGACTGATTTTCACATGCTGGGCCGGATTGGATTGGCTAATTCGATGCCACTTTAGGTTACATTCCCGGAATCATCCACGCTCTGTACATCATATTGAAGTACTAGAGCACCTCCACCACGCTTCGTATCCGCCAGCTCAGATCCATGACGCCGCGCTGCATCCAGTGCCGTGCATCAGCTGTCAGCTTCTAATCTAATCGATTTGACTGGCATCGTCTCTTTTAGAATGGATATGCGCCTGTGCCGGAGTGCTTCAGTAATGGTTGCCAGCTCACCACCTGGCTGGTTATAGATGTGGTAATGACAGTCGACGGTCTTTTCTGAATTTCCTTTGTTTTTCCCTCTTCCCTTTTTTTTTTTGTCGGCTGGATGCAGGGGCGGCCTGTTTGCCGGGGGCATCAGGTTTGGCTATAATAATATATTGATACCCGACGACCTCTTAATCACAAATACTTTTTTTTGACATTTGAATATTTTCCCGTGCTCTGTTTCATACAAGTGATATTTTTGCGATGAAAATGAAGCGGCGCGCTAATGGTGATATGGTGTGCTCCTCTGTCCGAGTTCCCCTCAGTTTCGGGTGCGACAACGAATATCCCGAAACAGGGTCACGAGAACGACAAAGCAGTACAACAAAAATTTAAATAGAAGATCAACACACTTCTGAAGAGGAAGAATGAAGCGCAAAAAGAAAAGATGGTGATTCCGCCCGGGCTCGAACCGGGGACCTTTTCGGTGGTGTCAACTAACTGTTAACGAAATGTCATAACCAACTAGACCACGGAACCAATTTGATTGATGACAGAATCCTCATTGTTGAAATCTATACGATCACGACGAGTTTCACATAACAAGAAGCTGAAAATAGATGCAGAAGAGGAAACAGATAGACTTCTAAGCATACACAAAACACGGCAGAACGACTGACTATATTGACAAGGCCAATTTGAAAATCCAATACTGTACATACAAACTCGTCGACTCATCGTAATAGGCCAAAAGTTCAAGAACAAGCCACTATAGAGTAGACGCCAGGAAAGTCGTATATATATATAGAACAAGAAAAAAAAAACAGCATGGGCGCCAATTCTAAACATTTCCCATTCCCTGCACCTTCTACCAAAATCGAATGCCTACTGATCAAGGAGAGTTTTGCCACTAATTGAAAACGATTGTCTTTTGGCTTATTCAGCCCTTAGAGGAGTTCTCCGTCGCCCTCTTCCTCAGCTGCCTCCTCGTCGTCCCAGTCCAGCTGATCATTCAGCTCTTCAGCTCTGCGCTGCACCTCGGTGAGACCTGAAAGTTCGGAAACATAGTTCTTATCCTCGAGGGCTTTCTTGACAAAGCTCCATCCGTCGGTGCGGAAGGCGTCCAGGATCTTGGGGCTGCATGCGCTGCAGCTGTCGTACGATTGGCCGCGGATGACGATATTCTGAAAGGTAGATACGTAGCCTCTGATTTGATGCGGCACGAGGCCGAGTGGATGGTCAGGGGGATCTCTCTCGAGCGTAACTCCCGGTCGTGGCTGAGGAGCTGGGGCGTTGTGCCTCAAGGGATGCTGCAAGAGACTTGTGAGAAGTTCAACCAAAAGTGCAGAGGCAATAGCGGCAACTCCGGGCCGGGTCACTGTACACTGCTGGTCAAGAGTCTGATCCTTCATGGACTGCACATACACAAGGTGGTCAGTTTATGGAATCATGAAATGGGAAACATTAAAACTTACATCGGCTGGAGCAACAACGTCGTTGCAAAAGTAGCATCCAAGACCGTCCTGGTCGTGATGCGTCGCTTCGGCGCCGTGCCGCATAACGACATACGAGTCAAATCCAAGAGCGGCATTCATGACAACTTTTCCAGCCGCCTTTCCCATTACTGTCGGTAGCCATCGCGACTCTCGAGTGTCCATCAGCAAGAAGATGACGTCGTGAGCATTGATCAAGGCTTCAAGCTTGTCGTAGTCGGCTTTCGTCTTCGCTTCATCAGCGAGGGCGTGGCCCAGCATCGGCACAGACATGGAGTGTCCTTCGGCGTCCACGCCTGGATATATCCTCTTCAGCATTTCGGCGGCTTGGGTCGCCTTTGGCTTGCCACCGTTGAGACAGTCTTCGTACTCAAACAACGGCTGGCGAACGGGGTTTGAAAAAGATACGCTGCCGTAGTCGACGAATGTGATTTTCCTTACACCCCATCCCATCAAATTTCTTGAGACATAGCCTCCCAAGGTTCCGGCACCCAAAAGCAGGCACTTTGTTTCCTTGATGATGTCGAGGTTTAGATCCGGAGCAAGTCGCCACTTCATGAGCTTGAGATTCAGATCGACTGATGAATCTGCCAGTCGCGATGGATCCATGTACTCGCCCAGGTTGGCAACCTGTGCTTGAAGCTTACCGTTCTTGGCTCGCTCCCAGCCAGTGACTTTGGGCATTTCCTTGATCTCCATATCTTCGACAGGGTCCATCTTGATGGGTATAATGATGCTTTTGGACTCGTGTCGACGGGACCATTCATCTCTGAAGCAGAGAATATTGATCTTGGACAGGCGGAATCGGTGGCGGATCAGAATCAGGAGATTGCGTAGAGGCCATGACGGGCCTTCTGAGAAAGTTGACGCATCTAGAAACGTGACAAATCGATCCTCATCTGCAACACCATCGAAAAAGCCATCTTCAAAATTACGTAGTGAAGCCACCTCCCATCTGTACGGAATCTTGTGTGCAGGGTCGTGTTCGCCCAAATCGGCTGGCTTCTCCCCCCATACCTTCTTGGCCAAGAAAAATCCATGCTCGCGCTTATCGACGATATATCGCCACGTGCCTACGCGATCCAGAAGAGCCGTGGTCTCATCCGAAGTGAGGCGCTGAACAGGGCCGGCTCGCTTCCACTGCGCATCCGAGTGCAGCGCGGGAAACGCACACCAGTATATGAACTTGTACTTTTTAAGATCGGCGTATGATAATATGACAAAGGACGAGAGTAACGAGGGGACCGAGTATATGCTTCCATCGTTAATGGCGTCCCATATCTGCCTGCCCGCCAGCTTCAGCATCGCCGCCTTGTCGGTGTTTCTAAAATCTTCGATGGTATTAACGTTCTTAATGACGCCTTCAGCTCTTGCTTTTCCGAGAGGGGGGCTACGTGCGACACATGTCAGCTCAGCAAACCTATCAAGCGTTGCAATCACGGCGAAAGACGTACTCGGTGTTTGTCAAAGCACTGCCGAGAATCTGCAGCTTGGAGCTCGCATCCGGGTCCACGTCGCGTGGCTCATACACGCCCATCAATCTACGCGCAGAGTCGTCGAGCTTGTCATATTCTAGCTTGGACGAGAAGAGCGCCGAGTAGAACGGCAGCTCGATCTCGGAGGTAAACGGCACGAACTGAAGCGGCTCGTCCATGGTAACGGTTCTGTCGCAAGTTACGCCTTGTATTTCGTTCGAGTTCAGCAAGCTGGTCGCTTTATACAGTGTAGTCGGTAGCAGTGTAAATCGGTAGGTTCGGAGCTGGCGACGGGCTTTACGATTTTAAGTCGTGTAGGTGCTAGGTTCGAGCAGGCAGGCGTAAGACAGTCATCTGATATTGGATTAGAGAGCTTTCATCACGAGCTACAAGCCCAGTGATGTCGTAGCGCTGAGGTGCCCCGCGGAGAGCGGGGAATCTGTAAGTGCTGTAGTGCCTATGCAAGGGGGCTTGTTCGGGCGATCCAGGCGACCGATTAGCGCCAGTTTGATATCAAAGGCTGTTTGCAGACTGCATTCCATTCCAACCACGCTCACGGCTACATGTTCATGGACCTGATAGAAGAACATAATTGGCATTCTGGATAATAGATGACGAATTTGCCATAGGAGCATAAATTAGGAGCCGTGGTGCACTGGGGCAGCTTAGAACCTCTACGGACTCTTGTCGTAGGTCTCATATCTCTCATTAGCGCATTGCCCTACATCAAGAAACAAGTCCGATATGGTGTAGTGGCTAACATCGCTCGCTCTCAATCTTCGGTTGAAGCTCCGAGCAGCCCTGGGTTCGATTCCCAGTATCGGAGAATATTTTCTTTTTGCTTCTACTCTCAGTGCTAAACATGAGGAGTTTCTTCTTTTTGTTCATCAATTTAGCTTTTACTTATTTATAGCTATGTACTTGAATTTTTACAGTTCTTTCATTCTAAACGAGGAGACTACTGGGAACGCTCTTGTTCTCCATGGATTAACTAGTTTCATGATTGGATAAATCCACAAAGTATGTATGCCAAGCTTAAGTAGTTAATGTATAAGCCATCAAAGGTGTTTCCACTTGAGGCAATGCTGATAAGATCATCTACACAAAGTAGATGGATCATCTCTCTATATCGACATTCTTTGTACGACATTCAAATGCTTAGATACCCAGGTCTTATCCAGATGGCATAGTGCACGACGCAAACTCAGCGTACCCACCAGAAGCTCTATGGACCAGCACCTAAGCATTACCCTCATGGACCAAGCAGCTCAAAGCTTTACTATTTATTGTCTTCACATGATCACGCCGTTGGCCAAGTTGCCGTAGTGTGTAGTAATAAATCCGTAATAATCGAGCTCTTCCTCACCTTACCCCAGACTCCTGCAGCCCAGCGGATCGCAGCAAATTCACTAGACAAGGCCAGATCGTGCCCCACTTGCCAATGCCGCCTTGAAATTCTCCTGCGGAGGACACTCCATCTCCAGCCCTCGGTCGAAACGCTCAGGGTCATTAGACATTCGCGACTACGCCGGATTGAGATTTCAAGATGTTTGTCGGAATCTGTGGCAGTACGTCATTGCCTGTGCAACGGCGTCAAAACGTAGCGACTAACTCGGCTCTCCAGGCATCTGCTCGGGCAAGCAGACCGTGGCCCAGTATCTAGTTGAGCATCACGGGTTCAGCCAAATTCATCTCCTTGATTCAGAAGAGGCCCCTTCATCCACCGAGGGCGTTGTTGCGACCGCGACCTCAAACGGCGCCAGATCTAGGAGCCAAAAACAAGATTTCTTCACCACAGCCGAGGAGCTTTTGGACTATGTCACTCGGCGATGGCGCAGCCGCTTTGTGACAACCGACATCCCCACGGAGCAGGTGCTCGATGTCTTCATGCGGCGACCATTCTTTCTGCTCATCTCAATCGATGCTCCGCTCACCCTGCGTTACCGTCGGTTCCAGCAACGCTCCGACCTGCCGGAGCAGGCCATTAGCCTCGAGGAGTTTGTCTCGCGAAATGACAAGCATCTATACGATGCGGCTTCTGGTCTGCAGCCGCTCATTTCGCGGGCCACCGTCAGGTTGCTCAACACCTCGTCATCACTGGCCCATCTCTATGCCACTCTCGGAAAGCTCGACATCCCCAACCCCGACCGCATGCGGCCGGGCTGGGACACGTACTTTATGGCACTGGCATCTCTGGCGGCACATAGGTCCAACTGCATGAAACGCCGTGTCGGCTGCGTCCTCGTAGGGCGAGAACGACGAGTCATCAGCACAGGATACAACGGTACGCCCCGCGGCCTTCGAAACTGCGCCGACGGTGGCTGCCCTCGATGTAACGAGGCAAACGGCTCTGGAGTCGGGCTGTCCACCTGTCTCTGCATACACGCAGAAGAGAATGCGCTTCTGGAGGCCGGCAGGGAGCGCATCCGCGAGGGCTCCGTGCTGTACTGCGATACGTGCCCGTGCTTGACGTGCAGCATCAAGATTTGCCAGGTTGGCATCACCGAGGTGGTGTATGCCCACGGTTACAGTATGGATACTGAGACAGCAGAGATTTTCAGACAAGCTGGCGTCAAGCTACGACAGTTTATTCCGGTGAGTTGACGCAAATGATTCAGAACAGTGGTACTGGATACTGATCTTAGATGCAGCCTCCGAATGGCTTGATACATTTAGAGAAGATGGAGTTGTATTCATAGATGACCAAGCGCAGGTTTCTTAGACTGCCTTGTGATTTTCGAATAAGACAGCATACATACATGTATATTAGATGCCTTTGTATGGCAGCTTTGATGTGCGTCATAGAGCACGGGGCAATGAGCATTTGGCACTGACTACACGCTTTCAAACCAGCAAGTTGCTGTAACATATCAATACCAATGATAACAATAGTGCTTAATTATCTAGTCATCGTAGTAGAGACTGTTGCTGCGGATGTGCCCTTGCATAGACTAGGCTTGCGGTCTCTGAATCAACTCTACACATTGCCCCTGGAAGTCATTTCCGATACAACGGCCTAGCAGAAGAGCATCGCAATGTATGATGGCCATTATAGAATATCATTCGAATGAAAGAATTATCCGGCATATAAAGGGGGAAATAAAACCACAATGAGCTGGAATTACCGATGGCTCTAGGGTAAGTACATATGCAGGAACAGAACCCACAACGTGAAAGACAGCTCGGACTACGGATGGATCTACGATCGACTGATGCAACAGGCGAGACAAAGCACATGTATGTTTTAAAATTTTTGAAATTCAGACTACGGCATACGTTTTGTGCTCAGGCTCTTATTCAGTGGCAATGGCCAAAATATGGCTTGCCTCTATGTAAGCAACTGTCATCCCGCCTCCATCCTTCGTGTAAGACGCGTGCTGTAAGATACTCTGTAACAGCAATACTGCCTGTTGGTTGTGATTTGCGCTCCAAGAAGCCAATGCATTGATGCCAGTGGTTGATAGCCTAGCTAGGTGCACAATTTCCGCACCAAAAAAGGGAGAGAACGTGGGAACCAGCACTGTTGGGACTTGTTCCCAAGGCCACCTCCTTGCTTTATCCCCCCGGAGATGTGCGAGATGATGATGGGCTCGCAGGTACTTGCAAGGAGACCCTGCTCGGGCTGGCTACCTGGCTGCAATGAGCGATGCAAGGAAGCCATGAGTTAAAGATGCTCAAAATGAGGTATTTGTAGAGCTAATGGGAAGTTGGCGATAGTAATCCATGCGGAGTACGAAGCACTGCCGGGCTCTAGCTTTCGGAAATGCCAGAGGTCTGGTCTCACCAAATAAGTACTCAGCTGCCCACTGTAGAGAACCTGGATTGTATCACATCCTCCCTTGGACGTAAAGGATCATTAAACCCAGAGAACGTGCGCAGCCAGCAAGGTCTAGCTGCATGGCTCCGGGAGAGCGATCCGAGGAAGCGAAATGACCTATGGAGGCTTGCAAAAAAGGGACACCTTTCAAGGTGCAAAGTCAATTGGATTCCATGAAAACAGGGACAAAGGTGACGAAATAGGGGACTTGCACATGACTAAGTGGCTTTTTGGTGGCTTGAGCGCGTCGAGTGTATAATGGAGATCAAAACAGTGGCGATGTACCTATGCAAGTAAACAATGGCTGGGTTTGTTTTGTTTTGATCGGTGACGACACTGACGAGTCGCCTTGACCGATCTACGCTAGCAATGATGCCACCGGCTGGAGAAGCCGGGACAGAGACTGGGCCAAGGAGAGACAGGAGGTAAAAGAAGGTGAAAACTGTCACAGATAGTCGCCGTTTGTCTCTGCCACCGCGGCTGAGCTCAGTGGGCTACTCGCGGTATATTGGCCTTTCATTCTTTGGAAGCATGCTTCCGCTGTTGTTTACAAAGCGTCGAAGCGCTACGGTGACGCATGAACCCTGAATCTGGGGAGTGGCGAAGCTAAGAAAAAGGCAAAAAAAGACGATTCTGAGACATGCAGGGAGGAACAGACGACTGGGCCAATCTTTACCACTTGTCGCCCTCCTCCATCTGGTCCCGTACGACCTTGATCATCGAGGCTACAGCTCAGTTTGGCGTAGCAAGAGGCGCCATTGGACCCCAAAGACCCTCTCCCAAGGCGCCGTTCCTGGATCCGCAGCCCCTCCTGGAGCTTCAGACTCAGTGCGTTGCGGCGCTTTGGCAACCTTCCCTTGAAGCACGGCGCTTGTTTGAACTCTACGAGCAACAGGTTTGAAGCTCTCCCTTCAAGAGCAGAGTCTTGGGAGCTCGGACGCAGTGGCGAGGCCATGAGGGCTTGTACGAATATACTTTGGGTTGCGTATCCGTAGTTGGTGGGGAGCTTGGATAGCTCGAGTGCAGTAGGTGTAAGCCATCGCCAGGTATGTAATGTCTCGTCGGCTGCAATGGACGGATGAGTATGACAGATCATGGGATAGAATTGACGGCGAGAGTGGGCTGATGTTCGAAAATGTCACTATGTACTAGTATTCGATAATGGAAGACTGCTTTCTCTTTATTCTGCAACGTACAGCTGGGATGCAAGATAATGTAGAGAGATATGAGGAGCAGGGAAAGGAAAAAGAAAAGAAAAAGGGACGTGCATGGTTTCCGAGCAGGGGGTCTGCTCTACCGTTTTTGGGGGGGGGCACTCGTACCGGTACAAGCCAAGGCTGGTAACCACAAGGCGGCCAATTAGGGGGGCAAATTCTGCCGGGTGGGCACAGGCCAGGTCAAATGGGCTCCACTATAAAGCACTGAAGACGCGTTCCGGCGTGTAGCGCTAGGCCGCGTTGGGTAAGACGATAAACAATGCAGCAGCGCAGTCGCGCCTTTTGCGCCTCGAGCTCCAACGAGCAACCGCCAGCCAGGCCAGCTCTCGACCGGCCTCCATGTACGGATACTTGCACCTGGCCTCGCTCCCTCGCCGTGCACGCCGCATCGCCTGTTTTGCACCTTCTGCATACCAACCATCCGCCGTCCAGACCTCGCTTGCGTGGCCTTGGCTGTGGGTTTTCGCTCTCTCCCTGCGTGTCTTTGCCTTTGTGTTTTACTGTGTCTCGCCATTGAGTCACCGCCTCCACGACGGCCATCGAGGGCAGCCGCTGCGTTGCCAAAGTCAATTTCGAAACCTTTCCCGAGTCACTCTGACCAGGAGAGCCCGACGATACGATCCAACAGCAGCGAGCGACCGACGGCGACAGCATAACGACATTGAGGACGGCTGACGAAAGGCATCTGCGGCAGCGAATTGACCCAGCAGAATATTGGCCTTGCGATCCTCGCTTGTCGACGCAGAGCGCAGCCCGCAATCTATATCTACACAGAGGGGGCGATATTTGCGAGAGCGAGCGCCAGGCACCCGCACATCGTGAGCATCTCTTTTCTTCTCCGTCTGTCTTACCTCTGCTCTCTACTCCTGCGAGCAACCGAGCGCCATGCCGTAACTGCCTCTGCTGGTCTCGAATCTACTTCATACTTGGCACGACTTCTCGCTGGACCTACGTTTGACTCTCGGCCCCGCCTGCTTGCCGCCGATCTATGCGACCCGCTTGGGCATCATCCTCTCTCGGCTTGTCTCTGGGGTTCCTCTTCTTTTCCTTTTTTAAATCTAGAATAGCCCTCCCGGGCAATCTCTATTCATACATCATCATACAACCGACCTCCTCTGTTGCGCCTCTCACAACGCCACAGCATCTCAACTTGATTTCGTTTCTCCTCAACGGACCGATTTACCAGCTCTTGTGTTTTGTTTACATTTTACTCTTCTTGTTGCCATGCACGGATCTTTCTGGCGATATTAGGGATACCGACAACGAGAGAGCCATCTACAGTGCACTTCATATATAATCCCTTCCTAAGAGACTAGCTAATCCGACGCTGCGCTCTACATCAGACGTCTTCAATCTTCCATACTATCGACATTCCTTAGGCCAGTGTCCTTGGGCCACGACATCCTCACAGCTTTACAAGTCCGCCAATCGTTATTTTTGCACTGCCTTCATTCCAGTGTCATGTCCTTTTCCAGCGGCGGTGGCGGCACACTGGCTCTGCCCTCGCCAACTCACGCCCATCATATGGACCCCACGACTGTGCGCAACCTTCGACGCTCCATGTCACGATCTCCCACGAAGCTCATGGCGCGTGCAAACTCTCACGGCCTCACAAGCTCACGACAAAGTTCACCAAAATCACCGAACCGACGACTTGCCACCACGCCGCTACAGCAACGGCCGGTGCTACATCCTCCTTCGTCAACGCCGCCAACTGCAGACTCACCGTTTGTCGCTAGCGCCCCGCAATTATCACCTTCGCAAACGCAGACTCCCCTTCGGCCAGGCGTTAAGCTCTCGCTTCGGTCCGTCAAAGCTGCTAAAGCGGCGCCTCCTTCGCGCATCACTCGGGCTCGAGTTTCTCCTAGAAGCCCTTTAAAGCGCGCCCTGTCCACGACCCCCGATTCTGGAAACTCTACCTCTTCACAGTCACCAGTATCGCCTCTCCGAGCCAGATTCTTGGGTCAAGAAAACAACAGCAGCACGACTCCCGAGCACTCAGCACCACGAAAAGCGATCGATCGAACAACCCGTTCTACTGTGCAGTTTGATATCACCGGTGCCTCTCAGCTTGCGTTCCTCAAGGCGCTGGAAGAAAGTAGTGATCCATCCATGACCCCAGCAACAGGCGCGCTGAAGCGCAGTGACGCAACCATGAATTTGGATCAGTCAAACCAAGGCAGCCCGGTGGCGAAGCGACGAAGTCTACACGGCATTATGAGTTCTGGGCAGTCTCAAGACCTCTTCAATTCGAGCGCATTCCAGCCTGGCGTTTTCGATATTCATGAGGATGAATATCCTGAATACGAACTGTCTGGCACTGGAGGAGCCATATCTGAACGTGATCACTTGGCATCTCCAACTCATGCATCAAATATTCCAAAGCGATCGTCCTCTCTCCGCAGATCAACTTTACAGCAACGATATGGCGACAAGACTTCTTGGGGGAAACGTTCTGGTGAGCGACAGCTCTCGCCGCTGGGAGCCGATATATCTACGCCGGTCCGACACCGGCCTCGTCTCTCTGCAGACTCTTTCGTCCCTCCGACAGCTGGTCGCGAAAATCCCTTTGCACCTGGCGCCAGTGCTGCGACGGAAAACAAAAGCCACCAGCCACATCCGCTGTCCAAGACGCTCACCACGTCGACCTCTGGCAACAGCTTGACTGAGGAGCAATCTTTTTACGCGCCCGCAAAAGTAGCGTCGAAACCACATCCTTTCTCCAGATCTCTCCCCCCTGGTGCTATGCGCCCGTCTAGTCGACATGCCGCTGAACAAAGGACCATGGCCACGCCAAACCAGACACACCAGCTTTGGATCGGTGCATTCAACTCAACCGGCCTTGTCTCCAAAGTAAATCGAAATCTGGAAGACGAGGCCGACAAGAAGATGGCGCCTCCCGACACGCCATGCAAAAAGCATATCAATCCCTTTGCTACTTTTCCGCCACCTGGCAGTTCGGGCAAGAAGAGGGGGAACAGCCGCAAATCATTTGGCGGTATTCCTTCCACCCCCTTTGGCCCCATCATGGGCCGTGCCCCCGATACGGTCGCCAATCCTGGCAAAGGACTCTCAATTTTCCAACGGAGCAGCGTTCTAGGAAACCGCCGTGGGAGCATTCTTGGCGCTGACGGCGATGATGGCAAACTGTTTGCCGATAGCGTCGACTTTGCAAGCCCTGCGGAAAGCGATGTTCCGCCAACCCCAACCAAGAATCTCCTAACACCAAGCTTCAGTGGCCTGAGCAATTTTAGTGAAAGTTCTCAAGAAAGCCCGAGTGCCAACCGGACCTTGACACTTTCTCTTTCAGCCGTCAAACCACCGCCACAATCGCGGGATTCAACCTGTAAGTCGATCCTGGACATGTCCAGTAATTCTGGGGACAAAATCGACGAGGCACATTCGCAAGCCGATCGATCTACTCCTTCAGACTGTGGACCAACTCCAACAGAACCTCTTTCTTTATCTTCATACGGACGGGCAAGGACCCGGAGGGGGCTCAGTGCGCCCCAGCCGCTCACTACCGAACTTTCAAATTTGACGCATTCTAGTCGAGTGCCTTCGAAACTATCCAAAAATGTACTTACTAAGATGATGTGTGTTGAATCAGTGAGCCCCGATGGACGACGCACTCCTCAAACCCCTCAGGAAAACTTGCTACCGCTGGATACCAGCCGGCTGTCCATCTCTCAGAGCAGAGAAGGTCGGCGAGAATCACACATGCCGCCCCCTGTCACGCCGACTAACTTCCGTTCATCTACGAGCATTTTCGTCACCCCAGTCAATAACGCTCGCAACACGGGCCTGGACATTGATGCTAGCCTATACTCCAAGTTTGACAAGGTTGAGCAGATTGGCAAAGGTGAATTTTCTACGGTATACCGTGTAACAAAGCAGGATTTTGAGAGTTCCTTTACTCCAGCCTCATTCACCCCAGTTGACAGCCACGCCAGAAGCCCTGCCAAAACTCAGGTCTTCGCTGTCAAGAAGACCAAGCAGCCGTACCATGGCCCCAAGGATAGGAAAGCAAAGCTGCGTGAAGCTCAAATTCTGCGGGCTTTGTCACATGCTGAACATGTTGTACAATATATTGATGATTGGGAGCATAACTTTCATCTTTACATCCAGACAGAGTTTTGCGAAGAGGGGACTCTGGATAAATTTTTGGCCCATGTCGGGCAGTTGGGTCGATTGGATGACTTTCGTATCTATAAGATCTTGCAAGATCTTTGCTTGGTGAGTTGACTAGGATCCAGCTAATGTTTTGTTTTTTTCTCACTGCTAACTGAATGTGTTCTTTACAGGGATTGAAAGAAATCCACGACGCTGGATTTATGCATTTAGATATGAAGCCGGCAAATATTCTGATTACCTTTGAAGGAGTCATCAAGATTGGTGATTTTGGATTGGCGCAGGCTGTTTCCGATGACACATATCTGGATATCGAAGGAGACCGCGAGTACATGGCCCCAGAAATGTTGGAGGGCAAGACGGATCAGTCTGCTGATATTTTCTCCCTTGGCCTTATGACGCTGGAGGCAGCGGCTAATGTGGTGCTTCCCGACAACGGACCTACCTGGGTTGCCCTCAGGTCTGGTGATCTCTCTGAAGTGCCCAGCCTCACCTGGACCCCGTCAAGCGAAGTTCAGCGGGATGCCCTCGGTAACCCGACCGACTCTGCTATGAGTGAGGAACTCCAGAGTGAGAAGAAGCCGCGCAGCCCCGGCAACCTCTTTGGATCTTTTAAGCGATCGGAACTTCAGCAGCCGCCTGAGTTTATGGTGGATGCCTTCCACCCCAGCTCCCTTGATTCGATTGTTAGGTGGATGACGCAGCAGGAGCCGGAAGAGCGACCACGCATCGAAGAGGTCTTGGCCTTGGAAGGCTTGCAGTGGGTGGCAGAGCACCGGAATGCGCCCGCCATAGTCTACGAGGGGAACTGGGGCCCCTCTGAACTATTCCCCGTCTCCATCATCAATGATAGCGACCTTGAAATGACGGATATTTAAGGCGCGAAAAGAATGACTTTTTCTTGTTTGTCTGGTTGATTTACCTGTTTTCACCTGTTGAGCTTTGATATGCTCTGTGCTCTTTAGAGCTAATTGCTTCAAAAACAGAGAGCTGGATACATCCAAGAGCATAGGATGCTTACGATCAATATTGGAGTTACTCTATCCTTGTACCGGAACATGTACGAGTGGATAAAAAGAGTTGGTGTTTGAATTTGTCAAATCGTCTGGTTCAGCATATAGCGATTTTTTTTCTTTTCTTTTTTTTTTTTTTTTTTTTTTGTGTTTCAAGGGCATCGGCCCATTGCACCTCGATGGATTATGACACGACCTCGTCTTTTCTTTTACGCATTTCAGTCCGGCAGTCACGACTTTAGCCTGCGAGATGGACTATATTGGAACCTCCGACGAACGATATGGTCTCAGCCATACGATCAGCTTGTGCCTGTTTCGCAGATGGAGGCCATACTTGCTACCACCGGGTGCGTGTATCAACTATATCGAATAGAGAGGGGGCAAATGGCACGTGGCTAGAATTGGAACGGCTTCGAATATAAGCCTGTGTTTTTTGGAGTTGATGGAAGGCAAAAGCACGTCACTTGTGTTTAATCAAAGCACGATCAAAGATGAGGCCCACAGGGCACTGTCGTGTATATATATAATGAGCGAGAAGTTGCTTGTGTTCTTTGGTAACTAATGTACGAATAAGGGTTTGCAGACAGGGAGGATACACCTTGGAATGGACAAGGCAATTGCGGCGTTGGGGACTATTGGTTTTGGAACTGGCAAGGGATCTTGAGGGCAATTCTCCGGAGTTTTCGGGGAGGCAAAGTGTGTCACTCATGATTCTCACGACGAAATGGAATGAATGCGATATGATATCTTTAAAGACAATGAATGTGCAAAAGCTCCCATCTTGTGACTCATTGAATTGTATGTAGTATGCGGTTTTCGACGACAATCTCCGAGCACCACTAACGTACGACAATCCACTACGACGCAGCTGCAAGGTCAGTGGACCCCGCATTGAAGCGCACGTAGCATAACACGAAGCAGCGGCTTCGGTAGCCGGTGACGAATTGTCTCTCCTTCACCATCACATGCAATATTTATAGACAATATTCCCTTGAATAGACTTGTGGCTTTGCAGCATAAAAGCTCTGATTTCTTTCCTTTCCTTTGAATTCGCCAAGCTATCTCAACTACTCACCCAATTGCACTCATACAAGTACAAACAATAAATAAGACAACACACATCATGGTGACCGCCACGCTACGAGATGGCCAATCTGGGCTGCCAACTCCGCACAGCACAATGCCCTACTGGCTGCAGAATCCTTCGTATGTCCTCTTGGGCCGTCGGTCGACTCCGGATCTCCCGCCCACCGCAGATGTCATCGTCATTGGCAGCGGAATCACGGGGGCGTTTGCAGCGAGAGAGCTGGTTGCCAAGGGAAGATCGGTTTTGATGCTGGAGGCGAGGGAGGCGTGCTGGGGAGCAACGGGGAGGGTGAGTTTCCTTGTTTTCTGATGATTTTGATGTTTCATCTGATGAAACTTTTGTGTGTTTATGACTGACGATGTGGATTGCAATTGTGTAGAACGGAGGGCACTGTCAGCCATTACTTTATGCCAGCAAGCCGCACATTGCGCACTTTGAGCTCGAAACGTATCATTTCCTGGAAAAACTTGTTGAGCAATACGGCATTCCATGTGATTGGAAGCGTGTTGGCGGCGTTCATGCGTTGCCTACAGACGAATTGGTCGATCTTGCAGCAAAGGTCATTGCCAACCTCAATGCCTCCCACCCTCAGCTGAAGGACTGCGCAAAGCTCTACACGGACCCAGAAAGCATTGCCGAGTTTAGAGTGCAGCCGGAACATGCTCGCGGAGTGGTGCACCAGCCCTTTGCGGCGAAGCTATGGCCGTATAAGCTTGTTACTTGGGTCTTGGAGGCGCTTTTTACGAAGCAGCCGCCCGAGGTGTTTAACTTGCAGACTACCACGCCGGTGACGCATTTGCAGCAGGTGGAGGACTCGAGCAACAAGTGGGTTGTTCATACGCCGAGAGGGCAGGTGGTTGCGAATGAGGTGCTTCTTGCTACGAATGCGTATACGTCGCATCTGCTGCCTGAGATGAGCAAGTTGGTCGTGCCGGTGAGGGGCCAGGTTGCTGCTCTGGAGCCGCCGGATGGGGATGTGGCACTGGAGCATAGCCATGTTTGGTTGGCGGAGAAGAGTGACAATTACTTGGTCCAGAGGAATGATGAGCTGCAAATGATTGTGGTGGGCGGTGAGAGAGTGAATGTGCCTGGAGGGGGGGAAGGGATATGGAAGGATGATAGTATTGATGAGGAGCTGGCTGAACGATTGCGCCGGAGCCTTCGTTCTGCGTTGAAGCTGCGGCCCGAGGGCGAGGAGGAAGAGGAAGAGTTGAGGGCACGATATCAGTGGACTGGGATCATGGGCTACACGACGGATGGCTACCCGTTTGTGGGTAAAGTGCCCGAGGAGCTCGGCGGCGGAAGAGGAGGCCTGTGGCTCTGCGGTGGGTATAACGGCCATGGGATGCCGGTGGCGGCGAGGTGCGCGGTGGCAATCTCGGAGATGATGCTGGGACGGGGAGAGGATGAGAGGACGGTGAAGGTGCCGGAGGAGTTTGTGTTGACTGCGGAGAGGGCGGAGAGGGCGAGGGGAGGGGAGTTGGAGAAGAGTGTTTTGGAGGGGTTGAGTGCGGTGATGAGGGAGATGGTGGAGGAGAGGAATTGATGATGGAATCGGTGAAGAAGTTGAAGAGAGTTGAAGGAGAAGAGTATGTAAGGAAAGAGTTAGATGCTTGTTTACTGAAATAGAATGAACTGATGTATGTTTAGTACTTCTTTAAGCAGCTTGAATGGAAGTACATGAAGTATTGAGCCTGCGGAGCCTTGTAGGAATGAAGTGAAAAAAAGGGGGGTGGATGAAGTAGATGAGATGGATGAGATAGATAAAGTAGATTATAGATGAAGTAGAAGTCTTCTACTTTATGTTGAATATACAGACAGGTACTTAAAAGTAGCATTAAAAGGCCTATTTTATTCATAAACTCAGCTTGTTAGTTGAGTGAAATGGTCTTCGACCATGCTGGACACAGTTTTCACACATTGCGCTGAAGTAAGAAGGTTTAAGATTGTGTTCTATAGGTAGATGTATACAATGAAAAGAAGCATGTGCGTCCTGGATATTGAAACCTATCACTATGAAGCATAGAGTAACTCTCTTTGAGATGTTGAAGAAAAATTTTGATCCTTTCGGGTTGCCTTTTTTTCGGTGATAGCCGGAGGAATTTTTTTTTTTTTCTGTGCAAGGTAACACGCGCTCTGACGAGCAAGATATAACTTCCACATTCAGACTTCTCGGCGTTATTACCATCTCACGTGCCACAAAGTAATAGCGGGCTGGAAACAATAAAGTGCATTTGGTGTAAATTTTACCGTGCTATTATACGTGCAAGTGACTTGATATATTTTTACTCGGCTACCGCATAGACATCTACTAGAAGGGGTATTCATAACTGCCTTACTTACGCTGTTGTCTTGGAAGCGTCACCATAAAAGTCTACGTTTTTTTTTTTAAACCTGAGAAGATTTTGTTTATACTAATTATAATAGAGGGTTGTAGCAATCATGCGTATCGTCTAATAATCAGATATAATACTGTGTATCTACGATGCACTTGTGACACATCTATATTGCGTGCGAGATGTTTCATGTATAGTCATACAATAATGTTTGACAAATCAATAGACTTTACGGAATATCAGCTTTCGAATCTTTGGTAATTAATCTTCATAAGCTGATTTCCAGGACTTGGCAAAAATGCTTACTTGCAAATCAGGCGACGAATGAAAAGCTCAGTCGGTAACGCCGCGATAACGAACATTTCAGCTGCCCTGCTTGCGTTAAAAATGAGAAATAACACGAGGCTTACGGGATGATGTGTCGCCGAAGAAAAAGTCCGAAACACTGAAAAGAGAATTGAATAAGAACATGAATATAGCTCAAGCCTGTACTTGACACACAAATCCACCGCATCCTGTACCTACCTGGGTAAGTAGTTATTCCTCTCCCTCCTAAGCTTAACTCTACCTATATAGTTAGCTTATCATTATAAAACTTCAAGTTTCAGTTACATTGCTTGTGTGTACCTATCTGGCATTCCGAATTGCCACTTGTTGTGCTTTCAGCTCTGTTTCGTGACGCCACAGCAGAATCCTTCGCATTGCTCGAGTCAGTGTTCAAATCTGTTACATATAAACCGAAATACCCATAGCTATCTATGTGTATTATCAAAATTGCAAGCTGTTTTTCATCTCTTCTTGCACTTGTTCTTTTACATTTTATTATAATCAACTTGACTTGATTGCATCTTCATTCAAAGTTGCCCTTTGGTGCTTTATACAGCACACGAAGTGAAAATGGCGAGCGTCTTCCACAATCTACTCTCTCAGCCCCAATTCGACTGCTTGGATTTTACAAACGTCAGTCTTCTTACAAAGCATGACAAAGCGGAGATAATCAAATGTCTAGATGCTGCGCTGTCATCTTTTCTCTCAGAAATCAACTTCTCCCATTGTTTTTCCCCAAGTGATTCTAAGCTTCGTGAGGATCTGTGGTCCTGGAGCCGAGAAAACCTGATTGGTGTCTGCATTTGCGACGATAAAGTCTTGAATGGGATACTTGACGAAGCTGCAGCTATTGTTGAGTATTACTACCCCCTTGCTCACCATGACACTCGCCTGCAAATGGCCATAGGTCTGGCGGCAGGGCTCACTGCGGATGACGGCGTCACTCCCGTGGCTTCTAGGAAGGCTTTTGCAAGTTTCCACTATCTTTTATGGTGCGGTGTGCCTGATTCTGGAAGGGATGAATGGTCGACAATGTATCTCAATGTCATTAGAAACTTTGCTCGGCACTTTGGAGCCAATGACCCTCGGATGGGAACCATTGGCGCCAATGCCTGGGCCAGTTTTGCAGAGGCATCATTTACGGAAGACAACCTGGCCAAGGCCCTGCCACCGCATTTCTCGCAAATCCAACCGGGCATGGATGATCATGGTTGCTGCCCAAATGGATTCGCATACTTTTTCAGAACTCTTACCGGAGCCCCTGGCCCTTTGATGCTAGGGATGTTCAAAGTGTCCAAGAGTCTGGAAGTTCCAATGGATTATTGGATTACCAGCGTGGTGCCTCTGACGACGTTTATTAATTTGATAAACGACTTGCTCTCCTTTCCCAAGGAGATACTGGCTGGCGAGGCCCACAACTACATGTCTCTTCAGACACAAGCCAAGCGCCAGAGCGGCCATCTCTCCGCATTCCCCCAGCAAGGTAATTCTGATGCCCGATGGACTTTTCGAGACACTTTATGCGAGACCATGGACCTTTTGCGTGACGCCATTCGCTCTCTGGACAAAGCCTTTATCCAGTTCCACAGGTTGGTTGAACTTTTTTGCTTATCCGAATGTCAAGGTGTCATACACTAATGCGTATTTTCTTAGCGTCTGTTTGAACTTCAAAAGTAACAATGATGAATGGAGTGGTGAGCTGGCTAGTCAAGTGTGGACGGCATTTAGAAACGGGATTGTTTCTTGGCATATCAACCGCCCAAGATATGGGCTTACTACTCTGAGAAGCAGCTACGCCAAGGATATGACAGTCACCAAATAATAGATAGAGCGAGTAGAGACAAGTGTTTGATGTTTGATTTGGAGTTGCGACGGAATAGAAAAACTATCAATTCATTGAAAAGAGAGAACATTCTTACTCTGTGGCCAGCTATATTTGAGTTGTCATTATAGTGGGAAGCGAGTCATGAATTCAGACACGGTAACAGAATGCAACCCGTGCTTGAACATAATCCTTCCCCAGTGCAGTCTTCAACTCCCATGACGCATTGCTGAGTTACATCTAGTAGTAAAAACAAGAATATACACTCTTGTAAGGTTAAGACACGACTTTCCGACAACAAACTACACAGCAAATTTTCCACAAATCATCTTTGAGCAACAAGCGCCGCAACGCCGATTAGTATTTCTTGTTCCTTTATCCGTTCAACTATCAACAAGAATCGTCCCCAGTTACAGGGCTGACGGAGCCTCGATTCTCGTATTCACTCTGCATGCACATCGTATACTTCCCAAAAAGGCAGCTGCCGAAGTGACAACGCTCCCTGTTCAACTTGCAGCTAACTCCAACTCACTGCAGTATGTCCATCGTATTTCTCGGTTGCCGGCCACTTGACTCAAGGCGGAAAGGCGGCGGAGGAATCGCTTCTTAATTCTATGGCTATTTTTCTCGGGGACCGGCCAATCAATGTATTTATAGCGCAACCAGGCTGCAAATTAGACTATGATGCACTAGTTCCAGAAGTGACAGGATTCCATCGAGGCTAGGCAGCGGAGCCAGGGGGGAAAACCCATCGGAAAAGGTCAACTGGCTGTTAAAAGTCTCGACTCTTCAACCTCATTTCAATCGGCCTTGTCCTGTTCAAGTCGCGACTCGTGAAGCAGCTGTCTCTCGTTCTGTGCCGGCTTCGTTCGTTTATTCACTGGTTCGTTTATTTGCTGTGTCGCGTCTGACAATTTTACCACCGCTCGTTTTCGTTGTGAGTTTAGAAAGAGACGCCGATCTGTCTAACGTGCTGTGATCTACGTGGAGACTTTATCTGATCGGCCATCTCTCTGCAGTGATCGATTTATCAAAGTTTCGGAAATGAAGTTTACGATGCAACGAACCGCCTTGGCGCTCGCGCTTCTTGGAGCGTCTGCCGGCGCTATCAAAGTTGACTTCACTAGCGATGGTGCGTCGATATCCTGATGTTGACGGTGGTCCTGGACTAAGACGAAAGATTTCTAGATTCAATCAAAGCTGGTGCGAGCACAATTGCGTATGGACTTGTCAAGTACTACAATGGCAACGAGACGGGCCAGATCCCAGGCAACCTTCCCCAGCCGTACTACTGTTCGAGTCCCCCATTCACGGCTCAGATGGAGCGTGTGACACTGATTCATCGATAGGGTGGGAAACGGGTGCCATGTTTGCAACTTTGATCGATTACATGGCCTACGCCGGCGTCGATACTTATCTCTCCTTGATGACGCAGGGTATGCTGTTCCAAGCGGGCAAGAACAATGACTTTCTCCCGCAGAACCAGACAATGTCTGAAGGCAACGATGACCAAGGAGTGTGGGCGTTGGCCGCTTTGTCGGCCTATGAGAATGCGCTCGGAATCGGCAACCCGAACTGGCAGGGACTGGGCAAGAACGTGTTCAACGACTTTGTCCAGCGATGGGATTCCGCCCACTGTGGCGGTGGCCTTCGATGGCAAATGGCCCCGGTCAACGCGGGCTACGACTACAAAAACTCGGCGTCCAACGGCGTCTTCTTTGACGTCGCGGCCAGGCTGTTCCAGCAGATGGGCCAAGACCCGCACTCTGAATGGGCGACCAAGGTGTTTGAATGGGAGCAAAAGGCCGGCCTCATTTCGGACTCGTACCAGGTATTCGACGGCCTCCAGGTAGAGTCCTGCAATAGCGTGAGCAAGCAACAAAGTAGCATGAACGCGGCCCTCTTCCTGGAAGGCAGTGCATACATGTACAACGCCACCTCGTCGTCGGACTGGAAGACGCGAGTGGACGGCCTTCTCAAGGAAGTTTCGACGACTTTTGTCAAGAACGGGGTTCTGTACGAGCCCATGTGCGAGGAGAAGGAGCTGTGCACCGTTGACCAGCAGAGCTACAAGAGCTTCCTCATTCGAGCCCTCAAGGCCACCGCCCAACAGGCGCCTTACACGGCTGCCACCATCCAGCCCCTGCTTCAGTCAAATGCAAAGGCTGCTGCCGCTAGCTGCAGCGGATCGGTCGACAAGGGCTTTGCGGGACAGCCGGGAACAGCCTGTGGATTCTCCTGGATTGGAGACAGCGCGTTTGACGGCAATGTCGGCGTTGGAGAGCAGATGAATGCCCTTTCTGCCCTGACGGCGCTGCTGCCCCAGCGTGCCCGGAGCCAGGTCTTTCCCGGCTTGAACGTGACAAACCCTGGTGGATGGGGCCAGCCCAGCACGACGTCTGGATCTGGCAGCCCTTCTGGCAGCCCTTCTGTCAGCCCTTCCGTCAAGCCAAAGAGCCCTGGTAACAAGATTGCGGCAAACCTCGTGACGGTTCTGGCTCTGTTTGGCGGTGTTGTGTATGGACTCTGTTAGTGAAACTGGGGTGAAGATGAAGGTGCTGGTTGCAGAAGAGTGCCATTGGGGAGGTTGGATGGCGAAACTTTCACATTCTAATTGCGTACCTTCTAAACAATATTTTATTGGATTTATATGACGAGCCACGACTCAATATGATTTTCATGAGACGAAGCAAAAGACTGAGTCCTGAAGTTTGCTTGTGAATTAGCATTCAAGAGTACTGCTATAAGGGGCTTAGCTCCGAACGTTGGCTCTTGTCGAAATCGGAAAAAAACCTTTCCCAGTGGCGGGGCATTTCCAACAAGCAGAGCATCGTCATTGCATCTTTTGAACATTGAACAATTCATCCCAATTCTTGTTTGCTTCACAGGCAGAAGACAAGACATAAAAAATGCAACTCAAGACTCTTCAGAAGCTGGAGCTGCCGGCCGCAGCGGACATGCACGTCCATTTGCGCCAGGGCGAGATGATGGACGTGGTGGTGCCGACGCTGGAGCAAGGAGGGGTTGACACTGCTTTTGTGTATGTCGAATGTCTTAAGAGACAAAAGTCTAGAAATTCAGCTGACTCTGGAGATGTATAGCATGCCGAATCTTGTATGTGAAGTGTAGTCTTTGTGCCGTTGATTTGACATTGGTGCAGATGTTTTGACTTGATGGTGCGTTGGGTGACTAACAGCCTTGATAGGTGCCTCCTTTGACAACCGTTGACCAAGTATGTTCCCCTATAATGGGTGAGCTACGTGCAATTCTTCACATGGCTAATGGTAAACAAGGTCATCGAGTACCAAGGCAAGCTCCGTGCTATTGCCCCCAATGTCCATTTCCTCATGTCCCTCTATGTAAGCGATCGTCGCCTTGCCTGATGATGGCCCCTATTTAACCAGACTCAGCTTCATCCCTCAGTCACACCAGAGACGATAGAGAAGGCAGCCCAAGCTGGAGTTGTCGGTGTCAAGTTGTATCCCCAGGGTGAGATACCCGTGTTTCTTCATTTGAAGACTGCTGCGTATTAGAACTAAAACATCGTAGGCGCAACCACCAACTCTGAGCACGGAGTGGCCAACATTGAAGCCTTTTACGATACTTTTGCCGCCATGGAAAAGCATGATCTTGTGCTCAACCTCCACGGAGAGGTCTTGGAGGCTTTGGCTCCGGAGGGCACAACTCTCGAAGAAGCCTTTCTTCCCACTCTCAAGCAGCTCCATGAGAGGTTCCCAAATCTGCGCATCGTCGTAAGTATTTACTATGAAATTCTCGAGGTGTGTCATATATGCTGATGCTCATGGACTTTAGTTGGAACACTGCACCACAGCGGCTGCCGTAGAGGCAGTCAAGGCTTGCGGATCCAACGTTGGAGGTGCTTCTACTCCCTTCTCCTTGGCTTCAAGGCAATCGTACTGATTATATATGCGCTCGTTAGCAACCATTACCGCTCATCATCTTTACCTGACAGAGGCCGATGCCTGCTGCGACCCCTTTGCATTCTGCAAGCCCATCCCAAAGAAGCCCACCGACAGGGATGCCCTCCTCAAGGCCGCCGTCAGCGGCAACCCCAAATTCTTCTTGTAAGTGACGCATGGATAAGCCTCCTTTAATGTTTAATCACCAACTACTAATACTCATTCCTTCACAGCGGAAGCGACAGCGCTCCTCATCCAATCACCTCAAAAACCTCCTCTGCCCAGGGCAAGGCACCGGCCGGTGTCTTTACGCAACCTTACGTGACGCAGCTCGTGCTCCTGGGATTGGAAGAAGGGGTTGAGCGGGGTATCATCAGTGAAGAGGACTTGACCCAGGAGAAGCTCGAGGGATTCCTCAGCAAGTTTGGAAGACGCTTCTACAAGCTGCCCGAAACCTCTGGAAACTCCCTTTTGCTGGAGAGAAAGGGTGAGAAGATTGCACCGAGCGTCAAGAGCGAGAGCGGATCTGTAGAGGTTGGCGTTTCGAGAGCAGGCGCCGAAGTGTTTAGTCTGACGTGGGTGAGAAAGGCATGAGATGTCATGGATTAGTTTACATGACAGGGGAGAAGGAATTGGTAGAGGTAGAGAGACGCTTCGCAGCTCTTATTGAATACTTGCGCGGAAGACTCCGAAATTCGAGCTACAAGCATTGCGGAGAAATCGGGTATTGCGGAGAAATAGGGATAAATCTTGGCGGCGATCGAGCCCGTGAGCCATGGCGATTTGAAGCTCGGTAGCAGACTTGATAGCAGGGTGTAGCATCAAGGTTAAAATGATATCAAGACATACGGCGCCGTGACCTCCTTTCATGGGGGGCATTTTCACTTCGTACCATGCAGTGTGCTTTCTGATTACTCGTATGAATAATCAACCACTGCGTTTGTGAACATGTCTAATATTGCAACGCTCTTAATCTTGAAAACCTCCGAACCTCGACCGTCTCCTTGGCGCCTGCAAGGGTTCAACAGCGCTTAACGCAAGTCAGCAGTGTTGAGAGAGTGTCGAGCATTGCTGTTAGTGTCTGTGCCGGCCTGTCGATGATTGGAGGAATCAGTCATGGCTTCTCTCCCTCCCATATTGCGAGATTGCTGTAAGACCTTTGGAACTTTTTTTTTTCCCCCCTCAAAGAGTTCTTCACACAACTGACTAGACTAGAATATTGTCCTTCCGCTTACAAACTGATAGCATACTCCGTAGGGCTGCGCTTTTTAATCTACTTGTCTTTAGGGCGGGCGTAACGCCCTCTTAGCCCCATCACGAGCGTGCCGAATCACAGCAAAAACTCACAATTTCGATTGGAAAGCCCGTCCACCCCGGTATCCACTCCGATAGAAACACACACCGCTGGGCAGTGATTTTTACAGAGATTTCTTGATCGATATTAATATTGAGTCGTTATGTAAGTCGTTGGCCGTGTTATGTAATTGCTGCACTACAAGCCGTGGCTGCTGCAAGCCGCTCCACTAGCGATTCATGAGTTGGAGAGAGACAAGGTGCCCATGACTAGCAGTATTGAAGTCGGAACAATATTCGCTAAAAGAACTGTATAGAGGCCCGTGAGCGTGAAATGGATAGAGGCTTGTTCTTTTGCCATGTCATAGAAGTTTTTGAGATTTTGGTTTCCATTTCCGATCTCGTTGCTTCATAGGCTACAGTCTGACCTAACTTTATCTTCTACTCATATGCTCCTTAGCAAGCCCACATGCTACGGCCAAGGTGGAATCTCATAGCGGCTGACGATGCGATGCAATATCATTTCGTCTAGGTACTAGCTTTTGTAACTAACGTATCGAATTGACGGTGCCCCCAGCTGACATGCAATTACCACATGCAGTATTGGCTACGGCTACAACCCCTGTTTGCTTCAAGGCCCGCCGCTATCTCCGCACACTTACGAGCATGTGCCTCTGGATAATCAATAAAGATGGAGTCGGCGCTCTTTCGTATCATGACTCTCTTTTCTAATAAATCTGGCTTTATAAAGTAGTAAGTTCTAGTCGGGTTTACCGCTTTCAAGGCAGGAAAAAGATGGAGTCTCTCGTTGTGACTCTGGCTTCCTGTGCTGGCGTCGTCTTGCTGCTGCAATACAACTACGCTACAGTTCCCGTGGCAGCTGGATGTGGCGTCGCATTCTTTGTTCTGGGAACAATCGTACACAAGATTGGAAGGGCGCTGATATACCCATTCTACTTTTCTAAATTGCGAAATGTCCCGGGGCCAAAGGTAAATAACATGTCTGCTGGAGCTTGAAGCTTTGAAATATCAGAAGGGAAAGCGAGAAAGGCTAATAACACATGTGCGCCAATGTAGGATAATCAATTTCTCGTCGGCCAAGCTATTCGCCTGCTGAAAGCCGCTGGTCCAAACGACTTGTTTCTCGAGTGGGTGCGCAAATGGCCCAACGCGCCCTTCATTCGGTATCTTAGCTTTGGCAACTCAGAAGTCCTCCTCGTGAATAGCCTGGAAGCAGCTCGCGAGGTGTTGCAGGTGTATGCATACTCGTTTGTGAAGCCGAGCTTCCAAGAGAAGCTGGTGGGCGAGATGATGGGCACTGGGCTCTTATTCGGAGTAGGCGAGCCGCATAGGCGGCTGAGAAGAATCACGGCTGGTACGTAGCCTTTCAAATTGATGATGCCGCTCCTGAAGAAGTGAGATTTTCAGTTGGCTAAAAAGGGTGATAGGACCCCTTTCGAAGCCCAACGTGCGAAAAATGCTGCCGATTTTCCAGGACAAGGCCAAGGAACTATCTGACATGGTTGACAAGGCGATTGCAGGGGAGGACAAGGGAGTGGTTGAAGGTACAATATGAACTCTGCATTCTTTTTTTTTTTTTTTATAAGTATATTCGTTGACCTGGAATAGTTGAATCTTTATTCAACCGAACAGCCTTCAAAGTCATCAGCACCGCGCTCCTTGGAAGGGACATTACAAACTTCAGGTCCAAAAGCTCGCCACTCACTTTTGAACAAAGTTACAAGGGAATCCTCGACCCGCCGTTTCTGGGGAAGCTCATCATGTTCATCAACCCGGTTATTCCGCTGCGATGGCTCCCCATCGAGGCAAATCTCGCCTTCATCCGGGCCAATACTTCTATGAGGACGATGCTGGCTGAGCTCATACAAGAGCGCGTGCAACAAGTGCGGCTTCAACAGAGCGAGGACAAGGTGAAAGGTGGCCAAGGCGATGAAAAGCCGGAGAAGAAGGATTTTCTCACGAATATGATTGAGGCGAATCTTTCCGAGGGCAAGGGGGTCTCGGAGCAAGTCTTGGTTGATACGGTAAGATTCTGACAACTTGTTTGAATACGACTTATGATGAGGCACTAAGACGATTGTTCTCTAGGTCATACAATGTGTCTCTGCCGGCCATGAAACCACAGCAGGAACCCTCACCTGGATCACACACGCACTCACCAAGTATCCCGAAATCCAGAAACGACTTCGCCAAGAGATCGTTTCAGCCCAGCAGAAGCAGCCAGAGCTCAGTGCGGCAGCCATCGACAGCATCCCGTACCTCAACAACGTCGTAAGCGAGAGTCTGCGAGTCTATGCGCCCGCCCTCTCCGCGCCATGGGAAACCGGTGAAGACGTCGTGATTGCAGGCGTCGCCATCCCGAAAGGAACCACCGTCACCACGATTCCCGCCATGATCCACCACAACCCGTCCATCTGGGGAGCAGATGTCGAGGTCTTCAACCCAGATCGATGGGACGCTGTGACTGGGGCCGTGGCCAATCCGTTTGCCATCGAGGCCTTTATCAACGGCCCGCGAACGTGTCCTGGAAGAGCATTGGCGCTGCTGGAGATTAAGGCGATTGTTGTGGAATTGCTCAGTCATTTCCATCTGGAAGCTGTAAGCGATGCAGACGTGGAGTATGTGCATCCGGCGTTGACGCTGAAACCGAAGGGGGGTCTCAATATTCGGATGCAGAGGCTGTAGGATATGCTGATGCCCCGTGTTGAAGTCATTGCGGATGGCGAAATGGCAATATTGCAGATGGAGAGAATGGCTGTCAGTTAGTGTATAGAAAGTTAAATACACGGTAATTATCAGGCACTCCCGTCTGTCTAAATGCTCTTCTTGATGCCATCATGTGACGAGACCATGCCATTTTCACCCATAAAAGGACGTCATCTCATCTTCTTACAATCCTCGCACTGCCTTAACACCGATTCGATCGATTTAAAACCCGTCACCGCCCGTCTCGGCATCTAAACGCCTCTCCCGCTATGGGGCATTTTACAGCGCTCTCATTGCTCCAATCGGCATCGTGAGCCGCCCGCCAATCGAGATTGTGCTGCGAGTTCATCTTCTGCCACTCTTGACAAGCTCCATGTAGCCAAGCAGGAAAATTATTATTAATCCCGTTCCAAGCAGTATTCGCCGCTAGTTATTACCGCTTCTCCTTTCTTTATGCACAAGGGGGCTGCGTACATAATACGACGTGATCGAGTCCCCCCCTCGCTCGCTGGTTCGCAATACTAGGCACATGCCATCGCCTCTATTCGTCTCCGCCTGATCGATCTTCTCCACGATCCAACACAGACAAAAAAAGCCCGGATGTCTTCGAGCCGCCAACCACAAAGAAGCTCGTCGGGCCGCACGCAGTTAGCCTGCGAGCCTTGCCGCAAGAGGAAATCAAAGGTAAGGGCTCTCTTACAAGTATCCCAGGCCCCGATTTTCTCCGCCGGCTTGGCAAACTGCCGTGGGCTGGGATGCGGGCGATGGAGACCTGGAGTTGCTGTTTGGGCGACAAGATACCGCACACAACTGCCGCCGCTTCGGAGCTCCGATGGGGCTGGCAGCTCTGCCGGCCAGGGGTATCTGAAAGGGTCGTTTCGATGCTGATGCTGCCGTCTACAGTGCGATGGCGAGAAGCCCCTCTGCGGCAACTGCCAGGCTCATCGGTTTGTCTGCCACTACGAATCAGCTCGGCCTGCGCGACGGTAAGGACGTCCTCTTGTATCTTTAGTTGTGAACGTGAGATTACACCTTTGAGAAGAGCTTGCTGAGTTCATAGCGCGCGAGCAACAGGCAGAAATACTGGGACCGTGACTATGTACAGGCCCTTGAGGACCAGGTCCGGATGCTGTCTGCATCCCTTGAGCAGTCCAAAGATGCAGGCCCTTTGGAATCATCACGCCAAGTCCGTCAGTTGTCGCCTTCGGAGGCGGCAAACCGTCTGCCTTATGGGCCAAGGACGCTCAAGGCGCTGAGCGACTTCAGCTCCATGAAATGGGCCGCCATCGTCGGCCAGGACGGCGCACCGCTTCTTGCTGGCCCTGGCCGGTTCTCCATCTTCACGAGAACGCAGCTGCCGACGTTTGAAAACGAGTCTCAGCCTTCACCGGCACCGACGCCGATACCATCGACTGAGACCTTCTTGCTAGAGATTGAAGCCAACTTGGGCTTGAAGCAACATCTAAAGGCACATTTCCTCGAGAACCTAAACCCCTTTTACAAGTTTGTCGACCCCATCTGGCTCAACTTCTCCGACCTGTTCCCCCACAACGACACAGCGCTGCAGCTGCTCTACAGCGCTCTCTTTGGCGCTGCGGCTCATTCGTCGCCCATGGCCAGCAAAGAGATGGCAGAAACATTCATTTCATACGCAGAGAGCCTCGTTCAAAAGTGCTATCTAGAGCACTTGTGCCTCCCTGTGCTGCAAGCCCTGGTCATTCTTGCTTGGTACAAGCATATGCAGCTGGATTCTGCCAAAGGCCATCTATACCACTGTAAGTTTTTTGGAGACTGCATCATCTACTGTGATTATTTCTACAGTTACTCATATATGACGTGGGATATCGCCGCGTAGACATGGCCATTGGTCTATCCAACCATCTAAAAATAGGAGACGCGGCACAACGTGAGCACACTGCCAATGAAGTTGCTACCATCAGAACGTTTTGGTCACTATATTTCTTGGACCGGTTAGTTTACGTCTGCATAAAATCTACACAAGCAGGTGAAGCTAATCAAATGACGCCTTTTTACTTGCTTCGCACAGAGTCGCAACCCCCAAACTGGGATGCCCATCGGGGATTCCGTGGGACGTTGACTTCATCACTCCTTATATCGACACTGTACCGACGGATGCCGTCGACATGGCTGCTCTTACCTTTGACCATCACTGTCGCCTGTTTCACATCCAGCAGCGATATATCGACATCATGTAAGATACTCTCCAACCCCAGTTGCAAGATAATTTTGGACTATAAGCCACATTTATGATATTTGTCACTGATATTGACTAATGCAAATGGCCAGGTACACCTCGAGCTTTGACAGCGCTTCATCCGCAGAAAAGCAAGCCACGTATGCCAAAGCAAACAACGCGATGCTAGAGTTTCGGAAGCGAATCGACAAACGCCTCTACATTAGCCGCAGCAGGAAACCAGACAGGGTCCAGGTTGTCTTTTGGATTTCCTACCACTCCGTCTTGACCAATCTCCAGCGCCCGTTCCTCAACCCTCTCGACCCCGGCATGGTTCAAAACGTCCCGTCCGTCTTTCGATCTGCTACTGCCTCGGCCATGGCGATTTCTCGGCTCCTCAGGGCCTTGCAATCGACCGATGAAGTCAAGTATCTGCCTCCGTTTGTCGTGCAGCACATACTACGATGCGCCCTCGTACACGGTCTCAGCCTGTTAGCCGTCGAAGAGGCAGGTGGCCAGCGAGTATCGTCGGGCAACTTTTGGTTTTGCTTCCGAACGCTAGGGGAGCTGAGCACGGTGTGGAAGGAGCTCAGCGAAGGCACGACGCCATTTGCGCTCATGGCCGTGAGGAACTGGGGGTTCAGGGGGGATGCTTTGCCCGGGGTAGATGAGCCATACGACGACAATCATACCGGAGACGACGGATACAGCGGTATCGAGGATTACGGAATAGGACTGGGCATGAGTGATGACTTTTTTGGAGTTATGGGAACGGGTTCTGGGTTATAGGCGTTACAAGTGAGGTTTTTTTTAAAGACATCAGCCAGTCTCAAGGTAAGAATAATTCTTCAATGTATAAATGATATCCAAATGATAGGTATGTAGAATCAACATGCATGTTCACGTATATATCGTTATATACGACGCCTCCTTCAAATATCCCCTCCAAAAAAAGAAGAAGAAGAAGAAGAAGAAACCAAAGCAACAGGTTTTAAAAAAAGAAATCCCCTGCCCCCTCGGGGTCAAACCGCCGTCCCCGTCTTTAGTTGGACTTGCAAGTCACATAGCCAATGGCAGCAGGAGGGTTCACAGGCACCGTGGTCGGCTTGCGAATGCTGACAGCCCCAAGGCTCTTGTTCGAAGGAGCCTGGAAGGAGCACTGAGTGAGGACGTAGCGGCGGCCGTCGAAGGGGGGAGAGACGAAGACGTCGGAGACGACGATGTTGTTGGAGGCTATGAGTAGGAAGTTAGTCACATGTACCAGATAGCATATATATCAGTTTGACAGCAGAGTCGACGTACAAAACTTCTGGGCTTGTCCGTTGGTAGGCACGTCAAAGGGCTTGGTATAGGTGCCGTTGGTATAAGTGTAGGCAATGTGGGCGGCGTGCTGGTCGAACTTGGGGAGGGCCGAGGCGGAAGCAAGGCCGGCGAGGGAGGCGACAGCAGCGATGATGGCGGAAGAACGCATGTTGATGGTAGTTTATAGTTTCTATAAAATGTATTTAAAAAGAGAAAAAAGTATGTTATTTGAACTTGTCTTAAGGAGTGTGAGATGCTTTGAAGAGTAATAGGAAATAAGAGAGATGTTGATGCTTCTTCTCCTTTCGCAGTTCCTCGACGGCCGTCTTATATATTCCCGCTTCTTCGCTTGAGCAATTATCTCTTCTCCATTTCTCCCTCTTGCCCATCTTTGCCGTTTTCCCATCCATATGGAGTATCATCAAAGCATCACCCCCCCATGTCGCACGCAGTAATCACAGCTCTTAGCCAGGTCCATCACATCTAATCTAAAGCCTCTGGACACCATCCAGGCCCGCAGCAGCAAGAGATCAGCAATCAAGGGCCATGCAGAAAGTACTATCTCGAGGTCTGACAGGCCAAGTGGACGGGGGGGGGGACCTGAAGATCATTTCCGAGTTTGGATGGCAGGCTCGTCATGTAAGGGGGCAGTGAAGACGTGAAGGCGGGCATATCATGGCCAAAATCGGGTGAGGCTGCTGCTATTTCTAGCTTCAGTCCTGGATGCATCATTCTCATCATCTATTTCGAAAAAGTGTCAATCGTATACTAAACATTATGGAATATTCCGTCACTTGCTTCTATTGAGGCGTTTCTGCGCGCACAATAGTAATTTCTGTATCATGCTCTCTGGATCCATTTTCTGTTTGAGATTTGGTGGTGATCGACATCAATTTATGGATCTGCACTCGGTGTAAATTATTTTCTGGTGCTCCGTGCTTTTGCGTCCTAAGTCTTTGGTTGCGGCTTTGCCGGCGCTGACGGCAGTTGTTTACGGAAACAAAATGAATTGTGACAGACTATTGAAGATTGGCTTATTTAAAGGAGTTCTAGAAACCATCTCGCTTCGAAGCCATTGTCATCGTATGATGGAGCCGTATTTCATTAGTATCGGTATAAGTAGGACTCCTTCTCGACGTCTTCTGCGACACGGCTTATTTTTTCCCGTCCACTCGCTTTTCCCGCAAAAGCTTGATCGACATAAGCGTTGCGCCATTAAAGATCTGCACAAGATGCCATTCCTGGCAGGTCGCAACATGGCTGGGAGGCCGTTGCTGGATCGACAAAGTCGTAAGAAGATCGCCAGCTGCGACTTGGTTTTTGTGTCGCGCCTTGACGTACGTGTCAGCAGTCAATTATCATCCAGGCGCCGAGATTAGATCAATCTCACAAAAGAGAGCATGAACAATCGAGGTATTAGTCTACCATAAACAACAAAGATTTACTACTATGGCCATCATCTACATACTTAGCTGGTAAGGCGAGTAATGTTGACGTTGTCAAATTCAGCCTCCGCCTTGAAGACCCTGACGCCATCCTGCCCGCTCCCATAAGCAGTGTCCGTCACACTGATAACAGCGGGCGTTTTGCTATCGATGGCCACGCGTATGGAGCTTCCATTTGCCATGATCTTCAGTTGGTATTTCTGCGCCGGCTTGACGCCAGCCTTTGTGCTTGCCAGAGTGGTGGACTGCGACCCATTGCTTCGGCTGAGGAAAAGAGTGCCGGTGGTGCTGATGCCAGCGTAGTAGCCTTGGAAGGCAGTTGTGTCATTAGATGCTCCCGATACTCGGAAGATTACGCCAGCATTGCCGTCAGAATGGCTGCCGCCACGCGACAGTAGTTTTACATCGGCCTCATAGGTAAAGTCGGTAAAGTTGGTGTTGAGGAGGGCGTTGCTGCTCGACGAAGCACTTGCTCGAAGAGCGTTTGTATTGGCACTCCAGCTGCCTCCGTATGTTTGCCAGCCAATCGTGTTGCCATCCTCAAAGTTGTCATGAACCAGCATCTTGACTGTCTCAATGGTGCCATCGTCGTTGAAGTAGAGGCGGTCATAGGCCAAGTGCCGGTCATTGCCGTCCGTGGAGCCCAGCGGATGGCGGTGGTACAGAATGAAGAAGATGTCTGTGTTGGGAACTTGAATCACGGCATTGTGGCCGGAGCCCGTAGCAACCGCCTCATCCTGCTGCAATATCTTGGCGATGCGATCAAAGGGCCCCAGCGGCGAGCTGCTCATGCCGTACGAAACCGCATAGTCCGGCCCGGTCCAGCCGCCTTCGCTCCAGAAGAGATAGTACACGCCATTGCGCTTAAGCATCTGCGGCCCTTCAACGTAGTTCTCTGGCGTAATCTCCTTGAACGTAGTCCCATCGTCAAAGGTGCCCAGGCTGACCATGTCGTCGTTCAGCTTGGCAACATTGGCATGAGAGTGCCCGCCGTAGTAGATGTAGGCCTGTCCGTCGTCGTCGATGAAGACATCCTGATCAATTGGCTGGGCGCCGTTGTGATACGCGCCAATCAGCGGCTTGCCCAGCGGATCGGTGTAGGGGCCCTCTGGCTTGTCTGCCACGCCCACGCCGATGCCGCCCAGCTCCGCGTCTGTCTGGATGTCGTTGGCGCCAAAGTAGAGATAGTACGTGCCGTTGCGTTCAATCGGCGCCGGGGCCCAGACAGCCCGGTGAGCCCAGGCGAAGTCGGCGGTTGTCAGGATCGACGAGTGCTTGGTCCAGTGGACGAGGTCTTGTGACGAGAAGGCGTCCAGGTAGGTCTGGTCGTCGTAGGGCAGCGACGAGGTCGGATACACCCAGTACGCGCCATTGTAGAACTGCGTGTCCGGGTCGGCATACCAGCCGTCGACAAACGGATTCCCGGCCTCGGACGTGGCCACGTCTGGCGTCTTGGTGGCGGCGATCAGCCAGAGCGTCGAGAGCAGCCCCAGCATCTGGCGAGACAGCATCTTGGATGAAGAGCAGTTGTGTTTCTGCTGCGTTTGCCAAATCTAATATCCCAGTTTCCAAAGTCCCAGTTCTCCTCCTATCCTCCCGAGTAGAGGCGGTGTATGTGTTGCTTCATGCCGGATTCAATCGAGGAGATGCTCTAGTACGTCCAAGTAGTGCCGAGAAGGATTCAAGAGGCCGTGCTTGGCTTTAGTGCTGCGACGATACATGCGCCATGTACCGTCATGCGCCATGGATCTCTAGGCAGCCACATCTTAATCTCATAGTTAAAATGATCCCTTTAACATCAACTGAGTATAGAGAAAACAGTCGTCTTTTACAAAGATGGTGAACCTTGTAAAACGTCAGCAGACAGACACGGCAGGACGAGAGACTTTGTGTCTCCGCAGCGGACTCGAGCCACCGCATCTCGGGCACAAGAGATCGGCCAGATTGATAAGATGGCATTCGCTAATCAATCAATCAATCAAACTCCAGGCGGATCAACGGGCACACCACTTGGCTCAGCCAAGGCTCTACAGCTGTTCCCCAGCCAATTGATTCTCTCCGTATCTCTCCCCCATCGCCCCAAACTCGGTATCGCGCGGACAAGGCGGTACTCGGCACGGCATCTCCAGCGCGCAAAAAGAATCCACTTTACGGAGTCAAAACTCCATTAATGGTCTTTGAACTTTTGCACAGCCGCCATTGACTTGTCCGACGGGCCAGCAGTCTAGCCGTGTGTGGGAGAAGAGAAAGAAAAAAAACGGTTCTCTTAAAATCCGGAGGTGAAATCTGGTCTCCGGCTGGGCACTTTGTTTTCTTATAAGTGGTTCTTTTACGCTATACACTACATACTTGCTTGGATGTCCAATATCGAAAAGGGCCGGCCGGGTATTGCGGAAGCTTGAACTAGAAGCAATGAGATGGGTTGATATTATTCTTCAGGCAAAGTGTAGAATGACAATTTACATTGGAAAAAATATGCATCGAGAGTTTCCGAGTAGAGACATGGAATTATCTCGAGGGGGGGTATTCCATCTTCCCGCATACTTACAGCCACGTAGTTCAACACCGAATGCCAAGGTAAACCGGATGTAAGAACCATCAAAAAAATCTCATCTAGCGCTATTATCAATCTCATTGTAATAAACATCGGCTCAACTTCTGCAGTCGTTTGAACGGCTCAATCCCAGGCCGGCTACTAGGGCTGAGCGTGGGTCTTACACCATGTTGGAATGGCCTCATGCTCCGGTCAAGGTGGCCGACATATCCCGTATGCCAGTCACTCATATATAATCAGATTTCCCAGAGTTTTCATCTAATCTTATCTGATCTGATAATCTTTGCCCATGGTCCATTGGCTCCTTTGCCATCCCCATGTCTACCATGGAGTCTAAGACACCAGATGCTGTCGAGACTGGAGAGATTGGTCAGAACAGAAGGTCCAGCATCTCCGAGGACAAGCGGCCATCAGGTACGCCGATTCTACTATCAATATCTTCAATTGATATCTCGAATTAACAGTCTTTTTTTTTCCCTCTAGAGGAATCTAGAACGCCGACAGAAGAGGTCCTCTTTGCTGCTGGAGTCGGACTCAGGGCCGATGATCCTACTCTGCCATGCCTCACTCTCCGCATGTGGGTGATTGGCATTGGATTCTGCCTCGTAGGCAGCGGCGTTAACACGCTGTACACATTCCGGTTCCCATCAGTCACTTTGTCCCAGTCTGCCATCCAGTTCCTGGCATACCCAGTGGGCAAAGCTTGGGAGCTTGTTGTCCCAGATTGGGGCGTGACTCTTTTGGGGGTTCGCCACAGCCTCAACCCTGGCCCATTCAACTATAAGGTATGTATAGAACCGCATTCGGATATGGTCAAAAGTATGAAGAAAATTCTAATCAAATTCTGCTGCAGGAAAACATCCTCATTTACATCCTAGCCAACCTAAGCTACCTGACCCGTCTAAGTGCCGACGTCTTAACCGAACAGCGCGTATTCTACGGTGCCGACACCAACTGGGGCTTCGAAATCACCATTACGCTCGCTACAATTCTCTTTGGCTTCTCCCTCGCTGGCTTTGGCCGATCCCTTGTCGTCGAGCCACAAAGTTTGGTATGGCCCGGCGTGCTTGCCAACACGGCGTTGAACGCAGCTTTGCATCCCGCAGGAAAAGAGGACGAAACCGAGTAAGTCTCTTATACAGGCCATTGTTCGAATCATGACTTTTAAACAATCATCCAGGGCCAAATGGAGATCTTCTCGTTACAAATTCTTTCTCATCGCCTTCTCGGCTGCATTTGTCTGGTACTGGTTCCCAGACTTCATCTTCCCAGCGTTGAGTTATTTCACCTGGGTGTGCTGGGCGGCGCCTCGCAACCCAGTGGTGAACCAACTTTTTGGCATGAAGAGCGGCATTGGCCTTTTGCCATTCACATTTGACTGTGAGCAATCAACACTTGTTTTATATGCCCCCCTGGATAGATAGCTCAAATATATATAAAAGGGTCGCAAATTTCGTACATTGGCAGCCCCCTCGTTGTCCCGACGTGGGCCATCCTCAACACTCTTGCGTCAGTCGTCTTCTGGATCTACATTGTCACTCCTGCGATTTACTACACGAATACTTGGCTTTCGGCACATCTTCCTATCCAGAGCAACTCCATCTTCGACAACAGGGGCTTGGCGTACAATGTCAGCCGTGTCATCAACAAAAAAGGCGGCTTCGTTTTTGAACCTGAGAAATATGAAGAATACTCACATGTACGGTTTCTACCTTTGATCCTCACGTTTCGAACCCTTGTTAAACATTTACATAGATTTATCTTCCAGTTACTTATGCCCTTAATTCTTTTGGCCTATGCTTCGCTTGCATCTCATCACTCTTCGTCTGGATGTTCCTTGAGAAACGACACGAGATTGCAAAGGTATTCCGAGAATCTCAGCTTTCCACGCTGTTTGGACGCAACAAGGATGCCAGACCAAGCCTTCAGCCCCAGTACAGCAACGTTCCCCTATGGTGGTACGCAGTTGCGCTTCTCGTATCCATGGGGCTCGGCATCTTTGCCTGCGAGTTCTATCCCGTGCAGCTGCGCTGGTACGGAGTCATTTTTGCCATGTTTGTGTCTGCAGTCTTTTATCTTCCAGTAAGAACATCCATACTCTTCACGATTTTGAATGTAGTGGTAACGATGTTGATTCGTCATTAGCTGTCTTGGGTCTATGCCACGACCAACATGAGAGTCCAAATTGACATCTTTTGCCGCATAATCGCCGGCTATGTGTGGGAAGGCAAGGTCCTCGCCAACATTTGGTTCTTTGATCTGGGCTACATTTCCGGCATCAAGGCTCTCGCGTTTGCCCAAGACCTCAAGCTGGGAATATACTGTAATGTAAGTTGACATTACTCATATTCTTCGACTGCGCCTAGAATAATTCTAATTTTTTTTTTTTTTTTTACATAAAGATTCCACCAAGACACCTATTCGTCGTCCAAGTCGTAGGCCTCATCATGGGAACCATGGGCCAAGTCGCCGTCCTCAATTGGGCTTTGAGCCACGTCCCCGACATTTGTTCCCTGACTGCAAACAACGGCTTCACATGCCCCTATTCTCGAACTCACTTCAACACCAGCATGGTCTGGGGCGCTTTAGGCCCTCGCAGATTCTTCGCTGACGGGACCTTGTATCGCGGCCTCCTGTGGTTCTTTCTGGTGGGAGCTATATTGCCCATCATCGTATACGCCATGAAGAAGGCATGGCCGAAGCAGCGGTGGCTGGAAAAGGTTCACGTCCCCCTCTTTCTTGGCGGGCTGAACTACATCCCTCCCGCCTCTGGAACCAACTACGGCAGCTGGGTCATCGTTGGCTTGGTCTTTGGTCTCTGGATTAAGAGAAACAGCAGAGGCTGGTGGCGCCGGTACAATTTCGTGCTCAGCTCAGCGTTGGACTGTGCCACGGCCATTGCAGGCATCATCATCTTTTTTGCCATATTTTACACAGGAGCATCCGATAAGTTGTCTTGGTGGGGGACGACCGTGTATCAGGTTAGTCATCTCTCAATGATTGATGAGTTTGAAACATCTGCTAATGGCGTCAACAGGACACTTGCGACTGGGACAGCTGTACATATAAGACAGTCCAAAAGGGGCAAACATTTGGGCCATAGCGTGGAATTGATCGCCATTGTTAATAATGAATTTCAGCAGTTTTTTTTTTTTTTTCAAATAGATTTTGATTGAGATTTATGAATTGGATAGAATCGAGAAAGAGTGAATTTGCATCATACATAAAGATATTGGAGTTTCAATTAGCCTCTGACGTTACTAGCGGTCTCATTCGTAGTAGAGCCTGGAGTAGATTTGCACATCACAAGCTAGCACTTGGAATTAAAAAAAAAAAAAAAAAAAAAAAAAAAAAAAAAAAAAAAAGAGAAAAAGTAAATATCTAATGAATGATGGAATCAATTGTTAAATCATTGACCCAGAACATACAACTTTTTATATCCGTAGTAATAGAGAATGAACTCGGCAGTTGTTTCCCAGCCATGAGGGAAATATACAACATCATCCCACTTCCCGGACTTCAGCCGCCCCAGCCAATCACCATCGCCCATTTTACAAGCAAGCTCCAATCGCATTGGACGCTCCAACTCCCGAACGCTATATGCCATTTCAAAGCTTCAAATCTGCCACCAAAACCCAAGCAGCCTCTCCTCCTCCTCCCCGCCCGCCGCCGCCCGCGCAAAGCTGTCAATCCTCCTTCTTCACAATGGCGAGCAAAATCACTCCCTTGCTCCTGCGCTCCGGCGTCCGCTGCGCCTCGCGCGTTGCCCGTCCTCAGATCCGCGCATTCTCCATCACAGCCAGCCGGCCCAGCGATACCCTCCAGGTGGTGAGTAGAAAAAGAGCTGCCACCTCCAAGGCGGTCCAATTTACCGACCATGTCGCTGTCAATTCGCACGCCCCGTCATGGTGGTGCTTCTGCACTGTTGCAATGAAAGCCGGACAGCCATCCCAATGCAAAAAGCAACAAGAAAAAAAAACGCTGACCTCAATATTCCCCAGCACCGAAACTCACCCGACAACAACCCCGACATCCCCTTCAAGTTCAACGCCCAGAACGAGAAGCTCATCGCCGAGATCCTCAAGCGGTACCCCGCCCAGTACAAAAAGGCCGCCGTCATGCCCCTGCTGGACCTCGGCCAGCGCCAGCACGGCTTCACCAGCATCAGCGTCATGAACGAGGTCGCCCGCCTGCTCGAGATGCCCCCCATGCGAGTCTACGAGGTCGCCTCCTTCTACACCATGTACAACCGCACTCCCGTCGGCAAATTCTTTGTCCAGGCCTGCACAACGGTACGCTTCAAATCTCCCCAAGTTCATAAAACATTACTGCTGCAAACCAAGGAAAACCGAGGGGCAGCATCCCTACTCAAGACCTTTCCCCCCCCCCCCCCCCCCCCCAAAAAAAAAAGTAAAGAAAAAAACATACGACTAACCCCTCCATCCTTTCCACAGACCCCCTGCCAGCTCGGCGGCTGCGGCTCCGACGTCATCGTCAAGGCCATCAAGAACCACCTCGGCATCAAGCAGGGCGAGACCACAAAGGACGGCCTCTTCACCTTCATCGAGGTCGAGTGCCTCGGTGCCTGCGTCAACGCCCCCATGATCCAGATCAACGACGACTACTACGAGGACCTTACCCCGGAGACCGTCGTCAAGCTGCTCGAGGACCTCAAGGCCACCGGCACTAGCGCCACCAGCAGCAAGAAGGCCCCCGTCGCGGGACCCCTTTCCTCCAGAGAGTCGTGCGAGAACAGCGCCGGCCTGACGAACCTGACAGCAGAGCCGTGGGGAGCGGAGAAGACGAGGTCGGATTTGTAAAACTACTATATATTTATTGAAGGAAAAAGATATCAAGGAGGGAGGGTGGTAAGTGGCGGCGGTAGGCAGTATTTGACGCGGGTTTTCTAAATGTACATAACGCCATGTTGAATGCCAAGAAGACAAAAAAAAAAAAGTATAGAACATTGTGCAAATAATGGGCGTGTGTTTGCAAGGCAATTGGGTTCAATATTGCAAGTGTGTGCTCCTAAACGAGAGACGTTGGCATTCGCTATTTATTGTTCTTGGAAAAACTTGTAAACAAGGACGCTTATTTCAAGGCTACAATTGTCCAAGATTTTGTTTCGCAATCTTTACTCATATGCAAACATATCAAAAAAAGAAAAATAGTCCAAAAAAAAAAAAAAGATGGTTTAAACAAGCCTCAAGATCCATCCCTCTCCACGCCTCCTGTTGTTATCATCCGTTCCTCCCCAAATCACAATTCCGGTTTCTTCCAGATCAGACATCGGTGCACTCGCCAACCAGCCCCGGCCCCGCGGCATTTCCAAAACCTCCTCGTCATAAGGGCCCATGGTCACCTTTGTCCACTTGCCTTCGCCCGTCTTGCGTCCCACAGCCTGGAACATGGCCGCCGTAATGCTCGCGGCCGTCATGCCTACCGGCGGGACTTGGAACAGCCATACGTCGTTGTGGGACTTGCCAATACCGGTATGGCTTTCCGAGCTTGAGGTTGCCTCGCCCATAGTCAGGACGAGATACTCCGTACCACCACCAATAGTGATGGCCTCCAGAGAAGACACGCTTCGAGGCCCAGGCCAGATCTGGTTATTCTCAAAAGTAATGTCCTTTGACGAAGCTTCTGGTGCGTTTTCGTATATGGATTGCCATCCGCCACGGGCCCGAACAGACACTTCGCCGCGAGTGACCCGGTCATCAAACATTTCGACCTCGAGATTCAAAAAGTCAACTTGGCCTCCAATCTCCCTCTGCCCGTCAAATCCACCAAAACGGAAAATTCGGCTCTTGCTGATGCAAATCGATGTGCCCGAGCGGGAAGGTCCCGGTGCGGCTGGCAGTTCAGTCCAAGTGCGCGAGTGGACGTCAAAAGCCCAAAGATCGCTGGTACGATCGCCGCTGGCATTAATACCGGCGTGCACGAAGAAGGTACCATAGCCATCAGTCTCCTCGTCACTCGCGTTTTCGGCGACGTGACCGACGATGGGGTCCTGCGGGATGCCCGTCTTGGAGGTATCACCAAGCGCCCACTCCTGCCAGCTCTGAGCCTGGGTTCGCGGGGGAGGGGCAAAGTCGCGGGGTCGGTCTGTCGCCGTGGCACAGTGATAGCTTCGTGGCGCCGGGTGCGGGATGATTGATCCGCCCTTGACTGCAGGGACAGGGTCGAGGTAGGTCCAGAGACGGGTGCGAGTGTCAAAGATCCAAACTCGGCCATTTTCATCAAGAGGCCTCATGTCCGGTCCCGCGTAGCCGCCGAAGACGAATATCCGCGAGCCAATAACGGCAGTTGCATGCCCAATTCGTGGTGGGGGGACGTCGCCGAGATCTTGTGCAGCCCGTCCCTTGCCCTTGTCAACAGATGCCGGTTTGGAGTCGCTCTTGGTCTCATCAGTCTGCTCCGTGTTGCGGCTTTCGCCGCTGTCGCTCTCATCTTCTTCGGGGACTTCCTCGCCGAGATCTTCAGCCTTAGCCTTGGCCTTGGGGCTATCAACAACATCATCGTCTGATTTGCCCTTTTTACCCTTGTCCTGAATTGGCGTCGGCGTGGGGATGGTTGTGTCTGGCTTTGCTTTGATCTTGAAGTAGTCGGCGCCGGCGCTGCTGAAGGGAAGGCGGATGACGAGCATATCATTATCAACGGGTTCGCGGGGAGTGACTTCGCCACCAAAGATGTAAGCGCAGCCAGAGATGATGTCAAGAGAATGCGAAGAGCGAGGCACGGGAGGGAGATCGATGCGCTCCCAGGTGCCTCTCATGCCCTCCTGGCTGGGCTGTCTCCGGAAGGCATCGAGTGTGAATTGCCGCATGACGGGCAGCGCCGGTAGAGAGGGCAGAGCAGGCATTGAGGGCATGGCCGGCATGGAGGGCATAGAGGGCATGTTGCTCTGCGCGGCGTTCCATGCCTCTGTGGAACGGCGCTTGATGGTGCCACCGATGTTCTCCATGGTGGTGATGGATGTTCGCCGGGATGGCGGCAGAATCAGGGAATCTTGGAGAGCTGAGGTGGTGATGGAATGTCGAAGGATACAGGTAGGCAACAGCAGCTCCAGCAGCCCAAGAAGAGGAGCTTGGGACGGGTTAGTGAGATGCAAGACGGTTGGCTGCTGACGCCGTCTGGGTTGTGGTGGATTGTGGTGGATGGATGGAAGAGAGAGCCGGGCAGATGACGTACGAGCACCTATTTCAGTCCTCCCTGGTAGCGGGTGCTGTGCTGCCAGTCCAGTCCCTGTAGACGCCAAAACACATGGCGCTCCAGGGCTTTCACGCCGTGCCGGGTCTCGATCGAGCGGGCCTCGGGGGCTGTGATGCTTCAATTGCAGTGGAGCCGTCGTCAGTCAGCGAGGCGGAGCACATTGGACCAATCGAGGGGCGTGGGCTGTCAAATGGCACAGCTGGCTGCCTCTGCTCGGCCATGGCAGCTTTTGATCGTGGTGCATGCAAGTCAGCATTAGGCAGAGCAGCAATTGGTGCAGTTTTGTCTGGTTCAACCGTCGTTCGCTAAGAGCTGTGCTGTGAGGGTTGGAGGTGAGCTGACAGCGATCGCTAGCGGGGCTTAGCGTGCCGTTTCACGGATGGCGGGGCCTTTAGGCTCTGTCACAAGTAAACAGGAAGCTCTACTGTAGAAATGCGCCCACTTACCCTACGTTCCACAGAAATGAAGAAATGTCTAGCGAGCATGCCACGTAATCCACCCTTGGACAACATGACATTTCAAGGGTTGTACAACTGGTTTTCGAGATTAGATGTAGTGGTGGGCTTGATCACGTCCAGAATAAGGAGCATGGCTACTTGCGTGGATGAATGCATTGCTGTATGTGCTTGGACTACATAGTGAAGCACTCAAATGCCGAGTTCTAAGCTATATTGATCGGGCGGATATTTTGAAAACACAAATACGTAACAGAGTTGTATAACAAGCGGTAAAGAGGTGCTTGATTGCCGTCAGCTAATTTCGCGTGTCATCATGAATAAAGTGTCATGTTCTCTCAACTTGAGGTATAACATTGGCCTGTTATATGTTCTAGCAGGTTACAAAATTTGCCATTCACACTTGTGCCATCCAATGCAACGCTCTAGGAGATGACTGCCATGTACATCGGGCAAAAGGAAAGCCCTGCCGGCAAGTATTTCTGGATAAAACTTCAACATCTGGCATACAAAGCTAGTCAACAACGTATATAAAGTTTGTCTCGAGAATGGAAAAGCGTCTCTTGTAAATGTCTGCGTTTTAACGGTCCTTATAATACAAGCAAGGTATTTACACTTGGTTTAATCGCCCAGACCATGACAGAGGCCGTTGCCATAAACCAATGGACAATTCAACTGGAAGCCAACCAAATTCCAGCGGGACCAGAGCCGCTGCTCCTATTAGCACGGGCAATGTTAAAGCATCACGTTTCTTCCCAACTTACAGGCTTTAATCTTGCAGTCCGACTGCATTCGCGACAAATCCAAAATCCTTGAGGCAAGCACCCAGAGAGACGGTGTACCCATGGGACCCGGCAAGGGGGTCGCCGCAGTTGTTTTTGGTGTAGGCGGTAAGTTCACCGCCGATGGTGTCATACTTGTTAACCCGCATGGAGGACCATCCAACAGAAGACCCAGTGTAGCAAGTCTCGCCGTAGACTGTAATAGCTTTGAATTGGTCCTGGCAGTTTCCATCGTGGAAGAGATCTACACCAACGCTTCCTGCTTGAGCGAAGGCGACTAGGGTGGCCATGGCCGTGACGAAAGAGGTAAACTTCATTGTGAGAAGATATATAGCAATGTTGCTTTGACGTGGGAGGCTGTTTTAGTTCTTGTTATGTGTGTAGATGCTGTGATGAGGATGAGAGTGTGGTTTAGAGGGAATGGTAGGCATATTTATGTACCCATTTATGTCGGTTGACTCGTTAGGATTCAATAATGGCAAGTACGAAAGGAGATACAAAAATCACATCTTAAGCAACGTCTTGGGCTGGGTCAGCAAAATCCTTCATCCTTCATCTCCGAGGAGTAGCTTCAACTGTAGAACAGCTCGACATGCAAATACGCTTGATGTGCAGATACGCTCGACGGAGTTGACTAGTGTTTTTCTGGTCCTGGGTAATAATGTTTGTTGCTCGAGAAGCCAAGGATACAAGTTGCCAAACAGACCCTGTACATCATCTAAGGCTGGTACTATGTTAAGCTCAACTTTTTAGCGGTCAACTTCCTCGATAGGTCACTCAAGGTATACCTACTGTAACTACGTACTAGTTATTGGAGATATTTATAAGGAGATACTGCTGTAGCGGCAACTTACCTGCAGCTGGGGGAATTGGGTGACTGTTACCATCGAAGTTACAAAGCAGTCAAGTTAGGATGCAATCACCATAATCCGGCTCTAGTCACCACTTTCTGCGTATGTTCGGTAATGGTTTCGTAATACTGCTGAAAGACTAACTGATTACAAGTGCCATCTGATAACCGTCATCAATAACCATTGATGGATGCTAGGGCCATGTACCAATTGGATCAACGGCATGAATCAGGAACGCTCCTCTGAATTGATTTACACGCCTACATGTGCTTACATTTAAACACATGCTCAGGAAGCCCAGCTTTTTGACTACTATTTAGACCACGAAGCGAAAAAGCCACGAAATCCCTTGAAATGGCCGGCATGTCCTTGCTCTTCCAAAAGCGAGGCTGTTACCGCAGTCAAAGGTCATCTTGCGTAGCGAACTTGTGTTGTTGTTTTCTCCTATTTTGAGTTTCATGCTTTTTATATGCTAAGGTGCCGGGTCAGGTTCTGATTAGCGACACATGGAGTAGTCATCTTCTTCTTCACCAGAATTTGGGCTGCAAAGTCTCGTCATATTGATACTTCGTCGCCTTTATATTTCGTTCGCTGATACATGCATGTGCCTAGAACCAAAGTTTTTGTCCTCAAGAACCTTTAGTGCTATTCATTATAAGTGGATATCATATATTACAAATCAATATGACTCTCAGAAATAGTAAAAGGGATAAAAACAAGGAGAAATTGAGCAGAGATTTGAAATCATAGTAAAACTAAGATGATACTATCGCGATATTCCTTGAATATTTCTGCTCTCCTAGAATTAAGTGGAGCCCTTGCAGTTTCCAAATTCCGTTAGCAAAGTAAACACTAGAAATTAAGAAAATTACTAATGCAATCTCAAAACGGTAGCTCTTACATGTACAGAAGACGAGCATCGGCATTTAGAAAGATAGCAGACTATAGATTCGACAATGAAGACAAAGACGCGAATACTTATATATACGAGCATTTCCATAAGCTTTTTCTTTTGTATGTATAGGAAATAGATAATCTAAAAAAGCACTCGCATCTGAACTATCCATCATGTCTTTTCTCTCGATTACAGCCGCCGCAAGGCGTAAAGCAACGCTCATTGCATCCATCTCCAGTTTACTCCTGTCGTGTGTTCATGGCCAATTCATCCCAGAGATTGATGCAACATATTCCTCTACCCCCAAGCCATTCACTCTCAAAGTGAATCCTTCCTTCATCGAGACGACACGACTCAAGGTGCAGCTAGGCAGAATAGCCAATGACATGGGAGTCCCCCCCTTTACTGACGGCATCTCGACTGAGATGGCACAAACTCTTCAAAACTACTGGGTTGATGAGCTCAACTGGACATCTGTACAGGAGCAAATTAACAAAAAGTCGGACTTCTTTTCGCCCTAAAGAGATTCAAGAAGCGCAGCTAACATGGGATGGCAGTTTCACAATGTTTACCACAACGGTCGAAATCGATGATAAGAACTACACAGAACCAATCCCGCTTCACTTTGTGCATCACCGCTCACCTCGCCACGATGCAATTCCCCTTCTCTTCCTCCACGGTTTCCCGGGCTCCTTTTTGGAAGTAGGCCGAATCATCTCGTCCTTGACTCATCCGCCCAACTCGTCTGTGCCGGCTTTCCACGTCGTAGCCCCGTCTCTGCCCGGCTTTGGATTCACTCCTGCCCCCGTGCATGCCGGGTTGGGCCCGATCGAAGCGGCGCATGCCTATAACGCCTTGATGCACCAATTATCGTACCCACGATATGTGATGCAGGCCGGGGATCTCGGAGCCTTTGTCACTACCTACCAGGCTGCTCTCCACCCCGAGAGCGTCATCTCCGTGCTCTCCAATCTTTGGGCCCCTGCTGTCAACGCCACGGATCTTGCTCGTTTTGAAGCAAATGAGACGACACCGGGAGAGACGGCGTATATCCGCAACATAACAGCCTACCAGACGGGGGGCGCGGGATACTTGTTTCTACAGTCCACGCAGCCCTTGATGGCAGGCCATGCCTTGACCGACTCTCCTCTAGGATTTGCGCTTTACATTTTCCAGCTGATGCAAGAGCTCGGGACCTTTTACCACTGGTCACTCAGCGAGATCATCACCTGGGCTATGATGTACATCATCCAGGGTCCTTACCCAGCTACACGCTTCTATAAGGAGTTCCGAAATGCCGACCAGATTGTTGGCGCTGACATGTTTGGGCCGGCGTTGTTTGTCAACGTTCCAGTCGGTGTTACACAGCGCCCACAGGACGCCGGATGGGGTGTTCCACTGGATTGGGCGCGCAGGATAGGCAACGTGACTGCGATATATGTGCATGACTTTGGGGGCCATTTCGCAGCGTACCAGACGCCTGATACGCTGCTGGATGACTGTTGGCGGTTCTGGGGGAATAAAAGCGCCTCTGGGGTTGGAAAACACTAAGGTAGTGTATGAGGAGAAGAACAATGGGTAGATGCTAGTAGATTGCAGCAGGATATTCAAGTTGGACTATCAGCATGCCATTAACAGCATACTCCTCACACGGTATGTTGCTAATGCTTTTTGCTTACACATTTGTTATCTGGGATTTTGACTTTGAGTTTGGGAACATTACATATACCTACCTACGTATGGTGAAAATTGAAGTAGGGACTAGAGTTGGAAAGATAACCGATTAATAGAATACATGTACGTTTACTTGCCATGCTAATAGAGCTATCTATCTAGTAGTTTACTCCCTTGGACTGAAATCTTTCTGCATGCCAAAAATTATTTATAGCAAAAGCTCCGCATGTTTTCTCTACGTGGAAGACGCCGGATAACATGTAGTGGGGGCAAGGAGGATCAAGTTGAAGGCCGCCGCCAAGAGGCAGCCTGCGGAGTATTGCATTCACGATCCTTGTAAGTGAGGCACATGTCCACCTGCCTAGTGAATGAACACGCTCCATTCCTTCATAGTAGTTGTGAACTACTTGTAAATAGGACTACGAACTTTGGCGCTACACATTTTTCTATCCTTGTTACGAAGCGTGCAACCCAAGACTTTAACTCGTCTCCTCGTGTTTTCCGCCTATATAAGTAGGTGTATGTATCTGTGGTTGCTATTGCTTCTGAACACCGGCTTATGGCGACATGGACTTTTAAACTCTCTGCCGCGGCTACATGTAGTTTGACGCTTTTCCGTCACCAGGGCTTTTCCGTCAGTACCCTTGCATGCGCATCATGCAAGCCGCTGCTGGCCATACAAAAGCTTGTGAAGGCGGGCATCTAAGCCACACCACCGTCGGAAGCGCAGCAGATGATGGTCAAGTTGCCCAATCCGATGCTTTCTAAACAAAGACGCTTAGTTGAAGGATGAATGAAAACATGCATTGCAGTATCATCCCGGGTTAGGGCAATGACGCTTTATTTCATTCTGGCCTAGTCCATTTTGTCCCCACGAGATCATGCAACATTGTGTTGTCTTCAGCCACTTTCCTATAGGCAGCTATATATAGGCACGTCTATCTTGGCCATCTCTACGTTGCACAACCCTCTACGTGGACGGAAACGCGCAGGAGCTGAGCAGCAATCAATCATCGGAATCTCCATGGGGGCCTTGAGTGATCGATTGCAGCCTCATCCGGATTACTATTATTGTTCCCATGGTGCGCAATCCTGCAGCATGGCCGGCGCTTAGGCTCAAACGACCCTGGTCGCGGCTGGCCACCCTCTCAGGATGTTTTGTTGCCCTCATCAGGCCGGCTGAATCCAAGAGGGCGCCAGAGAATCCGTACGCGCGTAATATTTACAGATGCTCAGTGAACCCACATCGCTTTTCAAATATGTACATCGTGGATGCGACTGTCGCTACCTAATCAGTTCCTGCCAAGCGTCGACATTTATTTGCCTTTTATCGCCTTTTATCGCTTATTTGGCGGGTTTTGTACCCATGGAGGAGATATACCAGAAACTAAGCGTGGTGAATCTATGGCAGGGCTTCCGCAATTCAGATGAAGCATCATTTGAGGTGATTGAGGCATGGCTTCATCACAGCACTGGGCAGATCCACATGAACCGCAAGCCCGTCTCGGTCAAGGAGTTGGATAACTGGCTTACCGACGAATTCGATGGCGACGGCGACACGAAAAAGTCTCTCGTTTTGCGAATAGCCCTGATCGGCTGCGACATCAAGCACAGAATCCTGAAGCTCTCCGGCGAAGCGATGAAAGCCCTACTCAAGTCGTTCAACCTCGAGCTGGCCTATAAATACTCGCAGAGCTGCATCACCAATGTGGCTGCCATCCCGCCGCAGTCAAGCGAGCACCAGGCGTATTCCTTTTGCTACATGCCAAAGCTTGCGGCAATGTGGGAGCATCGCCGCTTCGACGCGCAGAGCCCAACCGATCGGTCATATTTGACGCAAGGCGTGATATTTCTCGATGAATCCAACATGCTGTTCCTCTCCGAAGTCTTCCGCACTCCCTGGAGTCCACTTCTATACGAAAGCCCCGTGTTCCCCGCCTTTCTCCTCAGCCTCATTCTCAGCACGCAGATTCATCAAGGGGAAGAAAAGGTCAAGTTAAAAATACGTGCGAGCGAAAGGTGTGCCTCGCTTCAGATGCCACATCAGGGGTACGATAAAGGTGTCATGAGCTTGTTCATCAGCCTGGCTTCCGAAGCAGATAGATGTGCTGTGAAGCTCAGTAGCTTGAGCAGAAAAAGCAAAATGGTGGAAAAGGCCTTGAAGTTTATATTGAAAAATATATCGGCACAAGGCGACTATGAAAGCTCGCCCAAATCTGTGTCGGCTGAGGCCTGTCAATTGTTGAAGAGCCATGCGCTTCTTTTACAGGACAGGTTGGAAATGCAGCTTGTGGACATAGAATATACCTTGAAGCGCGTCCAGCTTCAGATCAGCATTGTAAGCGGCCTCATTGCCCCTTGTTGTGTGTTGTTGTCATGAGAGACTGACTAACATCTCAAAGCTCGCCGGCATCATCTCTAGAAGCGATTTTCAAGCGACTCTAATGCTGGCAGAGTCCCAGCACCGCGATTCGCTCTCGATGAAGACGCTTGCCATTGTCACCATGTTCTTTCTCCCAGGAAGCTTTGTTTCCGCTTTATTCTCAACATCAATGTTCGACTGGGACAGCGTCAACTCCTCATCAGATAGTATCGGCGTGCGGCCGCTGCCTCAATTTCGACTGTACTGGGTCATCACCATCCCGCTCACCATCATCACCTTTATGCTCTTCTTTATGTGGCTCTATGCAACGAAATTCCGACATGATGCCCAGAAGAAGAGGGGAGATGAGATGAGGCAGAGTTATTTTGACCGCATTTCACAGGAAGAAAAAGCAGAGCTGAATTTGACAATGGCAAGACGGAACGACACAACGGCCACACAATAAACATGAAGCCTAAGTGAACAAATATTACCTTTTTTTCCTCCAAGAATTTTTTAGGTTTATTCCATTTGTCTTTATGTGTTTTATGAAATAAATATGATTCCCCGATTTGTTTATTGGAAATTTCTTGATTTGTAGGTGGTCTTGGTGGATTGGCTACGTGCAGCTGTGTCTATGTTGGATACATGTAGTCATAATAGCGTATATCAAATCATCAAATGATAGTCTTAAAAAGAAAGGGGATTTTTTCAGGCCTTTAACATGGTTCATACTTTGAAATTGCTGGTAAAGGCATTAAAGCGGCTTAAATCTCCTTATACTCCAGCAATGACGCAGCACGGCTTTGGAGGGGCTGCTAACGCTGGCACTTGCAGAGCTCAAGCTCCAGCTAAACTTCCCCTCCGCCCATCAACTCTGGACCTACAGCTTCATTTTCTTTGACGTGTGCTTTGCCGCGTGGCAATCATTTCCTATAAACCATACACTACGGCCAAAACGGGCATATATTTTACCCGTCAATCTCCTAGTCCAGCTGATTATGCCTACTTCCACCGCCTCATAGCTGTCCATTCGCTCGATCGGTTGGGCCATCCAGCGTCGGCCTTATGGCTGCTTATGCCTCCACGAGCGGCATTGTGCCCGCGCAGCTGGGCTTCCTCGCCCTGTTCAATCCTTCGCTGGGCCAGACGGATGAAACGATTGAAGATCAGATCGTTTACTACGCCTCTGTTTCCACGCAAAGCTCCAGCCGCCGACGGAGGCGCGCGCGCACGAGGCCGACAGAGGGCATCTCTCAAGAGGAGCGTCACGAGCGGCTGCGGCAGATTGGCCTGGCCCAGGGCGTGGTCAACTTCGGCCGCGGGTTCTCCGATGGAGCTGCGGTAGACACTATTGACACCGAGAAGTCGAGGGTCATTGCGCATGAGCTGGAGCCGGGATGGTGGATTCTTGCCGTGAGTCTCACGACTTCTACTTTTGCGTTGACCCTGCGTACAAGGTGCTAAGCCTAAGATGACCCGACTGCTGACCTTGGGTACTCATAGAGCATCGACTTGAATAAAGTGCCTCTTCCTCCAAGACTACCCATCAAGACTGGGGAACAACAGGAGGAGAGGTATGAGTATTCCAGTCGGGAGATGAAGCCGGCGGCGTTGCTGCTGCGGGACCTGTTGCGTGCGCACAGTATCTTTCTCCTGCACCATGGATCATCACTGAGCGCCTTGTTTGTTCGAAATCGCCGAGGCAAGTTTATTGCGCTGCTCAGTCGCTACTGGGACCTGTTTCTATCCACCTGGAACGTCATGCTGCACGGAAACCCTGCAAGAGATATTTTTGGCGGCATCAACCTTGCTGCGTCTGGCGAGCTTGGGGTAGGAGTTGGAGAAGAGGATAGAGGAAGCGGCGAGAGAGAGGTGCTCGAAGGCTTGGTTAGTCGAGTGGAGGGTCTTGTTGATCTGGTTGTCTCGAGGTTCGGGCCTGACGATGTCGAACCGGAATCGGGCAAGTCGAATAAGACTGAGGCAGAGCCATGGCTTGGTAGCGGCAAGGAGCCCGGAGCTGAAGACGGTGCCATCTTTCTTGGGACGGGGGCGTTATCACGAAAGTCGCTACGGGACGTGACGAACTGGATGGAAGACCTTTATACCTGGGGTGAGCATGCATATGGTATCATAGAAAGTCCAACTTCAACACGGCGCGCTCGAGGCAAGAAGTCATCTTCCAAGGCGGCGGTTCCCCATGATGTCCAGCGCCCAAAAGATGATGCAGTGTCCAAGGCAACGGAACACGCAGAAGAGGCCGGCCCATCTACGAGTGATGTACAAGATGCTCAGCCAAAAGCATCGGAAGACGAACAGAGTCGAGCAGCTCAAGAGCCTGAGGGTGGAAGACTTGACAAGATGGTCAGCTATCTCACGCTGGGTTACGGATCATACTGGTCTTTTCCCGGAGCAGGAGGCAATTCGTCGGAAGCGGCCAATCAACAACAAGCCGCCGCCGATGGTGCACCGGAATTGCCCTCTGCTATGGCTTCTGGCCACTACCTAATTGGCCTCAGAGGGAATATTGAAGACGAGGCGACGGCTGAGAATGAGAATGATGTGGACGGGACTCCAGGCTCAGACGATCTTGACGGCGACCAAAACAACTCCCGTACCGTTCTTCGCACTCTACATGTCGAGCTGGAAAGCTCATCCGCTACGGTGAATCGCCATGACAGCGCCATTGTTCGAGATTTCGAGCATCCTGCCAACCCGTTGACTTCATCACAAGACTTCGGAAGCATGCTCCCCAACTATGCCTCTCACGACGCCAACATGGCGGAAAAGCTCCGCGTCGTCGTCTACGTCAATAAGCCCTTCATCTTTGCCTTTCTCTTCCGCCTCCGCACCGACTCCCTGGCCTGGGATACCCTTTACCGCTCCCTGCACTATCAGCTCTCTCCGCTGAGGAAGCCCCTCTTGGCATCAACCAAGTACCGTCCCGAGCGCCCAGACGCCGGCCCTGTGTCATCCCACATCCAAGACCTCGTATGGGATCCGCCCTCGCTCACCGTGCACTGCTCCATCCCCAACATTCCCGACTTCTTCCCCGACCCGGCCGCTGCAGCTTCACCGTCTCCTTCGCCAACGTGGTCCCGAGCGGATGCCGTAAGTACACACCTCCATCTGCTCAACGTCTACGCCGCGACGCGCTCCCGCATCACCGACCTCGAGCGCACGCAAAAGACGAATCGCGGATGGTGGATCGTCTGGACGAGGGTCCTCCAGCGCACCGCCGCCACCCCTTCCACAACCCACACTGCCACGGCGGCACTGCCGCTCTCCACCATCCACGAGTCCCGCTCGTCATCATCCCTGAACTCGACTTCACAAGCAAGCAACCATGAAAAAGAAGAAGAAGAAGCTGGCCTCGAAAACAAAGCCGCTTCATCCCACCACTCGTCCTCCTCTTCTACATCCACCTACTCACCTCCCCCCATCGTCGACAAGGAAATATTCCTCATCCGCCGCGCAAGTGACCACATTGGCTTTCGCATTGCCTCCGACGAGGGAGCTTCCGGGGGTGGAGAAGGTATGGGCCGGTTGGCGCAGGGGATCGGCGTCGATACGAGGCGATATATCGAAGAGCTGTTGACCCTGTTGTGAAGAGAAAATCCCCAAAAGAAACAAGAAAAAAAGAAGAATATGACGATTTGTAGTTAGCGGCGTATCCGTATGGGGAGACCCTGTCTGTTTTTGGCGAGCCGAATAGAAATTTGAGCTCTGGTTGATACGAGGTGACAATGGCTATCACAATTACCCAAGATTGCAAGGTAGAGTGTTAGCGATGCTGTGGCGCAACTTGGAAGCATTAAATGGCATAAAGTAATTAGGCGTAGCGCAAATGAGCATTTTAGTGCCCGATCCATTGATGGACAGATCCATTGATACAATGTACATATCCACCGTAATTTACACGACAGATACCTTGGTAGTAGGTAGACATCATTACAACAATCGCAGCTCATCAATCACGCACAAACACGAACAAAATGTTTTCAAGTATCAAGTATTGATGGGCATCTAAAAGGGTATGTCATTCCACGTTGTCTCCAATATGAGAGGACATGTCTATAAAAGGTTTTTGTCTATATGTACAATAGAAAAAAGTTTTTTTAATTCCCGTTCCTTTTGTCCCGGGACAAATTTCCAAGAAATGTGTGTGTGTAAAGAATAAATAAATAATAAAAAAGTTAAATCATTTTCCTATTCCATATCGCATTCCCATCCACGCCAGGGACGGTGAATCCAAAAAAATAAAAATCAACGAATGTAGGGTATAACGTGAGAAATTTGTCCATAAATTGATCTAGGGTATATGTGCGCCTTGAGATTTGAGGCCAAGTATGATAGATAGATCCATATACCCGTCATGCACAGATTGTCTAGGAGACAGCAGCTTAGTTGAAAGACCAAGAGCAAGGAGCACGGCCGGCGCCGAGGCCGCCGAAGAGCTCGGTGAAGACCTTCTCGCTGACGTCGATGGAGCCGGAGGCACAGCCCATGCACTTGTCGACGACGAGGGCGGTGGTGGTCTTGCCGCCAGCGCTAATGGTGATGGTCTTGCCGCACATGGGGTTGCCGTTGGACTGGGTGCCCATCTGCTCCCAGTTGATGGCGACGAGGTTCTGGGTGGTGTCCTGGCCGGAGTTGTCGACGCCGCAAGAGCCGAGGCCGACGGTGTAGTAGGTGATGTCTCCCTGGAAGCTGCCGCCGCTGCTGCTTCCGCTGCTGCCACCAGCAGCAGGCTGGCTGGGGCTAGGAGAGGGAGAGGGAGAAGGAGAGGGAGAAGGAGAAGGAGAGGGGGAAGGAATAGCAATCGAGACCGGGGGAGGAGGAGGAGCCACGGAAGAGCTGGAGGGCGCAGCAGCCTCGATCGAGACCTGAGCAGAGGTGGTCTGAGGAGGAGGAGGAGGAGGAGGCGTGAAGACAGACGAAGTCGAGGCCTCAGCGGTGGTGGTCGGAGGAGGAGGCGGCGCCTGGGTGCTGGTGGTGGGAACCGCAGCGGTGCTGGAGCTGGGCGCAACAGTGGACGACGAAGGCTCGACGAACTCGCCGGCAGAGGCAGCAAGGCCGGAGCTGGTGGGAGCAGCCACGGGAGTGGTCTTGCCGTCCTGGACCAGGTAGGTGGTGGTGGAATCGATCACCTCAGTCTGGGTGACATACTCGGTGTGCCACTCGATCTCGGTCACGACGTTGTCACGAGCAACGTGGTGGTGAGCGTGGTGGCCGTGGTGAGGCTTGGCGGCAGCGGCCGCAACGAGGAAGGCAGAAGCAACGGTAAAGGTCTTCATCTTGAATAGCTGTAGTTGAAAAGGAGCGGTGGTTTGTCGCGATGTTGTTCTGTTCAACAGGACTGATGTAGCAAAAAGTGCCGTAGAGGCGAGAAGTGCAAAGACTTTTGAAGGAATGTGGGTTGCAAGAGGAAGGGAGAGTCCTGCTCCGGAAGTGGGAAATAGATCGACTATGAAGTAAGTCTGTTTCGTTTGCGAAGAAGAGAGAGACGAAACAATCGGCCAGGGGGGAGGAGGCTGGATTTATTAATGGGATTGCAGCTTACATGGGCTCCCAGGATTAATACGGAGCGCTAGCCGGGGGGCCCTCAGTCGGCGTGGTGGTGGCCATTGTGGGCGTCTGTTCAATTAGCCTGGCGCCATCCACGCTGGGCGCTGGGCTGCTGGAGCCCTTCTGGAGTCCTGCTGGAGCCCTGCTGGAGCCAAGCGCCGCGCAACGCAGCCAGTGCCAATTCGCTGCGCTGCTTACGTGCTGCAAGGGCGTTGGCGGCGGAACAGAGGGATGAGTGAGTGGATGGAGGCCTGAGACAAAAAAAGCAGCGTGCGTGCACTGTTCACCAAAAGAGAGCGAACGGCGACCCCTAACGGATCACAGCCGCGCCGAGCTAGCCAGACGGCGCTGCCACGTCGCCGCTGCGGGCTGCCATTGGCCCCCGGGCTGCTGTAGCGCCTGTATTACAGGGGCGAATAGCCTTCGCGGGCTCTGCAGGGGCCGCCATCCGGTCCCATCGCAGCGTCGCAGCGCCAGCCAGGTACCCGGCAGGCCAGCCAATGGGCGCTGGCCGGTGCCTGAGGCGCTGCGGGCCCTCGCACGCAGATTGGCAGGACTCGCAAAACCCGAAACATGTGCGGTGGAGCGCTGCTTTGCAAAAACTCACTCGCCATCTCGGTGGATCCGCACGCACGGGCAAGAGATTCGAGAGAAGAAGAGAAAAGAAAATGCGCCTCGTCATGCAAGTTTTTTTTTTTTTGCCCTGCTCCTGTTCACGCTTCTTTTTAGCTCTACCCCCCCATGTTTGCATTTTGCCGACCGACACTTGAGGGAAATTCTTTCTTCGCCAGACCCGCTTCGTCTTCCATCCCGTCCACTTGGATCTTGACATTTTCTTGTTGCCGTCCGGCTATCGAGATGCTGCCTGCCGTGGAGACACTGACAACGGTGCGCTGTTTTTTTTTTTTGCTCGTCCCTCTTCTTCTCCAAAGAACTGAACCCATCCGCCCATTGTGCCGCTGTGGGTGCTCCGGGAAGGGGACCAACGCTATTCAACGCCATCTCGTGCAATGGAGTGCGCCTCCACGTGCTGGCCGTCAATGCCTCTTTCATTCCAAAGGCCACCCGGAGATGAGGCGAGTCAGAGATGATCCGCCCCTCTTTTGTTCCGAATGCTACTGTGCTGATGTGGAGGGCAGTTTAATGTGTTCAATATGCGGCAGGGGCAGCGCACAGTATGGTGTTAATTGAACTAGACGGAAGTTGGGCTTTTTCCGACTAAACTGCGTTTGCTTGTCTCCGAACACGCCGACCCAAGGCACGCTCATTCGATCTAAAACTTGTGGCGGTTGACTCCCTGCTTGTCATGGCCTGTCGTTTAACTTCACCGACTGTCTCCACCAACGAGTTCTGCGCTGTACCAACCGGATGGGCACAGTTAGAAGCCGCGTGGGCGACAAATATGGAACCGCTGCGACTTTAGTAGCCAGCAGCTTAGGCCGCAGCACTATTGCCTCTGTACAGAACCGAAAGGGAAAAAAGGAACAAAAAGAAGCAATGCAATCGCCACGCGTCAGAAGAAAAATTTTCAGTTCATCGTCAAAGGCTTGCGTATGCTAGTTCTTGCTTCCTGCCGCTTTCCAGAATCGCGATCCCAGGGCGCCATGGCAGCATAGAGAGAGAGGACATGCTGAATCATTAATCTCGCTCAGAGCCAGGCTCACAGCCGCATCTGTTCCACGGCCCTGTCCCCCCGCACCTTTATTTCCCCCGTCGTATGCTATTCCGTGTTCGCTTGACATGAGGAAGAAGTGCGTGCAGGCTCCCTCCGGTCTCCCTTCTCTGGATGCTGATTCTCTGCTTGGTGCAACCGCCGATGGGACTCGTGCAGCCAATGTCCAATACCACGGAAGAAAAAAGAGGAGTCGGGTCCAATCACGGAGAGACATCTTCTGTCCGCTGTTGTGTGGCATCATCTTTCGGTTTCGATTAGGCCATTGTGGTTGGCTGCCATCATGCCGCTCTTCTTTTTGCTCGCAGTGGTGCCACCGGCTGCCCGCTTTCTAAATGTGAAGAGGAACAGTGACTCTCGCTGAAACACGGGCCTGTCCTCGTCGAAAATCTCCTCGACCACAAACGCCTTCTTGGCTGCTTTGACAAACTGCATGTCGGCTCGTCTCCTCTTCTTGAAGCAGAAATACACCACGGCATCCGAATTGAGCTCAAACAGGTCCTTGAGCGTCTGCATGAGTAGCGGGAAGGCCGGCTCGAAGTAAACACATTCAGCTGCCAATATCACGTCCGGCTTGTGCGCCACAACGGCCTCTGGAAGCGTCTCGCCCCTGGATTTTTGCACACATCGTGTTAGGTCAGTCAAATATTGGCTTGGGCGCTGAAAATAGAGCCACTTGAGGTATGGTATGGCAACGTAGCACCGCCAAGAACTCTGCTGGGCGGAGGATACCAAGACGCAGAAGCGGAGAATCAAAAGTCACGACGTACCAGTCCAATATTGAGGCCGTAGCTTTGCCCTCCAGCTCGTTCAGCTGAATATTATGCTTCATCAGCTCCAGCATCACATCCTGGTCGGTTAAGATGAGTGGCGCCTGGAGGTTACAACCAGCCGCCACAGCCAATCCAACTAGTCCACCACCAGCGCCCAATTCCAGTCTGCGTTATTAGGCCTGAGTCAGCAGTTCATTCTTTGGGAGTGGCTTTAGTCATGCGCCGAGGTGGGCATCTGGGCTGAGAAAAAAATTCAAGAACCCGAAGAAAAAGCGCCGAGGGCCGTGTAGAACAGCACAGAAAAAGAGGGAGGAAAAAGAAAACCACTCACATCCGGGCAGTCTCCAGCGTGGCTCTATGGTAGCGCAGCATGTGCTTCCCCAGCACCATGCCCGCAGGCCACGTCTGGCCGCCGCAGCCTGTCCGCACGTCCTCGTGGAGCTTGATAGACTGTGCGAGCAGTCCGTCAAAGTCGATGTTTGTGTCGCCGGCCGTCTTTGAGTTTGGTAGTGAAACGAGATCCTCCGTGACGCCCGCAACGGGGTCCAAGGGAGGTGAAGGACTGCGGCTCTCCATGGCCACAAGCTGTGCTGGTTTGATCAAGGTCAGAGGAGAGACTGCTATTGGCAGGATGGCGGCAAGGACGAAACAAGAGGCTGTTGTGATAGAGTTTAAGATCCGGCAGGGCGTCTACGAGCACATGGCACTGTCATAATCCCCCGCAGCAGCCTGTCCCTCTTTTTTTTGCGATACCTTATCTGCCATGACCCTAAAGTGATGTTTTTCCTGGCCACGATAGTGATTCCGAGCGAAAGACCCTCAATTGTTCCGGCTTGCCGCGCACTCGGCCTGTGGCAGATGGCCATGGATGTTTGCTCTACTCGTACAGAGCACAATGAATACATCATCTTGGACCACCTTTTGCCGCAGTGATGATCGCTGTAGCGATGGACTAACTGAACTACTCCATCCCCGTCTATAGATGCGCGGCAGGGATCATCGAGTACAGCTTGACAGCTTGCCGGCTGTGGGTCCAACGGTCCAGCTCGGAGACTGTCAAGGATCTATGCTCAAGAATCGCTTCTGATCTATTAAAGTGCTTGCATCACTATCGAGGGAGCAATATCGCGTCACGCGTTTCTCTGATCAAGTGCCAATCGCCCCTCATTCTCCAGATGCTAAATAGTCTGTGGCCATTCTTCAGAGTGGCATCCCATGTCTCAGTCTTCAACGCCGCCAGCGCGGGGCACCCGCGACTCTGGAATGCCACAGCCTCTCTGGCCAGCCTTCTTGACACTTTTATCGACGGTGCAAGCCCGCGTATCCTGCTGTCTGATCTCTGAGAGCTGGTCTCTGAGACAATTTACCTCCCATCGTAATGGACCAGCTGTGCGTTCTCGTGATTCCCTCGGCATTATTGGCAGGCCGAGCCCATGATGGCTTCGTGAGCCGGCTGTGGTGGAATGAAGGGGGCTTGCACCCAAGTCTGTACCCAGCCATCTGCCAGGCGAATTCAATATGACTTCTTCCTGCTGGGGTTTCCAGTTTCAATCCTTTTCCTTGTCCTCTCCTGCATGATTGCCTTGTTGATATTCATCTCCCCAAGGCCGTATTTTCAAACCAAAGCTCGTTTCTCCTATGCCGCATGGCTTTTGTGCTGCGTTCTTGAAGTTATCCAGCGCTGTCTGGCGCAACATCGTGACATGATGGCCTCGCTCTTTGCGGTTCTCGTTACTCTTCGCCTCCTGGAGACCGCGTGCGCTGAGCCTGCGCCCTCATATCCTTTCAACGCGCAACTCCCTCCTGTGGCCAGGATAGACCGGCTCTTCTCGTACTCCTTCTCTCCAAACACCTTCACGTCCAACTCCGACATCACCTACTCTCTAGGCCATCATCCTAGTTGGTTATCCATCGACAAGGGGAGCCGCCGTCTGTATGGGACGCCAAAAGATGAAGATATCCCCGCGGGAGACGTCGTAGGCCAGCAGTTTGACCTCATTGCGACAGACGGTATCGGTTCGACCTCGATGAATGCTACTGTTGTCATATCACGCAATCCTCCGCCTTCAATAAAAATACCTGTTTCGCAGCAGATGGACAGCCTCGGGACATTTTCAGCCCCGTCTTCGCTCCTGTCCTATCCGTCAACAGACTTCCGATATACTTTCGACCCGAGCACGTTTGGAGATGGACACAATTTCAGCTACTACGCTTCGACGAATGATAGCACTCCTTTGCCGGCGTGGATCACGTTCGATCAGCAAACATTGACCTTCTCCGGCAGGACTCCAGCGTTTGAGTCCTTGATCCAGCCTCCTCAAAAGTTCGACTTCAGTCTAGTCGCCTCTGATGTCGTCGGCTTCGCGGGAACTGCCCTCTCGTTTGCTATTGTGGTCGGCAGCCACAGACTCACCACGGATCACCCCATCATTCAGCTGAATGCTACGAGAGGCTCCAAGATTGGCTTTGATGGATTAGCAAATGGAATCCAGCTAGACGACAAGGACGTGAAACCCAGCTCTCTTAATGTGTCGACCGAGAATATGCCGTCTTGGCTGTCTTTCGATCCAACAACACTACTCTTGGAGGGAACGCCGACCAGCAACGATGGGTCGGCCAATTTCAAAATCGTCATTCGTGATACCTTTGCGGATGTTCTGAACATTCACGTCCGAGCCGATGTGGGCACCGGCTTATTTCAGTCGAACCTCAAAAGGGATATCGAAATACAGCCTGGAGATGACTTCAGCCTTGATCTTTCATCATATCTCCGCGATCCCAAGGACATAGACCTAAAAGTTGACTTGGATCCCGAACCGGGCTGGCTACATGTTGACGGGCTCAAGATATCAGGCAACGCCCCCAAAATGGCAAAAGGCAAATTCAAAATGTCAATCAAAGCCACATCCAAAAGCACCGGCCTCAGCGAATCAGAAACATTGCAAGCCGCGTTTCTCTCGCCAGACGAAACAAAATCGTCTCCTACTTCTCATACATCAGATTCCACGAGACCGGCCAGCATGAATTCTGAAGATGCCCCCTCGCGCCGTATGAATACAACCGACATTCTCCTAGCTACTATTTTGCCGGTTCTGTTTCTTACCTTTGCCATAATGCTCATTGTATGCGTCATGCGCAGAAGGCGGCATCGTCGAACGTACATCTCGTCCGCAAAGCATCGGCCCAAGATATCAGACCCGATACGGTTCACAATGCGCAATAACGAGTCAGATGAGGAGACAATCTACCATGCAGAGAAGACTATTGGCTCCAAAAGCTCCAAAAAGTCCAACACGCAGCTGCCGATATTCAAGAAAGGCAACGGTATCTTTGCAGAGGTAGCATCACGGATGTCGTCAATGTCAAAAAGGTCGGGTACTTTGCGCGGCGTTTCCATACCACGGCGTACTTATGCAGAGCCAATGGCCTCGGGAGCTCGGCCTGACACGGCTAGAAGTGTCAGTCCGCTGGATGAGGAAGACCAAGCCTCATGGTTCACCGTGGAGAGAACCACGGCCAGTGGACGAAGTCATAAGGCGAGAAACAGCTGCCATTCAGACACGACCTTGCCGGAAGCCGCCCAACTGTACTTGCCTACATCAAGCTTCCTCACAGAAGCTGGAGAGAGTGCATTTAGAAGCGGACTAGACCTCACGCTGCCATCCTTGGATGATCTGGCCAACATACAACCCATGTCTGTTGCAGCTCACAACGTTTCGAGGGAGCGAGGCATCTCAGGGATGTTTTCAGATATAACGTCCAGCTCTGCCGCATTGCCGTCAGTCCTTTCAACCGTTCAAGACCTCCAAGAGCCATTCGACCCCAGCCTTGTCAGTCGGGCAAAACACTCAGTCACAGAGGCTACCGCGAAAGAAAAGGGGCCTGTCACAGAAGCAGAAACAGAAGGCGAAACAGCCGAAAGCATCTCAGAGCTAAAACAACCCAGCCAAGCACGGATATCAAGTAACAAATGGTTCAGCCACCGCGGCTCTTCTTGGACCAACAAGACCTCCATGTCAAACAGAGCCAAGAGCTTCCAAACAGAGCCATCATTCGGGTCAAACGAAAACTGGCGCCCCCTCGGCAAAAAAGATGCCAGCGTAGGATACCTCGAGCTCTTGGACGAGACGCCCTTTCTCCCATCAAGATCGGCATCCAAGAACAACAACGTGTCACAGCTGGAAGAGCGACGGAGCCTGGAGCTCATGTCGCCGAGCAAATGGGGCGAGGACGAGAGGAAGAGCACCGTGATACGGCCCACGCGGCCGACGAGTGCGATGTCTCTGATGAGCGAAGGGGGCAAGTCGTCTGTGTTTGGGGAGAGAGAAGCGGCGGCGAAGTCAAAGGCGGTGACGGATTGGAGGAGAGAGGATTCGGCTGCTAAAGTGTCTGAGAGGAGCTTCAAGATGTTTATATAGGGAGACTAGTTAAAAAGGCGGGTTGGCATAACTGCTTTGTGCTGATATAATGTTTTCCTTTTCCTCATGGAGTCAGTAGTAGTCGTGTTTTGTTTATGCTATGTAGCCTTTTTATTTTCGATACCATGGAATTATGTAGAGATGGAGAGCAAGAAATAGAACATTTTCCCACTATGACCACAACTCTACAATCATTTGTCTACTGCCTCTGCTGCTTCTACTGTAAAGACTTTTTATAAACCCGAGTGCTCGTATTCCTCTTTGTGTGTGTATTTTCATTGCGGTCCCTGTTTTTCTGCTTCTCGCCCAACAGTTTAGAGTAAAAAAAAGTCTGTTGGCCAATTGAGTCGTCGAAGCGCATCATCGATTTTATCACAGAGATAGCCGCGCGGCATAATAGGCAAGGTACCGCAGTTAAGTGCCGAGTACCTGGCCCTAGTAATCGCGGGTGCAAGGTACATGCACATCTAGCATTGGATCGCCTTTTTTCTCCAGCCACAAAACCCCTCCGTTCCGCAGAAGATGGATGGAGGGGCTGGCTGCAGTGAAGCATCTCAATGCCACGCTGCTTTCTAATCGGCATGCCCACGAGCCTGCTTCTATTTTAAGCCTCGCCTCGTTATCAGAGACTCTTAAAGAAGAGCAAACTACTCAATATCAAATCTCCGCTACGGGGCACAAGCACTAAACTAAACATAAAATAGAACTGCTCCGCTTCGTGCTAAAGAACATGGAGACGCAAAGGAAATTAAAGCCCTTTTGCCTCTTGGAGAAGACGCACAGATGGGCGGGCTTTTCTCGCTAGGCAGCTTGCAGTAGCTTGCTTCGCCACATCTGGCTGCCTGTATCTGCCTATCTGCTGCCCGAGAACAAGAATGAAAGAGACTGGAAAGTGAACAGAGCCTCCTAGGGGGGGGTTTGAAGAGCTCTAGCGCTATCAGGCAGCCTGTAGCATAGCGCCCGGGGAGCCCGTTTGCAATGCAGCGGTGATGCGAGGAAGAAAAAAAAAAGTGTGGCGTTCGATTTGGCTGATGTAGGTATTCTAGTACCCCGCTTCCTGCGAATCCGACTTTTGCGTCGCTGGCAAAACCACCACACACAAACAAATCTTCATCCACCTGACCTCTAGTTTTTTTTTCCCTTTGGCACGCCATTCCACTTCCTGGAATCTAAAGCCAACCAGAGGCACTTTGCGAGGTATCCAGCCTTGCCTCGACGCCTAGAGCCCGCAGCCTTTTTCTTTCTTCTTCACTCACCTTGTTTCGTGCCGCACGCAAAGCACCCTCGACGATCGCCCGCACCTCGTCTCTCGCCAACATCGATATAATCCTTCGCTAGCCCTCGTGAGCCAGAAGTCCTCTCCGCAGCCATGGGTCAGACCCTCTCGGAGCCCGTCGTCGAAAAGGTGTGTTGCGTTGCGTTGCGTTGCGGGCGCCTCGTCTGCGAAGTGCCCGCTGTCTATCCCCGTCATGCCTTGAGCGCACCGTGATGCTCGCCTCATATGCCTCAGCCGCGGCTCGAGGCCCCGCGACTCGATAGCTTCCACGGGCTCTAGAAATCCATGCGTGCGTGGTCTTGTGCCACCTCGTATCGCTTCTGCTCTGCCTCTTCCCCTGCCTCGTGTATCCCGCCATTGGGCATCGGAGAGCAGAAAATCGGTCGTCGAGCGCATGCACAACCCCGCCGCGCATGGCTGCCCATCTTTCCCTCTCCTTTGCCCTGCGTTGCTGCCTCCGCTTGCCATCTCGGGGCTCCTTTTCAAGCTGCCCTCACAATTGCTAACCACCTCTCTTCTCTCCGCCATTTAGACTTCCGAAAAAGGCGAGGATGACCGACTCCTCTTCGGTGTCTCGGCCATGCAAGGCTGGCGCATTAGCATGGAAGATGCCCACACGGCTGAGTTGAACCTACCCGCACCCGATAACGACACCAAGACGCACCCCGACAGGCTGGCCTTTTTCGGAGTCTACGACGGACACGGAGGAGACAAAGTCGCATTGTTCGCAGGCGACAATATCCACAACATTGTATTCAAACAAGATTCGTTCAAGACTGGCAACTATGCTCAGGGTCTCAAAGACGGCTTCCTTGCCACGGATCGGGCCATTCTCAACGGTACGAATATGATACTCCCATTTTATATGTATTTGCGAGCTTGTGCGCAAAGCACAAGCACGAAGAAGAAGCAGGAGAGGAGAAGAACAAACATGGACTACGCCCATATCTTCCGCTTCTCCAGTGCATATGCTGCAACTATAATTTTCACGGAAGAATAGTGAGCTCGTGCTAACTCGCCTTGCGCGACGTTGTTTACAGACCCCAAGTACGAGGAAGAAGTTTCTGGCTGCACCGCTTGCGTTTCCCTGATTGCCGGAAACAAAATTTATGTCGTACGTTCACCTTGCCAACAGAAGTGGCAGCGTACTCAAATTAACAAAAAAATCTCACAGGCAAACGCTGGTGACTCTCGAGGTGTGCTGGGCATCAAGGGTCGAGCAAAGCCCCTGTCCAACGACCACAAGCCTCAGCTTGAAAGTTTGTACACCCGATCAATCAGTATCTGAAGATTAGAAATACTGATTGCCATGTCCTTGCGATTTTACAGCGGAGAAGAACCGAATCACGGCAGCAGGCGGCTTTGTCGACTTTGGCCGTGTCAACGGTAACCTGGCACTGTCGCGTGCCATTGGCGATTTCGAATTCAAGAAGAGCGCCGAGCTCTCCCCCGAAAATCAAATCGTTACTGCTTTTCCCGATGTCGAGGAGCACGATCTTACAGAGGAAGATGAATTCTTGGTGATTGCTTGTGATGGTGAGTTGGAATGATACCAACAAAAGTTGGTTCTAGGTTTGAGGAAAACGCCAGGCTTACATACATCTTTTTTGCTAGGTATCTGGGATTGTCAGTCTTCCCAGGCTGTCGTTGAATTCGTGCGACGAGGCATTGCTGCCAGACAAGACCTTGACAAGATTTGCGAGAACATGATGGACAACTGCTTGGCATCAAACTCAGAAACCGGCGGCGTTGGCTGCGACAACATGACCATGATCATCATTGGCTTCTTGCACGGCAAGACCAAGGAGCAGTGGTACGATGAGATCGCCAAGCGAGTGGCTGACGGAGATGGCCCTTGTGCCCCCCCGGAATATGGTACGAGCGAACCATTCCCCAGCTTCCCATATACAAGCCCAGAGGCGGAACCTTGAAGACTGACCACAATGTTACTATCAGCCGAGTTCCGCGGCCCGGGAGTCCACCACAACTACGAGGACAGTGACAGCGGCTATGACCTTGACCAGGAGAGTGGTGGCAAGTTCAGCCTTTCCGGAAACCGTGGTCGCATCATCTTCCTTGGCGACGGCACGGAAGTCCTGACCGGAGCTGACGACACCGAGATGTTTGACAACGCTGACGAGGACAAGGATCTTCCCAGCCAGATTTCAAAGAACCCTAAAGAATCCGAGGCTAAGGAAGATTCAGAGTCCAAGCCAGCGCCCGGGTCAGCATCTGCTCCGGTGGAGACGAAACAAGACGACAAGGCATCTGAGGAGAGTAAGAAGGATTAGGTGGTCCTTTCGCCCTTTTCAGGTAGCCCGCCTTGAAGCCCCCCGCCCTTGTGTTATCGATGAATATGTGTCATTATATTCTTTTTTTCTTTTCCGGCTGTCGCTCGAACTAGGCGTAATCTCGATCTCGAACCAAGGCGTGGAGGAACATGTGTACCCTTACCTAGGTAAGCCAGGAAGAAGGAAAGGAAAGGGCTATTAGCAAACGTGGGGGAGAGGGCAGAGGATTAGGGGGCGGTTAGACTTTCTGAGTGTTGCCCTCTTTATACGGTTCTTTATATCGTTGTTGATATTTGGTGTACCGGTGGTATAATATTTGGATCAAGGAGAGTTGGGTCTCTTGCAGCATACACACGGTTTCCCCCCCCTTGACGCGCATCTTCTTTTTTTTATCACTCCGTCCTACGTCTTGGAACAGGAAAACCGCCATCTCAGAGCTTGATCCTTTTGTTTCTATTATAATTTCTTTTCTCGCATTGCTCCAGACCCATTTATTATCATTTCTGATACCCAACCAACCTTGTCCACAGATGTCCGCTTTTTCATACTATTCAGGCTCGGGTGATGTTGTGAACCAATTGGTGAAATGAGGCACTATTCGCGTTTTAAATATGGGAGACCGTGTGGGTTTGCTTTTCGGATGACAGGCATGACTGGTGTTTTCACATGCTGCCTAGGTACGTATACATCACCATTCTGCCCCCAGCTTCTCTCCAGACTAGATGTGTATCTCATCTTTGGAAGATATGACCGGTGGTGATGTCAACTTATTTTAGGCTTCGCTTGTAGATGGTAAAAGAAGAGCAAAAAAAAAAAGGAAAAGGGCTACGAAGAAAAGGCGAGAGTGAAAATGGCCTCTCTTGTGGAGGTGCGGCATAAGACTAGAAAGGCAGATGATGTCAAGACACTTACTTTTTGGCACATGCCATGTCTTCAATATATTGTACATGAGATTTTTATATATATGCTTGCTTATCTGCTAGTATACAGTTGTGATATTCATAAATGTCCGTTAAAAAAAGCAGTAACTGAACTGCTGCTTATCTGTGCCATAACATACCATGCTACCCAAGACACGTCCCCTCCGAGTTTCTATATAAATTACACAGATTCATTGATCTTTGCCAAAATGATATAAAATAAAAAAACTTCCTTTCCCTCCCTCCCTCAAGAACTCCTTTCTAAACCATGCGGTTCCCTTTTATATTCGTCAAACCATTGCTGTGATTTCTTTGCCTTGTCTTCATTCCAGCCCTTCACCATCGTCTTTGGATCGAAATGCCAATTCAAATGCACGTACATTGCCTTCTTGCCTTCCGTCTCACTACCCACCATTTTAATCGCCAAATCGTTACCAGGAGTATCGGCGCCCTCGTACTGGAAGTCTTTGGGATGTCTATGCCGCAGGAGCAGCGGCTTGTCCTTTGTCCGCTGAGCGAGGTCAAGCATATCCACCAGCGGTTTCGCGGGCTTATATCCCTCGCAGACTTGGTTGATGGCCCATTCCACACGGGACAGCATCCTGGATATCCCTCTGGTTTGGTTCTCCCGCAGGAGGCGGCCCATGTCCTTGGAGAGCATCTTTGGTTTATGCTGCAGCCAGAATGTATCTTTGACGTGATTCGCGAGATGGCGGCGCAGAATGATTCTCGTGAGATAGTGCAATTTATACTCTAGCGCTCCGTAAAAGACAGCCACGCCGAGGGAATGCGGCAGCTGAAGCCTGATGGCCAGCCGAATAATGTATCGATACGTTGTCGCATCTGCCTCGTTTCCAGACTCCTTCAGTTTGGTAAGCGCCCACATGGCCGTATCCCAGTCCTTGTAGAACAGACATTTGTCTAGAACCAGGTTAATGGTATCGACGCCAACCTTGCGGCCATCTTCAGACTGCATTTCGATAAGGCTCTTGAACTCGTCGTAGCGGCGATTGTTCCGCTCGTGGAACCGGAAGAACTCTGTTAATATGCTCTTTATAGCATCAGTCGTGAACCAGTCATCGCCATACCGCGACTTCTGTTCCGCCATGAAGACGGGGAGCCTTTTGCCAGACTTGAAGGCAACGTAGGCGTCATGGGCGGCCATGATCCGCGCAATTCCCCTGCGCGTGGCAGGATCCTTGAACAAGCCCAAGTCGTACATGGCCACGATGATCTGTCTTCTTTCCGTCTCTTTTTCGACCAGCTCGAGGAACAGTAGCCACGTCCGCGCATTGGGGTGAAAGTATCGCTGCTCCATCTTTCGAAGCAGCCAATGGAAGAATCCAACGTCACGTTTAGTGACATAGCCTTCGAGCATAATATTGAAAACTTCTGTATCTAGGGGTATACCCCATTCTCCTGCCAGAGCCAGCAGTCGGTCTGCGTCGGCCCGATGGCCTCCTTTGTGGGCCATGAATGACATGGCCATCTTCAGTGTCGACGGTGTAATGCAGGCCTTTGCATCGGCGTCTGTGAGGGCATCCATAATCATGCGGATTCTGATACCGTCCGTGTCGACAAACTTGCCGTCCTTTTCGGGCTTTACATAGTAGCGTAGCGCAAGATGCGGACGCAGGCGGCCGCAAACAAGCGTCGTGATGTATGATTCGAGATTCTCAATCGTCCACTGTTCCGGCTTAGGCGTCTGCTCGTACGGCGTATCGATCCAATGCGTTTGATGCTCCTGATGCACCCAGATATTGTCGAGCTTATCTTCTGGGATAAACGTGCCACCATCCGCGGCATCCTCAATGGCAGGCCAAAGTCGCTTCACCTCGTAGCCAAATGCCGCAACTTCTCCAAGCCTGTATACTTCAACGTCCTTGCACGCAGCTACCAATTCCTCCGCCGCGCTCGCCAACACTGAGCTCTTTCCACGCAGAATAATCGCCGAGGGGTTCTGATGATCCGAAGAAACTCGAAGCTTGGCAAGCAATCCCGTCGTCGAATCTACAAACTCAACCTTCTTGTTGTCCAGCTCCAGTTCCCACGACTTTGGCAGCACAATCCTCATCGCCGCCATGCTCAGCGGCTCGCTCCTCTTGGTCATCATCCTCTTCATCAGGTTATACGTCTCTGACCAGTCCGGCATCTCCTGGCCAAAATCTCGCCATATCATGTCGAACGCCACCTGCACCTTGGCCACCTGCAAGGCATGCACTTTGCTCTCTTCCGCCGCATGCACCAGCGGATAGCCCCTCGCCGTGGGGACATACGGCGAAGCGAGCTTCCGTTGTACATCCTTTGACTGTGCCGCGCTCTTTTCTCGAAAAGTCTCTCTGAACATGCGGTTTCGAGCATTGTTTGGGCGTGTCGCCTTCGAGGTCGGAGATTCTGAAGCAGATGATGCCGTCTCGGCCTCTACAGGCGAGGCATCTTGTACTTCCGCAACCGCAGACTTGTTCGTCAAAGTGGCTGAAGAAGTAAAGCGCGAGGTCGAGTCCAGGGCCAGCGCGGGCCTAAGAGACGCTGCGGTGCGCCATGAGAGCGCAAGAGTCGGACGAGATCCAGGCGTGCCGATGAACTGGGACCGAGTCCTCCAAATCGACTTGATCCCTCGGAACATTGGTCATGAGGTGCACATGTTGCTGCTTTATATGAGGGCAGTGAAGAGGCAGAGTTCGCAATAGGAAATGCGCTGCCGATAAGCCCCGATAAGGGATTTCTGTTGCCGCCGCAGCATTTTAGCATCGTCACGTGCCTCCTCGACTTACACGCCGTTTCTTCCAACGTAGACTGGATTGATGCTCGCATTGAACGAAAATAAGAGGCTCTTTATTCATAGCCAGAGATCTGGTCTCATAATTCTACTATCAAATCCTGAAAGTCCAACTCAAAACCCAATCGCCAAATGCTGTGCTCCCATGTAAGTAGATGCCAAAAAAAACAGTCAACAGTCATTCTCCCCTTCAGAATTCCCAATAGCGCCAGTTCCACGGCCAGATATATGAGTAGGGTCCGCCATTTTTTCAAATCATTCTTCTACCAACTCCTCCAACCACAAAGGGGTATATGCATTAGCCTGTCCAGTTTCTCTCAAGCCAAAAATGACGTAAATTCCAAAGAACGCCTTAGGGCTTTGGCATCTTGTCATTTCTCGGGGGCTCAGGAGCGCTCTTGTCCAAGCCTAGCCATGGATCATCGCTCAATCCCTCACAGGCGCCAACAGCGTCTCGCAATTCTCCGCTCTCAGCCATCTGCTTCACATCGCTCCAATAAGCCAGTTTGCAAACCTCTTCTTCAGCATGCTTCGCGGCGGCGTCAAGGGCCTCTTTGCGGAGCTTCGATTTCAGGCTTTCGTCTTCCTCCCATGCTTTTGCTGCCTCTTCATGTTTATGCAGCAAATATGAAAGTAGCTGTCTGCGCGATTGCTGGAATATGAATAGAGCCATGATTTCATGCATCTCATGCTGTAGCTCTGATAGATCTTTCGCATGTTCGATGTAATTCTCGATAGCTTCTCGCCTCTCTCGGTCAATTCTGGCAGAGCGGAGAACATGAAGCAACATATGTATATCTTCGATATCCGGTCGATCTTGCTCCGGCTCAGCAGACGATGCCTGCGTCATACTAAATCGGCTTGGAGATCGGCTTGGACCCCTGCTTGGAGCCCTGCTTCCGACTCGGCTGGCTTGTGGGCTGAGAACGGACGGTGAGTGAGTATGGAAATAGTCGAGATTGTTAAGAGGGTTTGAACCGATAGTTGCTTCTTCAGGTCGCTTCCTTGCCCTCATCCGAATCCACGCACGTCGTCTAACAAACGAGTTCCACCACCTCGGTCCGTGCCACGAGAATGCCTTTTGAAAGGCAAAAGAATATTCCCAACCACCCTCATCTAAGCCATCTTGCTCATTGATCCGCCATTCAGGCCATACCCACTCCCACGAGGGATCGGGAACTTGCGCAGTATGGATATCAGTAGGAGATGGATTGTGGTAAGCGTTGGCTGCAAAAATACTTGGTTAGATGAAGTTCTTTGGACAATGTCACGATTCGCAGGTATAACTCACTCCAAGGAGTGGGATCGAGCCCACCGAGAGCCGCGCCAGAAAACAAACCAACGCCGCAAAAAAACCCCCCTCTTTCATTCTCATATAGAATATCTATGGCCGTCTCCCGCTTGTCTCTTGATCTTGGCCGCGAACGGCTATCCCAATGTGAAGTGCGTTCCGAAACGGTGTCGAGACTTGGGCCTACTTTTCAAAAGTTAGCATGAATCGTGGGAAATGAAAAGGCGCAGTACCCACCTCGAATTTCGATTGAAGGCCCCTCGCCAGAAACCGAAGGCCGCAAGGAGCTGGTCGTCTCTGCCGTAGGGAGCTGGTAAATATGAGCCTCGGCATCTTTTCCCTTCAACGCACTGCTCGGCTGCAGATGCCCTTCGTCTTGGCCTTGTCTCTCGCCGCGATGCGATGGCCGCTCCTCATCCTCCGTCTCTGCCTCCTGTTCAGATTGCAGGCGTGAAACTGTATCCGTGGCGGCGAGCTCTCTGCCTTCGGCGCTTACAGCTCGCTGCGACCCGCCTCCGTCCTCATCGTCAAAAATTGCAATCTCGTGATCGTAGTCTCCCGGCTGTAAAGTCCCAACGCGGCGTGAGCCGTGCATGTTGATTGTAGTCGTCAACAGATCATGAGGATGTTGGTTCCGGGTCGATTATAGTCGCAGGATAAGGATTGTGTATATGGCACTATCGCTTGGACTGGAGAATCATGTATAGATTCGAGCGAGTGCCTATTTTTGAGCTCACGTCATCGATTATGTGCCAGACAAGAGGATTTTCGCTATAGCATTCGAGTCTTGGCAATATCGAAAGTATTATTAGAAATTGTAGCAAAGAAACGGGGGGAATTAAAGAAGAGGAAAGTCCCAACGTCAAAGAACCAGGAACGCTTCACGCGCACAAGAAGCAGCAGGCTGGCCCGTGTAAAAGGAGTAGAGAGCAAAAAAAGAAGGATGAAGCAGGCGGAGCTCCAAGCTTGTTTTACTGCTTCCGGCCAGGCAATAGCGCGACTTGCAGGGCCAAATGACCCGCAAGTGGGGAGTCGATGCGCCGACATGCACTGGAGCTCACCATTGCATACGTTCTAAACGTGGCTGTCACATGGTGCTATCGAATCTACAACTGTTCATACACAGTATTGACTTGGTCCCTTGTGTTGTACAGGTACTGGCGATCATTCGTATCTCAGCTCTCGCCGATGAAGGCATCGTTAACTCGGTACCTTGCAAGCCAAAGGACGGGTAGCTGTGTATGATGTAATGGCAGCACCAAGCCGCACGCTAGAGCCGCTAAATCACAGCAACAGGCACCATAAGAGCCATGCTTCAGCGATTTTCTTCAGTGGAGTCGATTTGCTTCCTAGCGACCGATCATCCTGCATGCATGGGCTCTTCTTTTTTTCTTCTCTCCCGCAGATCGCAGATTCGTCCCATTGGTGCTGCACTGTCGTGTTGAGATAGAGCCCCTGTCACTCTCTAGAAGAGTTGTTCCACGGGCATCGTCATGTTGCATCAAATACAAATCGTTTATTCTCAAGCCTCAAATCTCACATTGCCGTTTATACACGGCTCCAAAGAGATCAACCATTAATACTCTAGGTCATTTAATAGCGCCAAAGTTTCAATTGTAAAAACCTGGGGTACTGTGCTCGCTACATGCTGCCCCGCTCTCACGGCCACACTACGTCATGTATTCTCAAGTCGCCCTTTTTTGCATCACCATCACGAAGTTCTTTCCAGCAGGTTGCCTCAGTGCACCAAAGTCCAAGGTACCAAAAAGCGATGCGTCATAATGAAGTAGATGGTTTCGAGCATGGCTTGAATAATAAAACAGAGCTTGTGACTGCAATCCGATGCCAGAACGTTTCTAGCTAGACACGAGCTTTTCCTCCAATTAATTCATTCCTCTCGTCACCCATCCATTTTCCAAGCATTCAACAGCTTTCTACTTTTCTCTTCTTTTTTTTTCCGAACCAGTGTAAAAACAAATCATCTCAAATACTCACACATTCGCCACCAACCAACATCATCGCTAATTCCTTGCTCTCGCGCATCGTAACACAGCGCATCAGAACAACGCATATACACATCACATCCATATACATCCAGTCATCATGTCTCGATCACGAATGCCCCTCGTCCTCGGCCTCGGTGCCGCCGGTGGTATCGGCTACTACCTCTACAGTGCAGGCGGCAACGCCAAAGCAGCAGAGGCCAAGTTTGAGAGTATGGATACCTCAACTTGCTTGATATTAATTATACATGTTCAACCACTTTACTAACGCTCATTTTTCCTAGGCGACGCCGACAGAGTAGCCGCAAAGATCAAGGGCAAGCTCCCCGGCGACTCTCCCAATGCCGAAAAGGAGTTTAAGAAATATGGCGAGGAAGCTGGCGCCAAGCTCGACAAAGCTGTACGTTCCCTCTTATTCGAAAAAAGTCAAATTCCTCCCAACTTGGACAAATAAACTGACTCATTCCTCCTAGTGGGCCGATGCCGACAGAGAAGCCGGCAAGCTCAAGAGCAACGCAGAATCCTACGCCAAGGACGCCAAAGGCGAAACCCTGAAAGCCATTGACAAGTTTGACCGAAAGGTCGAGGACGGCGCCGCAAAGGCCAAGAGCGGCGTCTCGGGCTGGTTTGGGGGAAGCAGCAAATAAGAAAGCCTTGTAATACTATTGTAATTCCAGATTGTGTGGGCAAAGGGTTCAGAAGAAAAGTAATGAAGCTACAGCAGTCGATGGAGGGGACATGAGCAAGATTGCGTCGTGTCTATTTTAAAACCTGATACCAGTATATCATTTTGAGAAGAAATATGGATTAAAGTCTCGATTTCATTGATAGTCTATCAACCACTCTTTGATGTTAAAAAAAAATGTACAATTGATAATATTCCAAGCCACCCATACACCGTAAATAAAGCAACATGACCAAATTTTCAACTCGTGATATGAAAAGAATCCTTAACCCCTTCTTCAAACTCCATTGCCCATTTCTAGAAATCAGTATTATACGAACCCCATATCCGCGCGCAACATCACTGCTCTAGCTCCGCCGCAACAAGCTTCAAAATCTCCTCCACGCTCTTCTTCGCATTCTTCGGATCCTTCGCCACAGCCTGCCACACCTCGCCATGCCTCGGCTCGTTGAGCACACACTTGGTCACCATATCCGCCCTCTTCTCATCCGTGCCATGCTGCACCAAGAACCGATAATACCACGCCCAGCTGTCGCCCTGGTCCGCGTCCAGCACAAGCGCCTTCTCGAACCAGCTCTGCGCCTTCTCCAGCTTACGGTCACCCCAGAAGATGCGCGCGACGGCCACAAAGAGGATCGGGTCGTTGTCCACCTTCTTGATGGCCTCCAGGCTGCGGGGCTTTCGCTGCGTGCGAGGCTCAAGGTTCCAGATTTGCTCGACCCAGAGGATGCCGCACTTGGGAACTTCTTGGAGCGCCTTGGCCATGAGCGACTTGGCTTGAGAGAGGTTGCCAGCACGACGCTCGAGGCGAACGGACTCGCACCAGAGCTCTCCATTCTTGGGTACGGCCAGACGCGCTCGGTCAAGCACCGAACGGGCCTTGACAGTAAGACCGGCCTTTTCTTCCAGACGAGAGTAAAGCAGCCACAGAGGCACGGACCTGGGAACAGCCTTGACCCCTGCGGCGTACGCCTCACGAGCCTGGCCCGTCTTGCCAAGATCTTCATATATTTGGCCCTTTAGCATCCATAGTTTGGCTGCAGCGGGGAAGAGTTGTAATGCCTGTAAATCCAGGTCCAGCGCCGTCTCAACATTGCCCAAGACCCGCTCAAAGACAACGCTCTTCATCCAAACACGATCAGTAGGGGCCTGTTCTCTTGCAATCGCCAGTAGTTTCCGAGCCTGGTCTTCGTTGCCATTCTCAGACTCCAGCTTGACGGCAGCCAGCCAAATGTCTTCGTTGTTGGGGTTCTGGTTAAATGCTCGCTTGAGCACCAATCTCGCATTGTCCACATCTCCCGATTGCCACTTCTCCTTGGCCAGCATCATCCACAGATCCTCGCTCTTAGGACAGGCTTCGACCGCCTTCTCCAGGACCTGCCACAGAGACTCGCGCGTTCCGTGATTCCGCTCAAGGTCTGCTGCAGCCATCCACATCGTCCGGCTATTGACAAAGACGCGCAGAGCGTAGGCGTAGATGGCCCTCGCCGTCTCGTATCTACCTCTATTGATACTTGACCTGGCATCCTCCGCCCATGTGTCTTTACGGTCATCGTCCTCATCCAAGCCCCAGCCCAGAGTTTCCTGGATAATGTTCTGGCAGGTGATGATGGCACCTTCTTCCTCACACTTCTCCGCCTCTCCAATCCACTCTTCACGTTTTGGCATGGCCGATTCTTTAGCCAGAACCTGGACAGCTCGTTTCAGAACGGGAATCTTCTGTCCCTGGCCTAGCTGTTCTTGTAAACGAGCGGCCGCAATCCAAATCTCATGAGAAGTTGGGACGGCCTTTCGTGCCTTGTTCAGAACCTTTTGGGCATTTTCGGGGGATTCGAGTCGTGCCAGCGCAAGCCACAAGTCTACTGAAAGCGGGATGAGCTCTGTAGCCTTTGCCAACATGAGCTTCGCGTCTTCAGGGTCGTCTTCCAAGTTCACCGCCTCCTTCCAAAGCGCCTCTGATTCTGGGATATGGTCCAGCGCCTGTCTGATGACTCGTTTCTTGTTGCTTGGTATAGTTTCCAGCCTCATCGCCTCCACCCAGAGCCTAACCGAACGGTTGTTGGCCTCTATAGCTCGGCGTGCAATAATCTTGGTATTTGGTGAGTCGTGATTAAGTCGAATATTTTCCAGCCACGCATCTTCGCTCTTGGGACATCTAGTACATCCCTGGTCGATCGTTTTCCGCGCAGCCACAAGCTTGCCTGCCAACTCCTCCAATCGGGCGGCCGCTATCCAGCCCAGAGCATTATTTGGGTTTGTCTTTACCACAGACTGAAGCAGCTCCCGCACTCGATTGATGTCGCCGACCTGTGCCTGAGATTCGTTCATCTGCATCTTGTTCAAGCTCGTAATGTATCCCTGCGCATCGATGCTACTTGAAGTTCCAACGACCGAGTCGCCGCCAGCAGTTTGCGAGGCCTGTTCCAGCCTCGACTTCAGTACTCTGTCGCGGGCAGCACCAATCTTGGCAAAGTTGGTCATGGTGCCGTCAGATGCATCCGTTGTGTTTGACGATGCTGCCCCGTCATCCATGACTGTTGTGCCCATCTCGCCCGAGGACCCTGCTGCCGCGAGCACGCTGTCTGGCACCGCGTAGAAGCGCTGCCGCAGAGCCTGCTTGCTCCGTCGGTTCTTGCCCGTCAAATCTCCCACCTCTGGCAAATTCGCCCAGTCGTCATCCGAGACCGAAGCAAGGGCGCGCTTCAGATCTGAAAACTGTTGCTGGATCTTGGGGTTGTTCCGTTCGTATTCATCTCGCTCAGCATTTTCACGAGCCTCTCTCTGCCGTCTCCGTCGGTCCATTCGCTCATCTACCCACTCCCAGATCTTGTCCGCCTCCTCATCGTCCTTGTCGTAGACTCCGCCCGCGAAAAGTCCAACCTCGTTGTCCGGGTCCTGGTACCTTTCGTCGTCTTCCTCCTCCTCCTTATCCTTGCCCTTTTTGCCTTCGGGCACGAGTCCAAGCTGGGCAGCGCGCTTCGCAATCGCCTCTTTGATCTGGTCTTCGCTGGGGCCATCACGAGCAGGGCCAAGATCGGATCGGGTTGTGAAACCGGTGGCACCTCGACCCAGACCAGCGACGTAGTTTTCCGGAGCCGGCTGGCTCAGAAAGTCGCGTCGGGTTGACATCGTTTCGGCCGAATTCTGAGTGGATGGTGCGATTTCAAGATGAAGGTTGATCAAGGCAAAAGCCCTTGTCGCGAGTCAAAGGCAACACTTAGACTTAGCCTGCCTGAGGTGTGAAAAGGGAGCTTGTAGTGGGTGTGGATTTATAAGCTTGCAAATGGCATCTCAGCCGGATATTCGCACGCGCTTTAACTATCCTGGCACTCCCCAGAACTCTTATCGATAATTCCACCCCGACAAAAAAAAAAGTTTCCCACCACCATCCATCGCCCCTCGTCTCCACGATATCGCAACGCCTGCAGATATACCCAAATTGCGCCAACTGGTGGTTATTATTACACAATGGCCAAGGCCGACAGATCGAAGCGCAACAACGCTTCCAGCGGCCCCTACGAGAAGCCCGGCGACAAAAACTCAAAAACCAACAATGTCTTCAAATTCAACACAAACTTTGGCCAGCACATTCTCAAGAACCCCGGTGTCTCAGACGCCATTGTCGACAAGGCCTTTCTCAAGCCCACAGACACCGTCCTCGAAGTCGGCCCCGGTACCGGTAACTTGACAGTCCGCATTCTGGAAAAGGCGAAGAAATGCATCTGCGTCGAGCTGGATCCTCGAATGGCGGCCGAAGTCACCAAGCGTGTGCAGGGAAAGCCGGAGCAGCGAAAGTTGGAGGTTCTGCTGGGAGATGTGATCAAGACTGAGCTGCCAGCGTTTGACGTTTGCATTTCAAACACCCCATATCAAGTATGCCCAATCATTGCTCTCCATTCTTACTACACCATACTGACCTTTGTCGAACAGATCTCAAGTCCTCTCGTCTTCAAGCTCCTCTCTCTGCCCAATCCTCCTCGATGCTCCGTTCTCATGTTCCAGCGTGAATTCGCCCTCCGCCTCACCGCTCGCCCCGGCGACGCCCTCTACTGCCGCCTGTCCGTCAACGCCCAGTTCTGGGCCAAGATCACCCACATCATGAAGGTCGGCAAGAACAACTTCCGGCCCCCGCCCCAGGTCGAGTCGTCCGTCGTGCGCATCGAGCCCAAGATGGGCAAGGACCGGCCCAACGTCAGCTGGGACGAGTGGGACGGCCTCTTGCGCGTGTGCTTTGTCCGCAAGAACAAGACGCTCCGCGCGAGCTGGCTGGGCACCAAGGAGGTCCTCGCCATGGTCGAGCGCAACTACCGCACCTGGTGCGCCATGAACGGCGTGCCCATTGACGAGAGCGTCATCGAGGGCGCAGAGGAGGAGGAAGACGACATGGAAATGGACGATGGTGGCGCCGCCGCCAACGACGGCGAAGATGCCGGCATGGATGTCGATGACCTCGGCGACGATACCCCCAGCTTCTTCCAAGAACTCAAGACCGCCAGCGCAAGCGTCCCCAAGACAAAGAGCAAGCGCAAGAAGACAAAGGTCGCAGAGCTCGTGCGCGAGAAAATCCGCAAAGTCCTCGAGGACGTAACCGAGCTCGCAGATAAGCGCTCCGGCAAGTGCGACGAAAACGACTTTTTGCGTTTGCTCTTTGCCTTTAACGAGGAGGGCATTCACTTTTCATAAACTGTCTCTTTTACTTTTTACTTCTACTTATTTATTAAGGATACCAAAGTGGTGAATCTGGAGGAGATATGAAGTTATGAGATATATTTCCTTGTTGGAAGACGATTTTTATTCTTTTTTTCTTTTTTGTCATGGTTCGCAATAAAAGCCGGAGGGGAGGGCGTTACAGGAGTTCTTTACAACCATCTTGCAATAGGCATCGAAGAAGCATCATGTTTTTGTTGCACGCCTGCAGCCTTACATATGTAGTTCCTTAGTTAGAAAAGAAAATATCATTACAATTCAAGAACAAAAGACACAACCATGTAAAAAGCGCCATCGTTGGGAATTATTTGACTTTCACTGTATTTATCTTGTCTCTTATGCTGTAAACTATCTTTCCTCTACCGATTCAACTGGCTCTTTTCAATTCTAACGCATATTAATCCCTTAGAACAATGCTGCTTTCCCATAGCCTCCTCGTTGCTTCTCAGAGTAAAAACCAAAAAAGAATATAGGTGAAATAACTACTCTCCTGTTGGATGAGACCTCGACCTACTTGTCATAAAGAAATGATATCCTTATAATTACAAAAAAAGCTAGTTGCCACTTTTTCTCATCTATATCGCATATGAAATAAAGAAACTCCATCCAAAGGGGTAAAAAGAGAAATATGCCTTTCGTGCTCCCTGTTTTTTTGTTTTGCTTTTCATTCTTGTACATTTCTGTAATTTTAAAAGAGAGTGTGGAATGCTTCTCAAGCCGGGGAGATTTCATTACCACAAGTGAGCCCTTCAAAAAAAAAAATGAAAAAGAAAGAGTGGGAGAATAAGGGAAAGAGAACCAAAGCATGTAAAATGAAAAGAAAAAAGGGGGGGGGGGGGGTGAAATATTCGTTTCTTCGCCCAACTTCTTTTTCGCGTCTGGACACATACACACATACAAAGACCCAAAAAAACACCTTTTGGCAGGGCCAACTTTGTCTTTACCAGTAACCGAACAAGCCATGCTGTAGTTGGAAAAAGACTTAATCCAACGCCTCTGCTCCATAGGAGAAGGGGTAAAAAAAAAAAGAAAGGAAAAAGAAAAACCTCGCTATGCGCGCTGAATGTACACAAGCCAAAAGAAAAAAGTTATAGGGAGTAGAAGAGGGAAAAGGAAATTGGAGAAGATGGAAAGATAAGGGTGACAGCGATGTAGCAGGTATCAAAAGAAAAGAGAAATCCATAAATCTCTGCGCGTCTTATGCTTCAAAATTTACTGCCGTAACATTGGGTTTCAAAGGAGGATTATTCGCCGAGTTTGGTTTGACCGTCGTTCGTCCGGAAACCGTGGCGCTTCGGATATGTGCGCTCAGGGGAAGGCTGTATTTGACAACTCCCTTTACAATAAGATCAAATTCGTTTTGATAAATTCGCTCCCAACGCTTAGAGCCGCCGGCAGTAGCATTGCCAGGATACGGTAACTGCATCTCACCAGTTGATGAAGACAGGCCTTGGTGAAACAACGAGCCCTCGAAAGTCAAGGGGCTGTCGAATTCGGTGATGCGGCCAAGCAAGATGTTTGGCTTCGTCTCGTCCTCTCCTCCAGGAGTAGTGGGGTCGTTCGGGGGGTCGTCGTATGGACGTACCAAGTTGTCTCGTGGTCCATCCGGGCTGTCCCACCAATCTGAGTCGGCGCCTCCATACTCGGATTTGGCGAAGATCTCAAGGTTTGCATGATCAATTGTGACAACCACAACATTGGGATTGTGCGCCTTGACAGTGACATCAAACATGAGAACCTGTTCGCTGGTGACGACATTGTGGATGGAAACAATTTCAATGTCGCTCAGGGGCTGGGACGTCGCAAACATGAAGCCAATGGCACCGGTAATGACCAGGAGGAACATCATCGTTAGGACCAAGCAAGCGGCAAATCGGTTGAGATATGACGACCTCCTGGTGTAGGTCTGCGCCTCCGCCTGCCGAAGGTTATGCGGACCACGCCTAAATCGTCCCCCTCTGCGGCCGTTGTCGAGCAGAGGCGTGCGTTCGTCATCTGCACCAGTGGTGTCGTCCAAATCATAGCTCGAAGACATGTGTATCGCCGAGCGTTTGGAGCTCAGCGGTCCTCGCATGGAGGGGTGGTTCCTTGGGCTGGGCGGCCCAGAAGAATGACGAGAGTTGGCTATCTTGGGCCTTGGCGTATTCTGAAAAGGCGATTCGTTGTCAAAGAGTGAGGCATGGCCGTTGCCGGGTTGTCGACCCCAGCGTCCTATGTGGTGATGCTGCCGAACAGTGCCACGACCGGAGCCACCGGCGCTGCGGCCCGTTCCTCTGCCATCTTCGTCGCCAGTTAACACACCGCCATCGATGGCACCATTGCCATAAGTATTGGAGAATTTCATGCTCTTCTTAGGCGCAGGAACATGGTTGTCCATGATACCATATATGGAGCGCAAATTGGGGCGATCTCCCTGGCTGACTATAGATGTTGCACTGGGAGTGCGAGAGTGGAAGCGACGGGTAGCCCTATCTCCCACATCCGGAGGATTGGAATCATACACAAACGTCTCTTCTGAATCAGAGGTATTAGCTTCATCAACAGCGTTTGCGATCTTGGCTTCGAAAATATCCGCTTTGGATGATCCTAGCATTGAAAGAAGTTTTTTTAGCACAGCTGTCCATCATCAAAGGTAAAGAAGCAAACCAAAGGGGAAGAAACTCACCATTTCCGCTTGTGACGGGTTGTTTGCGAGATCTCTTCTTTTCTTTTTTAGGCTTAATAGTCTCTGTGCTTTGCTTCGTTCTTAGAGTACCATTCATGCCGTCTGCCTTTGGGCCTACTGTAAGTGCCACCTGGGGAATGCTGGAAACGGTCTCAGTTTCCACCGTCATGGTCTGCGTAGACCCCTCAGGCCGGGCTTTTGCTTGCTTGGATAGCATTATCGTACTCGATTGTCTCGAAAGGAGAGGCGGAGGAACCGAGGTTGTCCTCCTGGCACCGGTGCTATCACCGCCATTCTCGTGGCTGGCAATCATGGGCCTGGCTCGCAGCGTTCGGCCGCCATCAATATCTGACTGATTGTCGTATGAGAATTTTTCCCTTACGTGCTCCAGAAGGGACGAATCCTGCTGCTGGCGACGGCGGGCTGGCGAGTTGGGCTGGCTAACCTCTTGAACAGTTTCCAAAGGCCCGCGGGCCGGTGTTCGGAGGCCGGAAGCCATCTGCAAATCCTCGGCTTCGCTCTCGCTGGCGGTTAGGTACTGGTATGAGTCTGCCGGCTGGGCAGACGGACTGGGGTGCTGGACGTTGATGAGAGGAGGAGGAGGGTCCTGCTCGCTCGGGCGAGGCGTAGTGCTGCCGTTTCTAAGCAGCTGCAGCGGAGGAGAGCGTACACGCGGCGACACGGGCCATTTCGTGTTGTCTCTCAACTCGGACAGCTGTGCAGGCTTCTGCGGCTCTGGTGCCTGGGCGGGCTGGGAGTCTTGGTTGGCGGTGACGGGCACGAGGACCGGCGTGGTGGTCGCGGAGAGGCTTCGAGTGCCGGAGGCAGGACCGCCAAGAGACGACTTGAGCTGGCGAGACGGGCTCTGATCCAGCTGGCTGCTGTTCCGTGAGCTGGAGCGGTTGATCCTGCCCGACGACGAAGTTGCTCTCCGGGGATGACGGGTCGGAGAGGGGTCTCGGGAGCCCATGGGTGAATAAGTGACGGAGTTGCTGGCGGATGATTGTCTCGACGTCTGGCCCGCGGTGGCACTGGCGCTGGACGTCGCACCGGACGCAGGCGCACCAGGTGTGGGCTGATGATTCGCCATGTCGGGGCCGGCAGGCTGTGTGGCGCCTTCACCACCGTCAGTAGCAGCGGCCGGTGGCCTGTTCATGGCTGTGGTGGATAGCGAGAGTCGTCGTGGGGTGTTCGCAGAGCATGAGCATGCATGCCAACGGGGCAGGCCTCTGGAGGTACTGCGAGGTGTGTGTACGAAATACAGGGTCCGATGGCGAGTGGGAACGGGTCTTAGGGCCAGATCATTGTGGTTGGCTCGCGGATACAGGAGCGGTGCAGGCCGTCGAGAGACTGCGGGAGGATCGGATGGGCGCGCGATGCCCAACGTTGTTGTCTTGCTGGATGAGCCCTGGCGAGCGAGTGCGACGACGCAGAGGCTGCGAGACTGGCTGGAGGCGGCGGGCCAATGGCTGGAGTCTGGCAAGCTTCGGCGGAGCTCGAGCGGCGTGTCGCAGCTGACGGGGCCAGAGGTCTAGGGAGGGTGTTTGGACGCACAAGCAGAATGGCAGGAAAAAAAGGTGAATATTTGCTTCCAGCCGGGGAAGAGAGGATGACGGGCCTGAGATGGGGACGCTGGGCGGAAACAAGGATGACACAATCAATCAATCAGGTTGACGGCCAAGATGGTGGGACTTTGCTCAGGGCCGCGCTAGAGCCAGGAGGAGGAAGGCATGGAAGGGTGTGGGAATACGGTGGAAGGGCTTGCAAAACCGAGAAATGGGCGTGTACGGGCGGGTACTTGGCGACATGGGGAGGAGGCGCTCCGGGGGCTGCGGTCTGGCCAGCGGTTGAGGTAGCACCAATGTACAGTGCCGCCCACTGTGGGGAAAGTACCAGCCTGCCGTAGCGCGAGCGGGCTAGGCGGCTTCTGTCATGCTGATTGGCACACGCCGACGAGATTTAGGCGGTCGGTCGATTAAACCTTGCTGCAGCAGAAGTCTGTGCCAGCGATAGGGCTAGAAGGGCTGCAAGAGGAGGAAGAAAAAATTGCAGCAATGTCGACCTTGTATCTGGGTTCTGATTCCGGGTTGGAGTCTTATCTACAGACAGAATAGAGACGCGGCACTGCTGTTCTCTCCATGTACAATCGATACATACCTGTGCTGGCTTGGGTGTGCCCATGTGTAAGTTGCACGAAGCGAGGCAGAGCCCGATGAACATGGCCAAGATGCTGCAGATGCAGATTTTTCGCCTTCTTCCCATGTACCTGCTCACTTTGTCAGCGGTTCAACAAAACAGAGACCTGGCCCGGATAAGTCAGATATCTAGGGCTCACGCTCTGCACCAGGAACGCCGGGGGTTTGCCGCATTAGCACCGTCTCGCCAAACACTAGCATCGAAAAGTTGAGTGGCAGCAAAAAGCCCAGCCTCTTCGCTCCCAACAGAGACATGTGCAGTGCCGCGGCCCCGTAAGTCGCACTGGTCTGCTGACTGTGTGCTATTCTGGTCCAAAGTGCCCTGTATCACTGCCGAAATCACAAGCAATTGATCATTGTTAGTACCAGCCAGTAGCTCAACGTCCAGACACGCAAGTATCGTCTACCTGGATCGGCGTGTCTTGTGGCAGCTCTTGCTTGGTTCCGGGCACCTCGCCAGTCCCCAGTTGCAGCACAACATTGCCAGGTGGCACTTCGGATGCGGGAAGGCAGAAAGAGCCTGCAGCTAGTCGGACCGCAGCCAATCGACGGTGCGCTGCTGGTAACCCAATTCGCATGAGCAGGGCAGGTATCCGCTATCAGGCAGTGGGTGAGCTGCCTCTACAACGGCGTGCTAGCAGCGTGGGCGACAAAATGGCTACGCGGACAGCAATGGGGCCTGGTGGACTGTATGGCCACTCAGCTGTCTTTTGCCCGCTCCGTCGTCACATTTTCTGTTTCTCACAATTGACGACGGCTGATCAATTCGAGTCGACGCCTCTACAATCAAGACACCACCATCTCAACAGGCTCCGTAACGCGTTGAAACCCCCGTTGAAGCAACACAAACGGCCAAAAGGGCCCAGAAGCAGAGATCAGCACGTCATGGAGACACCTCGACACTCAACGCCGGAGGAGACACGCCGCTCCTGACCTCCTGTGGCACCAACCAGCCTTGCGCCAGCAAAGGCCGTCCAATTCCCTTTGCTGGCCCCCAAAGCGAAAACCTGGAAGCAGAGGATGCAGAATTTGGGTGGTGCAGAAGCACAGACTGAAGTCTGGCGGCGACGCCCGATCCACACACGTCATGGACTGCGCAACAGCTGGTTTCACTTTGATTTCCCGCTCGGCAGCGCGGGAATCCCTTTATTGCCTTGCCGAATTCAGTGTCTAGGATTGCAATGTCTAGCCTCTGAAATAACGACAAGCCCAGCGCCATGGAGGCTCCTGTATATGTGCGAGCGCAGTGCTTGTGCATCGCTAGTTTATGGGACTGCGTTCCACAGGGCCCCCCCATGGACCCCAAGACACCCTTCAAACTGACCGCAGGTTCTGCTCTCGGGGGGGCGCATTGAATCGGTTCAACAAATCTAGTCCTGAATTCATGCTGACTGATGGCAACGTGTAGGCACTGCATCAATTTTGGCTGATGATACCTACAACACACATCATAGGCGTACAATTGTCCACCTGCCAGTCTCGCACGCTGTCGATGCAATATACTCTGCCACGTATATCACAACTAGATGCCTGATGGCGCCTAAATAAGGTAGATGGAATCGATCCATTCCCCAGGATTTATTGTTCAGCAGCCCAGAAGGGCTAAAGCCGGCCTACGCCAGGGGCTGTCCCTGTCATCAACCACTGCATCGACCTGCCTCCCTTACTCGCGTGCAAATGCCTGGCCATGGCTCAGAATCTCTCCTTCGGCTCCCTTTTTTGCATGACCCTGCGCGCGCAAGTCATGTAAACACTCTATCTCATACCTGTAAGACTTGCCGGTGCATAGCTGCACTCGCAGGTTTTAAATGGCTCAAGCGGCAGCCTTTTGCAGGTCAAGGGCTTCTTTAAGTTTTCCTCTTTTCCCCGGCTGGTCTGGAAAGAACCGGGATATTGTCGGTAGCGGCCCAATGGATGGCTTTGTAGAGATGAATACTACGCCAAGCAATCAAACAAGACAGCGCACCGGCCTGTTTAGGCTGTCACAACAATTATTACAAGTAGGTATCCAGTGCTCGGGCTCGTCCCGTTCCATCCCGTCCAGATGCGAGATTGGGTTGAGGCAATGGCCAGTTCTGCTCCATCACATTTGGCGAATGGAGGCATCAATTGCCCCTTTGGCACATGCAATAGAATGCCTACCAGACCTAGGCACGGTGGCACTGCTATACACAGATCCGGTGCATGTCCGTCTGTCCTGCTCAGTCGCACTAAACACCAAGGAATGCTGTGCAAAGTAGCGCACTCATCATCACCATCTTCATCCTCGTCTTCGCCACACAAAGGGCCATCGGTTCCTACCAAGCATAACAGCACTGCTGCGCGCACGATGACATTCTCGCAACACGTCCATGGCGCCCTCAACCCCCTAATCAAGCAGACGGGCATCTCCAGCTTGTAATCACCAGACAAGTCCTTCTCTGGTTACTCTGTCGCTTCTCTTTTCCCTCGCCGTGACTCTTATCAAACCCTCTCGCTGACGAACAAGAGACCACACACATCTCCCTTCCACCTATTCTTTTTCTGCAGTGGGACACTTGCTCTCTCTCTCACACACCCCCAACCAGCACCAACTGGTTCTATTGGTGCCGGTCCCCAGCAGGATTCTCCCATCAGCCTCTGCCGCCAGCCTCTCACAGCTCGACACGATATAAACGGCCCCCCCGTTCCATGTTTCCATAGTAGGCGCATGCGCCCTAACTGCCTTTTTGCCCCTTGCCGTCCCGCTTTGGAGGGGGGACTTGCAGCCGGGTGAGCTGGATGGGGGAAAGCTGGATTTTCTCTTTTTTTTGCTATTGATTTTTTTTTTTCCAAGAATTATCCGGCGAGGATAGCGCGTGTTACTGGTAAGTGTAAAGCACACAAGCTTTTTGTAACGGGTGTTGGCTTTCTTGTACGCTCTGCTGCTTATTCGTACTCCCTCGGATATCCGCCTGCGGTATTGGCAAAGTAAACACAGCATTTGCTTGGAACCGGACATGGCAGGGTACTTTACCCTGAGAAGAACCAAGCAATCGTAGCCGCAACCCCAGTCTCAACGTACAAGTACAGCAGGTACCTACTTATTCAGCCACCCTTCCACTCACCCACATGCTAGATCACGACTCCCGATATCCCAGGCCATCCGCATCCCATCCCGTGCACCACCACATCTAGATACTGGCACTTGCGCATACCCGTAAGCCAATAGTCATGGCGAATTGCTTAGCAGGACCTATCAAGCGTCTAGGCTTCCACACAGGTGACCCTGCCTCCATGTCGTGCCACCAAAGGCTCGCCCGCTGCCGAGACATGCTTGTAGGCTGCCGATGTAGTGCAGGTAGTTCGCAACCACATGTACAAGTCCATATATGTAGCACTACCTGCTACTGTAGCAGCACATGATGCAGTGGTCGAGTCGGCTTGGAGCCGAAAAAGAGGCCAAGGGCCCCCCTTCACTACTAGTATGGCTCGAACTACAAAGTACTAGAACCATTCGAATGTTGCTAAACAAGGTGCTCGTGCGTACAGCTTCACGCCGATACCGCCAAATTTTCGTAAAAGGCCCAAGCTCAAGACTTGCCATGTAGGCATACACGCAGAGAAAGTCTTTGTGATGAATAGCAGCATGTTCTGTAACCGCCATAACCGCCCCTATGCCGTATATCCCAAAGCCAGAGGTAATCGACATTCTCGACAAGGCCCATCTCTGCTAATCCAAATTGATCATCAGCCATGTCATATCCTATGATCAACCGCAAGGATGAATTGATCTTACCTTTGCCACACTTATACGCGATAGCCGTCTTCCTATCCAAGTAGACATGCTAATCATTGGAAATCCATCTACGTAAGATTCAAGACCCGTATTTTCATTGCAGTAGGTAGCTATCCCCATCCGTTCCAAGGCAGCTCAAATAGCCTCTTTGCAGCTCATCTAGACCTATTCAGCCGCCGATCCCTACACGCCATTTCCTTCCCCGGCTAGATATTCAAACAATTATATATCAAAGTTAAACACACGCCTTTGGGGAAAAAAAAAAACAGAAAAGCAAACGCCCACCCCAGCAGTTTCAACCTCACAAGACCCCTACTCGAGCTCCTACTGTAGTCCGTAGCCGTCTCCGGTTCTCCATAGTATCCCTACAGCTCTTTTTGACTAGCCCTCCTTCCTCACCGCCTTACGATACATTGTACGCCCGCATGGCCATTCGATGCACCTTCACGTTAGCAAACCCTTCACCAAAATGAGAAATAATAACGACCACAGACCCCCCCAAAAAAACACCTCTCAAGCAGTGGCCCGTGATCGCAGGTTGGGCATCAATCGTGGGCTACTGAGATAACCTTACATGCACACACTCACCCACGCACTTTGACAGCCCTCTCCACCCGCAGAGCTCATAAGACCACATACAAAGTGGAGCCCAGAGGACGACATCTTTTTTGGAACAAACAAAAAAAAAAAAAAAGATGACTAAATTATTGAAGCAGAGCAGAACAAGGTCATTGCTTTTTTTTTTTTTTTTTTTTGCCTCCTATTGAGGAACCAACTGACATGTAATAAGCGGTCAGGTTAGTATATCAAAGTGTTGAACCAAAAGAGGCATCAACAATAAACAGCAACACACGCCGTACGCGAAGCATTAATGTATAGTAGGTAGGGGGCTTTGCTACTAATTACAGAGGTCCGTCTTGCTTCACGTTGACACTATTGGACTCCATATTGCCGATATATTGTACAGTATATGCGCCATCTATGGAGATCGCATTATGCATTTCCTCGAGTCAAGCCCTCTACAGCTTACACGCACCACCCCCTCCCCCTTGTCTTTTGATACTACCCATGTGGATTTAATACCATACATGTACCTAGCCCGTTAGACGTACGCACTTCCTACGCTTCGTACTTTCTCGTACATGCACGCATTTCCTACCTACCTTGCTCTCTCGCTTCTGTAGATGCTAATGCAATGTAATGTACACGGGACCATCCTAAACTAACAAGGAGGCCAAGAACGGTGACGATGCGTCCTCCCTCGTTTGCTAGGTTTAATTTCTGATTTTGTATCCATTCTTCTTTCATGCTAGAGCCATCAAGAACTGCTGCCGCTGCAGAAGACGTGGAAATATGCATGCAGGCAAATCTACATCTTCACAGGATTTTACCGACACATGAAATTATGATTTGGTATAGTATTTAGGTATAGATGGTATATATATATAAAGTATATCAAATTAAATCGAATTGCATAATCCAACGAAGAAATAACTGGGATAAATATAAATAAATAAAAACTCCCCTCTCCCAACATCAACTTCCGCCAAAGAAGAAGAAAACAGCCTACATATGTGATTGTCCATACGTCCTATGTGTACATGTAAACGCAACGTATTTTTTTCTTGGGTTTCATTTCCAGCAACATCCTTCATCAATCAAATAGCCCAGAACAAGACGTGGCCCATCAACCTTTGGCGGTGTGGGCTGGGTAACTCCCCCATAATATATCTAATAATGGTAATAAAAAACAAATGGAAAAAAGATCGTATATATATAAAATGAAAAAAGAAGCAGACATGGTCATGTCATATATCGATCTGTTTGCAAGTCATGTGCTTGTCGTTGTTCATCATCGTTCGTCTGCTGTCCAAGGGTTCTTCTAATGGGGCGAAAAGGGTATCCAAGTCCGCTTTCGCCTGCCAGTCTTGCCACTGCGTCGTTGATGTCGTCATTTGCCGTTGCGTTATCATTTCTCAAGGTTCGAAAAAAAGAAGCCCAATCATACTGATCCTCAAGTGTAAAGAAATTATCCGTTGCATATCGAACTAGTTGGTGCACTCCCAAGAAGACGCCTGTCCGAATTCCCCCCCAAAAAAAGAGATTGTGAACCCAAGTTTATTTTATTTTTTCGGCAAAAAAAGTCATCAAATGCCACTCTGGCTCATTCTTTTCTTCTTTTCTCTTTCTTTCTTTCATCATCGCCCTACTCGGGGATGGCAGGGCTGGCTGGCACTTCGTCCTTCTTTCCACCCCAGCTCCAGCCCGATATCCAACTTTGCCGCTTGTTGGCGTTGTTGTCTTTGACAGCATCTGGGTTCTCCTGGACAAGTCTCAGCGGACGTGGCTTGCTACCAGTAAAGGTTGTCTGCTTGTCGGACTGGGATCGTGGTGGTGATTGTGATGGCGGCGTGGAAATCTCGCCAGACTCGCCGCTTAAGCTGGATGTCTCGCTTCTTTCGCCTCTCGTGCCGGGAAAGTTTCCGGATGAAGGAGCCTGGCTGCCGCTAGCAATTCGTCCAGGAGTGCCAATTACGCCAGCAGTTGGGAAGAAGGCACTTGAATGCCTTTTGTTGGCAAGCGGCGGCGAGGCAGGGCTGTCTGGGCCCCTATACATCTGGCTAACTAGGCTTGCCGCTCCTGGGAATTGGTCGCTCGCAGGTCGCGAACGCCGGTTAGCCCGGCCCAGACCAATGGGAATGCTTGGGGCCTTGTCGGGATCAGTGTGGTCCAATACGTTGCCATCGGATGTTTGAATGATGGAGAATGGCCGAGGCTTTGTCCTCCCTGCCATGATGGGCGCGGTTCTGGTTCGCTGGAGGGGAAACTGTCCGCTTGAGAGCCTTTTCTCACTTTTCTCACTTTTTTCACTTTTCTCACTCTTCTCACTTTTCTCAGCTGGCGGAGGAGGAGGTAGTGGTAGCTCCTTGTCTTTTTCGGGCAGCGGGGGTTTCATATTTGCTGATTGATCCAGGATCGTCTCAAAGTCCTGGTGCTGGAGCAGGCGCTCGATGATATTGTTGATATACAGCGAGAGAGCCTTGTTCTTCTCTCTCAGTGCCTTGAGTTCGCTCTCGAGACGGCGACTGTCAACGCCAGTATCAGGCTCAGACTGCGATGCGTCGTCCAGCTCATCGGCAAGACTGTTGCCGGCTGTTTTGCCTTCCAGGGCGTCTAGCGCCTCGTGGTTCACGCTGGGGTTCATGTAGCTAAAATCGCTTTGGCCAAAATCTCCCTTGAGAGTCTTTTCCTGGAGAAGCAGCTGATAGCTTTCATTGTCTTCCATGAGTCGTGCGTTGGCCATGCGCGCCTCCATCAGCAGACGCTCAACTTCGCGCAGTCTGCCACCGCCCTGGTTTTCGGTTTCCACCAGCTTGATCTGGGCTTCTGCAAGCTCCAAGCGCAGCGATTCGATGAGCTTGTCTTTCTGGAGGATCAGCTTGGAGCTGTTTCGCGAATCGCTTCGCTGCAGAGAAGAGGGTGGGGCGAAGCTGCTGCCGTCAAGGGAGGGTGAACCGCTAGTCGCTGTAGACACTTCAAGTTAGCGAGCGAACAAAGCGACAACTTCGGTTAGACATTGCTTACATTGCCTCGACGGTCTCGGGTCGTCTTCGACGCTCAATTTCTGGGCCAAGCTCTCCTTCAGTCGCGCAATCACCATCTGCATTTCCTCCTCCTTATTTGCCATCTCCTCCTTCTCCTTGAGGATCGCGCTTCGCTCGGCCTCGTAGATAGTTTCCATCTCTCTGATTTTGCGAGTGGCTTCCCGCTTCTCGTTTCGTAACGTCTCGAGGAGCTCATCGTGCTCGTGGACCTTTTCTTCAAGCTTGGCTGACTCCTTAACCGAGTCGTCCAGCTTGGACTGGAGGACCTCCGACTGCCTCCTATACTGCTCCGACTGCTTCTCCTCCTTTTCGAGGCGCTGCTGGAGGTCTTCCAGCGCAGCGGCCTGGGCGGCGCGGGCGTCGGAGTCGACGGTGCTCATAACTGATTCTCGTCTGCTGGCAACGGCGGCACGGGCAGAGACAGGAGCGGCGCGAACGGATCTCGTTCGCGAGTGCTGTCCGGCGGGAGGCGTCGAGGATCGCAGCGACTGGGTTCGCGTGTGGGAGGAGTTTGGAGGAGACGTGCCCTCTGAATTTGTGACTCGGCCGACTGCGCTGACCTGCGGCTTCTTTGCAACCGTAGACATGGCGCTGGGTGCGGGCTAGTCTGTCGATTCCAGTAACACCTTCCCTCGAGGTCGGTGAGCTACTCTAGTTGAAACGCTCAAACGGGGGCCACTAGGCGCAGGGCCACGCAGACTGGACGGCGGGAATAGTTATGCTTGGAGTCTGGACGATCGTCTTGTAGTTCACTCGAGTTCGACGCCGTTGGTGAAGAGGAGTTACAGACTATTAGGAGGGACGGCAGGCCACGAGGGTTTGGTCGCTTTGGTTGGGCTCCACCTCGCTGGCCGGCAATTTAAAGGGCATGGCGAGTTGGGGAGCAGGAAAAGATACATCCGCAAAGGGGCGAGCGCCTTACTGGGGGCAGGTACCCTTACACAAGGAGTACTTTCACATACAGTGCTTTGTGCTGCCTCTCTCTAAGCCATTCGGCGGTAAAAACAACAATGCGGTGACGGAAGCGGCATGAATCCTTCAACTCTCAGCCACCCATTTCTGAGTGTTCGTTCTTGTACAAAGCACTTGCTTGAGCGACTGTTTCTCTGCTGTTCCCGTCTTCTCTTGCTCATAAAGGAGGCGCCCAGGTAATTGCGACGGAGGTCCTCTTCATGCCTCTGCTTAACAGTGCATGACTCTGGATCAGTGCCCTGCGTCTTCCCATCGGGACGGGTGCCTGATTGGCCGTCCGGAACCACTAAAGGACCCCTGGGGGCCTCTCCACCCCCACTGCTAGACGCTGCTGGAACCTCTGCTCCCCCTCTTTGTGCCTTCTTTGACTCTGTCGCTCCCCTAAAACTGTGTCACGGCGGACGCAGTGCAGCGCTTCGCCCTGTCCGGTGGCCGCGGTCCAAGCCTGTCTGTGACTGACCGCTTCTCTGCGCTCAAGACATGGAAAACAGCGCAGTCCCTTTTCTGGAAAAACGAGAACCCTTGGATGAAATAGTACTAGCTAGTTGTCTTGCTTTGTCATGTTTGATCCAAACTGTCTGCCGGTATGATGAACAAACCGAACACAAGGTCTTGCTGTTTGTTCCCGTCATTGTCTCAAATCTTGTGCCCAAAGCGTTCAAGCACAGTGAGGCGCGACTGAAAACAGTCACTGCAAAGTACAGATACACAAAAGAGTACAACCAACGACTAGAGAAGGCTGTGGTTGCTATAATTAACAATAGGGCTTCTGCTGAGCCTTGTGGTGGCAAAAAAGTCATGTGTGCCACCAGATCAGCACTTGAACAGCGCTGCGTGCCTGACTACCCCCGGAGTATGACATGGAGAAGAATGAGATTTGAGATACAACTTTGGCTGAAGCGTCACTGCTTGCATCAGAGCACTGTTTCTATTTTTGAGGGCCAATAGCTAAGCAGTTTTGGACCTCGTCACCCTCACAAGGCGTCGTACAAGTTGCAGCCACAAGCCACTGGTTGGCTGAACTTCGTAACTAGACTTGTACGACGAGCAATAGAAATAAAAATTGACAAAGTTTTCTCGTAGACCAAGTATTTGAAACGTTTAGGTATGCAAGAGAATAGCACATGCAGCAGCAGTTTCTAGTAGCACGAGTAGCATGTGTGGGCATTTATTTTGTTGTTATATTGAGTCTGTTCTCTAGAGCCTCCGGCTAGGCTCATCTATACAGTACAGCCAGGCTGCTTATAATCGGTTCCACTGGGCATTCCCTGCTTCGTGTGGGTGCTTATTTGTGCTACTTGGTCCGGTTTAAGCTCAGAAAATAGATGCAAACATTTACAGTCAAGGGGGGCTCGACAAATGACCACTACAAAGCGCATACCTAGTAGAGGCAGTTTACCAATTTTGCAAGCATATGTAATCGTGTCACTGTTTTACAAAAGACAGTGAGAAAAGGGCATCACTCAAGAGAATAGCAAGCAGTTTTTTCAACGTGACAGGGGAACAGTCTTCATGGCTGTATTATTCCATTGAGATAACTATCACTTGGAAGCTTTTGATTTTTGCTTTTCATGTCCCGAGGACGTTGCTTCGTAGTAGATGTCTCGCATCAAAAAATTTCGCTTTACACATCACGTGAAAGTGAAATGGTATCCATATTGCCCGTGAACCGTTTTACCCCCAACGCCGTTGAATGCACAAGATGTTGGCTGTTTAAGCCTGCTGGTCGCTGAGGATATCAGAGTCACCGGCATCCAGGATGGCAAGGGTGGAGCAGCGGAAGAGCTTTCCGCAGGCAGTGCCGAGCTCGATCTGTATTACGAAAGAGTGTAAGCCAAGGTGAACCCTCCAAAGTCTGATAAGACTTCTTCTCTGGGCAATTCCACAAGAATTGGACAAATTCTATGCGGTAGCAAGAGCAGCTTCTGAGAAGCAAGAAGTAAAGAGTACAAGTGCGCCCTGTTTCCAGGGCCTCTCACTCGTTGATATTGCATCAGGTTACAAAACTTACGTTGTTGCCAGCAAAGTGGTGGATGGGAGCCTTGGACAGCATGCTGTAGTACTCGAGTTCACTCTTTCTCAGGGGAGGAGTGTTGCCAGCGATGATGATCAGCTTGGCCTTGCCGGATCGGAGAGACTTGAGGGTAGACTTGTATCCGAGGGTGACTGGCAAAATTCATGTTAGCACGAGCTGCATCGAGAGTTCGAAAGGTTCAGTTTCTGGCAACATACCCTTTCCGGACTTCATAACAAGCGCCAACTTGGAGTTGATGCTGTTGGCATCCTTCTTGCTCTTCTTTTGGGGGGCCATTGTGATGGATTTTGGGTGCGAGCGACGATCTTGCGACTTGATTGATGCGGTTGCTGAAGACACACTGAGCTCTCAAAAGTTCGTGGGTTTGCAGTTTTCTTTTAGGATGGACCAATTTTCGGTGGGGCAGGGCTCTGCCACGCTCCGCCAATCAACACAGACTTGCCGTTTTGGTAAGCCCTAAAGTGCCGAAGATTAAACGAAACACCATCCGCGGTGGCCAAAGTTGCTTTGAAATCAATCCCGTCGATTTCACTGAAGTGGCTCCGGGAATCCTTGTGTTGGAATTATCTTCCCCCAAACATCATCACCAACATCCCAAGGTTTTCAGCGAAACACCGACAAAATGGCTCGCCGTCCTGCTCGTTGCTACCGATACTGCAAGAACAAGGTACGTTGCTACATTTTTCACGACTTTTCGATGCGCAAATGAATATTTCGAGCTTGGGAAGATTTTATGGAGGGAAAAATTTATGGAGTGACGCAAGAGGTGGATTATAAATTACCAGAGATGAAGCATTCTCGATGGATGCGCTCGGTCACTGCCTCCAGTTCCCTGTCTCGAATACACCATGAGCCATCGACATTCATCTCTTTCTTCTTCATGATGAGCTGTGCTAACATTCGCTTGCGCCATTCAGCCGTATCCCAAGTCTCGGTTCAACCGTGGTGTCCCCGACCCCAAGATCCGTATCTTCGATCTGGGCCGTAAGCGCGCCAACGTCGACGACTTCCCTCTCTGCATCCACCTCGTCTCCAACGAGTATGAGCAGCTGAGCTCCGAGGCCCTCGAGGCCGCCCGTATTTGCGCCAACAAGTACCTCGTCAAGCACACCGGAAAGGAGGGTTTCCACCTGCGTGTCCGCGCTCACCCTTACCACGTCGTCCGTATCAACAAGATGTTGTCTTGCGCTGGTGCCGATAGACTGCAGACCGGTATGCGTGGTGCCTGGGGCAAGCCCAACGGCACTGTCGCCCGTGTCAACATTGGTCAGATCATCATGAGCGTCCGCACTCGTGACTCTAGTATGTGATATTCCTATATCCTAAAGTATGATGACATATGCTAACAGCCATCTTCCCAGACCGTGCTCTGGCTCTTGAGGCTCTCCGACGATCCCAGTACAAGTTCCCTGGTCGCCAGAAGATCATCATCTCCAAGAACTGGGGTTTCACCCCTCTCCGCCGCGAGGACTACCTCGAGCGCAAGGCTGCCGGCCGTGTCAAGGTCGACGGTGCTTACGTTCAGTTCCTCGCCAACTACGGTTCCATTGAGAACAACATTCGCCGTTTCCCCGACGCTTTCTCGTCCGAGGCGTAAAATGTTTCTTCTTCACATGGCATCTGGGTTTTAAGGTTGGCGTAATTATGGCACTGTCAGATAAGAGATTTCTCGATTTGAGAATCATCAGTTAGGCAATTCAAACCATTGTGCGTTCAGCACTATACCCGCTGTGTCCTACCATGTACCGAAATTTTGATTCTTTTCGCTCGCTATGTTGAGATTACCCATGAAACGACTCTTTACCTGGACTATCTGCTGAATAAACCCATCCCTTGTCGTCAAAAAGGGGAAATCTTAAGGTTGATTTGTAAGTACTAATACGAGTACTTGCTCAAAACTGCGCCCAATCTGCAGGACACAAGGTACTGTATTAACGGCGTTGGAGCCGGAAGCTTGCTTACCTAGCATCAGCCACTGCCATAATGGGTGTCTTAGCAAATGCCGTTCTATGCCAGGAACAGATGGCTGCCTCAAGCATCCGAGATCCGGACCTGGCGCTGGCAAGTTATGACGAGACCACCTGACTTGAGTCAGTGACACTATGGTCACAGAATCATGATGGATGAGGATGCCCAAAAGTTTTTTTGTTGGGAATGCACTGTATAAGAGGGTTTTTATCAGTGGCGCTAGATGATTCTTCATGTATCAAGTCTCTATTCCAAACGAAGCACTGTATCATTCTGTATCTGCCCTGAGACACAAACAGACAACGGGAGCACAATAAGATTGCACAATACGGATGGGATGGCACACGCACCATCTACTAACCTGATGGTTGGTGGGGGAGGAAACGTCCATGACGCAGGGTCTTTTTTCTTTTTCTCCCCTTCTTCTCCCAAGCGGCGCAGAAAGGCGTCACCAGAGGGACCCTGAAAGTCGGATAGGGTCGCCTCTGCTGATAAGCAACTCCGCCAACGTGCCGCAAACACCGAAGTATGCACGAGTTGCTGAGCATGAGTGCGCGCATTGCGTCGTGCATGTCATGTAGGTGTAAGGAACGGGTGGTGGCGGGCGTTTATCAGCACGGCGCAGTAATCAGATGAAAAGACTTTTTTTTTTTTCTTCGCTCCCTTCTTTTCCGTTTTTCCCGTGCCGTGTCGTATCTAGATTGCTGCTCAAGCATAACTGGCCTTTACCCGTGAGGGTGGTGCAGCGCTGACTGACTTGGGCGGAGCGTAGGTGTGATAAAATGTGACGCAAAGAAGGTAAATCTCGCCGTAATACAGATACAGGTGGATTTGCAGGACCCAGCGCGCCAACGGAACTGTAAGTTGCGTGCTAGTCTCGATAGTATCGATGATGTGCCCCTACCGCGCTGGTTAGTGCTCGCCGTAGCCCGCCCGGTGCTAGCAGCTACAGATCATGTACGCAGGATGGAATCGAGAGTACAGTGCCCCCAGCGCCGGCTGCTCAGTGGCCCAGCAGCTAGCGACAGCGGCAGGAGTCGCTGAAACCCGCGGCGGCGGCGCTGTCTCGGAACGTCTGTGCAGCGCCAATCGCACTGTCAGCGGGCGGTAGTGGGCGGCAACAGCGCACAAGTGGCTGGCCTCTGACCACTGTCACCTCAGCTGCCAGCACGCGAGCAGCCACCAAACACCCCCACCCCGGTCCATCAGGCCGTTGCTGCTACCCAGGTGGCCTGGCCGCGATGACGCTCAACAAAAACAAAAGGCTGTCCCGACCAGCCTCTCCTTTTTCCTCTGCTTGTCTATCCTGCTCTCTGTCGCCTTTTGCTCGCTCCTCCCGGCCACGTCCAACCCGCAGGCCATTGGCGACTGGCACGATTTGTTTGCAGCGACAACCCCTACCCATCAGCTTATTCCCTTGAGCGCTCCACCTTGACTCGGCATCGCCACGCCACATGCAGCGCAGCCGTCCTTCACCGATCAGAGCGCCCCCGTTTGCCTTATCGCGCGCGACATTTCCCCGATAATTAGAGAATAACCGACATTGGGAACCCACATTAAGCGCTTTTCCTCGTCGTCTTCTTTTCCTTCTTTATTCTTTCCGAATACATCCATCCGGCCATCAATCATGGCATTTCAACAGCAGTCCAACCGTCCGGCCGTGCAGCGGGCTGCTCGCTCCGCTGTTGGCAGCCAGGGCCTCTCCAGGCGCTCAGCGCGCAGCACCCAGGAGCAAGAAGCCGACGAGGCGCAGACTTGGGTGCTATTCTCGCCTCCTACCGATATCACCACCACATCCTATCTGACCGAAGATGAACATGACGAATCGCTCGAGACCCCAGGCCGGTCGCGCCTAAGCGATCTCGGCAGCTTAAACACAGTTGCAAGAACAGGCTCAGCAGCGGCAGCAGCAGCGGGGCGAAATGATGAGGCCCAGTCATCACAGCTCTCTACGGCTGTTGACGAATCACAAGCGGATGATGCCGAGCTGGATAGCCTCGATGGCCATCTGCCTGGGTTCAGGTCGTTCCCCCGGAATAGCTTTGTTATGCCCGTTCTCCCAGCCCACGATGGCCTCGGATCTTTCCACTTGGATCAACCTGCCCTCGGTTTAGACGCCCAGGACCATATTTTCCAGTTTGAGAGATTCAACCCCAGGCGAGTACGTCGGAGGCTGAACAGCTTTGATGAAGCTCAATTTGAATTGGAGCAAGCACAAGTTCAGGAGGCAGAGAAGAGGGCTCGGATTGAGGCATGGCGGCTGGAGCATAGCCGCATTATCCTAGAAGAGGTGCAGCGCGAGGCACGACGATCAAAGATTTTGCAGCAGAAACGGGTCGTTGCACAAAAGCCCGCGCCAAACACAGAGGAGGCCACCGACACTACTGAAGATATGACTTGGCACGAGGAAGACCCAGATACTCACCCTGAAGACAAGGAAGACAGCGAAGGGCTGATTACGAGAATCACTCGCAAGGTTTTGCGGGATATACTGGGTATAGATGAGAAGCTACTATCTGTGGTACTCGGCGGCGATCTATTGAGTGATGAGGAGCTATCAAGGACGCCCCGTCCGTCAGAGAATGGACACGACCAAGGGGCATCAGCTCCAGAAACAGAGGAGTCATGGCATATGCGCATTCTAGAGACAGTATCAAGAGAGCTTGGCTTGCTGGTCAACCATCTCTCAAAGCACCCGGGCGCCTTTTCGACGTACTCACATGTTCATCAAGTCCCTCTACCTTATGCTGGTTTGCCGGCCATACCTGAGGCTGCAGCGCGGTCTTCCTCAGGACGCACAGCCGCAGACAAGGCCAGCGAGAGTATATTCCCGGAATTCAGACCTACGATCCGATCTACTCCACGAACGACCAACAGACCACCACTGAGGTCAACGGCATCAGAGGCGCTGCTACAGGACATGCCCATGGACGACACCTTTACTCAAGAGGAGTGGGAGAGGGACATTGACATCAAGCTCATGTTCCGATATTTGGTATCGCGCTTCACGTCCAGGCCTGAGCCTACCATGGCTGCCGAGATGACTACCCGTCCGGTTCCTGCAAAGCCGCAAGACGCTGCCGCTAAGGCTGCCAGAGTAAGGCAGCACCACCCCCTCACCTCCCGGACTCGCCCTAATGAACGTCGAGCTTTCAAAGCAACTGCACCTAGCAGCCCCGTGGCTATGCGACATCACTCCAGCTGTGCCAGCCAGAGCACCCGCCGATCAGCCAGGAGAAGCAGCGTCTCATCGCGACACTACTGGGACATTGGAGGATCCATCGGTACGGGCTCCATGATTGCCGCTGCTGCCCCCAACGCCGCGATGGGCAGCTGGGGCGAAGTTTAAACCGAAGTGCTGGGGGAGAGCCTTATCACCATTGGGTTTTTATATCATTCGTTCACTATCATTTTCTGGCATCACTTACAGCGGCATTACTAGGCGATTATTACTTTATTGTCCCCCCTCATTACCACCGTACTATTATTATTGAAGAGCAAGGCGTGATGCATTTGTTGGCGAGCTGCATGATGTTAATGAATTTGAGATGGAATGGGAAAGGCGTTTACGATTTACTTTTTTCCTTGGCTTGGTATTAGATATATTATTACTATGGGGAGATTCCATACCCAAAGATAAAACCTGCGGGCTATCTCAGCATTCTGCGAAAGCCACGCAAAGCTTCCCAACATGGGAAGTTTTGAATATAATCATCTTTTTGATTGACAACGCACACACACATTCTATCGACTACTTTGATGATGAGGCTACCAGGGGGTTCACTTCGCCTGGCGCGGGAAAGTAGACGTATATGCCGGTTGGTGGCTTGACAGAATGTCGTGTCTATGCATGCGGGACGGGAAGAGGCTCCACTGAGCTGCGCTCGTGATGAGGGTGATGAGGCGAGGCTGCGTGGATGCCTCTTGTTTCTCTCTATTCATTTATGATTATGTAGATGGGGGGGGGGGGGGGGGGGGGGGGACTTTTGTATCACACCTTTGCCTTGGAAGATGTTCCATGCTCGTGCGGTATAGGACTACAGGTGCTGTGTAGGACTTTGCTGGAAAGTCTTGGGACCCCTGCAGAATGCGCGATATCGATATAGTGGGGCAGTCTGAGTCTGCTGGTTGTTAGTTTGATGCTGTCGATGCCTTGATAGTGTTCAATTTTCAGTGGTGGTGGCTGTGTGATATTTGAAGGGTTTTATCAGCAAGATGAGGTGTTTGTCAGACTATAAGTCAAAGATTACTTTGATTTCTTTTGTTAATTTCGTTTCTGCATTATCAAAAGAATTCAAATCAAATTACACCTACAGTCGTTGAACGTACTAAAGGAGCGCCACGCCGCACAGCTACTAGCCAAAAAGGCACGGGCCATGCCGGCAAGCAATGGCTGTGGGCCGCATTCGATAGAGAGAGACTGGGTTGAGCGTTTTCTCGCGTTTTAGGGAGGGAGAAGGGAATCATCGCCAGTCGAACCGCGTAAAGTAGTGGCTTTGGCGGGGTTGGAGGGAGAGGAAGAACTGAATAGCGTCATGCCATGTTGTTGTAAGTTTGGGACTATTAGTTGTTTATTTATTTGTTCATTCATTCAACATGTTTCTTTCGTGCGACAATGTTTTGGGAGGGCGTTGTGTTCTGTTTTGTACTGTAGTGTATTGAGAGAGGAGAGCTGAAGATGCGATGCACATCAGGCCATGGCTGCCTGTCTGCAGTATCATGTGGCGCAAATATGACAGTTGACATGTCCTTATAGCAGCGTTAC